GTATTTCCATCTAAATGTCTAGTAGTTGTTGTACAAGATGTGCAATAATCTGCAGTATTTTAACATGTCAAACATTAAATTAAACATTTTTTACAATTATTATTTACTCCATCATCATAATATCCATTTAAACATTAGCAAACTCCTGCATTTAATACTCTTAAAGAAGTCGTCATTTCCTAACAAGAATTACAAAATTAAGCACCAAAAGCAAAACAAGTTAAACAGGAATAATGGCATTTTTAACAAACTTCAATTCCAGAATCATAATAAGAATTAGAGCAAGCACATGTAGATAAAATTGAATTAAATTATCTATTTGATATTTATGAACATGCTTCACAGCTTGTAGATAGAATACTACATTAAGAACATGAATAGTGACATTCTAATTTCATAAATGTAATATACTTTAACAAATATGATTTGATCCATCATCAAAATAACCTACTTCACATAAACATTATTAATTTATTAGTTTTCTAAAACTATTTGCATTACAACTCAAACAAATAGTTCCTAATCCTTAGCATGTATTACATCGATAATTGCATTCTTCGATTAATTATTAAATTTTACATTAACAATTTGGATTTCCATTATCAAAATAATGAGGAATACAATTACAACTATTGTTCTAAAATGTTCTCATTTCACTATCTAAACAAGATGTACATTTTATAGATGTAATTCCATTACAATTTAAACAAGAGTAATGACAATCTAAATTAGATAGATAATTATAGATTACTTTGACATTCAATTTTAGTTTTACCTTAAACTTAATAACTACTAATAGTTGCTCCATATAATTTTGATTAACATACGCATGTATTTTCTTGTAAGTATCTATCTGATTTACAAGAAATACAATTTTCAGCAGAATTTACACAATTCAAACAAAGGGGACTGCATGCTTAAAAATTACGTTTATGAATACCTTAACATTCAGATAATCCAACATCAAAGTATTTACTCATACATAAGCATGAGCCTTAAGAGTCTAATTATCTCATACTCAAAGCATTACAGGAAACACATTAATTTGATTCTTTTCCATTACATGTTAAACAAGTATTATGACAAACTATTATGAATTTATTAAAAACATATGCAAATTGGATTGTCAATTTGATCAAATGATTTTGGTGGACAAGAACAAGTTTTGTCAATTCCAAGATCTCTGAAAGAAAAAGCAGGACATGATATACAATTATCTATTGTACCACTGCATTCTGCACATCGATATGAACACTCTATTAAATAACATAAGATTTATTACTATAGCACATAATATCACCAACTTCTTTTTCCATATATTTATCAAGACAAGCACATTTATTAGCTTTAATTTCTCTGTTGTTACTAATAGCACATGTAATACATTAATCTTCTTCTGGACCAAAGCAAGTCATACAAGTATAATAACATGCTATTAATTTAATAATTAATGTTTTTACGAGAACAAAGTATATTACCAACATCGTAATATCCAAAAGGACAAATGCATTTAAACATTACTAATTATCGATAAGTAAGATCACAAGTTAAACAGTTATTTTCATAGGTGCCATTACAAGTTAAACAAGTTGAATGGCATTCTAAGCATTCTAATTATTAATTATCACTAAAATAATGTGGATCTTTGCATAAGCATTTAAAAGTAGTTTCTTATCTATCAGGCTATCTTGTAGATGGACAACTTGTGCATTTATCCTCTCCTGGGATATCACAACCAGAACATGTAAAATCGCAAATATCTAGATTATAGATAATATGATTACATAAACAAATTGCATCATCAATACCTGTGTCAATATATGATTTACTACATAAGCACTAATTATCTAGACTCAAATAACGATTAGAAGAGGATTAACAAGAAGTGCAATCTGTGGCTAATGGTCCTTTACAATCTTGACATGTATAATGACATTCTATAATAGATGACTTAGAAGATGATATTTACTGAAACAATCCTCAGAAATGCCATCATTTCCATAACCAGTTCTACAAACACATTTAAGATCATCAGAAACTATTCTATTTTATCCTGCTATGCACATCGTGCAATATTGATTATCTGAATTATCTAATGGTTAATAACATTTCCAACATCTAGGATGACAAGCTATAAATAAATAATAAATGATATTAAATTACGTAAACAAAGTGTTGTTCCATCATCTTATTTATATTCAATTGTTTAAATAGTACATATACATTATCCAGCAATAAGTTATTTAAAATATATTTAGATATCTCCGCAATCAGTACAATCTTCATTAGTAGGGCCATTGCATTAATAACATGATCGATAACATACTAATGATTTTAAAGAAATAACAAATACATTAACAAATTTTATCACTAACCCCAGTATTGTAGGATCCTTTTGAACACGCTAATAATTAAATATAAATATTTACTTAAACATTCAGATCCACTTGGTCCTGTACATAGAGCACAATTATCAGTACATGAACCATAATATAAAGCAAAGTCTCTTAATCCAAACGACTCTGCAAATATAGGTTCATCAAGTGTATTTAAAAATTTTATTTATGCTTAATTGCTATTGTGTTATACTTCATATTCAATTCTACCAAACATAGTTTTATATATAGGATTAGAATCACCACAAATCTTAACTGCATAACCTTCAAAAGCCCAAAAATTTCTTTGCCAAATAATATTATCATCAATTAAAATTTTACCTATTTCATTATCCCATGAATCCATCTTAGTGAATAATACTTAGAATGTTAATTTGTAATGTGGTGGAATATCATAAAATGTTTTACTAATGATAGTTCCAGTTCCAGTTTTATTAAATCCTCCAAATAATGGAGCAGCTAAAATATATTATTTATATAATTAACCTCCACACATAGTTGCTTCTGAAACCCCAGAAATTACATTCCAACCATCAATCTATATTCCATTCATATCCAATGATATCCAACTTGTAGAAATTAATTTCCAAACATAACATTTTAATATTGTATCATTAACTTAACAAATCAAACATCCTTCTGGGCATTTCTAAACTGATATTATGAAATCTCTAAAACCCCAAGATTCCTTATAAATATATATTAATATATTTTACATTGCTTGCTTCTTAATCTAAATTAGTTGTGAATACAACTACTACTGTAGGTCCACTATGTTAAATATTTAAGTTTAAATTCTCTGTTACTTCATTAAAACTTCCCCCTTATCCACATTATTAAACTCCATCACTAGCTGTGTAACTCTTAGTCCACGCTACTTTAAAGTCAACGAAAAGATAAGCAGTTTCTCCATCCCATTCATCAATTCTATTATTATCATATACTTTTACTTCCAAAATTATACTTGTAAATTTATTTAAGAATGAGGTGGAAGAGAAAATATTTTCGTTATTGCGATATTTCTCCCATACGCATTATATCCTCCAAATAATCTTGTCCCCATGCATTCTGTAAACTATGCCTATCCACCTATTACTACCCAATCTATTATCTATTCAATTATTAATACCATCTGCCTCTTAAAAGCTATTATCAGAAAATGATGTTGATATCTCTTCAGAAATACCATGTATTGCCACCATATTATACAAACTAAGGACTAATCCTAAGCTAAATCTAAACATTTATATAAATTATTTAAAAAGACATATCAGGATACTTTTCCTTATATAATGAACTTTCTATTACAGTATTTTATGAATTTAATTTCAAAAGATAATTATGAATAATAAATATATCTAACTCTTAAACCTCCTTTCATACATGACTGACACCTTTTAAATTAATAAATTATTCTTTTATTTTAACTACATTATATATTTTCTATTATTCATTAACCTTTACTTATTGATATTATAATAATAATAATTCAAATTATTCACATCTAACTGATTAATTAATTTAAGCAAAGAGGATATATATAAATACACATCTTTTATTTTAGATGAAATGTTAATAAATTATTATTAAATCTTTATTAATTAAAAGAGCATCATATTAAACAAAAGACGTATTAAAAATAAATTTATAATTATTATTAATCAAAAATTAATTTTAAATTAGGTGCTCAATTATCTTATATATTAAATTTACTCAAATGGATAGTATCCTTTGAATATTACTTTAGTTAGTTAGACTATTAAAATAGAAAAATCATTTTATCTATCAAATTTATTATCAACCCAAAGAAGATTATTTTTGTTAAATATTTATTTGAAACCATTAAAAAAATACTTAAAAAGACTAGACTATCTAATCAATTCTTATTATCCAGAATAAGTTTATAAAAAAGGTTTCTTTACTTTCTCTATAGTTTTATAACTTCATTATAAACAAATATTCGTTTTCATTCTTTATCTTTTTATTGAATTATTGCGAGCTAAATTGCATATATGTTTATAATTTACAAAAGACAAGCAATTTCTTTCTTATAAGAAAAGCTTTACTAATTCATATATTATTTATTCATTTGTTTCTGGCAAAATTTATTATTAAGTATCAGTTAATTTTACATTAAACTAATTATAGACTATCAAAGTGTGTCTAACTAATAACAAAAATGTTTCTAAAAAACTTAATTAATGAAATATCAATAACTCTAATAGATTAGAAGCTGAAATTTCGTATTATAAAATATATTCTTTTTTTAGAAAATTTCGATAAAGAATATTTCAAGCAAAGACCAATTGCACTTACAAAGATTAGAACTAAATTTCGAAATATAAAATTAGAAGATGAATAAACTATATTAATTTATTAAAATTGTATTCCAAGCAAGCAATATAATTAATTAAAATTATAAATGAGTTACTAACTTTAAGTAATTTCAAACATGTAATATTCAAGATTAAAAAGGCTTTAGAATTAGATATTGATTAATCTGATTGTTTATTATATTAAACTATAAGTTTAAGCAATAATATTATTTGATAATTATTATGATTTATATTGCAGAATTAATGCTGCCTCGATTATCTAACTTTAGAAAATTATATTTAACTAATTTTTAAAACTTTGAAGAAGCAGCAAAATGTAATGATTATATAATAAAAAATTTCTAAAATGATTGTCTTTTGATCAGAAAAGTAAGGGTTATGACAATACATATTTTTGCTGAAAATTTAATAATTATCATATTGGAAATCATAGCAAAATTTTAATATTATTTTAAATGATTTTTTTAAATCATAAATTTGTTAATAAAAAATATTTCTCATAAATTTATTTTAAAAGTTAGAAATGAGAAGAAATAATAAAATCTAAATAGATTAAGTTCATTGAGAAGTAGCAAAATATTTTTAATAATAGTTCAATATTAATTAAATTATAAATAACATAATAAATGATTGAGGAAAAAAAAGGGCATTTATATATAATATAAATGAAAGAAAATTTCGCTGATTTCGATATTTGAATGAGGAAGATTTTAGAAATTATTGTTGATGTAAATCATCAATATTTTGTAATAATAATATAATAAAAATATTCAATTGCTATATAACATATATAATTGCAATTGAGATAAAAGTAATCATACCGTTAATACATTATTTATACAAATATTTGAATATCGGTTTAATCTTAGATTTATGATTGAGGAAAAATAATAGATTAAATTTATTTCATTGTTTTTCAAAAATTGAGGTGTAAAACTGATGATAATTATGAATAACATAAAAAATAATCAGTCTCCTAAGTTAACGTGAAAGGTATTATTCTAACTCAATATAAAACTATTGATTGAACTAGACTCTTAGGTAATTTGTAGATAATTAAACTCATATTTGTTATGAAAATCATAAGTTACTTCCTTCAAAGCTTAACACTATTGAAATTGATAGTGATGATATTTTTTTAATTTAATAATTCACTTCCTTGATCAAATATTGTATTTAAGAAAGGTTCAATTCAAACTAAGATTTGTGTAGAGATAAAAGAGAGCAAAGGATGATAATCTTAGAAGTAAATTGTAGTGAGCAGGTTCATTTTGCAGAAAGTTGATGAACCATGAAGTAAATTGTAATGGAGACTAGCAAACACCTCATTAAGAATAACTAAATTTTGAAAAAGCTACTCTGATAGAGGAATGAACTGATATAAAAAATGAAATGAATTGATGATGACTACTTTATAAGCAATAGATCAGAATACTGTAAGTAACATTATTTGTATTTCAGAGAGTTTTATATTTACCTAAACAAGCTCAGGGACTTATTCATGTAATTGATTTCTGTTTTTATTATTTAGAACCTAATATTATTATTTATTTGAATTTTCTATTTAAATATGTTAATTATGTTTCCCTGATCCTATAAAATTGGAAAAATAGCTAAATAAGATTTAATTGATTGATTTCATAAATCTGGTACATGAAATACAAATAATTCGCATAAATAATGAGATTTCTTTTTTTTATTGTAAATAAGATCCTTTCATATGACATTAGATGTGAATTATTAGTAACTAGGAAATTTATACAAGATTATTTTTATCTTTATCTTCATCTCAACCTTTGTTCTTTTAAATTGAGTTATTAAGGTCTGCATATAGTAAACTAAATAGAGTTTATTTTGATACTCAAACTATAATTTCTGAGCTTCAAAGTTTATTTATAATTTTAAATATCGTACTTATTCTAATCATTTTTTATTTAATACTAGTGGTATATTAATATTATTTAAATTTTATATGATAATTATCAAACCATTATTAATGTCAAATTTATTAAGCCTTTTACCTATTAATTAAATATTCAATTAGATAATTTTTTATGTATTATTTTACATTTGTTAATTGTATCCACAATTAATTTTTTTATAATTAAAAGATAGCCTAAAGGAATTCGATTTAACTACTAGGTTACTCCTAAAAAAGTAGATTAAATACCAATATTGGTTTTCTTGGATTCAACTTAACTATAAATTTCTTGAAGAGATCATTTAATATAAATGATTTAAAAATAATTGGGGAGGAGTACTAAAAACTATACTATTTATTGTTATGGGAGAATTAATCTGATATATTAAGATCTAATTATATCAGGTAGTTAACATTTCAATAATAAAAATAAAGAGTTAAGTAAAATCAATGGTTAATTTTATAAACTTAATCAGACAGAATTATTATTGGAAATATCAGAGTAAAAATAATTTATGAAAAGTAGTGTTACAAAAGAAAATTAGTTTAAAGATATATCTGTAAAATGAGGTCTAGATTTGGCAATTACTTTTCTTCGAATAAAAGGATTATAAAAAAATTGGAAAAATTAATTAGGAAAAAAGATGATTCTATGTATTCAGAAAAAGATGTTTAGATATAGGAAAAACTTAATAATTAAAAAATTATAACAAAGGAATAAGAATTAATCTATCTAAAAACTTTTTATAATAGAAATGATCAATATTAATCTTCAGATATAAGTTTGTTCAAATGACGTCTAACTTAAATATTGATCAACTATTAAATAAAAAGAAAAGGCAAAGAGCTATTTTTATTCTTTTGATATAAATTTTCAACAAGTTTCCATTAAAAATTATTATTTTAAATCTGTGAATTAAATAAATACATAATCTATATAAATATTACTTTAATCATTCTTTAAGGTATTATAAAATATTTAAATTTAACTCAATAAAATTTAATTATTTATCAGCTTTATTTTGATAGAAAATATTAGTCATTTATTTTAATATAAAGGAGCTTCTACTAAATGCTCAACTATTACTGTTGAATAAGAAAGTACATTAATAGCATTAATTCTTATTAAAAGCGAAAAATTCTAATATATGGTTGTTTATTGTTCATAAAGAACTTTTGAGAAATTGTCATAATTCTCATCCTATTTGATATAGTATTTTACTTTTCAGAATATGAACTTATGATTAAAATGGAAAAACTTATTAATTTTAAGTAATTTTTTAAAGTTCTGTCAAGTAGAAATAACATTAAAAATAAATAGGTAGAGTTAATAAATTGAGGGGGTAAGGAGTAAAATAATAAAAATCTTATAGTTGATTAAAATATCTACTTTTACATATTTTACTCAAAGTTTGATTCTTGTAAATCAAGACTGAATACAGGATATGATAACTGTTTAAGAAAATTGAACTATCTGTCTATTTAGTTCAATAGTTAAATGTAAATTAATTTTTATTTCGATGATACTTCTAGTAATAATTTCATATAATTTTAACATTCAGAATATCAAAGAAGTAAAAAGATTTAATAACCATCTTGAAGACTCTGAGCAAGGAATATTGATCATTTTAAAGATTATGATATCACTATCAATCTACCTGTTTTTTTACCATTCCTATAATATTCACCATGATGTTTTATAAGTTAATATTGTATTCTTTTTCAACTCTCTCTTTAAACATTATATTCCAACTACCAACTTTTTCACCATTGCTATTATATTCACCTCGATAAATAACTTAGTATTAATCTCAAATATTTTTAGACAAGGCTATCTGTGGTCTAATCTTTCTTGAATTACTTCACAATATGACCCTAGACCACTAAAAAAATTTATAAACTTTCTCTCTCTTATATTCAATCTCCCATCTACCAGTTTTATTACCATGCATATTATATTCACCATTCTAAATTAATATGTCATGCAATTCTTGTTCCCAAAATTTATCTTGTTAAATGAGATTTTTATTGTAATCTTTGCCCATTTATTAGAAACTTCATATTCTAAGGTACCTTCGTGCCATATGAATGGCTATTTTCTAAGCTATAACAAATTGTAAAATAGTAAAATAAATTTTATAATTAATTTTTACAAATTGTTCACAAATCTTTAATTAAATATGTTTATCTGATATATATATATAAGAAGAAAATAATATAATATAGTTATCTCTAAATTAAAATTTGTATAAATAAAGATTACTAATTTCTTTGACACTTTATTTTAAATAGAAGTTTTTATGAAGAATGATAGATTTTATTCTAATAATCGTTTGCTTATTTATTGTAAAACTAGTTTTATATAAACTATAAAAATCTTGATAAATTGACAAGAAATCCTTATAATAAATAAAGCAATATTTGAAAGCCTACAATAATTTCAGAATTTATCATTATCTTTTAATTCAACATTTTGAGCGAATACTGGCAATTATCAATAGAAAAAAAATCAAAGATCTAAATTCCCTATAATTTTTAAATAGATATTTCATCTTCATTTATGTTAATTCAATTATAGCTTTTCTAACAATCTGAAAAAACTTAAACTTTTAATTTAATGAAACAGTTTTAATTATCTTAAATGGATTATTTGATGTTTTACAAATTATTTAAAATAAGTTTACTGAATACCAAAAGTTAAAAATCAAGCTTTCTTCATTTTATTTAAGAGTGAAAAATAAAGTTATAAAAATATTACCATTTAAGTTGTCTTTACTTTCAAAATAATCTTTGATCTTTTTTCTCATGCATCTCCGACAAAATAACATCTTCGGAATTTCATCTTTGTATTTAAAACATTACTACTATGAATATCAGATTCATCAAATTTAGGAAAGTGATATCGTTTTATTTCTTTACATCGATAGAGGCTTTCATTTTATTTGCACACTTTTAATTTCTTTATTGTAGAATGGAATCACTTTTTTATATTCATCGTCAGCCGTTGTCGATTAAACTATTAAAGAGCTATTTTGTTCTTATTATTCTAATTATTTTAAATGATTATTAAAAAACTTTTAAAAAAAATTTATAGTTGCTAATTTTTGGCAATTTTACAATAATTAGAATTTTAAAATGAAAGTTTACTATAGATGTTAATATTATTCATAAATAAACTAGTAAATTTAATTATTAATAAGAAAACACAGATTTATTTTGGTAATTTGAAATTTATTTTTGATTAAGCTTCTGATGATTTTAAATGAATCAAAAATAGTTTAAAATCTTTTTTTTGTAATCTCTGTATTGAATTAAATTTATATTATATTTATAAAATATACATATCGATGACCCAATTAAGTCAAAATACTAAATAAACTTAAAAAAAATCATTAAAAATCACTCCAAAGGCAGGGTTATTCTTTAAATAAAAAATATTGACTCAATAATAAATAGAATCTTAAAAAAAATATTTAATTTACTCCTAAAATATATGTCTTCAAAAATATGACTACTTTTAAAATTTAATTTCAATTATGTATTTTAAATTAATGGTGGAAATACTGAGAATAATGATAATGATAGAAAAAATTTAGTTTTATATGATGGAAGTTAATAAGTAGAGATATTTATTATTAATTTATTTTTCATTTATCATAGATTATATATTGAGAAATATTTGTAATAAGAAAATAAATTCTAAAATATATAAATAAACTTATATATTAAAACATTTTAGAATTAATTTGGAGATTTTTTCGTTCTGAAATATGCAAACAGAATGAATAAAAATTTTATTATTTCTAAACTAAATGGCTACATAAATAAAGTTCTAAAAATAGAATTTCTTAGTTTGCTTTTTTTTAATTTTGTTTTGCTTAAAAACGATAATGATTCAACTAAATTGTTATCTATCAATATTTAAAATAAAAAATAAAAAATTCTTACCAAAAAAGCTGATATTATAGTTATTAATAAATTCATTTAAATAGAGAATTTATTAATTATGAGTTTTAGATAAAACAACCCTTCGGAATAATATTAAAGGTTTATTACCAAACTTCCAACTCAATTTTTTCCAAACCTTATACCTGAAATAATAAGAAAAACATGTAAATAATCCAAAGCTGAAAAGATTGAAGAATATGTTTAAATTTTTTAATATTACTTAAAATATTTATTGGGATTAGAAACTGAAGAAAATGAGGAGGAATAATCTCGGGTTGATGAAAATATTTAGGGTTTTGAAGATCAAAACATTATATTTGACTAACCTGAAGTTATAATTAGGTAATATTTATTATTATAAAGCTTGCCAAACCCAGATTAATTATCTGATGAATTGTAGATTCCACAAAAGTAATATGAAATATTTGATTAACTTATTCAATCACTCATTCAAGACTAAAAGTCCATTCATGATAAATTATTTTTAAAAGCAATAGAAACTGTATTTATTCAATTGTCAGATCGTAAAAACTATTCTGTATATGATCAAAGAACTAGAGTTTTAGAAACAATTACAAGTGATGGAAGAAATGCTTTAAATTTATTACGAACTAATAAATAATTATATGAATAAAGTAGTTAACCTTGTTTATTTGTTGAAAACAACAATCATAATGATAATTAAAATGATTTTGTAATATCTTTAAGAGAGATATAATTTAGAAAAACGATAGATTAATTTAGGCAGGTTTTAATTGAAATGGCTTAATAAAGTAATGAGAATATATCGTCAATCATCTAATCAATTTAAATTGATTATTAAAATATAAAAAAACAATAATTAAAAGCATTTAATCAAGGAGAATATTTAAGATTGATAGAATCACAATGGCATAGAACGATTAATGAAACTGCTGATCTTATTACTTTTGTTAGGAACATATTAATTATTTAATTATCAAGAAAAGGATTTATAATTAAATCTAATTTATCTTAAGATGGATCTAAAATATATCTATAGCTTTATATGTCTGAATAAATGTTGGAAATAGCTGCTTAAAATTTTTAAATTTACAAAAAATTATCTTTTTCTTTTTCAGATTTATTTTCTCTAGAACCAGTTGATAAATAATATCGGCCTTTACGTTTAAATGGAAGATTATGGAAACCTGATGAATATCATACTTCTTCGTATATCTAATATTTAAGACCATTAATTATTGAGTAAATTATGCAAATAAATTTTAAGAGATTAGCCAGAGATGTAGGATAGAGTAGAATTAATAATGAATTATTTGAATATGGAAAAATAAATTTATATGGAGATCAAGATGGTCCGACTGATGATGAATGGACAGCATTTTATATTTATTTAGTACATCTAAATAAATAGATTTAAATCTAAAGAAAAAAATATCTTATAGATAGTGATATTGCTTTAATATTAAATAAATAAAAAAGTGTAGAAGAATTGTTTGCCTTAAGAACTAAATAAAATACAAAAAAATATTTTGAATTTAAGGAAGATGAATAAGAAGAGATTAAGCTTCTTTTTGAAAAAATTAAAGAGTTGAAGGATCTATCAAATAAAATTAAAGTATCAAAAAAACTTCCAATTATTAAAAAAGTTAAACTTTTTAAATAATAATAACTTGCATTCAATTATTATTTAATTTTTTAAGAGGCTTTAAAAGTAGCCAATAGCTCTGTAACATAATTAAAAACTATTTGGGATAGATATAATTAGTAACCATTTGAACTATATATTCCATATCATTTCCATCAAAATTCTATTTCTTATAAAAATATAGCCTTTTCTTAAATCAAATGGACTAGGTATATATCAAATGAAAATAATCAAATAACTTTGTTTCCTATTATTGAAAGGCTAAAGTTAGCATAATTAATTATTTCAAAAACAGTTCATTTAGAAGAATTAATAAACCTTAAATTTGTAAATTCTATTTATTGTTTACATAATAATTATGAATTATATGGATCATGTAAAAATCAATAATAAGATTTAAATTCTGAAAGTTAATTTTATGAATAATAAATTTATGATTTATCTGGAAAATGGAATCTAAATTATTTATATCCATGGCAAATGCCAATTAATTAAATTTGTGTTTATTTTGGAGAAAAAATTGGATTGTACTTTTACTTTACATAATATTATATCAAATATTCTACAGTTATAGCTGCATTAGGAGTATTTAGTAGTTTACTTATTTAAACTACTTAATTAGAAAATCAAAGTAATGCCATCATTATTTAAAGTATATTTTCTATTATAAATATCAATTTTAATTGTCTTATCACAGATTATTGGAATTCCGCTTAATTATTGTTTAAATTTTAAAATAGTTAAAATATAAATTTGAAAAATGATCTAATTAGAAGTTCTTTTAGAGGAGATTAAATAAGATCGATATCAACAGATCTATTAAATTCAACTGGTACTATTCACTTTCATTTTTTTTAGAGAATAAGTGTTACTATTTTTGTTCTCTTTTTGATATTTGGATCTGATATCTGTATAACAATAGGGCTTTATTTTTTTAATTTGTATCTTGAAAGCAAATTTAAGAATTCAGGAATCTTTTTATAAAATTTTGAAATAATAATAACAGCTTGTTTGAATTATATTATTCAAATTATTGTAGAACAATATTATGAATCAATTGCAATAATGTTAACTGATTTTGAGAATTTTTAAACATTAGAACATTATGAAAATAGTTATTGCTTAAAAAAATATTCTTTAAAATGCTTTTTTTAATTATTTCCATTAATGATGTTATGTTTTATGGATGGTTAATTAAATCTAAAATGTTCTAATAATAATTGTTTAGATTAGGCAATATATTTTTTTGGAACTTCAGTGTTTTTCATACTTTTTGATCAGATAATAAAGGTAGTAAGAATTATGATTCATCATAAAAAAAGAGTTTAAAATTTAAAAGAAAAAAATCATTTAAGTTTCAATTTATAAATATTTATAGAAGGTTAAGAATCTTTATTCCCTTTCTAATAGACCTAAGAAAAATATGGAATTATTGATGAATATATGAACTTTTTTACACTTTCAACATGTATATTTATGTTTGGAGGTTTATTTCCTTTAAGTTTAACTATTTTTTGGGTTTGGATGATTATATAATTTTAAATAGTAAAATACAGACTTTTATATTAATTTTAAAGGCCCTGGCCAAAAGGAGATGTTTAATTAGGAATTTGGAGTGAAATACATTAATTTATTAATTATCTAAGTTTACTTTGTAATTCAAGTTTAATATGTGTGTATTATTCAAATGATCTAAAAGATAATGTTATTTAGCTGTTTGTTACTTTATTATTTTACAATTTCTTTATAAAATATGTAACTAAAACAACTTTTTAAAGCCCTCCATTAATTCTTGAATATCTAATTAAAAGAGCTTAATATATTTACTAGAATAATATTAAAGTATTTGGTAATCGAAATTCAAGAACAGAATAAGATGATAAACTATAATTATAGAGATGTCCTTTATATAAAATATTTGGATCAAAAGGAGTATAAAGAGCTGACTATTTTGAAACAATAAGTTCAGATGATGAAATCTCAGATCATTATAATAAGAAAATTTAATTGATATCTAAAAGATTAGTTTAAGAGGAATCACATCTAATACTTTAAAAGGCAGAATTAATTCAAAATGAAGAAAATGTGAAATAAATTCAAAGTCCATTAAACTCAAATTCTTCTAAATATTCAAATTCTAGTCCAATAAATACAGTTTCTAGTCCTCTATTTGTTGTAAGTTCTAAATAAGGTTATAAAATGAAAAATAATTATGAGTCTTTTGATTAAATACAAACAAAAGACTTTTAAAAATAAGTGAAAAGTAAATTTTAATTTATGATTAATGAAATAATGAAGAAACTATAATAAGTTGATAAATTAGACTATTAGTTTTTTTTTAATTATTATAAAAAGCGTTCCATGAATTGGGCTTTTTAAATTTAATCTTGTAAATTAGGAACAAAAAAATTAATAAGAGACAGAACCATAATATGGAGATTTTTTTTTCGATTACATCTGTTAACATCTTATAGTATGTTATGGAATGATTATAGATTAGTTTAAAGTTAATCATATATAATTAGAAAATAAAAAGTATTACACAATCTTGATTATAAGAGATTTTAAATATTAAAAGCTAGTTTTGAGAATCAATATAAATTTTTTAAAGCAGAAGCAGCTCTTAAATTTAGTAAATAATTTCGATAATTTGGAACTTAACTTACTTTGGAAGAAAAAAAAGAATATAATGAACTATTATTAAAATACAATAATTTTATTGAAAAAAAATCATGGCTTAATTGTCGAAAAGTACAAGCATTTCGATATAAAGGTTTATTTTTTAGAGGATTTCGTAAGCAAAATATAAGAAAATAAGCCATAAAATTTGTGTTAGATTATTATGAAGTAACAAAAAAATTAGAAGATGCTTAACATGGATCAGATTTACACAAAAAATTCAATTATTTAGTTTAATATATCCAACCAAATCAATACACCTTAAATGATTTTATTGATTTATTTAATAAATTAGAATATGAGTAAAAAATTTGATTTTAATTTAGGTAAAAAACTAGTTACATATTTCCTTCAGTAAATGGAAGAATTTAGTAAAAAACGTATTATTTAAATTCTTTAAAATCTGATGTATTTAAAAATATAATCGATAAATCTAAAGATACATATATATTTGAATAATATTCTACAAAATTAGAAGAATTTGCTTTATAATATTGTTTGGACGAATTAAATTAAATTCCTAAGATTAATTTGAAGAAGCATTTGCATGATCTACTTTGGATTGTTGAAATAGATGATTAAGAATATCTAATGTAATTCTTTTAAATTAGACATGGATAGAAATTATAATTTTTAAAACATCATAATGATGGTATGGGTGTTTATGTGAGTGAAAGTTAAAATTATATTAAATTACTAAATATTATAGATTAAATTGATGATTTTTTAATTAAAGCTTATTGCATTTCATTGTATCCATGTAGAGATTGTAAAACATTGTATCAAGTAATTTAATTTAGGAAAAAATATTCTCTCCATTACACATTAGATTAATTAAATTAATTTCTTTATGCTAATTTAATTTTATTATCTCAAATTACTGTTAAAAGTCTTTCAATTTATAATTATGCTTTGAATGGAAATGAATATATGATTTTAAATTCTATTTCATAAGAAGATAATTCACTGTTTTAATTGATTTAAATTATTTTTGAAATGATATTACTTGAACCTATTGAAGATCTTGGAGAAGCAATTAGACGTGCTGATCATTCTCTAACATCATTTTTAATGGATATAATTTCTAATGATTTAACACCAAATTAAGCTTTAGAAGTTATGGAAAAACAAGATCCATTTTCAGATATTAATTTTTAATTAATCCAAATTTAAAAAGTCTAATCTTATCAATGTTATATTGAAAATATGAAACATAAAATTAATTTTCATCTTAGAATGAAATAATTTTAATAATCTTTAATATTAATATAAGAAGTAGAAGAGTATATGGCATCATAGTGTGATATATAGGTTTCTAATTTTATAGAAGAATTTCTAAAATATATTTCTTAAGAAACATAAACATATCTGTTAAACTCAAGTGAAATTAAAAAAATATTGGATACCATATTAATATTTTATTTTAAAATATCTGCTCTATTTGGATTAAAGTAAGCAATCGAACCTTTGAATACTTAAATCGTTGATGCGATTAAAAAATGCAACAGTCAACTTACTATAATTCTCAAATAATTAAGTTTTAATGTGAAATTAGAAAATTTATCTGAAGTAGAACATCGTACGATTTTGAATCAAAAAGTAAAATATAAATAAGATAATTAATCATCAGTTAGTTCTTTTGAAAGATTAAATTTGATTAATACTTTAAGATAAAATTCCAAATTAATTAAGATTCTAATTTAATTTCATACTTAAATTCAAAGATACTTAAACTAATTTAAATTAATTAAAGCGATCTCTCATTACTTTAATAAAAACTTTATACTAGCAGATTTATAATATATTTCAATAATTTAGAGAGAAGAACACTTAGCATTTAGAGAGCCTTTGCCAACATTTTTGAATGATCCTCTTGACCATACACCAGGATTAATTAATCTTAAGTAATCTTCCCCTTTAGATGATGATAATGATGATATAAAAAACGAATAATTCTAAACCAATATTTTTGAAAATATAGATAAGAATACTTTATATTGTACTTAATTAAAATATTTTAAATTTCTTTATCTTGTTAATTTACATGATAATAAAAATGAAGAGTTTTAAAAACAATATTTAGACTTTCAAAATGCAGATGGAGCTTATTTACCTGTATTTATGTTTTATTTGAATTAACTCAAATTACTTAATAAAGAAGAAATACAAACTAAAGATGAAATCTAATAAGAAGAATAATGTGATGTTGGCAAGTATCTTATGGTAAAATATAAGAAATCAATCGAAATTTCATCAAATTAATAAGTTGATTTAATAGAAACTAATGATGCTGAACTTTTGAAATTTTAAGTTTTGATATTCTCAAATATTTAGCCAACTTTTTAAAATAGAAAAATTCTATAAATTTCTCTGTAATTAATGACCATATTTTAAAATAATTCTTACAATCTACTATTTAAGATAAAATTAATTTAATTGATCTTAAATCTTGATAATGTTTAACCAGTTAATCATACTTTAAGTTAATAGATATAAAAAGGGAACTTTTAATATTAAAATGAATAATCTTATATAGAAATATTAAAACAGTCGCATTCTAAAATTTAATTTTAAAAAGATTCATGGTTTTTTCATTAATGTTTAGAAGAATTATAGGTTTTCTATTACCTTTCAATATGTTATGCATATTCTCCTAAACATATTGAAAATCTTTTATTAGAGGAAACGGAAATAACTAAACATGCAATAAATTAAATAAAAAAATTTTAATTTAAATCAAAATTTTATTGTCAAACTCTCAAATGTACATAAATTAATAATAGAAAAGGTTATTAATTTTTGTTTGACTCAAATTTAAGTAAATAATAACAACAATAACTAATTTGCTAATTCTTAAATTGTAGTTTAAAACAATATCATAATTTAAAAAGTTTATATCAATAAATTTAAGAATTTTTGAATGATAATTTTGAATCATCAACACTAGTACTAGCTTTAATACATAATTATTTATAATTATAATAATTTGAAATGGTAGATTTGATGACATAGTTTTCATTTAGATTGCTTCAATGTTAAGCGTTGATTTTTTTTAAAAAACATCCTGGATTTGAATAAGATCTTTAAATTATTGAAAGTTTATATAAAGGCGACAATAATTGCATTCCTTATCCAAATAAGTATTTATTTGAATATACAGAGACATTTTGTCATTTTGATAATGTAAAATTTTATGGATAATATCTATTATTTAACATCATGATGAACTAGAATTTCTATTTGATTAAAGAATTAGCATCTAATTTTATTGAGACATTGAAAGTAAATTCCAGTTATTAGCGTTTCATACATATATTTGAATATTAATTAGATGTAATTGATGCAATGATTGGAAATATTGATCCAAAAAAGTAACGCAATTACAAATATTTAGAGAAAAATTAATATGAATTACATCTTAATAATTATAAAGAAAAAACCCTTATATATGCCATTTTAGCATATTTATAATGCAAATATCATCTTAATTTATGTGACTATGAGAATGCGTTGATATACTCAGAAAAAGTTCTAAGATATGTTGCTACTTACTTAAAATAAGAATAAGTTATAATTTCTATAATTAACAAAAGATTAGTAAGATGTATTAATTAATTTAGGTATAAGAATATCCAGTCCATAAATTCTTTAAAGAGTTAAAAATATTGGAATATAATTATCTTATAGATGAAATAATGGATTCTGATTACATTCATTTATTTAATAAGGATTTTATCAATGAAGCCATGTTAGATCATTTGAGAATTTTGATAAACTTAGGATAAAATGTTCCAAATATTAATATTATTTTTGCTTTAGAATTAAACTAAATTCATAAGGTTCATATACCTTATTTGCAAATGATTTATGCTCTATATTTCAACTTTCTGTTAAATTAAACTAATAATAAATATATTGAAAGTTTATTAATAGATAAATCAAATTAAATTGGATAAATTAAAAGAAGAATTAAAGATGAAGAAATGAAATATAATGCTTAAAGTTCGGTTAAATTATATTCAGAATCAGATGCTAATTTTATTCATCAAAATTTAATCTTTTTAGATTTTCAACTAAATGTATTATAAAACTCAAAAAATAAAGTGAATAAAAGATTGATAAATAATTGGGTATTATCTTGTACTTAAAAAGCAATAACAGGATATTAAAATTTTTAATAAGCTATCTCATTTTTAGTACATCCTCATATTTCTCTTATGTATTTAATACAATACGAATCATTTTAATTCTTAAACTAAATACAAAAGGCTCAAGACATGATTGATCTAACAAATGAAAGCATTTCTGGATGGTATGGAGAAAATAAACATCCTATCAAGGGGTTGTTTTTATATTATTAAGGAATTCATGATCGGTGGCTTTATTCATAATACATTAGATACTTAAAAATTATTATTTCTCTAAACTACTTTGATATAGATGAAATTACTCGAATAGTTTAAGGATTAATTTTTTAGGAGAAATAATTAATTACGATATTTGATCATTATGTTTAAAATACGACAATCTAAATAGAAGATTTAGTTTAAAACTATTTAATATCTAAGATTGGAAATAAATAAAAATAAATAAATGAAATCTCTTGTTCATATTAAGATGCTTAAGGTATTTTAGATTGTGTCTTAGAAAAAAGTTGGATTAAGACTTTGAATGGATTGTAAAAATTCTTCAAGGTATATATTTATAATATTCCAAGGCATTAGATTTATTTTATGAACTTGGTACGGAACATCCATGTATAGATTTAATTAAAGTAATAATTTTTCAATAAAAATGAGTATTCTGAAGGTGATGGTAATCATAAACAAATGATTTATTTATAATATTTCGTATAAAAAATACTATCTAAAATAATATAAAATCTTATGATTTTAAAAATTGAATGATCATTTTAAAAAATAATAAAATTAATTAGTTTTTAATTTAATTATCATAATTATCTTTAAACCTTTTTCTTCAATTTTTTAATTTTATTCTCAAGAGAATAAGATGAGCTATTGAAATTAAAAATGCTTGCATAAAATTGTCAACTTTTACTAACATTCATTCATATAATATAATCCACAACTATTTCAAGATCTTAGGACAATGAATTTTGAGTTTTTAATTTTATCTCTGTCTCTTCTCACTTCAAGGAAATTCTAAATTAAGTTTAATCCAAAAAATCCCCCCATAAACCATTTAATTTTCCAATTTTATAATCTTTTTTATCAAGGTGTTTAAACATCGAAATTATACACAAGGTAAAATAGATTATTATTAATTATAAAAACATTAATATTATTAAATATTATATTTATGTATATATTTTTGAAAGTAATTTTTAATTATTTATTGTAATTATAATTTATGCATTATCAAAATATACAAGTTAAGTTACCTATTTCTTCTTTCCTCCATTTTTTTCTGTTGATAAATTGGAATATTTGTTCATAAATAATCTATTATTCATTTCATAATAATTCCCTATTTTAGTACTATTTTTTAAATTTTAAATTGTCGAATTTAGGTTTATCATTTATTTTATTTTATTTTATATATTTTCCTATTAAATTTATTTATATTGGAAGATTTTCCATATTAAGAGGTTCAATAAATTAAACAGATAATAAATAAGAATATAGCATTCTATTAAAAAGAATGCAAATGCATCCATTTATATTAGGAGCAGACCTAAATAGAAGATATATGGGATTTAATATAAGTGACAGAAAATATACCTCAAGAAATAAAAATAGTAAAATTCAGAATACCCAAACAGCAAGAATGGGATCTAGACTATCAAAAGATGATAGAATATATAAGATGTACAAATGCAAAAGAATATTATAAAATAATTAAACATAAAGTAGGAAGATAAAAAGCAGGACAAATAGCTAGCATAATGGAAATAGATGTAAGAATAAAACAAATTAGAATATGATAACATCATAAACAATAAAGAATCTTATCAAAATATAAGAAGAATTAAAAATAGAAGAAAAATAATAAAGACCTTGAAAAAGATCACAGAAATAAATTATTAGCAACTTTGGCTATTATAATCTTAAGAAATACCAGATTTTAAAAGATTTTAAAGAAGAAGATAGAGATGATGTCAAATAAAGAAAGAAGGATAATAAAGAAAAGAAAAAGGATAAGGAAGGAAAATTATAAAGAGATAGATACAAATCGTATAATAATGCGATCTCATTTGATTAGGGGAGATTAACAGATATAATGACAATTTGGAATAAATACAAAAACAATAGCAACAATGCTATTTAATATTTGTTTTAATGAATAGTTAATAGAATGGAGAACAAGGATGATAAAAAAAGCATGTACGAGAAGGAAAAAAATGGAGAAATAAATAAAAAACACAAAAGCATTAACATATGTATACGATATACTTAGAGAAGTTACAGGAGAATATAATAAGAAGAGAAATCTTAGCAAATGTAATTATATGGCAAAAAAGAAGACAAAGAATTAGAAATGATAGGATGTCACAAAACAGAAACATATAAATATCAAGGGAAATGGCTGAATAACAGAGGTTCTGTAATTACACACTTTAAAAAACACAAGCAATTATCATAAAATTGGCAAAGAGAATAAGTAATATAAAAGATCTATTACCTCTGAGAAATATAGTAAATTATAGAGAGTATTTGTAAAGCCCCATTTTAATTATATATCACCAATCTTGTGGCTTCAAATAAAAAATTGATGATAGATAAATATGAAAGACTTTGGGGGAGAACAATAAAAATAGTTTGCGAGTGGATAGAACATTTGAAATAGGAATTTTGGAAAAGATATTTGGTCAAGTACCTTTCTTTCGAGAAAAGATTGTTATCAATATAAATAATAGAAAATAATGCTAGACGAGCATTAAGGAAAAGATATGATTAGAATTATATAAAAAAGATATAAAAAGAAAGAAAAGAAGAAATATTTGGATTCAAGGACTTGGAAGTAATGGAATATTATAAAAACATAAGGAAAATAAAAGAACATATTGAATTAGAATATGATGAGTAAGGAAATATGAACTTTCATAAGCACTACTTAGATGCTAGAAATATTGGAAGAAAAACCAATTATATAACAATCCAGAGAACATAATATTAAGAAGAGAACCAATAGAGAGAATTGGATGCATATGAAGAATATAATAAATCATTAAGAAAATTAGAACAAAAGATGTAAGAATACAAAGAGAAACATAAAGCAATACTGGAATTCTAAGTAAAGAATATTATATGAAAATAGATACTAATAGAATTAGAAAAATACTAAATTATTGTTATTTAAATCAATGGAAATATAGAAGTATGAAATGTAAGATTCATAATGGAGAATATATAAATAGATAACATATACTAGAACATATAAAAGAAGTTTATAAAAAAGGAGAAGAATGGGTGAAGACTATACATAAAATAAACTTTTGGGTCTTTTCAGATTCAAACTTTTGGAAAAAATTGCAACATACATGAATTAAGATATGAAATATATAGAAATAAAATTAAAAGAAATTGTTATGAGAGATGGGAAACCATCAGAAAGATAAAAAGTAAATTAAATAAAGAACACATAAAAGAACTGAGTTTGATTTATTCATTTAAACATTAAACATTTCTAAACAAAATTGCAAATTTAGGAACCAATTGGTTTTAATCATGAAAAATATAATACAAAAAATTTATTTTAGCATTTGAATTTATCATTTCATAAAAAAAATATTGTATGATTAAATAATATATGTAATACGAAAAATATAATTGGACTAGGCTATTTTCTCATCGTTTCATCAAATTTTAGGATAAATTTATTAAAATTAAAACTAAGCATTAACAAAAATAAATTAAATCTTTTTTAATATATATTCATCGAAGCTAACTTTAAATTTGGTTTATTTTAATAATTTCTAATTTTTTCGTATTTCTAATAATAAGTAATTAAATTTGGTTGTTTTATATAAATATGAATTCAGGCTTAAATTTATCAAAGTAATTTTGATAAAATTTTTGACTAACTTGATCAATCTAATTTATTGGATTTAACCATTAATGGTTATAATTAAAATCGGTTGTAGACGATTATTAGTTGTTGCAAAATTAATTTGACTATTTTCTCTTAAAAAATAATTAATCATCGTTTCTTTTTTAATTAATTNAAAAATTGATGATAGATAAATATGAAAGACTTTGGGGGAGAACAATAAAAATAGTTTGCGAGTGGATAGAACATTTGAAATAGGAATTTTGGAAAAGATATTTGGTCAAGTACCTTTCTTTCGAGAAAAGATTGTTATCAATATAAATAATAGAAAATAATGCTAGACGAGCATTAAGGAAAAGATATGATTAGAATTATATAAAAAAGATATAAAAAGAAAGAAAAGAAGAAATATTTGGATTCAAGGACTTGGAAGTAATGGAATATTATAAAAACATAAGGAAAATAAAAGAACATATTGAATTAGAATATGATGAGTAAGGAAATATGAACTTTCATAAGCACTACTTAGATGCTAGAAATATTGGAAGAAAAACCAATTATATAACAATCCAGAGAACATAATATTAAGAAGAGAACCAATAGAGAGAATTGGATGCATATGAAGAATATAATAAATCATTAAGAAAATTAGAACAAAAGATGTAAGAATACAAAGAGAAACATAAAGCAATACTGGAATTCTAAGTAAAGAATATTATATGAAAATAGATACTAATAGAATTAGAAAAATACTAAATTATTGTTATTTAAATCAATGGAAATATAGAAGTATGAAATGTAAGATTCATAATGGAGAATATATAAATAGATAACATATACTAGAACATATAAAAGAAGTTTATAAAAAAGGAGAAGAATGGGTGAAGACTATACATAAAATAAACTTTTGGGTCTTTTCAGATTCAAACTTTTGGAAAAAATTGCAACATACATGAATTAAGATATGAAATATATAGAAATAAAATTAAAAGAAATTGTTATGAGAGATGGGAAACCATCAGAAAGATAAAAAGTAAATTAAATAAAGAACACATAAAAGAACTGAGTTTGATTTATTCATTTAAACATTAAACATTTCTAAACAAAATTGCAAATTTAGGAACCAATTGGTTTTAATCATGAAAAATATAATACAAAAAATTTATTTTAGCATTTGAATTTATCATTTCATAAAAAAAATATTGTATGATTAAATAATATATGTAATACGAAAAATATAATTGGACTAGGCTATTTTCTCATCGTTTCATCAAATTTTAGGATAAATTTATTAAAATTAAAACTAAGCATTAACAAAAATAAATTAAATCTTTTTTAATATATATTCATCGAAGCTAACTTTAAATTTGGTTTATTTTAATAATTTCTAATTTTTTCGTATTTCTAATAATAAGTATATATAGGTTTCAATTTATATAGTCTATAATTAAATTTGGTTGTTTTATATAAATATGAATTCAGGCTTAAATTTATCAAAGTAATTTTGATAAAATTTTTGACTAACTTGATCAATCTAATTTATTGGATTTAACCATTAATGGTTATAATTAAAATCGGTTGTAGACGATTATTAGTTGTTGCAAAATTAATTTGACTATTTTCTCTTAAAAAATAATTAATCATCGTTTCTTTTTTAATTAATTTGATAGTTGCCCTTGAAACTAAGAATAAATTATAAGTAAGTATATTGTTATCAAAAAATGGTGATTATTTTAGGGTTAATATAAATTTATATTTTAAAATATAATTTGTTGGCTTATTTGATTTCAAATTATTATTTAAAAATGAAAATAGATTTTAATCAACAAATTTGTATACATCAGTATTCAACTTTTAGTTAAACATAAATTAGTTTAATTGCTTACTATCGCTAGAACAGATTTAATAATAGGATTTTATGAATCAATTTAATCATATATTGTTTTCTAATAAAGTTTTAAATTTGACTCAAATTAAACTTAATTCAGTATGATAAAAATCTAAATAAAATTAATTTTTGATAATTTAAGAGAAATTTTTATTTAATGTAATTCTAAATATAAATTATTGATAATTAGCGAGATTTAAAAAGAGGGGAATTTATAATAATTTTTTCTCTATATAAATGGGTAAAAATAATCAAGCAAATATTCCAAAAATAATTAATGAAATTGTGATACCACCTAAGATATATCCATTATTTGTATCCGTATTCGTATTGGGATTAGGATTGTACATTTCGTTTTTCGTAAACAATTTACATTTAACACATTTATACTTTGCTTCATCCCAAGTGAAGGAAAAAAATGTAGATGTATAACAAATATCTTATGAAATAGTTGATGGGTCTCCAGCTATACAAACGTTATTACTCAAAACACAAATGGTATAATAAGTTTCATCAAAACTTGGGATGGGATTGCAGATGGTACCAATAGCAATTCCTTGACAATCCATCTCAGAACATTTTGTTTTAGTGCTGGTTCCATTTGTAGTATTTGTCCATTTACATGCTTTTGGTTTGCTTTTGCATGCATCTTCATCACTATTAGCATTTTCACAAGATGTGAACAATTAACATAATCCATAATTTTAATCAGTAACTGTTGGCGCTGGTGTGAATGCACATTTTCCATCTAATCCTCCTGCTTTGCATGATAATTTATTCTTATAATGAGCACATTTATCTTTGTTGACACAATTAACTCCATTAGAAACGCATTCATTTTTTGGAATTTAACCAATGCAAGCATTATTAGTCATTCCTTTAATATCAGAGCATTACTTAAATCTACATGGTTAAGTTCCACTAATTATGAAATTCCATGCACAGGGATTACCATCTGGATCAATAGTACAAGCTGCTTCAGTTTGATAAGAAGAACATGGAGCTCTGGCAACACATTCAGTTCCATCAGTTGTACATAATCCACTCATAACTTTATAATTTAAACATTCGAAATCAGTTCTGACTGAATAGTCTATACATTCTCTAGATTTACAGGATGTCTCAGTCCAATGGCATAATGACTCAGTATCAGCAGAACAAGTTATTTAGTTCAGGTAATCAGAGCAAAGTCCTTTATTAATACATTTAGTTCCATCCCAACTACATTTAGTTCCCACAGCTTTGCATTTTTCTAATGAAGTATTTATAGCATCACTACAAATTATGGATTACTTGCATATACCTTATATACCTTGGGATAGCCATTAACATTTAGTATTATTTACACCAATCAAGCAGGAATCAATATCTTCATATTTTTCACATTGAGTTACAGCTCTGCATGTTTTAATACTTGGAACACATTGAGTAGAGAAAGCTTAACAGAAATCAAAAGATGGATTAGTTATATCAGTACATTTGGAGTACTCATAACATACTCCATTAACATATAAGCATGGATATCCAGAGCCATTTTTTAAACAGTATTATGGATTACCAGTGAATACATTACATACGAAATCTGGACCCATACACATTTTACCTGTAGTCTAACAGCCAGCTAGAAATGTGAAGCAAAGTTCATTAGTCGCAAATTCTCCATCAGCACATTATCTTTATCTACATAGTTCATTCGTTGAATCCCATGTGCATCTTTTTGATAATTCAGTTGTATTAGCAGCTTCACAAATGGATTTAGATGTATAGGATGAACATTCTCCAATTGTCACACATCCAACTCCGCTAGTAGTGCATGTCTTATCTCTTTAAAAGCAATCATTATGAGTTGTAATGGATTCCTCATAATCAGCACATGTGAAATCTCTGCAACCAATAGCATCATTGGCACTAGTAAATCCTGCACATCTATTTCCATTCTATAATGGAGTATTCACACAAACACTAAGACCTTAATCAGTTAATTAATCACATTTTGTTACTAAGCTTCTACATTGTCTTGCCAATTAACATTATTTATTTTCAGTACATAAAGTTGAAGAAATGTAATCATCACAGCTAATATTAATCTTGCATCCTCTTCCTGTAGTTCTACAACTTGGGTGATACTATTAACATTGATCATCAGTTCTATATGTATTAGGTGCTTCATAACAAACTCGAGGTTTACAACTCACTTTTTTTGCAGAAATTACACTAGGCTAACATGGACCATCAGTGGCAGTGAATTACGAGCATGTTTCAGCATTTCCTTCAAAAAATGAACATGGTTTTCCAATATCTACACAGACGGTACCATTTGTAATACATTTTTAGGTAGTTGATGGAGCAATAGGTGGTAAGAAGTCTTAACATTCTTAGTCAGTTGTACCAGCTTTATCTGAACATTTTCTATCTGTACAATTATCAATTTTCGTACTACTTGATCCCCAACAATGTTGAGTTCCGTAAATTTCCTTAAATTCTTTACAGGTTTCCTGAGTTCCCATGTATGATAAACAATCTGCAGCAATGCTCACACATCCAACTCCATTAAAGATACATCCAGAAAGGAGGTTTTCACAATCGCTATAATCCAAAACTGTAGTCATATCAGTACATTTTTTATCTCTGCAAGCAGTCTTAGTAGTAGCTGAATCTCCAAAGCATTTCTTTCCATTTCCTGTGAATAACTAACATTGAGCCTTTGTACCATAATATGATGAACAGGGTTCTGATTAATTAATGCAACCTTAACCTTTATTTAAACAATTAGGATGGAATTATTAACAGTCAGAATCAGTTGTTGCTGTAACATTCAATCCACAAGTTAATTTTGTACAATGAGCGTCAGTTGTTGCTAAAGTTCCTTTTGCACAAGTTGATTTATTATCAGTATCAAGTGCCCAATTACAAAATGAATCAAATCCAATCTAATTAGCACATGTAGTAGATGCAACTATACAACCTTACCCAGAAGATTTGCATAAAGAAGAATAGGTTTTACATTCTGAATGAGTTTAGAAACCAAATGTTGCATCATCATTACAACCTCTCTATTTGCAAGTAGTATCTGTATTAAAATTAGCTGTGCAGAAGTCACCAGCTGTATTCTTGATTTCATTACAGAATTAAATTGCATTGCTTCCTCCAGTAGCATAAGCACAAGTACTTAAGGCAGTATAACATTTATTATTATAATAAACACATCCAGTCACATACTTATCGCAATATTCAATACTATTTGCTCCTATTACATTTTCGCATGTTGCTGAAATACAACCAGTACCAGTTCCAAAGCACAATTTTCCATTTGTATCGATTTATTTAGCACAATCAGAAACTATAGAACTAGCAGTTCCACCAATATATGTCTTGCAAGCATCCAAAGCTATACAAGTATTTCCTGAAAAGTATGTACAGGAACCAGAAGTAGGTATTGCTTATTAACAAGTTGCTAATTTGACTTCAATATCTAACAATGACGAAACATTATAATTTTTGCAAATATTAACAACTGCACATTTAGTTCCAGTAATAAAAGTACATTTTGCAGAAGTAGTATTAATTAAATTATTACAATAAGATTGCTAATGAGCTAAAAGAATTAATGTTTCAGGTAGACTATAACTAGTACATGCTGCTTGTTTAATATAACAAATTCTAATTTTAGGTTAATATGTACATCCTATACCAGTTAAATTACAATCAACTTATGATTAAGGAGAAAGTGTATCTTCGCATGAATAATTTCTGCACGACGTTGTTCCTGTAGTCCATGAACATTTTCCTCCATCTAATTTCATTCTTGCTTAACAAAATTCTAGTTTTCCATTATTTGGAAGGATATTCCATCCATTACAAGCAGAAGGAGGATCAGAACACGAGGTAGCATTGATAACCCATGAACATTTAGCTCCATCTAATTTAGTTCTGGTTTAACAAAATGTTAATTATCCTTAAGATGGGAGATTATTCCATCCATTACAAGTAGAAGGTAAATTTTAACAAGTAGTTCCAGCACTCCATGAACATTTTTCTCGATTTGATCTAATTCTGGCTTAACAAAATTCTAATTGTCCTGATGTTGGTAAACTATTCCATTCAGCACATGTTTTTGGAGCAGAAATACATGCAGTACCATAATTCCATGAGCAACATACACCAACTTAATCTATTCTAGCTTAACAATGTGTTAATTTATCAGTAATTTGAAGACCACTAATATTAAAGCATATTTCAACTGCATCTTCGCAATTTGTTCCAGTACTCCATGAACATCTTTTTCCTTTTTGATTTACTTTTTTTTAACAAGTTGTTAATCCATTATCGGCTGTAACACCTGTATAACCTGAACATAATGCTTAAGCAACTACACAATTACCGCTTCCTGGATAAGTACAATATTTAGAATCTGGACCAGGGTTAGTTTAACATTCATTTATTTTTGCATCATTATCAGTTGCAACAGTAGCGATTGTACAAGCAGCTCTTGCTATACAGCTTGCATTTGTAGCATGTTTTTTGCATCCTAGTATAGTTCTTAAATCACAATCACCATCAACAGTAATACCAGAGGTAACTATTGTACATGAAGTAGCAGTAGTTGGAGCAGAACAATCTGCTGCACCATCAACGAATGCATATGCAGTTCCTGTTATATCTCTCAATTTACTACAAGTCAATCGTTTTCCAGTATTATTACCTCCAGCAACTGAAGTATATCCTGTACAACTTTTACCAGTAGCACAACCACCTGCATTACTATTTGCAAGAGCATCATATGAACAGTATTCATTAACTGTATTATCATACATATTCTAACAAAATAATTGCTTCTTGTCAGCATCATTAGCAGAAACTGGAAATCTATAATTTGCACACACAACTCTAGTATAACAACTTCCTGAATAGTATTTACAGCTACCAGTTCCTAAATTACAATCTGCTTATGATGTTGGTGATTAAATAGCACTACAAGCTAATATCGTTATAGCAGAAGGAGAAGCTGGAATAGTAGGAGGAGAAGGAGTTGAAACAGCATCAACACAATTAGCACTAGAGGTTGTTGGAATATATGCACATTATTTAACAGTTCCTGAATTATCAGATTTTAGTGCTGAGCAGAATGTATCCTAAGTTTTGATTTCTGTTAATTTATAACCAGTGCATGCTGTTTAGGTAGTAATACATTGATTATTTGCAAATTAGCATTTTCCATCATTTAATTAAAAATTACAATCTACTGTACTTAAAGGAAAAAGGATTTCTTCGCATGTGTTTATGTCTGAACATACTGTACTTGAACTGGCCTCATAAGAACATTTTGTTGGAGTAACTGAATTTGTAAACATTCCATTGCACCATCTGAGTTTATCTACTGCATTAGTAAGATTACTTGGAATCGTATATGAACCACAAGAATTTTAAGGAGCATAACAATAAGTATCATTTAATTTGCATGAAGCTTGTCCATTATAATTTTCACATGAAATTTTATTCAATGTACTGATCCATAAGTTGCATGCCCTAACTTAACATGTTCCTGTGATTTCTGTATTATATGAACACAATACCCCTGATTATGTTGTTATAGAATTACAATAAGCCTACTTTTTATCATTATCAGAATTATTCAATTTATATTCTGTACAATTACTCAAATGTTGCATACAAACAGTATCTCCATATTTTAATCTGCAATCATTATGATATAATAAGCAATCAAGATTATTTTTTACTCCAGTTTTTGAAGCACAGTCAGTCTTCTTTGAAATACAGGCTTCCAATCTTGTGCATTTATCAGCTCCTAAATTTCCTGAGAATTTTAAACATTTTTGAGTAGTTCCTTTATAGGATCCACATTCAGCTGTTTTAGCAATACATCCAATTCCCTTTGTTACACATCCAGATAAAAATGTATTACAATCACTATCAGTTTAACTAGTTGTATCATCATTGCAATCAATAGCTCTGCATTTACCAGCTGATCCGGCCATGCATAGATTGGTTCTATTATTCCCTTTAAATTTTTTACAAGTAATTTAATCACCTGTGTAGTCTGTACAAGGTGCAGATGAAAGAATACAACTTCCATTTCCATTATATGAACATCCTATTAAAAAGGACTCACAAGTTGAGTCATCTTTCATATTAATTGCTTGGGTGCACAACTTATCAACACAAGCACCAGTTGGACTTGTATTCCAGCATCTAACTGTTTGATTTCCTTTAAATTTATCACATTAATCAGGAGTTCCACTATAACTTTTGCATGGTGCTGTATTAATAATACAACCTTCTCCTTTTGTAACACATCCTCTTAAATAATTATCACAACCTTTATCATTTTTTTGATTGAGATAGGGATCATCGCAAGTTCGTGGTTTGCAAGCTGTCGTTTCTGTTGCATTGGCATCATTTGTGCATTTTGCTTTGTAGGCTAAACATGTTTATTTTGATCCTTTAAATTGGGTTGCACAATTAGTACCATCAACACAATTTATTTTATTAGTTACACAGCCTTCGAGTAATTGATTACAAGTATAATCATCAGTACCAATGAAATCGTTGCATCTAGCATCTCTACAAGCAAATTCTTCCCATTTACATGGTTTATTTTAAATCCTAACATTTTCGCATATTGATTTTGTAAACAATTATCCACAACTAGTATTGGAAACACAGATTTGATTCCACCCACAATTGTTTATTCCTTAACAAATAATCTATTTCACTATATCCTGACAAACCATCTTTGCTGTACATCCTTCTCCCGTTGTGATGCAATCACCCTTGTATTCATCACATTATTTATTTGTTGTAAATGAAGAAGGAGCTTCTGTACATACTCTTGCTGCACAATTATTACCAGATGCTGCTTATTTGCATCGTCCATCTAATCCATATAATGAATTGCAAGATGTACCATCATCTGTATAAGTATAAGATGAACAATTTTATAATTTAGCCACACATCCTTTTCCCGTGGTCTTACAGAAAGTTTGAATTGCTGAACATTAAGCTTAAGTTGTAAAAGTTTCATTACTATCATCTACACAATCTTTCACTGAACATTTGGCAGTAATTGAAATTCCTTTACAATTTCCATCTGATCCTTTCAAACCTGTACAAGTAGTGATTGTTCCATCATATGTATTACATAGATCTAATGCATCAACACATGATCTTCCATTTGATATACATCCTGACTTCCATTTATTGCATTCATCATCAGTTACTGCTGTCTTTTAATCACATTTTCTAACTCTGCATTTAGTACCATTACGATCCCCAGCACATTATCCATCTGTACCAATATATCCAATACAAGTTGTAGCATTTCCATCATAAGATGAGCAAGAACCTAAAGTTGCAATACATCCTTTTCCTGTTGTTACACATCCAGTTTATTATCTAGCACAATCTTAATCAGTATTAAATGAAACATTTGCATCTGTACATACTCGAACTCTACAATTATTACAATAAAAATTGTATTCGCAATTTCCATCAGATCCCCTCATATTCTTACATGTTTCTTAAGTTCCTTGATAACTAGCACATGGTGGTATTACATCAATACATCCTGCACCTGTTGTTTTACAACCAGATAACCATTAACTACATTCTGTATCAGTAGTAAGTGAAGTATCAGCTTCACTACATTTATAGTCTCTACATCTCTCTCCATCAAGTTTACATTTGAATGGACTTTTAATTATTGGGGTTGTCTCACATTATTCTTTAGTATAAACAACACATTCAAGAATATTTGTGCATGTGACTCCATCTGTTATGCACATATTAGATATTCCTTAACAATCACTATGGGTAGTCATGACATAGGCTGAACATCCAGTAAAATGTGTGCATTTTCCTTGAATTAAAGCGCATCCAACAGTTTTAGAACATTATTCTATCTCTATAGTTTAACAATAGGAGGGAGAGCTAGAAGCTGGTGGTTATGGTGGTTATGGTGATGGTTATGGAGGTGGTTGTGGTGGAATTGTTGTTGTCTTTGCACATGATCCTGGGGTAGTTGCTGTTTTATCTGTCCAAATGCACCCAAATTATACACAGTCCATATACGATTTGAATTATGTGCAGTCATCACATTAATCTGATTTTTTCACTGTGACATACTTGTTTACTGTTAACAAATATGTTATTAAAAGCAAATATTTTATTTGCATATTTTTAATAATTTTATATTTAATAACTAAAATCTACTTTTTGATTTATTTGAAGAATCTAAATTTTTTATGTTTATAAGAAACAGTCTCTAAATATTCTATAAGTATATTGTTTTTTGATTCTTGTAAATTCTAGCAATTTAAAAATATTTAAGACTCCTCAAGTTAATTATTCATTTCATACTTTATCTAATAACGCATATTTAAAAAAATTATTCTATTGCTTTTTTTTTTTTATTATAACTATATTCAATATCTATCCTGGCCTTAAGTATTTCTTTTCTTCGTTATCAAGACTTATTCAATCTATCTGCATTTCTAGTTTGTATATTAATCAAAATTACTTAAAAATAATTTATTTTTGAATAATTATTCATCTGGATTTATTTATTCGTCAAAAAATAATAAAATAACAAATCCAACTTAAAAAACTGAATATCATAAAATAAAGCTTTCTTAGAAGTCAAATAAAAATCCTCTTCAATTTTCTTTGAGAAAATTCTTTTAATTAGTGAAGAGGGTTATCATCAATCCAACTACCGTTATAATTTTGCCAATAAATCATCAAAGAAATAGAATCAATTTTAAATTTCGAGTTAAATTAACTCAATTCTGATAATATAATTATGCTTAGAAAGCAAATTTATGAAAAAAAATTACATTGTATTTAATTTAATAATAGATATAATATACTTTGAAAAAATTAAAAATTCATAGAATTCATTACATAATTTATTTGCAAATCAAATATGATAATGAGATAATTAAATAAATATCAGGAATGATTTTTTTTGTTGAAATTAAATCTTTATTTAATCCAATTATTGATTGTTTATTTTATTAAACTATTTCTTAACTTCAGTTTTAAATAAAGTTATTTCTAATTTTCTTATTACTCAATTATTTCTGTAGTTTCGATTTGATTAATTGTTTTAATTCTTCTTGAAGAATCCTTATTACTTGTAATAACTTAAGGATGATTATTTTATTAAGAATTGAATCTTGTAAATGATATATTATTGCCTTAAAAATTTTAGTTAATATTTAATATGTTGGATTAGCTAATTGAAACACTTAAATTATTAGCTTTAAATTCTTTTTCAGAAAATTTCATTTATTTTGCTTATAAATTCAAAAAGGGATATGTTTCTGTTTCAGAATTATTAATTCTCAATTAATCTCTTTTCACCAACCTTTTTAACTATAATTATTGTAAATATTATCGAAATCTATCTGAGGAGACATTTTTTAGATTAGTAATACTACTAATTCTTAATGGGTTTGGATGTCTCAATTATGGTAGTGATACTATATTCTATCGTTATTTTCTGACAAGTAAATCTCCTTCATTTTAATTTGAATTGTTTATTGCTGTTTTCAGTTAATCATACCATAATTCATTCATTTATAATAAAATACCCAATTAATTTTTTAGAAAAATTACAAAAGTAAATGAGTGATTGGAAATTAAAATGAAAAATATTCACAATAATTAGAATATAAATTACTAAATGAGAATAATAATTATTGTTTTTATTTATCTTCATATATATATTTTATATTTATTTTATTTGATGAAATTTAATATAAACAATCCCTTTTTAATTCAATTCATCTTGAAAAAAAATTACATTTTAGATTATTTTTGACAAAGATATCTACAAAATATTATCAGTATAGGCCTTATAAAAAGATAGAAGGAATGAACTCTGTTTAAAATTGTAAAACTATGAATCTACAATACTAAATTATGTAATAACAATATAGATATTATTGCATTATTAAAATTATAAAAATAGATTTATGCATGATTTACTTCTAGAATATTATAAAGAAAAGATGATGATAACTACTAAGAGTAAAATTGGTGTAAAAAGTAATTTATGATTCATAAAGAAATAATAAATATGATAAGACATTTAGACAAAAAAAGTAAACATATCATAAACTTATAGTAGGACTTAGATTGCATCAGAAAAAAAACTTGTAAATATTCTTATAAAGAATAAATTTTATCATCTTAATATTTTAAAGTAGAAAAAATTTTAAATCAATCTATTTTAGTTTGAAAATTATTTTGATATAATATTGGATTGAGAATAATTTTATATTTAAAGGATTAATAAAATATTAGATTAGTTACTAAAATAATATTTGAATTAGAATTAAGTTAATAATTTGCTTTTTGGGACAGAAATATAATTTATTAATAAAAATGATTACATTTAACAAGCTGTTCATAACTAATTGAAGGAAATTTGGTGCTTTTGTTAACAAATAAAATTAGTCTTAATATCATCCACCTTTCTAAAGAATTTCAACTTTAAGTTAACATTCTTACATTGAAAAATATCAAGAAACTTTTATGTCAACAATCTTTTTGAGCCTATTGAATATTCTATATTAAAAAATTGAATTTGAGAAATAAAAGATAATTAACATATGCAGATTGGGTTTATAAAATGTTATGCTTAAGATCACCTTTGGAGTTTTAATAAATTCAAATCATTTTAAGGAGTGAAAATTAGAAAATGTTTATAATCTTATCATGATAATATTTTCAAAAGAATGATTAATCGAAAATTAAATTTAGGAATTATGTAAGAAAGTAAATGATATTAGGAGAAACAAGAGAATAGTTTTTAAAAGATTATCTAATTCCTCTTTTATAAATTAAAATGATACCAGAGCTGTTAATTTTAAGAGAATAAAAAGAAATTAAGAAATTGATTCTTATCATTAACTAATTTTAATTATTGTTATAAAAAAATTTTTGAATTATCATTTTTCTAAATATTTTCTAATTTAAAGTTATGACGAATCCAGATCCCAAGTTATTAAAAACTAAGCATCATCGCTCATATAACCAAATAAAAAATTAGTTCCAAATTTAATGGATTATTCTGTTATAAACTCACCAGTTTCAATAATCCTAATCAAATTCACATAATTGGCATTCTTACTAACCAAAAGACATTTAGACTTAATATATTATTAAGGAAAACTATAAAAACCATCTTTGCCTCCATTCAAAATAAATTCTTTAGTTTTAGAATATTATTTATTATTTTTATTCATTTAATAAATATACAATTATTCTATACCTTCTGGCTAAAATACAAATAAATTATCATTTATAAAACATAATCTACTACCATATATTTATAGCGTTATTTTTTATATTACTACCCATTTTGAAGTTTATTAAGACTGTTCTAGAATTAATATCAATTTATCACTGCCACAAGATATTAATTTATTTTATGATTAATTTAAACTTAATCCAAGTACATTCTTTTTATGTTCAATAATTGTTTGATAGCATAACCATGAATTTTTCTTTTTCCAAAATTTAATAGAGCAGTCATTACTGCCAGAAATTATCATATCTTCATTAATATTCTAAACTAAGCTATTAATGCCTTGTGTATGCCCATGTAATTTTTATTAACATGCCCAATTATTGTTTTTATTCAGAGACCAAATTATTATATAATTATCTTAACTTCCTGATACGAATTAATTAGAATTCTTAAAGAAATTTAAAGTATTAACATACTGTGTATGATTATTTAAAACTTGAATTAGACTTAAAAAATTTTATTGAAATTCATAAACTTAAATTTGATTGTTACACCCAACTATTAATTGTGAACAATCTTTATTCATTGTTATTGCTTAACAATATTTATTTAATTAAATTAACCTCTAGTGTATTAATTAATAAGAAAATGGGATAAGGTTTAGCTAATCATCTATATGAATAATCTATTCTTCTTTTTGAGCTTTAACTTTCATTTAATTAAGAATTTTCGAATTAGTATACTGCATTTATTATTAAATTGAACCTATTGAATATTCTTCAATAAAATTTGATAAAACAATAGATTGCTTGTCTTTTTTTTCAAAATTTTATGATTAATTTGTTAAATTTTTAAGATATATTTTTAAATAATCTGAGATCTAGATAATTTGTAAAATAGATTATTAGAATTATTCAGCTAACAATTCATCCAATGTATCTAATTAACAGAAATCTGATATTAAATTTTCAACTTCAGAGTGTCTTGATTCTGTAAGTTATTCAAAATTAATGTCCTTAAAGGGAATTAATGTACTGAAAATACATTCTAAAGCTTATCTTCCTTCATAAATTTACATTTATATATCATTAAAGATTTACATTCTTTTCTAAATCCACTCTAATGAAATTAATTTTTTAATATGCTATCCATGACTAAATAAGCAAAAATTACAAAAATATCTATACGATTAACATTATTTGTCAATACAAAATCCTATTATTTTTTAATTGCGAAGGTCAGCTTCTGTACATTTATGATACATATTTTTATTGTTTTATTTAATCTTTTGTTAATAATATTAAAAATAGAATTTACAAATAAAAAAATCACTTCGAATTATTTAATAAAATCATACTTTATGAATAATTCAAAGTATAAAAAAAATAATGTTATATTGATTTGATTTTAAGTTTAAAGTTAATTATAAATAACAGGGGTTTATAATTGATGATTCAAATATACAATGAGAACTATATATGTTTCAAATCTTAAATTTTTTTTGAGTTAGAACATTTATCAAACCAATTTTAAACCATCAAGAATGCATTCAAGCCAATATCTATTTAATAAATTTGAACTTGTAGTTAAATTACATGTAAATTTAAAAAATCAATTTTGTTTTAAATTAGGAAAGATGTTCAAGATAAACAATTAATTTAATACAAAAAGCAAAACTAAAACCAAAGTTTATTCCAACAAACTTTCCTCTAATGAGTTTATAAATAATTTAACCATGCTGAGTTTGATTTTCAACTACTTTTTGTCAAACAATATAAAGTAATTCAATTCATTTAAAAATACAATTAATTAGTCCTAGTTAAAACTAGTTTATTTCTATTTTATTAAGTTTTGATTTAATATTTCATCCTTCTCCTTTATAACTTTAAAACTTTGAATAAGCCATTAAAAAATTCCCTGAATAATATGAAATTTTAAAATGATTTTAGACAGAAAATTACTTAATTTATTAGAAATTAAGGTATATTACATGAAGATCTCAGAAAAAATACAAAAATCAATGTTAATTAATGATACTAATAGAAAGAGATAGTAATGATAAATACATATAGTATCTAGATTTTAGTTAACACATTGCTAAGGATAAAGGGTTGTCAACATAGCTGAACCTTATAGATATTTTAAAAAATTTTTGGATACTACTTTCAAAGGTAAAATTCAAATCTTGATGAGAATAAATCCATGAATTTTTAATTCCTATAACTTCAATTCGTTATACTAAAATTAAAAAATATATACTTTAATTATTTATTTTAATTAGAAAGTTTAAACGATTAATTAGATATTTAATGAAAGAATAAATGAAGATAAAAAGTTATAACTTAATTAAACATTTATATAAAAATGAAAAAAAATTTAAATTTAAAGAACCTTTTTATTGATGATAAAATTGCAGAGCTCCAAAACTAAGGCTAATTAGAATACTAAGGTGTAGTTTTCGATTGTAGATAATTTAAATTTGAAAATATAAAATTTAATCTTAGATTCACTTAAGAAGGAGAAATTATATACACAAATTATTTAGGTTCAATTTTAAGAATGTAAGTTTAAAAAATTATAACTTAAGTGATTAATTTTAAAACCAGGATGAAGAATTAGATATCATGTTTAACTTAGACTAAATTTAATATCTTTAATGGTAGGGAAAATATGGATAGAACTTTTAAAAATTTGGAAGATGGATAGCCTTTTGGAAAGGTCATGCTTTACCAAAAGCTAGTGGATATTACTTAGCAGATGGAAAAAAGTCAAATACATGGAGTGAAATGACAAAGAATTACTGCGAGTAAAGATAAATATTAATATATATAGTTAATCATAAATTTATGAAGTTGGAGAATATTTTAATAATTAGAGAATAGGAATTTGGAAGTATGTTTGTGAGAATTAAGAAATGTAATAATTAAATATATGAATTATTGAATAGTGATGGGGGATCATATAATGAAATAGGTTTAAAGAATGGGAAATGGGTAGATTTGAGTGAGAATTTTAATAGGTATAGACTATTTAGATATTAAAACAATTTTAATTAGTTATAGTTAACTCACCTAGCAGGGAGAATATAAAAATGGAATAAGAGTAGGTATATGGGATACATATTGGAAGCAGGTTAGAGATAATGATAAATTAATTTAAATGTAAAAAAAAATATACTCATATTAATTAGTGCTGGAGGATATTATAATCTATTAGGATTGAAAAATGGTTAATGGGTTGAGTTGAATGATGATTTTAGAGAGTATTTCAATTCTTTTTATTATTCACAGTAATAGTTAAGTTATTTTTATTGGAAAATATAATTAAGGGCAAAAAGTGGGAAAATGGGATATCATTTATGAGGGGAAATGCATGTAAAAATTAATAAATTAGTATATTTATTATTAGTGGGGGTGGATCATATGATAATTAATACTTGAAGCATGGATAATGGAAGGAATTGAGTGATAATTTTTATAAGTATCCAATTTATTGATTAAGTATTTAGCGATAGTTAAGTAATATATGAGGGTGAATATAAAAATGGTATAAAATTGGTAGATGGAATGTTTATTGGAAATAATTAGAAGGCAATCATTAGTTTAATTTAATGTTTTAAATATAATAATTTTGAAATATTATAGAGGAGGGGGATCATATAATAACTTAGGTTTAAAATTTAATAAATGGATTGAATTATTTGAGAATTTTAGCAGGTGCATTTAAATTTATTATTATTATTAGTGCTAGTTAACTAATTCTTACAGGAGAATACAAAAATGGTCTAAAAGTTGGTAGATGGGTTGTTAGTTTGAAAGATGGAAAGTATTTTGAACAAATGTATAAATGAAACTATAAATTAGAGGAGGTGGTTGTTATGAAGAGGAAGATGGAACTCAAAATGGAAAATGGATAGAAATAGACAGAAATTTTGCTCTGTATTGAATTACTTATAATATAATAACTTGAAATAGTTGGAGCTAAATCATTTATTAAGGTACCTATGAAAAGGGTAGGAAAGTTGGCAAATGGAATGTATATTGGAGGAAGGAAGGGAAAGAGTTTAATGACTCGTTTAATTCTATTTAAAAACAATTATAATATCTATTTTTTTTAGTGGGGGAGGTGATTATAATTTATAAAACTTAAAAAATGGGTAATGGAGGGAGCCGAGTAGTAATTTTTACACGTATTATTATTATTTAATATAAAACTTAGTGACAGTTAAATTATTTATGAAGGTGAATATAATAATGGTAAAAAAGTTGGCAATTGGAACATTTTATTTAGATTAAATGATGAACCTTTTGAATTAATGTATAAAATTTAAATAATTAGTGGCGGCGGTTAATATAATTTGTTAAACTAAAAACATGGGTAATGGAAAGATTTAAAAGATAATTTCTATATGTATTATATTTAAGTTTTAAGAACTTAGTGATAGTTAAATTATTAATCATGGAAAATATGATAATGGTAAAAAAATAGGTAAATGGGATATTTATTGGAGAATTGACGGAGACTAGTAATAATTTTAGTGCATGTATAATTATTAAAAAATCTAATATTTTGTTTTAGTGGTGGTGGCTTTTATGATAGATTAAGCTTTCAAAATGGTAAATGGATTGAATTGGACGATAATTACTATCTGTACTTTATTATTAAATCGAATATTAGCGATAATTAAATTATTTATGAAGGAGATTATAAAAATGGTATCAAAACAGGGTTATGGCTTACAAAATATATGGGCCAATAAATGTATATTAAACCTTTTTTAAAGATTAGTGGTGGAGGATCTTATAATCATAAAAACTAGAAACATGGGTCATGGATCGAATTGAGCAATAATTATTAATTGTATGGAATATACTTTTATTCTTTATAAGGGATAATTAAGTAATATATAAAGGCGAATATGAATATGGCATAAAAATTGGAAAATGGTCTATAATGTAAAGAGGTCACAAAAAGAATTAAAAATTTAAAAAAATGTAAATAAATTTCTTTATTAAAATAACTCTAATATAGAGGAGAAAATTTCTATGGCCATTAAAAGTATTGAAAATGAATATAAATAAGATTTTATTATGTAAATTTTTCTAAATTAAATGTTTCATTTACATAAGAAGTGACTAATTTCTATATATATATGTATCTTTCCTCATAATTAAAATTTTTATTCTTAAATAAGATGCACTATAAAGGAATAATTTAAGGATAATCATTTTTATCTTTTCCAATATAAACATTTCATTTAATCAAAGGTTATATTTTTCTTAAAACTAAACTTATAAAAGCTAAATATTTGTGGGGAATAATATTCCGAAATTTCAGGGAAATATTACAATAGTTTGTTCATTCAGTTGTACAGCAATTTTCATAATGCATAAATACTGACTTGATTAATATTATTTTATTTTATTTTAATTGGCTGGTATTACAGATGAGCAATTCATAATAACCATAGAAAATTTTTAAACTTTTTTGAAGAATTGAATTATTTCACCTTGAAATAATTCCATATTTCAATAAAAGATGTGATTATCGAAAAAAGAATAAGTAATTTCAAAAAAAATTTACAGATTTTTGCTTATTTACTGAATTATTGAATCGGTTGATAAACTGCAATAATTCAAATTTTTTTAATTCTGAAAAAGTGCTTTTGGTTATCATCTAATTTTATTAGATTTTATATTCAAATTCAAATAATATAATTTAATAAAGAAAATTGAAAATTATTAAGCTAGAAACAGCTTTGAATTAAAAGTAAATTTTTTCTCTTCAAATATTTATTTAAAGAGAAAAATTATATAATTAAATGCACTTATTTATATTAATTTATTAAGGTTCAAAATATTAGATTTAAAAAATATATTTTAAGGAATTAAATAGATGGAAACTGCTCTTGTTTAGGATCTAAAAACTACTGAACTAAATTAAAATCTTAAGAGCAAATTTTTTGATTAAGGAATTATATAGAAATTAATCAATAAATAAAAAATTAAGTTGTTAATTTTCTTATAATATGATAAAAATTTTAAATAAATTGAATAATACGATGAAAGACTGTCTAAAAATAATTATGAATTATTCAAAAATAAATAACAGTGTAATACTTATAATTAGATATTTTGATTATAAAAGACATTTCAAATATTAGCATTGATTAAAAAATAATAAGAAGGTAAAAGCACATTAAAAAGAAATCATCATGTTGAATTAAAAATATAAGCAGTACAAGCAAAAAAGAAAGATTAGCAGAAAAAATATTAACTTATTTATCAAAAGGCCTTTTAAAATTTATTTTATATATATAAATCAATTTGGATAATTAAATTAATTATTTCCAAATTATATATCATTTATGTAATAAATCACTGCGTTAATTTTAGATTTTGATTTTCCTTCTTATTTTCTGCCTTTGATTGCCATAATTTTGATACTAATTTAATATCACCTTGATATTTTCCTATTCTTGATGGAGTTTTTACTTCTTTAACAATAGTTCCTATATAATTAAAGTTAAATGATACCATGTTATTAATCTGAAATTAAGATAGCAAAAGTTTAATCCTATAAATTTTCATCTGAGCTTAAGGATGCATAATCAAATCTACCTCTTAAATCAGTGTAACCATCCTTATAAAAATAGCTCTCTCCAGTTTTTTATTTAATGTAAACCTTAACATAAACTTTAGATAATTATTATCCATTTAAATCAAATACTCTTAATTATCCACTGTTTTCCATAAGATTAATAATCAATCCATTTGATTAATAATTTAAGAAACATTTTTTATTAACACCATTTACTTATATATGGAGATTATCTTTTTAGAGGTGTTCTGGAATATCAATTTCTTATTTATAGACTCTAAAAAATAAATAATAAAAAATTACTCTCCTTCCTTTTAATTTTCTAATTTCATAACAATTTCATGATTAGGTTTTGTAACTGAAAAATCTTTTTTTCTATTTAATAAGAATGGGTCGATGGAAAATAAAATTTCCAAATTAAATTTATAAAGCATTATTGTAACATGCTAAAGATTCGAATAAGTAATTTATATTTTAGATCCTTAAATTTCACATGATAGAGTTTCCTCTTTTATGGCCAATTACTTATTTAAATTAGTATTTTAAGTTCCAAAATCTTTTTGATCTTCATCACCATCAAATTCAGTTAATAAGTTTGCAATCTCATAAAATAGATTTCTCCAATAAATTACTGGATAATTCAAATATTTTTCGCATATTCTTCTAGCCTCTTGAAAATTAGGATATCCTTAATAAAAATCAAAATATGCTTAAAAATAATCATATTGCAATTCAGAATTACCATCATTTAAGGGTAATTGGATAGAAGAAAAAACTTATATTGCTTCTGGTATTCGTTCTTATAACAATAGATAATATGAGAATCCTAATTTATCAGAAGTAGAATGAGTAGGCTTTTCTATTAAATATTATAGATAATCCTTGTGTTGTTTTCTTAATTCAACATTAAGAATTCCTTTTTCATCACTTTTGAGTTTATGAATTCTCTTAGTTATTAAGGGATAATATTCTACCATTTTAATATTATTTATTTCAAAAAGTGAACATTTGAAGTACTTAATAGAATTAAATTAATCTTGAACATGTTTTTAAGCAAAGAATTCTATTAAACCTTCTTAATCTGCATGATAAACAGAATATTTAAGAATTTCAGAATCTTTAAATTTTTTGAGTTTATAAATTCTAAGAACTTTTGAATAAAAGTCTTTATCTGAATATAGATATGCGATTTAAGTTGGTTTAAACACTTTTTCATCAAAAATGTTTTTCGTTTCTAAAAATGTTAAGATATTAGCTTTATTTCCTGTTCCTAAAATATCTTCTATTACCTCTAAATTAGGATTGGCTTTAACATTTACAACATTAAATTGATAAGGTAACGCTACAGCAACAACTTTATCAAAAATAGTTAAAGAAGCAGGATGAATTTTGAAAGTACCTTCTTTTGGAAAATACCAATAATATGAATATCTTTCTGTAGATAATGAATTGCAAGAAATATTGATTGATTTTGAATAAAATGTTGATTTAATTGGTATTGCTCCATTTGGTATCTCTAAAAATATTTAAGCATTGATATTTTCATTTGAGAAATTAGAAATTATGATTAATGATCCATAAATGTGATTAGTTAAATATTCTTATGACGATAAGAATTCTTATTTTTTATTTTATTCATCAAAGTATAATTATGTAATAAGTATATCATTTCTTAATGAAATATCAACTTCTTAAATTTCTTTGCTATAATAAATTAGATTTGATTCTGCAATAATTTACATTCCTTTTTCTTAAAATGAATAAAAGTTTTATTTGATATTTTAGAATGGCAAATCTAAAACAGATAGTATGAATACAAATTCAGAAAAAGTCGTATAATGAATAATATCAGATGTAAGAAAAGAGGAAGCACTAAGAATTCCTTAATTGAGTGAAAAGTTTGCTAATTATAAAAAGAATTAATTGATTTTAATTGGGATAATATTATCTTTGTAATAGTAAGAATGTCTTTCTCCAAATTCTTTTGTTTTTTCAATATTTTTATAATTTTGAATGTATTAATGTCTTAATTGATTGTAATAATCATCATCTTTTGAATCATATTATAGATTTGATTTTTTCTTAGATAAGTTTTATGTATTTGATTTTTTTTTATTTAATTCTTTATGAGCTTTTTCTATTGTTGTTGATTCACTTGGTAATATTTAATCATAAAAAGCTGCTAAACCTTGATTACTTTTAGGAGGAGGACAACCTCCAGGTGGTGGTGGTGGAGGTGGTCCACCTAAAGACGATCCAATTAAACTACCACAACCTGGAGGAGGCGGAGGTGGTGGTGGAGGTGGAAGTTATTATACTCCTGATACAATCTTCTGTTTAATGAACTAATTATTTTAATTGTTTGTATTGTTGTTTCTCTATTATTAAGCTTTTTAAGAAGTTAAAATTGTATCAAATAAACGTTCAATATGATTTTAATCTATTTTAACAATCTCATAATTTTATTACAAATAAGTATATATATTTTATGCTTAAATCTTATTTGGTTTTATTTCTTAAAAATAAAATAACAATAAAACTTATTCAATTGTATTTAGAGTATTAAAAATTTAAATATACAAATATCTTTCTAATTCTGCATCATTTTAACATAAAAAATTATCAACTAAATTTTTTTCAATTTTATTCTTAATATAATTTAGTACATAAACTTCAAAATAAGGAGAATCTTTGAAAAATAAAAACAAATTTAATTCATCACTTTGAAATTCATCATATAATTAATGTTTTTATTCTAAGGTTTTTATATTCCATCTTACTAAAAACTCCCATTTTTAAAGATCTTTGTCTCTCAAATTTTTTCCATTATTATTCAATGATAACAATTCTCTATAGACTTTTTCTAAAGAATCAATTATTTTTATTTATGTTGCTGTTACATCATTAATGTAAATACTTTCCCCCTTCCTTATTGCCTATGAATTTCTCGATGTTGTGTAACATTTATCTTAATTAAGATTGGTCTAATGTTCAAGACTTCTTGTGTTAAGTTAACAAAAAGTTTATGAGATTTATTAAAGTGCATAATTATAATCATTTATAGCACAAATAGTAATTTAAGAATAAAAATTAGGAATTTCAAAACAGAACTCTTAATCTTCTATACTTTATCCATTTAATTCTAATGTAATTAATTTTCCAGGATATTTTAAGAAATCTAATTTACAAAAAATAGACATAATATTCTAACATTCTCCTCTTTACAAATAACCAAGCTTATTACCACTTTAAAGGAGTTTTTTCATTAAAGCATGCTATTTTTTCTCATCTTTTAGTTATTCTTTTTCATTAATACACTCTCTTATACATTATCTATTAAGTAAAAGTTAAGGCTTTTCTAAAGTATTCCCAATAAATGTTTCCTATTTTTTTCTACTTTCTACATATTGTTCTTCATCTGAAATTTCTGTATTTGTTTAGGATTAAAATTATGTTTAAAAAACTTCAAATTCTTCTTATTTTTAAGATAAGAGTATATTTTTCATATGCTGAATAATTAAATCTTATTGCGTATAAAATGTTTCAGCTAATACAAAAAGGGTTACTGGACTATTTGAACTTATCTTCCCTACAATCTTTGTATTTTACTCTCCTTTAACTTTTTCAACATTATAGAGAGATATTAAATTGCTAAGTTATTAATCTATAATTAATTTATTTTTGCTTATAAAAATATCACTATCCTATTTTTAATATCCTTCATAAATATGAATGTCAACCTTATAAGATTAATTTTGAACCAGTAATTACAATTCATATTATCCAGGTTCAGTTAAAGTAAAACTTAATTAATTCTATTCTTAAACACAAATTGAAGATAAATATTCAACGACTTAATTCTTTTCTATTTTGTATAAGAAAATTTTATCACTTTCAACACAAATAGGAATAGTTATTTTTTATCCAGCTAAAATTTTTATTTAATTGGGAATATTTTATAAATCTACTTAAGAAAGAATCCAATTTCTCGGACTTTGGTTAATTGATTTACAACCAATTGGTTAAGAAGTAACTACTAAAACATTTTCCAATTATCCCAATTCTATTTTTCCATTTTCATCAGTCTAAAAAATTTCAGTATATTATTAATAATGATTAATTTAAAATGTTAATTTTAACTAAACATTTTTTTTAGGTTCTCCTCCTATACCCAATACATATAATTAATATCCTTAATCTTCAGTATGTTATAAATATTAATTGTTAAATTATTCTGTTTAAAACTATTCTTAAAGTATAATTGAATAAGAATCTTTTAAAGTATTTATTTAATTTTTATTTATCATACTTTTAATTTAACAAGTAATTGTAATGTTAATTTATTAAAATTTAGTAATTGGTATGTCTATTTCATAAGGCTTATGATCTTCAAATTTTATATTATCAAAAGTAAAAATAGTTGGATTCATTTCTTCATTATAAATAGTTACTAAAATAACAATATTTTGTAAAAGTTTCAAACTAATTATATTTTAATTCCCATAAAGTCTTGGGAATAATAAAATCTTTGCTTAATTTCCTATAATTAATGATTCTTCTGAAACTATACCAGTACATTTAAAATTATATGATTCCTCTTAAATTTAGATTTATTATAAATTAGCATATCCTTCATGAAAAATTATGACTTTTTAATTTTAAGAGTAATTTCCAAAAGGAATCAGGATTTCTTTTCTCTGCTTATCTATATTATAAAATTATTTATCTAACCAAATACCTGTTTAATCAGAACAACATATTTCTAAGTTTTCATTCAAAATTTCAAAACAATGACCTGACGAGACTATTTTTTTTTATCTTAATTAGAGATTTCCTTTTTAAATTAATGCTCTTGAAGATAATCCATTTCCATAAAAATCAATAATAAATAAGCCTCTTTCTTTTTGAGTTATTTCTGGAAATTCAATTTCCTCAACTCTTTTTAATGTTGGCGTAAAATCTGATGAAAAATCAAAAACAATTTCATTATTTGGGATTAATCCCTTAAGATTAAGATTTAAGAAATCTTATGAACTATCTTAAAAATAATAATTTAAAGTATTTATTTCAAATACTTTAATTGATAATTAAGGGATGTTTTTTAAAGAAACCATGATTTTTACTTATTCCCCATGTTTAAATTAACTTAATTTTGTTTATTCCTCAAATTCAATATATTTTTCATCCTACAATTTTTAGATTTCTCTTTAAGTTAAAATTGAATTTATATTAGGAACTTCTTTCCCTTATTATAAATACAATAGTGCCTTAGTTTTTCTCAAATAATGCTCCTCAAAATAATTCTCTAATTATTCCTATTCCATATTTTATGTGATGAAATATTCTATGTGTTAATAAATAATTTCGTCATAATTAATTGGTATAGATAAGGGACTAAATAACAACTTATTTTCAGTTAAGCTATCTCTTACACTCGAATTAAACCCAACAAAATGTTTTAATGGCATTTAAACATATTAAAGAAAAAGCTTTAGATCATATTTTCTCTATGCATTATCTAAAATAAAAATTATTTTATTTACTTAAATTCAAATAATTTATTAAAATCAATGAAGTAAACTGAAATTATTTAGGCAGATTCTTTTACCATTCATCAATTTATCTTAAAATTTACTCTTAAATTGAAGCATCCTGATCATAAAATTTAGTAGAACTAAATCTTTTACCATAATAACTAGTAATGAAATCCAAATTATTTATTATGCTATCATAAACCTTTTATAATTCTTCCATCTATTATAAACTCATTGCGGCAAAAATGTTTCCTAATTAAAATTATCCTTACAATAGTCTTTGAAATAATGGAATAACAAACTCCAATCTAAAATTATATATTATAGTACCTTTCTAAAACTCTTGATCTTGCTAGAATGTTTAAGTATTCATAAATCCATTCATCATTACACTTTATAATTTATTCAAATTATAATTATCTCAATGCATAGACGGAGAATTTCTTTAAATCATTATTTTAATAAATTTTTTGCAAATAAGTATTTAAAGATATGTTTTATTGATCCAATTTAGATTTGTATTAACGAATACCTTTTTGATCTTCTGTCTAATTATTTGAATTTACTTCAAAATCATGTTAATTATCAATTGTGATTGATTTATTATTGAATTAAAGGTGTAAAAATTTATCATTGATATTTTACATTATTTTCTGCCTTTTTATCTAATTTTCTTTTGTATCACATTCTTACAGAAGACTTTCAAATTCTAAAATAAGAGATCTGAATTCAATATTTCGTAAATTTTCTAATTTTAAATACTTTAATAATTTTCCCTAATCCTCAGTCAATCTAGATTTTTATTCATTCAAGGATTTCAAGAGGGTATAATATATCTATTCCTGGGATCCTTTTACTAAGGTAGAAAGAGCTTGATCTTTGGATTAAAGTTAAAATTTCTCCAAAAATTCTATATCATTTGAAGACATTTAGAATTAAACAATAATTATTAAGTTTTATATTATTCTTACTAGGCTTTGTTACAAAAATTATAGTATTTAAATTTTGAAGAAATAATTAAGTTGCCACGTATGGAGTAATAAAAAATATAAATATATATAGAGATTTTATTATATAACTTATTTTTATTATTTTTAAGGTTATCCTAAGCATATAAAATTGCTTAATGTTATGAATAATAATCAATTATTAAATCTCAATTCTTAAATTTAAATCTGAATTTATAGGATATATCTATTCGAGAATTTACTATTGAGAAATTTACAATATTAATTCCCTCATTATTATTCTAGGAAATTTTACTAATTCCATATAAGCTTACTTTCTTAACGATTTACAAGCAGAAATAATTTGTATTTTGAATATCTAAAAAGAAAACTTTTAACAAAATTTTGAGTAAGCTTTAACAAGATTAATTTAAATACAAGCAAATCTATGATAAAAAAACTTATAAAAAATTACATTTTCTAAATATGTACTTTATTATTAGCAAATCTAATATCATAATTTCATATTTTAAATCATCAATAGATAAATTTTCAACAGATCTGTAAATATCGTGCAAAAATTATAAAAATGAAGTTATTTGGCCACTCACATTTGAAATAAAAAGAAAAATGATGAGTAAAACTTCTTAAAAAGATGTAATAATGTTATAACAAGAAAATTATTATTTGACAAATTCAGAAAAATTCTTAATAAAATAGATTAAAAGTAATTTAAATAAGTATATAAATTATATAAGTTGTTAAATGTTAATTATTATTAATAGAACTGTTTTAAATAAACATTTTTAATAAAGTTTAAGAGTAAAAATAAGAATTTTTGAATAATTGGCTATTAATTTTAAAATCAAATAGATGTCAAAGATCTTAAAAAATTTTTAATGCTCGTTGCTGTTTTTTGATTGATTCTTCTATGATTATTTTCTAAATCATTGATTTGCAGAATTAATTAGGATTCTAATTACTATATATTATAATAAATATAATTTACAGTTAATTGTGATAAAATAATGTCTTCTGAGTACCAGGATTGAGTAAATATAAAATTAAAGTTAAATGACATTAATCCAAAACCAATGGCTGCAAAGATTGGAGAACTCATCACAGATTTAAAAGCAAATCTTCTGCCTAATAATGCAATAATACTTAATCCAGTTGAAATATATCCAGCATTTTACTAAATTGGATTTATTCTGACTCCTACTGTTTTCTTAACATTTTCAGAATATTATTCAAAACTTTATTTAGATATCTCTAATATTTTATTATCACATAAAATCTTAAATAACTAAAGACAACCTTCAATAATAGGTAAATCCTTTTCTCTTGTATTTTGAACACTTAGATTTAAATCATTTATCTTTTATTGTGAAAATATAGATTCTATTTTTTTTATTATGGCATTTTTAATATTTTCATTCAATTTTAATATTTTGATTTCTAATTCAATTAGTGTTTTTAATGCTGAGGTGCAGGTTGAAATAATCATTTTTTAACGATCTTCTGATGATTTTGGTATATTATATTTAAAATTTACTGTAATTTAATTTAAAGCATCTTATTTAAATATATTTATCCAATCAAAATAATGATTAATTTAAAGATCTATGAAGTTATTAATTACTTCTTCTAAATTTTCATATAACTATGTTTCCATATTAATATATTAAGAGTTGATAACAAATTCTAGAAAGATCAAAGATTAAGTTATTTAAATATAAATATCTCCATAAAAAGCTTCACAAATTTCCTTTTTGATAGATTAAGTTAATTAGTTGTTGAATCTTTCATAATCTTAATTTTATAAGAGATTTGGGTTATTCTTAATTTTTTAATCGCAATATTTTTTACAATCATCTATTGTTATAAATTATTCAATATCTCTAAAATCTATAAAATAAGATTAAATTAATTTATCAATAGCTTATTTGTTACCATAATTTAGAATTCTATATCTCATAGCTCTCAAAGCAGATATCTTAAATATATTATTCTAACTTCCAATAATATCACTTATTTCTTTTAATATAAGATCAATATTTTTGTCTTCAGATCCTTTCTTTTCATCATATTTATTAAGAATAAAAAACAATGTAGCTATTTGAGACTTATTAGATATTAATAACTATTCATTGCTTTCTTAACTATTATTTGTACTGGCTAATAATTGTTGTTTTTAAATTTCTTAAAAATCTTCAACAATTATATCCGATAAGGAACTATTTTAATTATTTAATCTTTATGATTAAGCTTTAGGTGTAAAAATTTTAATTATTTGATTTTATAATTCTTTATCATTATCAAATGTAGTGTAATTGCTAATCCATAGATTAATTCTGTGATTATTGCCAATTAATTATTCATCAATCAATTAGAAATGGTTTTCATAAATTTTCTATTCACTAATTTTGATTCCCGGTCTTTATATAATGAATAAGAATACGTATCAACAAATACAATTCTACTTCTCAAATCAAGAGGAAGTTATTGATGAAAAAGAGAAGGAACTTGAAGATTGACAATTTCAAATTTTTAATTTTATTACATTTCTAATAAAAGTGACTGAGCTTAGTCTAAAGAATTGATAACTTAATCATTTAAAAGAATTCTTTCATTGTATGAGATTAGAATCATACTCTAAGTGCACTCTTAATTTCTAGAAGGCAATATTTATTAACCCAAAAGGGAATTTATGAAAGTACTTTTTCCTGCAGAAGTAGTACCTAAAAAAACAATATAAAATATAAAGACTTTGCTTACATAGAATTTTGTTGATTAAACATAATCCCTTAAGTCTTTGAGTTAAGAATTAATCTGTTAGATAATTTCATTAACATATTGACTATGTTCGTAAGGCAATACGTTTAACTTCTTTTAAAATTCTTCAATCTTTTCATTCATAGGGCTAAAGAATTAGCTTTCCGTTTGCTTTGGCTATTCTCTATAGAAGATTTTCTTCAATAAATTCATTATTTAAAATATATAATTCTATTAAAAAAAAGGAAATCAAGTTATCTAAACTTAATATTCTTTTATTTTCTCATATATTCATCACATTCTTTTATAAATTAGAAAAATTTATTTTTATATTTTTCTTTTAAAATCTGCTGTGATTAAAATATTAATATAATTTTCATACATATGTTTCTGTATATTTAACACTTATAACTTCCTTATTAGTAGATAACATATATAAATTATCTTTAAAAATTTGTTTGTATTCTTTAAATTTATATAACATTTTCTCCTTCAATATCAACTTGTAAGTTTTGATCTTAAATTTCATTAGTATTTTTAATTTTGTATACAATGTAATCATTAAAAAAGATTTTAATAACACAAAATAAAATTATAATCTTAGTATATTTCAAAATGATCAAGACTTTAGCTTTGGTTATAAGTATCATTTTTAAAGCAAAAACAAAATAAGAATATTATTTAAATTTCAATTACAGAAAGAAAATGTATCAACATGGAACTGTTGATATATTATTTTCAATATAAATTCTAAAGAATATAGAATATACATAATTTTTTCTCTATTGGGTTTGATTTCTCTAGCTATTTCTCAATTTCAAGATGTGGCTAATTAATTTAAATCATTTGTACTAAAAGTTAAGCTTTTACAGCTAAAACAAATGGCTTAAAAAAAATTTGTGGAGATGTTCTAAAATTGCTAATATATTTTATGTCAATTTATTTCTTAACTCATTTTTTGGGTTAGTTTTTATTATGATTATTTTCAACATAAATGATAAATTGCATCATTAAAAAGATTGGTCAAACAACTTTATTCTTATTAAATGTTATTAATGCATTCATAGCTTTGATACCATCTTTGATTCAAGTTTTCATATCAATTATTTACTTGAATTTACCCTTTCTCTATAATTAATGTTAATCTTCAGTAACAGCTATCACGACTATTATTTTTAAGTAAAAAATAATAAAAAAAAAAATATTTTTTAGAGTTTTAAGGCCGAAATTTGATGACTTTAATTTCCTCTTCTCTTTGATTGTAAGATCTTATATTATTTAGTTGATATTTTGATTATAGAATTTGGGTAATTTACACTTACTTGAATAAATTTATTGTTAATAAATTAAAAAAACAACAAGTTCTAATAATAATCTTCAAACTGATCTATAAACAAGTTTAAATTTTAATTAAACAATTTATTTTGAAGCAAAAGCACCTCCAACAATTTAAGTTAATTAACTTTTTGGATTAAAAATGTTTTTTAAAAAGATTATTTAATAGTAGAATACTTTAAAAAAATTCAATATTAAATGATTAAAATAGTATTTTAATAAAAGCATTGACTATTTATGAAGATTTTAAAGTATTAAATAAATTATTCTTTTTTAATTAAAAGAAAAAATCATATCGTTTTTTAATAGAAATCAATATATATAAAATTAAATATATGAGAAATAAATATAGTAAAAAAAGAGATGATATTATAAATATGTTATAATAAACACAGAAAAACATTATATTTATTAAGATTCAAAATAGTATTTAATATATTTTTCAATTTTCACCTTTAATTTCAATATACTAGCTGAAATTTGAATAAAAATATATTCTTACATTTTTTAGAATCCTGCTTCCATTTTGAATTTATCTCTTTTCATCACATCCCAAATACCAAACTTTTTATCATTTTTATATTCTCCAGTAAATATGATTTATTCTTATCCAATTCCATCTCCAAAATTATCACCCAATTCTATCCAATAACCAATTTTATTTGAATTTATAGTATTATCGTCTTCTTGATCTACTTTATATATTCCACCACCACTTTAAAAAAAATATAAATATTGTTTTTACATCAATTATTTCTCTTTTTTCCATTCATCCTTAAAATAAATAGCCCATTTACCAATTTTCTTCCCATCAAGATAATTACCACAATAAAAAACCTAACCATAACTAATAATATAAATTTATAAAATACCAACAAAAACAATCAGTTATCTCAATCCATCTACCAATCTTATATGAATTTACAATTTCATCTCCTTCTTTTTTAAAATCATATAATCCACCACCACTATATATAAATAATTCATATTTATATACATTATATTAATATTTTTTGTCCATGAATCTATGTAAAATATATCCCATCTTCCAACCTTTTTTCCATTTCGATATTCACCAATATAAGTAACAAAATTACTTCTAATAATTTAATATTTTATATCAACATACTTGCAAAACCCTTCAAATAGTTCAGTCCACTTTCCAATTTTAATCGATTCTGTAAATTAACCATCTTGTTGTTTTTCATCATATTAACCTCCACCACTAAAAAAATTATATTCAACTAATTACACTAATTGCTTATCTTCATAATTCTTTTAATACCAAATGTCCCATCTACCAACTTTTGTACCTCCTTCATATATGCCATCATATATAATTTAGCTTTGCCTAATAATTAAATAAATTATTAAATTCAAATAATACCAATCATTAGGTACAATCCATCTACCAATTTTAATTCCATTTTTATTTCTTTGATTTTAATAATATTACCCTCCACCACTTTAATAAATTTATTTATCTTACATAATTTTTTTTTCTAAATAAATATCCCATCTACCAATCTTATTTCCATTTTTATATTCTCCATGATATGTGATTTAATCACAACTATTATTTTTATAAGAATTAAAAATACTCCCAAAACTTATCACTTAAAACTATCCATTTACCATTTCTTTAACCTTTTGCATTATAATATCCACCACCTCTTATAATAATTAATAAACATTAATACATTTTATTTTTAAAATATATATAAATCCATGGCCCTATTTTTTTATTCTTAAAGTATTCTCCATAACTCTAAACTTATCCTCGGCTATTAATGATAACAATTTTTAATCACTTACCTCCAATAATTTTCCAAAAGATCATTCCAAAAGCTTTCCTTTAATCCATCATTAGAGTAATATCCACCAACCCCTTCCATTTTCTATCCTTTCCAAGTTGCAGTCCACTTAGCAATTTTTTAAAGTTTCTCTCCATATTATCCAATCCATTTACAATTCTATATATATTCTAAATTCCTCGTCTTTTCTGGTCTCACTGAATAATCTTTAAACTAATTACTATTATTTTTTTTGGATGAAAATTTTACATTTTCACAAATGCTCCATCAGCTTCTACATACTTAATCTCCTTGTTTTCGTTTTTTATTATGTTGAATCTAATCTTAACAAATCTTTCTCCTTTGGAATCCCAAATTACACCTACATTTTCATAAAATATTCCATACTTATAATATTCTCCTGTTGATTTATTTGAGTTTCAGAAGGAGTGTATAAATTATTTTTTTAAATAATATCTAGAGCTTAACCTTAGCAAATGATACCCATTTTCAATTTTATATTATAATTAATAAAAGGACCACAATATCTTAAAAATTAATTCATTATATAAACAATGATTTTTATTTCTATTATTAATCAAGCCCATCAAAAATGTTAAACTTATTCAAATATCTTTTTACAAAATATTTTTATCATTCAAGATTTATAACTAACAGTTTAATATTACTACTTTAACCAAAAATATTAATTTATTAAAATGCCAACATTCATACTTATAATTTTTTATCAATATTTTGCTTAAAGAATAAAGCTGTATTAATTAAAATTTCCTAATGATAATATTGGAAATGAAAAGAAAAAAATTTTACATATGAATTGATTACAATAAAGCTTTTAGTGATGTTTTGATAAATTGTCTTTAATGAAAAATTACTTATTTTTTCTAAAATATCTTGGCATTTGAAGAAAAATGAACATTATTGCTATTTTCAATCAATAGTTTAATTTAAAGTTTTCAAATTTACCCTGGGTAAAGTAAAAGCTAAAAATTTGGAACAGAAATCTTAGTACATTTGAGCTTTATTCAAGATTATTATTAATTGTTACTCTCATCAGATTACAAAATAATTTCAAATTATAAATAAAATGCATATAATAGCATTTAATGAAATAAATAAAATATTATCACAAATAATTTGTAAATTGATAATTAAAGAATTTATAGAAATAAATGAAAAATTTGAGAATAGATGGAGAAATCTTTACTTAAAAGATTTAAGCAATCAAAATAGAATTACAAAGTACACTTATATAAGAGAAATTCAATTTGAGAAACTTAGTATTTTAATTATTAAATATTTTTGAAATCAACATTAGATGATTTTGAGTATAAGTTTTTTTAAGCCTTGATGAAGACTTAAAATTAATTTTAAGTTAATATTAAATGAAAGAAAGTATAAACACTTAATAATTTGTCCATAAATAAAAAATATGTCAATAAAGAAAAAATTAATAAAACGAAAACAAATAATAAACTTTAGACTTGAATTGAAATATTAAAATTCCAAGAAATACTAATGATGCATGATATTAAAAAATAATTTACAAAAACATTTTTTTAAGAAAGAATGTAATAAATAATTTAAGGTATTAAAAACAAATATAATATTAATTGATAAAACTATTGAAATTAAGTAAATTGATTATCACTCAACCAGTATAATTAAAAGGGACCTTCTAGTTGTTTTATTTCTAGAATAAATAAGTTTTGAGATGATTCGAAAGTTTATAAATTATTAATGGAATTCCGTTAATTTATCTCTTATTTCTTAATTTGATTATTTATGAATTAAAAATTTTAATATTTTTAGCAAAGTATATATATATGGGAATTTGTGAATCACATGCACAAGATAATGTAGAAAAATATTAGGATAGTTAATAATCTGTAGCTATTCAATGCTATAACATCTCTCAAAATAATAGAAATAAAGTACCAGTATTAAATCCAGCAACATAAAATTCCCTATATTTTAAAAGATCAATAAAGGGTCCAAATATAACTTTTGAAGATGTCCCATAAATATATTAGTTATGATAATTATAATTTTACTATTTTTTCTTGTACTTAATTATTGTGTATAATGTTTACGTTTTTTTATTGATAGCAATAGAACATTTTGATATGGTAAATAAAAAAATATTAGACTAACAATCTTAGTTTAAATCTCAAAAATTATAGATGAATCATTTTACTATATAATATTTAAACATCAATTCAAATGAATCTATTCTTAATATTTTATTTAATTATATATAAGTTAATCAAAATATACAATTGCGAAAATCGTTCTATTAAACTTTAAACTAGTCATCAAAGCTTATTTGAGATAATTAAATTGAAATTTTCAATTGTGTAAACAGATTATGAATATATTATTTATAATAACTAATAAGATTTTCTTCAAAATACCTTATGAAATTCTTTATTCATTAAGACATTCTTTTTGATTCTATATTATAATTTAACTTATTTATTATTTATAAAAATATATATATTTTTTTTTATATTTTTATTAAGCAACATGTTTGATTTTATATTTTAAAAAATCTAACATTCAATCTTTACTTATTCTTAACTATATCTAAAACTAAAATATTTTTTCATTATAAGAATTATGATTACTAGACAAACCTATTAAAAATTCAATTATGAAGCATTTCTTAGACAATTTTTAAGAAATAAAAGACATTTTAATTTTATTTCTTACCTATCCTTTTCTATGATTTTAATTGGAAAATAAATGATTTATCGAAAATTTTTGATAATTATCTCAATTTTCATTTCCATCCTTATTAGTATTTGATTTTGGCTACTTTAATTAATTTATAAATTAATAAATTTTAGCTAAGGAACTTTTTTATCTATTCACTTGGATTTAAGAGTATTTATTATTGAATATGTATTATTTTATGAAATAATACACCATAAATTTTAAGTAATAATTATTTCAAGTTGTACTATTTAGATTAAGATAAACGTTGAAAGCTGTTTATCACTAAACTAGGAAATAAAAATTGATTGAATAATTTAATTGTATAATTTAATTAGATGGGATTAAACACAATCATTTTCTAAATTTTTGCTAGTTCTAATATATAATTATTTTCTAAATGCCAATTTAGCAGAGTGTTTGAGTGATATATTAAAATTTTATTTTTTAATCTTTGATTCCAATGTTGAGTTATAAAATAATTATTTTATTTGATTCATCTCTAGTTAAAGATTAATAATTATATTAGGCAGACAATTATTGGTAGAATGAGACATGATGTCATATTTTGTTAATAATTATTCCCTCAATTCTCAAGAACATTCTACTATAAATATAAAATTTTTGACAATCAAATATCTGTGTATGAATCCGAAATTAAAAGGTATATGTTGTTGTATATGTTATATTTTTAATTATTTAGTCAATTAAAGGAAGATATTAGATAATTTTTATGCTTTAAAAATTTTTTTGTTCTAACCAATATTCTATATTAACAAACATATTAAAAATTTTGGATAAATAAATTCAATTAGATTATGTTATTAAATATATTTTATAAATTAATTTTATAATAAATGATGTTATGAAAATTTTAGATTTGATATCTTTATTTTCAAATTGCATATTTTTGAATAATTATTAAATTCGTACAGAACAAATATTTAATTTTAAAATAAACTGTAAATATTTATTATTATAGTTTAATAAATTATCAAAGCAAGAATAAAACAAATTCTTTCTATTTCAAAATCGTATTAAGCAAAATCTATTTTTTCATTATTAATTGTTTGAAAAATGATATAATATATATTTTTGATGAATATTAATTTTGTAAAACTTATATTAGATTCTTAATCTTACATATAATTTATATCTAAGAGAAAAAAAAATATGTTATATCTTTTAACAATTAGTAATTGCACGCTATTAGTACTAAAAATTGATATAAAATAAGAAAGAGAATAGTAAATTTTATCAAAGTATCATTTTTTTAAGTTTCGGAATTTTTTAGATTAAGATTTAATTTAGCTATGCAAGAATAATTTATGAATAGAAAATAGTATTCTATTTAAAATTACAAATTATTTAAGTTATAAAATTGAAAATAAAAATTTTATTATTAATACAATTATAGATAAATATTAGATTAGAAAACTATTTTAATAAATTATATAAGTCTTTGGATTTATAAATGATTCCTTATTTATTTCATATTTCAAGTATATGATTAGACTATTTCATCATTTCTAGCCAAGTATGGCATATATTTTATGGTTCTATTTTTGTTTTCAATTCAGCAGAATATAATTTAGTATTTAACTTATTCACTATTTTTTCTAGCCCTGAATTACGAAATTCTTTCGTACATGCAATAAAAAAAATTTTTTTTCTTATTTCATCATCTAAGCTACAAATTTTTTCTATTTCTGCTTCAGGATAGGGAGCTTAAGCATTTGAATACATTAAAATTATTGTACTAAATAAAATTTAGAATATACTTTTAAAATTCAATGTGATTTTTAATTAATAAATGAGCCAAATCAAATGCGTTTGCATAATTGGGTTCAAAATCTCCAGATTAAAGTGGTTCAATTTAATTTTTTTTAGTATTAGTTTTATCACCATTTATATAAAGTCTAGCTGTTTGATCGAATTTAATGAAACTAAATTTACTTTAATTATTCTTTTGATCAAATAATTAGGAAAAAAACACAACAATTCTTTTTAAAAAATTTTTACTTTGTTATTTTTATACTTAATAATTTAACATTTCCTGTTAAAATTGTTGCACTTCCTAAATTATCTCTTACCAATCATTATTGATTGAATAATTAAATGAGTCTTCTTATGAATTATGAAGCATAAATATATAATGATTTACATTTTATTTTAATTCCAAAATTGGTTCATAAATTATTTCTTAATTAGATTGATTACTTAATTGTTAACATATTCTTTATCCCATTCCATTATTCCAAAGTTTCATCATTTTTTTTTTATTTAAAATTATTTTTTCTTATTCAAGAGTTAAAAATCTCCATTCAGGATATTTTTATTTTAATTCCTTCCATTACATTTCCTGTTAATCATCCTAAATTGTTATTTTATGTTCGTCTTTAATTTCATCACACATATAAGTTAAAGGACGCTATCTGTTATTAAAAAAATTGAATCCTAAATATTCAGATATATAAATACCTCTCAACTGATGTCCATTATTACATCTATGTTTATGTTCCTATTTATAATCTTCTTCATCACATTTTCTTTTACAGAATGGACAACTTTATATGCATCCAATTAAATCGGAGCCTAAATTATTCAATTGTATTCTAACATATTAATCATTTAAGAGACTAAAAGATACTTTAGAATCATCATTCATAAAATGTTCTATTTCATTTATGAATTCTTATAGAAATATTTCGATATCATATATTTATAAATTACTTTATTACAAATATTTATCTATTCTAGGAATATCTATTTTAATTAGTATGTCAGATTGAAAAACATCTTTCATTTCTAATAAATCTATGTTTTAAATGTTTTTTCCTTAAATAAAATCCAATATTGTTTCAAATAGAATTATATCCTAATTAAAATTTTTATCTTCAACATAATCTACTAATAATTTTTTTTTGCTTGAATTTAAATTTAAAATCCTATTCAATAATTATTTACAATTATCAATTACCATTGTTAAGCATTAACACAAAAACTATTTTCCTGAATAAAACTTCTAAATTTCTTCTTCTAAACTTTCAATATATTATTGTGAATAATTTTAGATAAACTCTACTTATTTTTAAACATAAGTAATTGTTTATTCATCAATTTATGTTCTGTCTAAAATTTTTTCATCTAATTTTTCAATTAGTTTCTTTGATGTGGTTTTTTTCTGTTTAATATATAATAGAAGATTTTCTATCTTGTCTTCTTAAAATTTATTCTAAAATTATTCCCATACAAATTTTGCAAATTCTATAGATTTTTCAGTACTCAATTTTTTTTTGTCATTTAATATTAAACTAGAATAAATTAGATATTAGTTTTATCTTTTGTTTCCAAATTAATTTTCTTCATCTCTTAATTATTTATAATTTTCATGGCTTATAAATAACCAGATTATTACTATTGAATAATAATAAAGTTTTCTCTAAGATAAATAATTGAGGTTAACTCCAAAAAAAGCAAATTACTAATTAAAATTCTTGACTAAACTTTCTACTTTTTACATTGTTTAAGTTATAAAATTTAAATTATACTAATTATTTCCTATTTTATCTAACCTTGAAACCTTTTTTATTTCCAAAACTATTGAATCATAAATAAGGGAATACATATTTTTCCAGCTATTTCTTTCTTGTATGATTTTTTAAAAAATTTTTGGAAATTCTTCTTTAAATTTTTTGTAGTCCATTTCTTTAGAAGTTTTTTTTTTAATATATTCAAAATAAGGGTAAAATTTTTCATCTCTTTTAAATTTGTTTTTATATTCTAGTTATTTTGAAAGTATTATATATTCGTTCATCCAGCCATTATCTTGATCTATTAATACTTCTTCTTCTAAAAGCAAAAATAGTTTTGGGAGAGTTTTTTTTAAAGACTTTTGATCTTAATAGCTAAAATTATTTATCTGAGGTTTGTCGTTTATATCTATCGTTTAAATTAGTATTTCTAACTATGTCAAAACTCCATCAAAATTATCTTCATTCGTAGATGTTATTAAGCTTCTGGGTTATATCATTTCAGAAAAATGAGGTTAATGCGATTATCTAAATTGATTAAAATAAGAATAACTCGAAAAAGATTTCCTTTAATCAATAGATTGCAACAGCTTAGCTTTCTCAGTTGTATTATAATTTATTTAAACCTTTTCAAACAAATAAAATATTTAAGTTATTTCTTAAATAATCTAATCTCTCTTCTTACTTGTAATTATATTTATAAAATCTTTCAATAATTCATTTTTTATGTATTTTTATACTTATTTTTTTTTCATTACATGAAAAACTTCGGTATGGTAAAAAAATTATTTTGGTTAAATAATAGTTTGACTATCGCTAAACATTTTATAAAAATTTTCAAATCTTATTTATAAATTTGAATTGAATATGTGTTTATAGTCAAAAGAATGTGATTCTTCTGATAAAACATCATATTCTAATTCTTATAAATATATTTAAAAAATATCAAGACTTTTCTATTTTAATTCATCTTCACCCAATTATTAATAAATAAATTCTTTAAATTTATTAATGTATATTTCCTCATTTTAAAAATTGTAAGAATATTTATAATTGAGCTTTTTAATCAAAGTCAATAAATTAGTTGAAAAATCTTCAAATCTTTACTGATTAACCTTTAAAGTATCAGTCATATAATTCTTCCAAATATCTTCAAATTTCAAAAATATTTATTCCTCATTTGACTGAAAATATTTTAACTATTCTGGTTCTCTTTCGATTTATCTATAGTCTTGGATAATCTTTTAATTTATGTGTTGGTAGATCATTTTATTTTTTAATTTATGAATTTATTATTAAATGATAAATAAACCTTCATTTTCCAATTTAAACTTAATATCTTTTAATTTTTATTCAATCTTCTGTTAGGATTTTTTAGAGATTTAATTTTATTGACAATATATTTATAATTTTTAAAGAATTTTTTAACTTATGATATCATTATTTTATTTTAAATTTCGCTCCTACTCATTTTATAAAATTTAAAATTATTCTAAATTGCAAAAGTTATCTGTATTTTCTATCTTTGGAATGCTTGTATGAAAATTATATTCTTCAAATAATTCAGATAAAATTTTGTCCAAATTTTGATGTTCATTGTATTCTTTCATTTCCGAAAATTCTATTAAGTCTGGTAATTTTGAAACCAAATCCCAATCTTGCTTGACTTTTTTTATAAAAGAACTCCAAGTTTACAATTCAGATCCTTAATCTAATAATTTTTAGATGTATTTCTTAATGATATTTTATCCATATTTATATGCTTCATTAGAATAAGATTCAACATGTTTTTCTTATGTCCAAATATTATTATATTCTTCATTCCACTTCTCTGGAAAAGAAGCTATTCCCAAAATTTCTATATTTTCAATTTTTAGATCTAAAATCTAATCATATTTAATATTTTAAAATTATTTTTCTTCCTAATTTATTTTATTATCATTTTATAAATATTTGGTAATATCTTCAATTTGAATTAATAACTTACTTTTATCATTGGTTTGACTATTTTAATTAAAGCACCATGAAATCTATTTTTTAATAGAAAAATTCAAGTCATTCTACTGAAAAGTGAACATACATATTTCTATCAAATTTCTAAATTATAAATTAAGCTCTCCTTTTACATTAATAATTACTATGTCACTTATAGAAAAAATAAATAATGCTAACCTTTTATCATAATCAGTATCCTATAAATTAGGATTTTGTAGTCCTTCTGAATCTAACAATAATATGTAATCAAATTCAATATCAAATTAATTTTTATTTTATACATTTAACATTTAAATGTAAATTCCTTTTGTACATCTACCTATGCTTGTTAAAAAATGACACCCAAATATTTTATTCAATAATGTTGATTTTCCAGAACTTTATGGACCTAAAATGCTTATTACAAGAACCTTAATTTCCTTTAATTTAAGATAATCTCCTAATTCTTGGAATAACTTATAATCAATTGTAAAATCATCGCCATTTAAAAATTCAATAGGTTCTCCTTTTTAAATTAATTTACCCATTATATCTAATACATTCAAATTTTAAAATTTTCTTATTTTTATAAATTCTCTCCAAAACAATTCAATATTTATATTATTGAAATATTCTAATTGCTATTTTTTTTAAATTGATGATTCTTATTAAAATTGTTCACAAGATTTAATATTAAATATTCTAATCTTCTCCAAAAATGCAAGATATATTATATAAGAATTCTTTTGCCTAAAAATATCAACAAAATAATTCATAAGGGGAGATATATTTTCTTATTGTAATTTTTCTTAAAGTTAACTTATTTCTTTTTATTTTTCTGTTGATTCTTTTTATATTATTTTAATTGAATTATCAAGTTTTTCGTATTACATCTATTTATCTAATAATTCTTGCTTTGAAATTAAATTTGAATGATTTTTTAATGCGAAACTTAACTTTTCTTAAAAGAAAACTTTTTAATTTAAATTCTAATCTATCTATTATTGTTATCTAATTTCGTAATCAATTGATCTCATAAGGAATGCATCTGGACTATAGAAACCCTTTGAACTTTTTGATATAATCTTCATCTATTCATCTAATTTTTAAAAATGATCTGATATATATTAAATTTCTTCAAAATTATCTGATGAAAATAATTACAGCATATGTTGAAATTATTCTTAAGTATTTTAAAAATCATTTTAATCCTAAATAATCATTTATAGTATTTATTTTCTTAAATATGAAATTTCTCCATTTTATTGTTATTGATCCATTAATAAAAGATTATTAATTTTTAAAATTGCATGATTTTTACTTTTTTAAATTTCCTAATTTTTTTCCTTGGCATCTCTAATTATATAACATATAAATGGATTGATTTCTAACTATTTAAGTAGCTTTTGAACATAATTTCTATTCTCATCTAACTCTGAGTCTTATTTCATCTAAATTATCCAAAATTTGAAAAAAGGTAATATTTTAATTAATAAATCATAATCTAAAAATCCGTGCACATCTGCAATTAGAAAATTTCGAGTGCCATTGAATTCAAAATCAAACATCATATCTACAGTATTTTAATTTATATCAGATGTATCACTCACTTCAAATTTAGTAACTTTATAAAAAATTTTATTAATTAAATCAGTTTTTCCTATTTATTTTTATATCTTGCTTAAAGATAGATTTATAATTGGATATTGATCAGATAAAAGATAGAAAATGTTTTTATTTAAATAATAACGATCATCTAATTTATATGGATTTATAACTTAAGGATTTAAATAGATGAAAGGTACAGGATATCTTTTTGACTATAATTTTATTAGAATTACTTTTAATTCATCATTAGAATTATTATAAAGGATTTAAAATAAAGCCTTCAAATTTAAAGAAAAAGGAAATTTATTACAGTGTCTTACCTATTGGTTGATAGAATGAATTAATGTTAGGAAACTATCAGGAGATTCTCCTCTTTTAATTATATTAAATAGTTAAGGGAGCAGTTACAGAAACTTATTACTATACTTAGAATTAGTTATCCATTCTTTTATGATTTATTCATCGCTTTTATCTACTTTGGCAAATGAGATACTGAATTTTTCAATTGATATGATCTATTTTTGAGGAAACTAATTAATAGTTTAATTGTGACGCCAGATTTATAGAAATTTAAAATTTTAGCCGCCTTAACTGTTTGAAAAATTTATTAAGTATATAAGAGTTAAGATATTTATTTAAAAAATAAAATTTTCTTCTTTAAATTAATCCTTCACCCAATTTAATTACTATTATAAATCTATTTTAGTTTCAATTTAAAAAATATTTTAAATCATCTTTTGTATTCTGTTTGAATATATATTTGTTGATATAAATTTCCATGATTAATCGCTTTAAAGACTTGAGTTTTTTTTTAATTAAAAATACATCAAAGATTAAATCTGAATCCATTACTATTCAAAAATTTATGATGGCAATTAAATTATCTCTTGCATTCTTTAATTCATTATATCACAACAAATTATCTCTTTTTCTTTTTATTATGTTAAAAATATTTAGAAACAATTATTCTCAATTGAATCTTCCTTAAATTCAAAATAAATAACTTTTTTTAAAAAATTTTGCAAGATTTTGTCAAAGGAAGTACTATTCAAATTCTTAAAATTCCTTTCAAATGTTTCTTTTTTTAGTTTTGATTTATTAATCTTCTCATATATTTATTTAATTGAATCAACCAAACCTGAAGATTAAAAATATTAACCCCAAAAAAATAGAATCAAACTAAAATACAAAAAATCGAAATTATCATCAAAATTTTCGGTTAAAGAGAAATATTCAATCAAATTTTATTTTTCAGATAACTCATTCGTATTATTTATCAAAGTTTAAATAAATTTTTTTAAATTCTTAAGCATGTCTTAAAAGTTTTAAGATAATAATTGAAATAAAAATTAAATCTAAGGATATTCTAAATCATCTTTTAAACTACTCAAGTCATCTTAAAATACAATCTTACATTATTTATCTTATAATAATTTAACCATTTTAGAAAAGCCGATTTTATTTGATAATTAAACGGTGTGCAAATAATAATCGAATTCTTAAATTTCTTCTACTAGCAGAGAGCCAACTAAATCATGGATTGATTTATCAAAATTAATTCCTAAATAAAATAATTCAATTAATAAGTGTAGATACCTTACAAAACTAATTTATTTTTTATTTTTTTAAGTTTCAATAAGATCAAAAATCATAGAAGCCTTTTCATTTAATTAAGCTATCTTTGAGAATTTTTTTACTTATTAAGGTATCATATTGCATTCGCAAAATTGAACATTATTTAATTTCTCTAAAATAATATTATATTATTTAGAAGACAAGGCATTTTAATATATTTCTAAATAATCTTCTTCTTAGATATTAACTTAAGAAATTGATTGAAAATTATATGATTTATTAATAGTATCTAAGCAACTATGTTCCTACAATTAATTATTTAGAAAATTTAGTTTAAGTACTTTTTCTTAATCATCAAATTAATCCAAATGAGATTAAATATGTTTAGAAATTTCCTGATCGTTCTCATATACTCCGGCTTTAATATCATCTATAATGTCTGCTAATTTTTAATCCACAAATTAAGATTGCATCTAATATTAATATAAAAATAAATTTAATAATCATATATAAATTATGTAGAACACTTCTTCAGGTGTAATTTGATTAATTAAAATTAGGCTAAGCCATGTAAAATCTTTCTAAGTATGTAAATTTTTTTTGAAGTCAGTTATTAATTTCAAAAATAAAGAATTTATAATTTTTTTTTCAATAAAAAATATTCCTAGTTAAATGGTATAATTATTTCTATTATAATATTCAAATTATATAAACTTAGATAAGTTAAATGATATCTTAATAAACTTAGTAAAGATCAATATAATCTAGTAATGCAATAGTTTATTTTTTAAGTTTTAGTTCAAGTTTTATTTAATTGATTTGGTTTCTGCTATACATCATTGATCCTACAATAATAATATTCTCAATTTTCATTTTATTTTTTTATTTCATCTACAAATCTATATAAATTAAAATTAAGGCAACTTTATCTTAATATAGTGAATAAATAATGTAATAGAAATTTAATTTGTAAAATATTTATATAAATATCTGAAATATATAAATTTATTAAAAATTTTAGTTCTCTCTAAAAATATAATGCGTTCTATGAAAGTATAGATGACTGAAACAAACATAACTTGTTCTTTAGGGCATAGTAAACCCATCCTTTCCTATAAGTTAGAAAAAGATAAAAATTATAAATTACTATGTGAAGAATGTATTTTAAAAAATAATTATTCATAAATTTCTCCTTTTGATAAAAAAGTAGATGAAGTTTAAGATTTCTACTAATAGTAATTTGATGAATTTTAAAAAGAAACTGAAATTTATATCATGAAGATATAAGAGTTGGAAAATTAGTTATTAATTTTTAAAGATTAGATGTCAGCTTAAATAGATTAGATGAATAACTTTTGTAAGAAATAGATTGAAAATTTAAAGGAATTCCTAAAATTTCATACTTAATATAATTTTTAAACATAATTTGAAAATTATGAATAACAAAAAAATTGTTTTTAAAGTTAAGAGGAGAACATTAAATTTTTATGTTCTTAAATGATGTCAAAATTACGTATGTGTCTAAAGAAAATAGAATAAGATTAAGAAAAATTAAAAAAGAATTTTGAAATAATTAATTTACAATAAGATAAGAATCTGAATNTAGTAATGCAATAGTTTATTTTTTAAGTTTTAGTTCAAGTTTTATTTAATTGATTTGGTTTCTGCTATACATCATTGATCCTACAATAATAATATTCTCAATTTTCATTTTATTTTTTTATTTCATCTACAAATCTATATAAATTAAAATTAAGGCAACTTTATCTTAATATAGTGAATAAATAATGTAATAGAAATTTAATTTGTAAAATATTTATATAAATATCTGAAATATATAAATTTATTAAAAATTTTAGTTCTCTCTAAAAATATAATGCGTTCTATGAAAGTATAGATGACTGAAACAAACATAACTTGTTCTTTAGGGCATAGTAAACCCATCCTTTCCTATAAGTTAGAAAAAGATAAAAATTATAAATTACTATGTGAAGAATGTATTTTAAAAAATAATTATTCATAAATTTCTCCTTTTGATAAAAAAGTAGATGAAGTTTAAGATTTCTACTAATAGTAATTTGATGAATTTTAAAAAGAAACTGAAATTTATATCATGAAGATATAAGAGTTGGAAAATTAGTTATTAATTTTTAAAGATTAGATGTCAGCTTAAATAGATTAGATGAATAACTTTTGTAAGAAATAGATTGAAAATTTAAAGGAATTCCTAAAATTTCATACTTAATATAATTTTTAAACATAATTTGAAAATTATGAATAACAAAAAAATTGTTTTTAAAGTTAAGAGGAGAACATTAAATTTTTATGTTCTTAAATGATGTCAAAATTACGTATGTGTCTAAAGAAAATAGAATAAGATTAAGAAAAATTAAAAAAGAATTTTGAAATAATTAATTTACAATAAGATAAGAATCTGAATGCAATATATAAAACACCTTCTGTAAATTTAATAGATAAAGATGAAAGGTAGTTGGGTTGTTGTTATGCTATTTGTACAAATTATTGTGATAATATGATTATAACTTGTTGTGGAGAAAAAATTCTATTATGGAGTTTTATGAATGGAAAGATGAAATAATAGCATTAATTGGAAATACATGAAATAACATTAAAATGCTTAATATCTAGCAAAAAGAATAATTATTTTATTTCTGGCGATTAAAATGGTATTATAATATTTGGTAATAATAAATTCAAGGTGATTATAAAAAATGGAGTAATTAATAATATTAAGGCCATACTGATTAGATAGACTGTTTAATAATGAATAAAAATGAATCTCAACTTATTTCAGGAGGAAAGGATAAAAAAATAATAATCTGGAATATAAAATTTAATCCTAATTATTTAGAGAAGTTCTAAAGTTTAGAACTACATAAGAAAAGAGTTCGAGGGTTAAGTTTAAATACTTATGAAGATATGTTAGTATCATGTAGTAATAGTCCAAATGGAGGAGAAATTATTGTATGGGAACTTAAAGAGAATGGAGAATTTCAATTTAATCAATATGTTAATGCAAATCAGAATAATAAAGGAAATAAGATTTGTTTTTTAAAAAATGATTTATTTATATGGATATCAAATGAAAAAGTAGATTGTTTGATATACTTCTTTGAATTAGTAAATGAGAAATTTACATTAAATAAGAATAGATCTATTTAGTTGAAAGAAAATCATATACTACAAGATTAATCTCATTTCCCAATCATTCATAATCAAGAAATGAATTTAATTATAATAAGGCATAAAAATTATATTTATTTAATTCGAGAAAAGCAAAACGACACTTTTACAATAGATAAAGAAATCTCTTGTGAAGATACATCATTATATACATTTGGAACCATTACAAATGATGGCAAATATCTTATTTATTATTAAGGTTAATTCTAAGGCAGGTATTTTATCCATAAAATATCATACAATAATGAATCAAAAGACAGTTGATAATTTTAAAGTTTTAAATTTAGTATTTCAATTTTTTTTAAAATAGTTTAAAATAATCTGGAATTAGAATTCCTCTAGCAAAATTAAATAAATTAAAAAATAACATAATAATATAAAATTTTAAACTGATAATTAAAGTGTTAAAGAATATGATTCATTTATAAGTACCAAATTAACTAGAAAACCAGTATAAAATAAATAAATTTCTTCATATGAGTAGCATATTTTTTTAATTATACTTTATTTTTCTTATTTGTAAAGCAAATTTGAGTAGTCATTTGACATTCTTCTCAGTTATTTTTAAATTCAAATACATTCGATTGATCTAATAAAAGATGAAATTTTACTGAATTATAATAGGATTATCATAAGTTTAAGGAAGATTTGAAATTAAAAGATATAATTATTGAATAAATTTTTTTAATATGCATAATTAATCAATTCTACAAAAATTCTTAATTCTTTGCAAAATATGATCTATCACTTTTTAATCAGTTATCAATTCCCTGAATAAATTTTCTTTGAATTATTTGATTTAACTTTTTCAAAAACAGTATAATAATTTTAAATTAAGATCTATTTTTGTAAAACGATTTTCGTAAATATCTAATTAAAGTTCTAAATTATAATTGTTATAATTTTTATTTCAGGTTGATTAAAATCACAAACTTTAGATAGATTTATTAAATAGTATTGATCCTTTAGTTTAATCTATGAATTATTTAGTAGTTTCAATAAAGCCCTATAGTTATATTAATTTATTATTCAAATCATTTGATATTCAAGTGAATATTTTCATTTAAAAATTCAATTATTTTAACTTCTTATCTTATTCTTTTTGCTTAATTCAAAAATGTATCTGCATAATCTATTTATATTTCATTTTAAGTTGTATTTATTATTTTAATTATAAATCAATATTTTTATATAATGGAGGAAATATTACTTTTCATTTTATTCGCATTATCTACAGGCTCGTTTATGTACATGTTAGTTTGCACAGATTCTAATTCCAAAACTCCTATGGGAATGATTAGAAGGAAAGTATATACTTAAGGCCCTTTTATTTTAAAGTACAAATTGACTCATTAAAAAGAAAATTATTAGGAAATAAAATATTCATGAAACTTTCAGGTTTTTACAATTATGTTTTTTACACAAATAATCGATTGGGATAGATTGCATACATTTTAATATTCTGGATGGTATTTGCAATGTATACTAAATTTGGATTACTTAAACATTTTGGTAATACACCTTATGTGAGTCATATACATTCTATTTGTGGTAGTTTAATATTTATATGCTGCAATTACTTTTTCTTTAAAACATGCCTTACAAGTCCAGGAATAGTAAATAAAGAAAATAATAATGAATATATCAAGAAATACTAATAATACTATGATGAAATATAATATAAATAAAATACTACATGTACAACATGTAATATTATTAAACCAGCAAGAAGTAAACATTGTCGAATATGTAATGTTTGTGTAAGTAAATTTGACCATCATTGTATTTGGGTTAGACAATGTATTGGATAGAATAATTATAAGTACTTTCTACTATTTTTATTCTCTCATATATTTTTAAGTCTTTATGGGGTAGTTGCTGGAATATTTTGCTTATTAGGAATAGCAAAAAAGTAATCACTATTTAAATTAACATATAAAAATGCAGTAACTGGAGAAATTAATTAAGCAACATTTTTAAGAGTATTTACTGTCATTAGTAATAGAGAGACATTTTTTGTATTCATAATATTTGTGTGCCTCATTTTTTTTGTCGTTCTCACTGCATTTTTCTTATATCATCTAAATATGATTAAAAAGAATCTAACTACAAATGAGAGAATTAGAAAAAATGATTTTGAGAAATCATTCCTCTATGAAATGTATGAATTAAAAGAATTAGAAAAAAGAAAAAAAGATGAAGAATTATCCAAGAGACTTGCTTAATTGAAGTAATGTTGGAATTCTTTAAATAAAAAAAAAGGCTAAGGACTTTTAGAGGGCTTGAAAATTATATTTTATTAATCTGATTGATAAATATATTTTGTTCATAATTTAATCAAATATTCTTTAACATAATATAGAATATCTCATTTTTCATATTAATTTTATAAAATTCAAATTTACTCATCCTTCTTTATTGTTTTAAATAATTTAATTTTCTAAACTAGAACATCAAATTTTCTTTTTTTTTAACAAATATTTCAAATTGAAATTATTCTTCTTTTCTTTTATTAAATATTATTAACTATTAATACTATTCTGTCTCAAGCAAAAAATGTTAAATTATTTGCAAGCAAAAAATGTTAAATTATTTGCTAAAATATAATTATCTTATCCTTGATTTCTGCTTATGTAATCTGATCTCATTGTTTGATCAGATAATTCAATCAAATCTTCTTATTTTCTTTAAAATATTTTTTTTAAATATTTCTCATAGATTTTAATTTCGTATTCATTTCCATTTGATTCATAATTAAAGATTTGAAGTAATCTTGTAAAAACTATTAAATGCTTAATTCAAAAATTCCATTCCTATCTATAATATTTATATTTAGATTCATAAATTTTAATTAAGTTTTTTATTTGTTCTTATATCTGAAGCTTATTTTAAATAATGGTATCAAGTACATTTAATCTTAATAAGATATTCAAATATTTACTATTCATTTATACTATCTATGATATATCCTTCTATTAATCTACTTAAACTATAGGATATTTAATTGTTATTTTGAGTATTTCAGATAATCAAAATTCTAATAGAGGAATAACAACTGTTAAATTTAATATCGATAATTGTATTTCACCAGATTTTTATGAAATAGAATTCTCATAATTTATTGTTTTTCAATATTTTTTAATCTGATTTGCATTAATTATTTGGAATCTGTTCAGAAATTTATTTTAGTTGTATAAATTCATATTTATTATTTTTATATTTATTCTTCATATATTTTAGTTCGTATTTCCTAATGTAATTTCTAATATTCCAACAATTCCTATTAAACCTCAAACAATTTCTCTATATTGCTTTGTTAAGCTTTTGTTATAAGACTCTCTGTCAAATTATGTATATCAATGATTGTCTTTTCTGTTAAATTGTCATCTTCTTCAGCTAATTAATCTTCTCTTATCTCCACCTTATCAACATCCAAAACCTATTCCAATTTTTTGAATTTCATTATTTTCTTCATTTTCCTCTAAGTTAACTTTTTTTAGTACTCTTCTAAATCCTTAGGAAAACTAATCTTATAATTTAAATTTAATTACATTCCTAAAGCTTAAAAGCGTTCATTTTGATCAACTTTCACAGAGTCAATCTCATCTATCAATTTTAAATTGCATAACAATTATTTCCTTATATCCACATTCTATCATTTATANTACTCATCCTTCTTTATTGTTTTAAATAATTTAATTTTCTAAACTAGAACATCAAATTTTCTTTTTTTTTAACAAATATTTCAAATTGAAATTATTCTTCTTTTCTTTTATTAAATATTATTAACTATTAATACTATTCTGTCTCAAGCAAAAAATGTTAAATTATTTGCAAGCAAAAAATGTTAAATTATTTGCTAAAATATAATTATCTTATCCTTGATTTCTGCTTATGTAATCTGATCTCATTGTTTGATCAGATAATTCAATCAAATCTTCTTATTTTCTTTAAAATATTTTTTTTAAATATTTCTCATAGATTTTAATTTCGTATTCATTTCCATTTGATTCATAATTAAAGATTTGAAGTAATCTTGTAAAAACTATTAAATGCTTAATTCAAAAATTCCATTCCTATCTATAATATTTATATTTAGATTCATAAATTTTAATTAAGTTTTTTATTTGTTCTTATATCTGAAGCTTATTTTAAATAATGGTATCAAGTACATTTAATCTTAATAAGATATTCAAATATTTACTATTCATTTATACTATCTATGATATATCCTTCTATTAATCTACTTAAACTATAGGATATTTAATTGTTATTTTGAGTATTTCAGATAATCAAAATTCTAATAGAGGAATAACAACTGTTAAATTTAATATCGATAATTGTATTTCACCAGATTTTTATGAAATAGAATTCTCATAATTTATTGTTTTTCAATATTTTTTAATCTGATTTGCATTAATTATTTGGAATCTGTTCAGAAATTTATTTTAGTTGTATAAATTCATATTTATTATTTTTATATTTATTCTTCATATATTTTAGTTCGTATTTCCTAATGTAATTTCTAATATTCCAACAATTCCTATTAAACCTCAAACAATTTCTCTATATTGCTTTGTTAAGCTTTTGTTATAAGACTCTCTGTCAAATTATGTATATCAATGATTGTCTTTTCTGTTAAATTGTCATCTTCTTCAGCTAATTAATCTTCTCTTATCTCCACCTTATCAACATCCAAAACCTATTCCAATTTTTTGAATTTCATTATTTTCTTCATTTTCCTCTAAGTTAACTTTTTTTAGTACTCTTCTAAATCCTTAGGAAAACTAATCTTATAATTTAAATTTAATTACATTCCTAAAGCTTAAAAGCGTTCATTTTGATCAACTTTCACAGAGTCAATCTCATCTATCAATTTTAAATTGCATAACAATTATTTCCTTATATCCACATTCTATCATTTATANTTATCCTTGATTTCTGCTTATGTAATCTGATCTCATTGTTTGATCAGATAATTCAATCAAATCTTCTTATTTTCTTTAAAATATTTTTTTTAAATATTTCTCATAGATTTTAATTTCGTATTCATTTCCATTTGATTCATAATTAAAGATTTGAAGTAATCTTGTAAAAACTATTAAATGCTTAATTCAAAAATTCCATTCCTATCTATAATATTTATATTTAGATTCATAAATTTTAATTAAGTTTTTTATTTGTTCTTATATCTGAAGCTTATTTTAAATAATGGTATCAAGTACATTTAATCTTAATAAGATATTCAAATATTTACTATTCATTTATACTATCTATGATATATCCTTCTATTAATCTACTTAAACTATAGGATATTTAATTGTTATTTTGAGTATTTCAGATAATCAAAATTCTAATATAGTTTCATTAATATAGTTTTATTGTAGAGGAATAACAACTGTTAAATTTAATATCGATAATTGTATTTCACCAGATTTTTATGAAATAGAATTCTCATAATTTATTGTTTTTCAATATTTTTTAATCTGATTTGCATTAATTATTTGGAATCTGTTCAGAAATTTATTTTAGTTGTATAAATTCATATTTATTATTTTTATATTTATTCTTCATATATTTTAGTTCGTATTTCCTAATGTAATTTCTAATATTCCAACAATTCCTATTAAACCTCAAACAATTTCTCTATATTGCTTTGTTAAGCTTTTGTTATAAGACTCTCTGTCAAATTATGTATATCAATGATTGTCTTTTCTGTTAAATTGTCATCTTCTTCAGCTAATTAATCTTCTCTTATCTCCACCTTATCAACATCCAAAACCTATTCCAATTTTTTGAATTTCATTATTTTCTTCATTTTCCTCTAAGTTAACTTTTTTTAGTACTCTTCTAAATCCTTAGGAAAACTAATCTTATAATTTAAATTTAATTACATTCCTAAAGCTTAAAAGCGTTCATTTTGATCAACTTTCACAGAGTCAATCTCATCTATCAATTTTAAATTGCATAACAATTATTTCCTTATATCCACATTCTATCATTTATATGTAGATTAAATTTTCAAGATAGATTAAAGATTGTTTATATTTAAAAAGAAATAACAAAATAAATCAGTTAAAATAATCTAAATAATCAAGTTTTTATTTTATTACATTAATTACAGTTTCTATTGGATTGTTACTTATATTCAATATTTCAATCATTGAAGGTAATTGATCAAAGATTATGGAATTGATCTAATTTTCAGATACATCAAGAAAGGCTAGTTTCTTACTATTTTTCAATCCCTTCAAAACTTAAATTTCATTATTCTTCAGACTCAAATACTCTAAATTCATTAAAGTTTCTAAATTTTCCATTTCTCTAATTTTATTCTACATTGAGAATGATTACTTACATGTTAGAGAAAGAGAATTTATAACTTATCAAACAATTCGAAGTTTTCTATTTTTTCTAAAGATTAGAATTTAAATTTGATTACTTATGTTTAAGAATTCTAAGTGTATTATTTTAAGAGACATCAATTCATTAGTTCTAAATACTTATGAAAACTTGTCTATACTTTTAATCTTCTGTCATGATATCTATAAAATTTTGATCGATGCTAGTTTTGAGAATAAGATCTAAATCAATTTGATACTCTTTATTTTTGAGAATCAAATATTCTGTTTCTTTTAAATCAACTAACTCATTCTCATTGTCACTTTCATTTTATTCTTGCATAATTATATTATTTTATTAATTTATGATTAATATTTTTATAATTTCTTATGAAATATTTAGAGAAGGAATGAAATTTGAATAAGATTTAAAATTTAATAATTCATAATGATTGCTTAAAAATAGTTTGTCATTTTGGTTGAAACCAAATGTACATAATATTTATTAATACTAATAGTTGTTTTAAAAATTAAACAATTTTAGAGAAATATCATATTATTAATTATTATGTAATATTTAAATTTGTTCATACAACCAATATCAAGTGCAGTAGTTTTCCCATACTCTAGTTTGTAACTCCATAATGTAGATTACTATAATCAATCATTACATTCTCAATATATTGGATTGGTTTCATAAATCGATGAAACCTAGCCCCACATTGAAACTATATCCCAATATAGCCTCTATGGCACACTTGTCCATATAAGAAGCAAGTAAGAAGAGTCTTCTAGCTTTTACACTGCTTTTGCATTTGCTAGATTTCGAATAAATTCGTTTTGCCAACTTTAGCCATTTTTAGTAGCAAATGTGGAAATACTTAACGACGATATCCAAACTAGTGATAAGCAAATCTTAGGTACATTTAAAGAAGCTATAAAAGTAAATTCACCATTTATATTTAGATCTATATGGAAAACTTTTCTCTTCTCCCAAATACTCTACTAAAGCATAAGATAGATGAAGAAGAAAATTTACTAAAATTATATTATCAGGTCTCAAGCAGAATACAAATTCCATTCAATCAAAAAATTAGATTATTATAAATGAATGATAACAATGAAAGAATATAAATATTGATGTAGTATTTGAATCATAAAATGACACAATATACAACTAATAATGAATTGGAGCAAAAATTGAAACAGGAACTTATATCAGAGATGCAAAATAATGGAGATAACTTGCTTAATTAAACTGAATAAATTGTTCCATAAATTTAAGAATTAGAACTGGATTATTAAAAGTAATATGTTGAATCATTACCATGGGGAATAGTACATCCAGAGATTATTAGTATATCTCAATGTAAAGAGATATTGGATAAGAGACATCATGGATTGGAGATGGCAAAACAACGTATTCTATAATTTTTAGCAATAAAATTATTAACAAAATCTACTGGATCTATAATATGTTTACATGGTAGTCCTGGAGTAGGAAAGACTTCATTAGCATAGAGTATAGCTGAATCTTTGGGAAGACCTTTTTAAAAGATATCTTTAGGTGGAGTTTCAGATGAAGCATAGATAAGAGGTCATAGAAAGACATATGTTGGAGCTTAGGCAGGAATGATAATTGAAGCAATAAAGAAAGCAAAATGTATGAATCCAGTCATTCTACTTGATGAAATAGATAAGATTAACCAATATACAGTTGGTTCTGCATTATTGGAGGTTTTGGATCCTGAATAAAATAAAGCATTTTTGGATAATTATGTAAATGAAGAAGTCAATTTAAGTTAAGTTCTTTTTATTTCAACAGCAAATTAGTAATATTATGAGTAATAATGTTAGTTTAGAAGCAATATAACCAGCATTAAAAGACAGATTAGAAATGATTGAAATACCGTCTTATACATTAGATGAGAAAGAAAAGATTGCAATTTTACATTTGATTCCAAAATAATTGGAGCTTAATGGGATTGATGGGAAGGTAGATTTCAGTAAAGAAGTAGTTAGATATTTAATTATGAATTATACAAATGAGAGTGGAGTTAGATAATTAGAGAGATAAATTAATTCAATCTTTAGAAACATAGCATTATAATAAGTAAGAGGTAAAAGAAAGGGATCTTATAATATTAATAAGGGATTCATTAATTAATGTTTGGGTTAAGCTACAATTGTCTATAAGAATATTAGATTATAAACTGTGGGAATGTGTAAAGGATTAAATGATGATGGGATGAATATTTTAGAAGTCATTAAAAATAAAGGATAAGGGCATTTGTTTTAATAATCAAAAGATCAATATATAGTTGAATAAGGAATAACTGCTTTGTCTTATTTAAGAAATTGTTTCAAACATATTTAATTTCACAATTGGGATATCAATGTTGCAAACTAAAATTGTTTAGGAGTTTGTGTTCTTGTTGCTTTGGTTTCTCTCTTTATGAATAAGAAGGTCAAATCTAATGTTGTCTTTGCAGGAGAATTAAGTCTTAAAGGATCTATTTTTAGATAAGATAATCTTAGAGAAAGCATTATTTAGGCTGCTGAATTTGGAGTTGAAATGTAATATTATAATAATATATTTAAGAATCATTATTCCATCTTAAAATGTAGGTGATATTCAGAATTTAAAACCCTCGATCAAATAAAAAATTAGATTAGTTGATCATATTGAAGAAGTTTTTTAGTTAGCATTTGAGAATGGATTTACTTACTACCACTACCCTAATTTATGATATATATCTATATTATAAGATTTACATTTCAATATTTATATTTAATATATATATATATCACATATTAATTTCTCCTTAATAAATTGCTGTTTCTAAATTTTATCTCATTTTAAAACATTTTTGGGAAGCATTTTAAATTTTCTCTTTTTTATCTATGAAATCTCTTTTTTATTCATGCAATGGTCTATCTGTTTTTTATTATAAGTTTAATTTGTCAATTTCATCAAATAATTTCATTAAAGAAATAGCCAATGATTCACAAGCATGTTCAAAAAGTTCTTGATAATGATCAAATAATTTGGCTGATTATTTATTTGTTTTAGAAATATAATAACCAATACAGTAAGACCTAATAAGTTATATAAATATATAAATTACCATTTTAATACAACTCTGGATTGAATTAATTCTTTCATGACTTCTATTAAGAATTAAGTATCTTGATATTTGAATTCATAATGTTCATATATTTATGTGATATATTGTTCCTTAATTTGAGTTAATCTCTACATAGCTTTTTCTTTGGCAGCCTATGAATTTAAGAATCTTTCATAATAAAAATTATATCTTTGCAAGACCTCTTTTTCTTTCTCAAAATTAGCTGTAGGAGCAACATATTTATTGCATTTAAAATGATCCTTATGATCAGGTTCCCAAGGTTATGAACAAATATAACAAAACGCTTTACCACAACCTCCTGGAGGTTTACACATCATATAATTGCATCCTTCTGATCTCTCAACTGGTCTCTTACAAAATGGACATGATTTTGTGTTTACAACTATCCATCTTACATTTGCTTCATCTTTTTTTATCTCACCCAACCATTTCTTTACTAAATCACAAGGACATGGAGGATGAAGATCCTCTTTGCAATAGAAACAGAATTTATTTGTACATTAACAAGTGACTTCTTTTACTGATGTATAAGTGGGTTTTACAATCTTATTACAATCAACTCCTGTACAATAGGCTAAATATTTAGAACAGTCAACAAACCTTCTGCATAGTAGATTTTCAAATTCTTAAAGATTAGAATATCTTTTAAGCATTTATAAAGGAAGTCTATAATTGCATCCATTCTATAAACATCTCACTATTAAAAATTTATCTTAAGAAACTCTTTGCTTTATTGTTTAATGAATGCAAGATTCACAAAATCTATGAGCACATCCTAATTGAATTAATTTCCCCTCAGAAAAACAAACAGAGCAACATCCTTTAAGATCATTATAAATAATCTTTTCATGATTGTTAAAAATTCCTTTGCTTTTGAGTTCAGCCAATAAAGCTTCTGAATTTATGTAATATTTTTAAAGGATTTCCTCTCTATTCCAATTGAAATACATGTATAACTTTCATATGAAAATGAATTACCTCGAAAGTATTATCCTCATCAAAATATAATTCATCTTAAAGCTCTTGCATATCTCTATTGATTACTTTGATGACATCTTTGATTTCAAGGATTTCTACTCTATTAATCTTATTCAAATTTTTATTTACCCTTATAATGAGACTTATCTTTCGATCTCCATAGAATCGTAACAGCTTTAATCATATTCGTAATCATCTCCCATTTTTATTAATTTATTATTAATATAAATTCAATGAATGAGTATATGGATTATATAAAGGGAATAAAAACATATATAGATGATTCAGCAAACAAAATTTAAGAAAAAGTAGCTGAAATTGTGAGAGTTGAAGACATTAAAGATTTGAATAAAATGCAAGCTAAAAAATATCGAAATCGCAACAACAATAAATAGCCTTCTCTTGTTACTTCAGGTGAAGTATCGTAAGCTGAAATAGAAGTATAAAAATTACAATAACAAAATCAATAACTTTATGAAAAAATGAAAGAATTAGAAGAATAAAGAACAAGTCTTAAATTTTAACTAGCAAAATATAGATAGTTAATAGCAGATAAAAGAAAGATGTTAAATAAAGAATGCAGAGATGGATTTTAATTACTAACTTAAACAAGAAGACCTAGAATTTTGAGTGAAAAAAAGAGCAAATCTCCTTAGTTATTTATTACAACTTCCACTTCCACTCTATCGTAAAAGAAACTTACTTAAGTGCATATTCTTTTAAGAGATGTAATGAAGACTGAAAGATAAACTCCCTTCATTAGAACTAATAGGAAATACACTTTTGATTAATTTATGCAATTAAACAAAACAGAATATTTTAGCTACATACACAATCATTTGCCTAAAATTAAATAATACTTTCTTGAATTCTCATACAAAAGAACCAAATAATTCAAAACTCTATGATTTTTTATGATATTCTAAATTATTTTATCATTTCATCAAAAAATCTACAAGAATTATTCATCAAAATATGATGATTTATAAAGATACAACTTCAATCTTAATGACAATTTATATAGAAGGTAACGAGATTAAAAGGGTTGAATTGTAAAATATTATATATTCTCTACATATGAGAGAATTAATGACTCTGATTATCAATTCAATACTGTCTTTTTGATTTCAGCTTCTTCTACTTCAGATGGATCATTTGCTTAAATTTCTTTGGAAAGTCCATTCAACTTCTTCTTTAATGCTTCCTTTCCTGCTGCATAAGCCATCTTTTGTTTTACTGGTTGATTGGTATCTGGTGACCAAAATATGAAGACTAATTTATCAACTTATCTAGGTGGAACATCATCTGTTTAAGCATGATAATCATAAACAGCATATCGGGACTTTTAAATTAAATAATTAATTTACTTCATTTTGAAGATGACTAACAAATTCAGCATAAGCACTATCTCTTGCACCTTTTTGATCTACAACAATCTAAAGAATATACAATAAACAAATACTTCATTTCTCTCTTTATCTAGTTTAAATATAACATATCTATATTGTTTGCCTAACTTCAAATTATTGAATTCGGTCACACATTCATCACTAACATTTGTACCCACGTTCATAAAGAAATCTTAATATTATATTTAAATTTTTGTTAATTAAATCACATAATCATTTCTTTTAAAGTACTTTCTTCACATTTGGTGATTTTGATCTCATTTATGTTTATGGTCTTTGACTTTTTAACAATTAAGGTTTCTTATTGACTATTTATTTATTAGTATTATTATTATTATTACTATTACTACTGATTGTTGTTGTAGCTTACATTGTTTTAGCTTTTTTATTTGAAATATCTTTTAATTTTGATGATGGTCTTTAACTACTTCTTGTAGGTGAAACAAAATCCATTTATTCTTTTTATCTAGATGAATCCAAAAAATCAGATCCAGGATTGAATGGAACATGAACTTATTCATGCAGAAAAGCATATTCAGTTGGTTAAATAGATTAATTTTTAGAAACTGAAGATTATTAAGATTTCTATGAGTATCTATGATTAGGAGATTATGAAATTGTTAGAAATTAAAGAGAATTAGCTTATTATGGAACTTATGTTGAATAAAAGGCTTATTATTATTAACTACTTTGAATTGATTAAAAAGTTTATAAATTTGCAGGAATTTGTGGTTTTTATTAACTTTATATCTATTATGATGGTGTTTAATTTATAGATCTATTATTAGCATTTATTTTAACAGAAGGCTATGAATTTTTTTAAGATAAAAATGGATGAATCTTCTTCATTGATTCAGGTTCCTCATTTTCCTGATTAGACTTTAATTATTATTTCTGCAATTAATTTTCTTATTAAAAAAACATTGGATGTTATTACATAGATGTTAATGTTGGATTGGAATCTTTGAAATTATATGATTGAAGTGTAAATTACTAAGACTATTGACATAATAAAGGATGTTATTAATTTGATTACATAATAAATGATTAAGCTTATGATTATTATTCCCTTATTAGTACTCTAGATTGAATTTCAATAGCATGTTCATTTAAGATATCAGTTGGATTATTTGGAATAATAACTTAGTTATTATTATTTATTGATTGTTGCATTAATTCTACAATACTTTCTTCATAGATTTATAAATAATTTGGTCTGTCTTCTGCTTTCATTGATAACATTCTGCTGATCAATTTGTTATTTGCTCTGGATAACATTTTATTTAAAATTTCTATCAAAATTTCTAACAATATTTACCTTAATTTATTTAATATTCTTATAAATTATAAATTTGTTAAATTGGTTCTTATAGCATCAATTCCAAACATACTAATCCTATTGTGAATACCTCACTTTTCTCTTTATTATATTCTGGTTTAAACACCTTTCTTCCAAGTTAGAAGAATAGTTCAGGTGAGAGATAACAGTATTCTTCAAAACCACTTAAAAATCTATTGTATTAATCAACATTAGGTAAAAGCAACTTCACTTAATTTGTATACATAAATGATTGTGGTCTCAAATCACCATGATATTTGTCTCGATTCTATAATTCAATTAATGTATGAATTATTTGCTATAAAAACTAATACCAAGGTAAACTTGATGGTAGTTAACTTCCATATTCAAAGATAGCATCAATTTTAAATAAATTACTACACAGTGTTGACTCTTCCTCTTTCTGAATCTCTAATAAACGAATCAAACCTGGCATCTAACTGATCTATTAATATTATTCTAATCTCTTCAATTCTTTTTAATAATGCATCTCACTTTAATAAACCTTATGCACCACTGCTACTTCTTCCGTTTAATTAGTGTATACTTCTATTTCGCATCCAAAACTAAACCTTAATTTACTTATTAATACATTCTGCTTTCTCTCGAATCAACCTTTTACCAATTTTTCAAAAAATGTTATTTGGACTGTTAAACTTAACCCATAAATTTAATTAACGATATTTAGAATTAATTATATTAATAAATACCATCATAAAAATAGTACAGTTTCTGTTTACATGGTTATATAGATTAATGATTAGTTAATCAATTAGAATAAATGAGAATCTTTACATGAGTTTGTGATGAAAATTTTTAATTTAAAAATCCTATTAGCGTTAATTTTTATCTTTGTAAATTTTGTATTCTATCATTAAATATCCATATTGAAATATAAAAATCTTTATTCTTTTGGAAAATGACAATTTATAAACTTATTATTATTTTATTAAGATCTAAGAAAAAATGTTATTGATAAGAAAGAAACTAAAAAGATTCTGTTTTTAAGCAAAGGATAATTGTATATAAAATTTAATATTATGTGGAAAATAAGTTATCATTCAATTAGAAATTCAATTTGCTTAATCTCCATATTTTTTTATGAATTTATTTCCATAATAAAATGATTTTATAAATCTGACTTGATTTTTTTTTGATATTTTTAGAAAATACATAGAAAAATTATAATTTATTTTTCTAATTTTCTTATTGATTATATAAAGCTAAATTATAACTAAGATAGAAAACAAAACAAACTCAAATTAAATAATAAAAAATATGAATTTTTCTTAGTGTCCAGATGAGTTCTAAGTTGAATAGTAATTTAATAAGATTACACATAAAACAATATATTGTGATTTCAACTATGAGGTATGATAATGTTACCTTTGTTAAGGAATTAGAGTAAAAATATAGGTTCAATTATCCACTTCATAATAAACCATAAATTGATTAAAAGAAAGAAGAAACTATTAATACTAAAATACCAAAGTATGAAGCCTTGATAGAAGCGTCCAATTAATAAATGGATTTGCCTCTTCAGCAATCTCCATAATAAGTTAGAGCAATTCAAAACTAAGGCAAAATATAATTATGCCGCCAATAGAATGAATAACAGAGTAAAGAAATCAAATCAATTTTGAATTTCTAAGTGGATACTAAATTCATCAAAATGAGGCCAAGCAAGAAAAAAAACTAAAGGCAATATTAGTAGTTTAGAAGACCTCAAATTTAAATAATACCAAATAATTGTAAATATCAAAGAGTTTGTGGTTCTAGTTAAATATAGAGTCTTAGTATGCATTAAAGTTTCATAATGAATAATAACATATCTGAGGTAACTTTTCAACAAGAGACTCGTCTTACAAAATTCTAATAATTATTGAAGAAGGCTCCAAAATCTATAGAGATAGACTAATATAGAGCTTTAAAATATTTTGGAAACAATGAATTATGTGAGGGAATATTGGATGGAAAGATTGTGCAATTTATTAAAACTTAATAATCTATTGTAATTTTATGATTTGTTATACACTATTTATATGACCTCAAAGTTTGGCATCTTTAGGTAAAAGATCTGGGGTAAATTTGGTGGCAGCAGCCATATTTCCCTTAATCTTCATCTTTCCTTACATGAAGGCTTATTAAGGATTCAATTTTCCTTGAGCCATTGCCATCATATCATCATCAACCATGGTGAATGTAGCATCAGCTGTTCCAACACGTCCCTTAGCGATAGACTAATATATATATAAATATCATTAATACTCCTGAACCATTCTTGAGATCAACAGTCCAAACTTCTGGAGTTTCTCCTTTAGCCTTTGAAACTTCAAAGAAATAGATTGCATTGATTTTCTTAACCAATTCAGTACCTTAAGATTTAATGAATGGATCCATTTTTTCAAACAAAGCTGCAGATTTCAAAGCCATTAAAATTATTTATTAATTTATTTAATTTATTTTTTTCTAATTTTCTTAACATTATAAAAATATATCACAAATCATCTTCATCATCATCTTAACACATATTCATTAATTAATTCATAAGATTAGCTGCCTTCTCTCTTCTCTCTTCATCTGTCATTTTAGAAGTTCTATAAATAACATTCTTTAATACCTAATCTTAGTCATATCATGTATCAATTAAGCAAATTGATCATCTTCATATTCTAATTGATCAATAACTTCATTTTATTTATCAATTATTTTTGTTTTGTTTTATTTTTCCTTCTTTTCTTATGATTTAGGTCTCATATATGTCCAAGTATTACATTCCATAATCTCAATTATTCTAGGAAATCCAAGAGTTTCATCTTCTTATTCAGATAATTATTTAATTTATTATTAAATAGGAGGATTATCTAAATCTAAATAAATTTATTCCACAAAGCTTTCTAATTTTTTTTCCTCATTTTCTAATAACTCAATATTAATTTTTGTCCCTTCTTTCCTGTTATAAATTATAGCCTATAAACCTGGTTAGATTTCATTCAAAATTTAATCACATAAATTAATATACTAATCTAATCCATTCATATTGTTTGCATCAACAATGAATAATACTCCATCTACTTTTATTTTTTGCAATTTTTCTATAGCATTTTCTTAATAAAAATAATTGTAATTTATTATATGCAAACCAACTTCACATGTATAATATTTTGTATCGATTAAACTAATACAATGTATTAGATTATTACAGTTAGGTTCCAATTTTTTAATATTCTTCATCAATCTTATCAAATATTAATTGATCTTTATTAAAATGTTTAACCAAATCTAATAATTTCACATCATAAAATGTATACATTAAATTAATTTAGTTGAATAAGAATGTCCTGGTGCTATTAAGATGAGATTTGAATTGGTTTAATCCATTCTTAAAATTTATATTATAAATTATATAAAAACTATTTTGATATTAAATTGATTGGTATGTTTATTAAAATATATATAATATAGCATTCAAACAAGCATTTTAACAACTTATTATGGTTACAATTCGATCATTTCCCAAATATGTCCAAATTCTTCAGAAGAAGGATTTGAATGTGGAGTTAAAGCAAATTAATAATCCATAGACATAATTCTTTCATCATCACCATCTACTATTTTTGTTCTGTCTGTCTATTTGGATATTTAAATAAAACATTACTTTACTAACATAACAAAAGATTTCTTAAGTTTTTATTGTAAAAACAAATACTGGTAATTTAACAGAATCTGGTATACTAGCTCTAGTAAATCTAATTTCATCTACATTCCACAATTACTTATGTTTAGGTTCTGATTTCTAGATTTATTATATAAACTATAATAATACTTCAGCTTCTTATTTTTTTAATAAAACTTTAAAGTATCCTAAAGCAGCTTCACCACAAACTTTTTAAAGAGATTCTAAATCTCCTACTAAATAAAGGTTATAGATTTATTCAAAAATCACTTTTGCTTCCTTTTCCAATTCATATAGATCAAAGTCTGGATCAATCAATCTCATCTATCTAATTGCTCTAGCAACGGCACTTTCATTTTTTACAGTTTTCTAATTAATTTAAATATTTATTTACTGCTGCATATAAAGATACTTAAACAAAATTGTTGGGATGATTTTATATTCTTTCAGATAAATCAGATTTGAATTATCTCATTTCTGCTTTGAATGTTACATATTCTTTATAAGTATCACTATTGACAATTTATTGGCCTTGTTCACTTTATTTGAGTCTACTTTAAATTTTCTATGATATTCTTGATTTTAAAGATGCTTCTTCAGTTGTACCTTAATCAGTAGCTTAAATAGCATTCTTTTTCCATTCTGGAATTTTCTCTTAAATCTAAATAAATTTTAATTCATACTGCTGCCAATTCTTCTTCACTCATTTAAGCTAATCTCTCTTCTTCCTTCTTTCTCTCTGCTAACTTAGCTTTTACTGTTTCCATTCTAGCTTTTACTTCCTCATCATGACTTGGAAATGTTTTTCTCCACGCCAATTTTGCCATATTTAAACATGTCTTTCCAATACTTGCTTACTAATTTGCATTTGCATCTGATTTAAATTTTACTGCTGACCCTTTTACTTTCTCTTTTAATTTAGAAGCTGAAACTTTTGCTGAATCTTTAACTGTCTGTAAAATATCAATAACTAATGATGGTTATTTCTCTATTTCTTCTGCTTTCTTATTTTCACTGCAGAATTTGTACATCATTCTTCTCTAGTTGTAAATGCTTAATCTACTAAATCTTTAAGCCTATCTAAATGGAACGAACAAGTTCACAAAGTTTATCATTAAATATAAAAAATTTAATTTAGGGTAATAAAGTGATTTATTTTGCATATCTATAAATTTTTATAATAACATTTATATATATATAATTATATATATTCATATTTTTTATTATAATTATTCTTTTTTTAACAAATTATTTTTACTTTGTGAAATTCATCAAAATTTAATTGTCAATACATTTCCCTCTAATAAGTGAGTCTTTTGTTTTTATATATTATTACTTCAAGGCATAATTTTTCTAAAATAAAATTTAACTATCCCAAATAAGAAAATCAATTATTATGTAATTAATTATTAACATTTCTATATCTCGTTTAGTAAATTTTCTTAAATTTTGGAGAAGATCAAATAAAATTATTTATTTTATTTTTTTTATAAATTACATATTGAGATAAATAATCTAGAAGAAAACAAATTTTAGTAACAATCATAAAACTGCATTTATTTTATTCTTCTTTATTATTGCAATCTGAAAAGTATTGTCAATATTATTATCAATTAAATCGAAAACCTAATCTATCGATCCAATATTAAATTTCATTCTAGGCTTTCTTCTTAAATCAGAATCTTATTGAAGAAAGGATTCATCTCTTAATTCTTGAATAATTTGCTCTATTAATTTTTATTCATCTTCTGGTTTTAATTTATATAATTTTTCTTTTTATTTTTGCGTTTAGTTCTTTTCATATTTTGACGATTCTCGTTTCATTATTGTATGAAATCTATTTTTCAAGCAATTTTCTGTTCTTTAATTATTGAAATCTGTTCTTGAAATCAATGACCACTTCTTTCCAAAATTGAGAACAGCAACTAACAATTTTATTTCTTCCTCTTTGTACCATGGACCTCTAAAATATAACATAATTAGATACTTTTCAACTAAAGGATTTAACTTATTAATCCATCTTTCTCTGCATTGTTTACCCAATCTAACATGATTTGACTTGCAAAGCTTACTCATTTCCATAGATATTAAACTCCATTTATTATATCTATTCTATTCTGCATATTTTTCATAAAGTTAAGCCAATATATTATCTTCTTCTCGAGACCAAGGATGATCTATTATAGAAGTTGATTGACTTTCCATCCATTTACTTCTACATACTTTCCAATGTCTATTAAATAATATTGAACCTACTTAATCCCAATCATAAACATCCTAAACATTAATATTTATAAATACCATTACTATAGGCTGAAGTTTATGAGTATTGCAATACAGTCCTACAATTATTTTCAAGAAGTCTATTTCCTAATCATCCACTTTTTTCTATTTTCCAATGTTAGTCATATTAAACTCATTATGTGACTTTTCAAGATCTTTATAGCAATTTAAGATATCATCCCAATCAGGGATCCCATTTTCAGATTATTAAGATCGGATATTTTGTTAATTTTTCTATTGTAGATTATTATCAAAAAGTTTTCTTAGTTTCTCTAACCTTGTTATAAATTTGCAATTGATTTAAATAGAATCAGTTGGGGAGACCAAACCTTCCATAATTTTATTGTTAATTCCATCAAAGAATCATTTTTAAATGCAGTTCTTATAAAACGTAATATAAGTTAAATTGTCTAAAATGTTATTTCTTTACAAGCAAATATTTTATTTATTATTAATACATAAAGAGATGTGATTAATTATTTGAGCTGATTGTAATTATAATAAAAACGAAAATCAGGTACTTAGACTAGTATAATTTCATTTTTCTCAAGTAGTTAGACCTTATTTTACGAAATCTGCCAAACGAACTAAAATCAAAGAAAATATTTGAATTTATGAAAAAATACAACATCTATTCTTATGGATGTTTTTAAAAGCTCATTTTTTTTATTATTCTTCAAATTTTTTCTATATAGATGAAATAAACATTTATAAAGAAATAAAAGTTTATTTAATCAAACAATCCTTTTTCAACTTATTATTTGAGAATCAATATCACAATACTTAACATAAATAATTGTATTAGCTTTAATAGGTTAAATAAAAAATTTATGGATAATAATAATTTAAAAGTAACTTGAACTAACTTATTTGAGTTTCTTAGTTAATTTTCAAATTCAAATATATTCTTATGCTAATTAGATAATGAAATCTCTATTTAATTAATGACGATTAAGAAAACATTTAAGTCTTCAAAAAATTCATACTTTGAATTTTTTAAATTCTTTATTTTTCAATAATTTGTAATTTAATATTTATTTAGTAGTATATATAAAATTTTATCAATAATTTTCATTTTAATATTAATTTTAAAATTATGATAATTACAAAAGTAGTTATTGAAATCCGTATGTTTAGATTAATTTTGATGTTGTATGTGAATATAAAATGCTTCTTGATGATGTGAAAATGAATTGTTTTTTGAAATTTAATAGTTTGTTATGTTTCTGAAACTTTAAAAAAAATAGTTTATGGCTAAGGATTATGTTTGAAACGAATTCGAAAATAAATATGATTAGATATTAATTGTAATGAGAGAGGGGGACAAGATAAAGTTATTGTTAATTTTAAATATTCAATAAAAACACTTTGATTAAATGGTGATAAAAGATTTAAATATGAATGAATTAATTGATTATAAATAATATAATGTCTTAAATAAAGTTTTGCTTACACCATTAAGTGTGTTTTGGACAAGGTTTGTACTTGGCTAATTCATAAAATAATTGGAAAATAGATGAAAGTTGTAGAATGACATGCATTAAGGTAAAGATGTGTTTATTAATTCAGTTTAATCGATGGGAACTTGAATTCTAAGTTACAGACGATAAATTAGAATACAAATATGTGATAGCAGATTATGATTATCCATATTTTCAAACATAAATTTGGGAAAGAGGCCACAACAGATATTTTAGTAAATCTATATTAAATAGTTCATAAACAATAAGTATTAAATTGTATTCAATAATATTATAGAAGATATGTGGGAGAAAAGAATGATTTCACTCAAATTAATAGCTATAAATACAAATTCTTTAGCTATCATTATTGGGAATTTCCCTGCTTTGAAATCTCCAATTCAAATGAAATTAAGAGAAAAGAAGTTTAATAAATATTTTACTGCAAAATTTTACATTGACTTCACTTATTCGGATGAGGTGATACAATTTCAATACTATTTACTTATAAAAGATCCTAGTAATAGACTTTTTTAATTTTAGCCCCTTTAGAATTCATTAGTACTCCAATAACTCTTGGTATTTCTGAAAGAAATTAGGAAATATGTCAAGCAATCTCCTTTTATAGAATTGCACTTTATTGATTATATTAACAATATTTTTATATAGATTTTATTGAAATTTTTTATTTTTATTGCTTATATATTTATTGTGCATGAAATTGTTGAGCCATATAAAAATACACTTTTTTGAAGATGCATTAAATTATAATTTATGTTTTTTTTGGTTAATAACAAGTTTTTAAGATTGTTCAAATAATTACATATAAAAGTCTCATAAGATATTGTTTCTACAAATTCTAGTTAATTATGAGTTAAGATATAAATTAAAAAATTAGCAATAGCATTATTTAAGTTAATGAAAGTGTTTAAAATCTTATTCACATTAAATAAACAAGTAAATTATGGAGAGGGTGTGTTTATTGCGTTTAATTTTACAAATTGGGATTTAAGAGAGGCTATTAGGATGGAATGTTAAAAAGTATTATTAAATTTCATATATATTAATAGAATGATTATTGGACTAAGGAAATTGAAATCCCTTGCTTATATTTCGAATATAAGTATGTAATTGGATAGTATGAAAACATATTAGAGAATAGAATTACTTGGGAGAAAGGGCCTAATAGGTCATCAGAAAATTTGAAATTATTGGAAATGTGTTAGAGTAAAATTCATTTTAAAGATGTTTGGGAGAAAAGAGCTTTGATATTCTACTTAATAGACAGAAAGTAGAAAATAAAGAGTGGAAACAATCATAAACATGATATTTTATTATTTGGATAGGTGAAGGCTTTGAATTCACCAGTTAAATTTACTGATTGTTTATTAAACTAAAAAAGATAATTATACTTTCTTAATTTATAACTTGAAATAGAGGAAGTTACCAATCCAATTGAAGTCTAAATTTATATGCATGCTTAAATTAAAGAAAGTATATGTCATTGTAAATTTTAGGATTGATAGAAATAATCTCAAAAAGTGTTAAACTTAATTATAGAAATTAACCCATAAATATATGTGAAGACATATTACCAGAATCTAAATGTTGCCTTCTCAAATGATAAACATCTATGTTTATTTATAAATTTAAAATTATTACTTTAAATAATAACCCTAATAACAATAAATTTAATTTAATAAAGTTCACTTATCAATAATTAAATATTTTATACTAAAAAAACAATTAATGTATATTCTGATAGATTTATGATTTTTATTGTAAATTTAAAAATAATCAAATTTTGATTTGAATTAGATTGTAATATAAATAATGAAAATCAATGATAGATATATATAAAAAAGGGGGAAATAGTATTGAATATAAATATGAATAAAATAATATTGAATATTTTCAGATCATTCTCATAATTTAAGCAATTTCTTTTGATAAGATTTACAAGGAAGGTGTAACAACACTGATAATGGCTGCTATCATGGCAATAATAATGATGATAATCAACATTTACCATGGGAACACAAAAATCAATGGTAATTAAGTGAATAAAGTTTATTGTAAAGCCATGGATTGTCCAATAACAAATCCTACCATTAATCCTATAAAACTGGAACTAAAAACCAACGTAAAAGCTTCCATGATATAGACAACAGTAATAGATAATTTAGTGTTACCAATAGCCCTAAGGACTGATATTTCTTTGACTTATTCTAACATATTAGCAGACATAGATGTCATTAGACTGAAGAATGATAAAACCATAACAACACCAGTTAAGAAACTGAAAATAATTGAAATGAGTTATTGACTCTATTGAATTGATGTTTCGTAATCTCTATAATCCCAAATTTTAGCAGAGACTCCCTTGGAATCAATATATTTTTTGAATTAACCATAGACATTATCAAGGTTATTAGAATTAGAAACAGAGAGAAGTAATCTTTTCATGGGATAATTTTCAAGTGCATCAATTTAATTTCCACAAAGTCTTCTAAATGTTGGTAAAGATACAACAACATTTTGTTCTTGAACACTAGGTAAACTACTGAATTTAAGAGCAGGTGCTGAAGTAACAATTGAAGATGCTCTCATTTGATGGTATTAACTATATGTATTATTATACACAACAATAAGAAAAGTACTATTTATATCAATTTTGATATTTAATTAATCTGCATAACTAGTACCAATCATTGCACTTTAACTTCCTCTGCTAGTATATAATTATTCAACTGGATTTAATTAACTATTAATTTAATCTTCTATTTTTAAAAATTAATTATATCCCATATCAAATAGTGTGTGTGATACACCTACAATTTTAGGTCTAAGTTAATAAACTTATCCTAGATGAGTCATGTAAGCAGTGGAAAATCCTAATTTTTACATATAATTATCTAATTAATCAGTGACCCAAGCAAAACTTGTAATATTGGATCCTAAATCTAAAATTATTTTTTCAAATTCATAAGGTAATAAATAACCATTAGATGCTGTAATTTCAAGTTTGCATCCATGTTATTAAAGAGTTTAAGTTGCTTGATTTTCAATCTATACACTCATACCAACAAAAATAAATATTACAAATGCAATAGATAATGCATACATTAAAGCTGTTCTTCTATTTTTAATCTAATTTATTATGATATATATTATATACTCTATGTGCAGCAAGGTTCTTCAAAACCATTGTTTTCTTAGCTGAACTTGCCCAGAATAAAAATAATTTAACAGTAAATCGTTCTGCTAAATATTAAATATTGAATGCAAAGATTACTAATCCTAAAAGCATACCACATAATATAAAAAAGAATATTGATAATAGTAATCCAATATTGAATGATAATAAAGCAAGTGGTAAGAAATAATAAACACAAATACCAAATAAAGATGCTATTACTGCAAATTAGATTCTACCCCAAGGTAATGATTTACCTTCTAAATCTACTTCAATTTTGACAGCTGTTGATTTTGATCTATTAATATCCAATGCAAAACTTAATTATTTACTTAATGCTTCTTTTATTGGTACATAAGAACTAATCAAAGGAATCAACAATCCTAATCCTAAAGACATAAAAATAGCATTCGTTGTTGGAGTAGCTTCTATTTCAACTCCTATTGATGCTTTTAGTGCATTACTAGCATACAATAAGAAAGGAATTGAAAGTATAATACCTGCTATAATAGCAGGCAATACATAACTCAAAGCTTGAGTCAATACTATAAATACCACTCCTAATTTATTAAATCCTAACACTCTTAACACACCTAAATCATATGTCTTTGTCTCTACTGAAATCAACAATAATGTATATAAAAGCAATACACTCAATAAAAATAATATTACAATGATCATATTTAATATGATACCTAAAAACAACTAACCAAATCTTGTATCATATAATTGCTACAATACTGGTAAATCCATATTACATGGATAAACTCCTAAATCTCTTCTTATATTACTAGCATATTTTGTTATCTATCCTTATATATTCTCATAATTGCTATCCATATATATATTGAATCTATCAGGAATATTGATTCTGATTTCATCTACATATTCTTCAGGATTTGCAGAATATAATGCCTTTAAAAAAGGTTTATCCCATGACCAATATGCTAAATTGTTAAAGAAGTGTTTATGCTCTACTATAATCAATTTATCAGCATCTCCATCTGGAAATTTACCATAAGTTGATTCTAATAATCCTTTAACCTAATATAAATAAAATCTCTAAGTAGCCTTTTTCAAATCTCCGAATTCTTAATTTAAGAATGTATCATTATAATTAGTTAAATTAAATTGTTTACCAATTTATTCAAAGTAATTCTAGATATAATAGGATCCATAAAAATCATAGAATTCCCCATATATTAACATATAATCTCCTATATTTAATTTATAAGTCTCTGCTAATTTCCGACTCATTATTACTTCAGTTTCTTTCAATTCCCCAAATGGATATTCCCAACCCAAACCTATTTCCTTCTCTTTCAATGTATCTATTCCTACAAACTTTGCAGTAGGATGTGGTTATTATCCTCCACATTTCTAACCTAATTATTACCCATCTCTTAAATCATTAAAATGTGCTTCGCTTCCAAATTCCTATCTTTTAGATAACAACTATTATGCTTTATTTACTGCCTATTTTTCAATATAATGATTATATACATTTTCACAATCCCCTGTATTTAACAAATATGTAAAATTTACTTATTAGGAAATTCTTGGACTAGCTTAATTGGCCCTTTCAGGTCCTAATACTTCTTTAACTCTAGTAAGGTTAAGAAAGTCAACTATAAGTTATCCTTGTTGTCTTGCTGTGTTACTATAGATAGACATCAAATATTAAGGAGATTTTTCATGTTCTTCACTTAAATAATTTGGATTAGCAGTCAACCTAATCTTAAATTGTTATTTACGCAATGTCCGATTATCCTGCTGGACCTTCTGCTGATTTTAAAAATATGAGAGGTGCTCTATCAATTATTGATTAACTAACAGCACTCGCAGCAACAACAATCAATACACTAAAAAATGATACACAATATCCACAAGGTCTTCTTTTCATTTCATACCATGATTATCCAATCATAAATAACAAAGAAGAACAAATAGACATTGAAGTACCTTAAGGAATCATAGAGTCTTTTCTCTAAATAGGTTAAGCCTTCATTTTTAATTTATTATTATTAATATTATTATGAATAATTAAATTCTTAATAAATAGAATTCTTACATACTATTCTAATTAATCAATTACCTATTCTCCTCGAATCAATTAGTTTAATCCTACTATTGTTATCCCTTAGTTTTTAATCAAGTTAGCTCGAATTCAATAATCATTTCAACAAGATCAAAGATAAATCATTATACTTAAACTATCAAATTTGAATTATCAAAATGTTTTTAAATGGAAGAATATGACTCTGAAAATTATTTATTATCATGATAGTTCTACTAAGATAAAGATTAAAAACAAAATACTAGAATCCTATAGACAATGTGTGTAAATTTAAGTAAAATATAATCTCCACAAATGTTTGGATTCTTTAACTTGGTTCATTAAAGTTAATATATATTAAAAATATTTTGATACTCCAAATTTGCATGAATCTTTTAGTCAATTGTTAAAGGTATATTAGGATAAAGAATATGTTGATAATAATTAATGAATTGTGTATCCATTTAAATACCATAATAATTTATATATCATTTTTTTCACTTTATAAATTTCAATGATATAATTATTAATCATCGATTTTTATAAATATATATAAATTATTAATAATGAGTACATTAGCAGCAGCAAGAGCAGATAACTTTTACTTTGGGCCAAACTATGATCCTAACGGAGTAATACTTCATTCCTATAGTAGGGAAGTTTAAAATATTAGAGAAAAATGAAACTTAAAGGGAAGAGAAAACCATCAAGATTAGATTAATATAAAATAAAAAGTGGTCCTAAGATTAGATTTGAAACTCCATTTCATGTTAAATGCTAAAAATGTGATCATATGATAGCAAAAGGTGTTAGATTTAATGCAGCCAAGAGAGAAGGTAAAAATTAAGAAATATTACCATAGTGGGTAAATTTCATAGCACAACAATATTATAATTTTCTATGCTTTGTCCTTCTTGTAAAAATACAATAGTTTGCAAGACTGACCCTGAAAATTGTGATTATAATTATACAGAAGGAGCAGTAAAATGGGTATATTTTAATTGTATTTGATTTTAAGTTAAGTACAGAGAATGCAACAGATATGAAATTCATTCCTAATCCTGAGTAGAAAATAAAAGAGTAATCAAATGCTATGTATAAATTGGAGGTTGAAGTTGAAAAAGTTAAATAAAATAATTTAGCTTCTGTTATAGAAGATTTATAGAAATATCGTTTAGTATTAAAAATAATATACATAAAAGGAAAATTGGAAGGATGATTTTGAAAAGAATTTGATGTTAAGAAAGAAATTTAGAGAAGCAAAATAATAATACGCATAAATAGAGGCAGAATAAAATAAAGTTAAAAACTTTGGATTACCTATGGAAGAATTAACTAAGTCTGAACTTGTAAATATTGTTAAAAAAACTAAAAATTTAGCGTGATATTAAAGATCTAAAATTTCATGAATCCAACAGTAGAAAATAATAAAGAGAAAAAAGATAAGAAATTATGAATCAAAGCATTTTACCAAGTGGTAGAATGAATTCACAATAATAAAAATAATTGGAAGAATTGAACAAGAAATTAAGTTAAATGCCTGCTGCAACCAGAAAGATTTTCAAATAATAATTGATGCCAAAAAAAAACTCTATTAAATTTTGAAGATTTTATAATTAAAAATTAATATAAATATATAATTATAATAAAATAATATGAATAAGAATCGTCATACTTCTATGCATAAGATTTTGGGTCCTCCTTCAATAGTCATGTTTGATGGAGAAGAATCTAAGTTTTAAAAAAGAATCTTTAGAGGTTTCATGTTCTTTATTATTAAGAGCATTCAACTGATAAAATTAAATTTTGTTGGGAACAATCTCCAATTCATAAGACGAATGATTTCAATTTTTAAAAAATTAATTATGTAAATTAATAGGATATGGATAATCATGTTCGTAGTACTTACCAATTACCATAAATTTATAAGCGTAAAAATCAGTTAAATAATGAATGCTTTGTTGTTTCTCCACAAATGACTGTAGGTTTACAATTTTAATAATTTTAGAATCTGAATAAAAATTTGGAAAATATGCTAAACGCTACACTTAAGATTCTGACTTATTTTCACTTAAAATTCCTACTGAAAAATAATACTCTCAACACTCATCTGCTTATGGTTAGTTTTATTTTTAACCTGAATTTAAACTAACCAAAACAAAACCTGTTTTCAAATATCATACAGCTAAAAGTCAAATTCTTGGTAATTCAAGATTATAATACATTAAATTAAGATAAGAAATTGATTGAACCCTCTATATTATAAAAATATTCAAAAGTAGTAAGTTTTTTTTCTAATTATTTTTGAATAATTAATTATATTTAAACAATAAAGTTTTAATCTTACAAGCTTGATGATTTTAAGATTATAATTAATTATTAGTATTTTATGCATAATCACTAATATCATTTACTTAAATCAAACCTCTAATTCATGAGATTTAAATTATTATTTAAATTTCTAACACTCGCGACATGAATATTTGATTTAAATCATGATTATCAATTCAATTGCATAAATAGTTGATTCAATCTATGATATATATGTTCAACAATTAAAAAAAGAGAAAAAAACCGATTCATTTAGTTATTTAACTAAAAATTAACAAATTATTCATAATCAATAGCAAGAACCTGATCTTCTTCTTTTTAAGAGAGTACTTTCTTCAAGAGAAAACAAAATTGGAACTTTTCGTTATTGATTGTATAATTTATCAAAGACAACTAAATATCGTTTTAAATTGTCCTATTAGTGTGGTTAAGCTTAGACATGTCTCTTGACTTGATCTCTGTGTAGTTAATCTATTGCAGCTTATTGTGGGTTATTAAGAAGTTCATCAGTTGCTAATAAATCAACTTCACTTTGTTTGGAATCGTTTTATGGTGATTTTTCTAATATCTTATTGTTGTCTACTTTGATTATTACTGGAAGTAGAGATTATTAATTGCTAATAGTAAGGTCTTATTGTAAGTAGGTTTTTTATTATGATTTTTTAGAATGGCAAATTCCCATTGTGAAAGTAAGGAGACTCCTAATTAATTAAATTATTTTACAATATATCAAAAGACTATCCAATTTGAGTTATTTATAATAGTAATATAAAAAGATTCAGTTTCATAATCTATCGACTTAGCACTATCTTATCGAAATGGCTTATGGAACATTCCATAAAGGAGGGTGTTCCTCTACAATTTAAGTCATAACAAGATATAAATCTAATTATTAAACCTAAAACAAAAAGAATTCAATGAAAATACTATTCTCAATGATTACTATGTTTACTCTCATTAAAACATAAATTTTGTCTCAATATTCACTAAGTGATAATAAGCTAATAATTAGCTTAGAAACCTTAGAAAATGAATCTGTCATAAATTTCTAAAATTAGGATGTAAGAATATATTTAACCTTAGGGTTAATTCGAAGATGAAATTTTCTGTGATAAGAGTAGATGTGAATGTACATTTGCTTAATCTAATATTTCATAAGGACAAATAGAAATATTGGAATGTAGTTAGAATAGATTACAAATACAAAGATCTAATTCAAACTTGATTGCAAGTTTAGGAACATCTTCAAGAAGAATGATGGCAGAAGTATATACAGACAGCGATATGACAGATTAAAAAACTGTTGATTCAAGATTGACAATTAAATGGAAATTCAACAGTGATGGAACTATAGAATTTGCAACAATTTGGAATAAGAAGACCTGGTTAGGAATAGGATTTGGATCATCAGTAAATTTATTGAATAACTTTCATAGATGAATAACGCTGATATGATAACTATTAATGTATCTGGAACAACAGTGGAATTGTTAGATTTATATTCAACATCTAAAGCCACACCTCCAACTGATTCTCAACAAGATTATACTTTAATTTCATATGAAGTAGGAAGTGCTTCAGTTAAAGCAAGATTCAAGAGAAAACTCTCCACTGGTGACTCTAAAGATAAGACCTTAGTAAAAGGTAGTACATATAATTGGTGCTATGCTTATTCAAGTGCTTTAAGTATTTTTACATTGCTTATCCTTTAGAAATGGAAATGCATACTGTTAATTTAGGATTTTCAATTACTCTTAAAGATAGTGGAACTACAGACACTGGTTCAACATCAGGTTCAAGTGGTACAACAAGTGGATCAACATCAGGTTCAACAAGTGGTTCAACATCAGGTTCAACAAGTGGATCAACATCAGGAACAAGTGGTTCAACAAGTGGTACAACATCAGGAACAAGTGGATCTTCTAGTTCTGGATCCACTTCATCAACAGGATCAGGATCTAATGATACTAATTCAACTGATTCCAATTCTGACGATGATAATGAAAATTCAGAAAATGACGATTCAGATTCTGATTCTGATTCCGATTCAGATACCACTATCACAACATCAAGAACATCATTCCAAATTTAATTAGCTGCTATCTTCTTGATTTAAATATTTTTATATTGATTTTTTTAGAAATAGATTCATATATCAAAATAGATATCATCTTTTTAATAAATTTTCTTTTTAAATTTAAAAACTCTATTGTTGCATGTTCAAAACTTAATGAATATTATACGTTCTATTCAATTGATTGTATTTATTATTAGAATATCTTTCAAAGCTCTATTCTTTTTTATCAAAGATTTCTAAGATAGTTTCTTTCCATCTACTCTTTTGATTTGATCTTTATTACGAAATTGAACTTTCTTTAAGTCTACTCTTTTTTTCACTTTCGTTAATTTTATTCCAAATTTCGTTGGTTCTGTCATTTTTAACAGGACTAAATTTCTATTAAAATGTAATCATTTTGGAATCTGTAGTTAATCTCTCCTCTGTCTATTAGCTAAGAGATTAAATTCGAATTAACTATCTTTGGGATGACAAAAGTGAGGATTTCTATTCATGCACACATATTTTACTATTTACAGAGATTAAGATGGCGCAGTTATAATTTTTTCAATTTCAATTAAGAATTTGCTTAGATCTTCAGGAAAACCTTTTTAATTTTTTAGCTCTTCTTAATACTTAGCCATCAATTAGATTTAGGATTCCTTGTGATAAAATAGAATAAAGTACATATTCATTTTCTTATTTTTGAATTTCTTACAATTACTATGTTTCAAGTGCATTAACTTCATTTATAAGATTATTTTTTTTTTATTCCAAAACCATGATTTACTAATGATGATAGTTACAGATGACATTACTTTTTGAAATTCTTGATTGATTTCATCTCTAGTGGATTAGCACTTTTATTGGAATTGGAATTTCTGATCTTGAATATCTCTAATAGATTCAAACTTATTTTTAAAACTTTTATCCAACCTTTCTAAATAGAGTTGTACTCTTTCATTTAAAGCTGGAGCCATATCATTTTTGTTTGAAATAGATTCTTTATATTTTTTAATGTCTTTAACTTCAGAGACTTCTTTAGTTGAGTCAATTTTTTGAAATTATAAATTGTTTGTATATTTATCCTTTGATTCAAGTTTTTATGTTTATTGATCATTATTTAAATCAACAGCAAAGTTAGTTTTAGATTCTCTAATGGTTTCTGATTATTTAAGATCAAAATCGTTGTCCCCATTGTGTTCTTCTTAATTCTATTCAATAAGCGGAATGATGATTTCCTTAATCACATACTAAATGGCTTCAATAGTGTCTGAATCAAGATGAGTTTCATATTGGCACTTAGAACAAATTGCAACTTTAACAATATCCTAATATACAGAGTTCTATTGTTAAGATTATAGATAATTGTAAGCCAAACAAACAAGACAAAACTTATGATCACAATCTAATTTGACATAATTATCAGGAGTTGTTTGACATTAAGAACAAGCCACTTCAAAGTTTGTATAACTGTCTTGTGTTTCATTCATTTTTAAATTTAATATATATAAAATGTGAAAAGCATAAACTCATAATTTAACATCCCTAAATATATTAGCCAATATAATTACTCTAAAGTCCTAACAAGAACAATGTTTTCTCCTTTCAAAAGAATCTTACCCAATTCCTTAGTTGCTTTTGTCTTACGATCATATTCAACAGCTCTGTCTAACACTAAATTCAAATATTCATCAAATCCCTAAAAAAGGTAGAAGCTCAATTAAATTACTGCCAATTTTCCTTAAATACGAAGATTGTCATTTTCTACTAACCAAATCTCTAATTGAGTTTTCTCTGTAAATAATGTGAAGAAGGCATGTAAAGGTTGTGTGATTTTCTTTTGTGGCTTTCTTTAATACGGGGGATGCTACATATCTTAATTTAATTAATTAATATGGCTTCTGCTTTTCCTAAATTACCTGGTTTTGTACCCACCTAAGAATTAGATGTAATATAACCATTTATCTATTTAAGAAACCAAACTTCCGCAAAGTCTCATCTAATAAACAAGATAAAAACAGAGAAATCGTAATCCATTTAAATTCTTACTTTTTTATAGAAACAACTGCCAAATAAGGAATACCCAGTCCCTCATAAATAACCAATATAAATACCATCATAAACAGGAATGTTTAATCCTGATTATTTAAGTACAACTCATGCTATGCATTTACCAAAAGTATACTCTCTAATCAGTTATATTATAAGAATACAACCAATGATTCTGAAGAGCTCTATTAACCAAGTTGGGTCAAGATGGATAGACATGTTCTTAGATTTAGTGGTTTCTTTAAAGAAGCAGTAGTTGAATCAGCCCTAGAAAATTATAGAATTCGCAAACTAACAATATTTTACTATTTGGAAGATCATTCAATTAGCATTACAGAACCTAAACAAGAAAATAGTGGTGTTCCCTAAGGAGCATTTCTTAAAAGATAAAAAGTAAAATCATTTTTCTTACTTAACATAAAGGTTTTAAGAGCAGATGGTTCAAAAACATTCATTATACCAGAAGACTTTAAAATAAATTAAGATATTGAAATATTTGGCAAAACCATTCGACTTTATGATTGTGATCAATACACAAGAGAATTCTATGATGTTTCATTATATCTTTTCATTTCTATATTTAGGGTATTGGACAACCATAAGAACAATCCTTTACTCCATAACCAGATTTCTTTGAAACCAAAACTATGACGAAATACATTCCTTAGAAGGATACAGTCATGAAGGATTATTTGGAACATAAATTAGGAGGAGGAAAAGTTACATCTTAAAAACAATTCCTAGAAAATGATAGGAAAGTAATAAAAATGATTTTCTACATAAGGTTTTAAAATTTTATGTGTTTTCTGATATTGAATATGTCTTGCATTATTATCTAGCAGATGACACTATTGAAATTAAGGAAATTAATTCTGCTAATTCAGGAAGAGTTCCATTTCCAATGATGTTAAGAAGATAAAAATTACCACGTAAATTCTCTCTCAATCAACCTGGATAAACTTATGCTGAAGATTTCATAAGACCATAGGATATTTAATTTGGATAACCCTTAATAATCTATAATAGAAAATTCGCTATCTAAGGTTGTGATCCCTTTACTAGAAATTATTATTATGAAAAATTTAATGTTGATTTTCCATTAGGTGGCTAAGAAGAATTATAAATGGAATAAAGATCAAGTATGTCTCATTTATCTTATATTGTTAGATATTATCATTCCTCCTCATAATGGTATTGGTGATGAATAAGATTCCTTAGGATATATTTATAGATTATAACCAAAACCTCCTAAGAAGGATTTCTTTAAATGGGTTGATAATCAAGTAAATCTGAGATTTTTAGCTATGTTCAACACTACTAAACCAGAAGATAAAGATAGGTTATATTTTATTTACAATTTAGAGTTTTTGTTATTACTTACTTTTTAAATGATGATAGTCTCTTAATTTATGAACCAACTGTTAGAAATTCAGGTATTTTTTATTTTTATTTATTTTTAAAGGTATTCCTGATGGTAAATTCTTGGAAAAAAGAAAATACAAAAATGCTTAGAATAATAATGAATTTTTCTCACCTAAAGATTTTATTGTAGGAAATGAAATTATGATTAATGGATGGAAATTTTAATTACTGGATTGCGATGAGTTCACTAAAAAATGGTTTGCTGAAAATTTTAAGTGACATTTATCTATATCTAAATATAATAATTAAATTAATTATTAAGTATATGGGGAACAGTTAATGTTAATAAACAAATCTAAAAAGCGAAGTCAACATGATTATTACAGAAGAGAATGTCCATTCTGATGAATCTGAACATAATCTTACATCTAAAATTACTGATAGAGTTTATAAAGTTAATTTTGTTAGAAATGAACTTATGTAGAGGTTGCAATCAATTAGTTAAGAAACGTAAAAATTTCAAAATATTACAAAGAACAGTTTATTATATGTCACAGAACTAATCTTATAATTAAATAAGTATACTGTTGGATAGTTAAAAACAATGATGATAGGAGCACATAAAACCTATCAAATACTTATTTAAGCTATTATTAAAATGAAGCCAGAAAATAGTGAGATAATTCCTGTATTGAGTGAGGAATATAATAATTTTAAGCTTTTCTATGAATTACAAACATAACCAGCTCAATAATTGTATTATCGTCCTGTGTATAATGAAGATTATAAAATTGTTAGAGAAATTAGAGTCAAAAGAGTTAGAAATTACGTAATTAAAGAAGATAATGTAACAGATCTTTAAAAAACTTAATAAAGATTATAATATTGGATAGAATTGAGTTAAAAAAAGCATCCAAATTTATTGAATTTAAGAGCAGCAGTAATATAAAAAAATGTATGTAAATATGTAACAGATTACATTGATGGAATAACACTGGATAAATTTCAAAATAAGAATATTTAAACTAGAGAGAAAATAAAAATGATGCAATAAATGATAGATGCATTAAGGATTCTTCATGCATAATAATTAGTTCATGGAGATATCAAACCTTCAAATTTTATGGTTACTTAACAATATTAAGTAATTCTATTAGATCTTGATCAACTAGGAGCAGAGAGATAATCTGCTGATATGACTTATTTATATTCCTATAAGGATGATTAATGTCCTACTTTTTAAGGAGATATATGGTCTCTTGGATTGTGCATTTATTAATTATTTATGGGACAAAGAATAGAAAAAACCTGGACAATAGAGGACTATAAAGCTAGAGATTTTCCTGCTTTTAATATTAAGTCTTATGGAGCTATTCAATAGATTTTAGATGCATGCATAATAGATAACCCAAAAGACATTTGGTACATTAGTACTTTAAGTAAGCAACTATGATCTATGATTTATATTCGCAAAATATTGAATTTTTTGGTATATAAGTTTCTTTTAATACTTCTAATTTCATATTTAAATTATAATGAATGTATAATCAATCATCATCAGGTTGAACATCAAATATACTTTTTAGAGGATTTCCAAATTATTATTTTAAATCTTCAGATGCGCATGTTTATGCTAATAGAATGAGGAATCTTTCTAATTTGATATGCAAAGGTTATTATTAACGTTATTCCCAACTCATATCTGGAGCAGCTGGTAATGAAACCTTTTCAGAAATTCTAGCTATTGCTTCCATAAATTCTACTTGAGTCATTTGAAAGATTCTATCACTTTCTAATTCATCTATTTATAACATCATTGATAAATTAAATGCCTATTATGATGATATTTAAATACTAAATCTGCATCTCTATCCACGAACTTTTCATCGAATATTCCTGCTTATCCACATATTGCATGTAATTCATCTAAACACATAAAATTCTTCTATCCTGGTTTCACTTTCTTTATACTATATCTATGATAGACATTATTCAATAGTGGTTTGTAATATTTTAAACAATCATCACATTATTCATTAAAATATCTTTCATCTCTCCATCTTTGAGCATTGTACTATTACATTATTGATCTGCATTGATCTAAAATCATTTATACTGATTCAACCATATTATTTGCTTATTTTTGTTTTAAATATTTATCATCTGATACTCTTACTAAAAATTCCATAAATTAATATCTACACAATGCTCTTTCTGGATTTCTATAGTTTCCTTTATATTCAATTGATGCAGCACAAGTTGCAATAAATTTAAGATCCAAATCAGATAATTTAAATGTTTTATTATCAACTAATTCAGTTTAAGATGAAAATTCTGTAATAACATTTGATGAAATTGACCAAACATCACCTGTTGGATTATAAGAGGAATACCATTTATATGTTTCTTTTATCATTTTATAATCTTTCCATAATAAATTTTTGACTTCATTAAATTCATCTGGATTTTTAACAACTTTTGATATTTTACTGCAACTCCAATCTTTTTCAAAACATTTACGTAGAAATTCTTCATTTTCAAATCTAAAATCTTTAAACCAAATTGAAATTGGAAAAGACCAAATTCTTTTTTATTTTTTTAATTTTGGAGGAATATAAATTGGATCTGGAGTTCTTGGAAGAACTGATGTAAATGCTTTCATTTCTTTTTTATCCATCAATTAAAAATGCTTCTATTTTTTAACTAAATTTATATTATCTAATTGACAACTCACATTTATTCCATTAACTTTTATTTTAATGACATGCCCAAATTTTATATTTTCATAATTTGAACTAGTTGTTTGATTATCTATTACTGTAAATAAGAATTCTGTTTATCCTGTAGGAATCATTAAAGATAACTTATAAGCATCATCATTTCTTTTAGGAATGTAAACTTATTTATAATCTTCAAAATTCATATGCAAAAATAATGGATCACATTCTCCATCTGGAATCCATTCAAATACTTATTCTTACCATCCTTCACAAATCCAACAAACATCTTCATGTCTCAAATTTGTTACTTATTCCAAACCTTTAATTCTTAATGTTTCTCCTAAGACCTTTTATTAATCATTATCATTAATTATTAAGAATCCTCTTGGATCTACAATTCCCCAATTCCCTGCAAAATGAAATCCATACATAGTTCTATTTGGTTTCAAACTATTAGCTATTAATTTGCAATCTTATAAAGTAAATTGATTAGCTGATAAATCACAATGTAACATCACTTTATTTTGACTTAAAAAGTCACATACCTTTTATGTACAATTAGACTTTTCGCTTATCCCAAAACTATTCCAACTTCCATCAAATACAACCATATTTTTATTTTCAATCAATGCTTCAAACAGCTTTTGTCCCCCTTATCCTTTAATTTAATTCTATATATATATATAATCATTTTATTTACCCAATGAAGATATAATTCTTCCAAAAGATCTAATTGCAAAATAAGTTCCTTCATCAAATCACAGATCTCATTAGTAAGAAAGTTTTTAGAAATATTTAGTACTTTCACTTTGTTTTAAGTATTTAGTAAACATTTCAAAATTTTAATAACAAACTTATCCCCTAATTTATTGTCTTCTACATTAATAATTTCCATCCTATATATATAAATGGAATGATTACTTATTCTCTCTCATTTGTAATTATTGGCAAAGACAATCAACACCCATCTATCCGATATTATTTTTAGATAAATCTACAACAGTAGCTTATTTTCCAATTTAACTCAATATCGTTACAGCACCATTTTATTTTATTCTATTATTGCTCAACAAGAATTCCTTTACTCCTTAATTTTAACGTAACCCTTCAGATAACACACTAATATATTTATCACCATAATGATGATTATTAATTGATATTTATGATTCATTACCATTTTATTTTATGAGACCTAATTTACATGGCAAAACATCTAATGACTCTGCTTATTTAAGCATCTAAGTTTGAATTGAATCATTAATTTTATGATATTCATTTTATTATTTCACTTTACTAAGTACTTTATAATGTTAAAAGTAACTTCGAGCAGATTGAGATCCTACCAAAGGTTTCAGTATTTAATCTTCCTTTTTTTGCTCTGGTGATTCTTATAATTATCTCATAATATCCTTATCACTTAATTTATCTTCTTCTTTTCTTATAGCTTACAAAACACTAAAACGATCCACTCTTTAAAACCATTATTTTTTTCCTCCTGGATTGTATAATTATGCAAAAGATTAAGCTGGACTTATATTTATCATTACTGTTCAAATCAGATTGGTTTCCTACAGACATAATTTTTTAATAATCCTCAACTGCCTTATCATTGAATTGTAAACTAACAATCTTACGTTTAGAACCTGAGACTTAAAAGTTGTTTGATAATCCAACATGCATTTTTATTATTAATATAAAATAATTCTCAAATCAAGAAAATATTATACAATTTCATAATTCAATATAAAATCAAAATTTATCATTAACTAAATATTCTGCTAAAATTTAAATATTATCTTTTTGTTCAAATTTAAATATATATATATAAATTTTAATTATTTTTTATACTTATATATATATAATCTCTTTCAATAAAAAAACCAATATTTGTTTGCAATAAAAAACTCAAAAAATTGTTTCGATTTTTCAAATTCTATACCTTCACCTTTCTTAAAACATGTTCTAGCATAGAAATAAAAAGTTGCATCAACAATCGAAAAAGGAAAGTGTTCTTCATCGTAACCTAATGAATTTAAAATTATAAATAATTATATCATTCTTGATGTATATCTAGTCTCAATTTCTTATCCAATATTTTTATTATCTAACATCAGAATCAATGAGTTAAAGCTCTCAAGGATTATATATTCATTCTCTTTTCCTGATTCTTCTTATATCTTTGGTAATTCATTCCACATCAGTTATTGGAATGCACAAAAATCATTTTTTTTAATAGCATAGCTTTTTTAATAAAAGTAATTAAATGTTTAATTAATTCTTTTTAGCGAAGAAGTTATTACTGATTTTGCTTAGTCTAAAAAATCTCTTAAATTTAGTAAAGGTAAAATTTAACTTGTGTATTCAATTAAACAAAATTAGGTTATAAAAAGATATTAGGTAATTGTAGTTTTTGGCATTTAATTTAGAAGATTAATCATTTAAGTAAACGAATCAATACATTCAAAATTATCTTCTTGAACTTACATTAAAAATAAATGACTCAAAAGAAGAAATTAATTATAGATACAATCATTTAGTATTATTTAATATGCTTTATTAAAATAAATCTTTGCCAAATAGTATTTTCTTTAATAAGTTAGAAATTAAGCATAAAAATCATAGATTACCCAATTAAAATAATAATTCTATAGATTTTCATCTATATATTTTATAAATTCTTCAATAAACAATTAGTCTATATTATTGAATTTAATAGCCTCAAAATATATCCAACCCTAATAAAATATCATATATTTATCAAAACGAGAATTTTACAAAACTTCCATTATATTATTAAATTATTCTTTATTTATTTAATTTGAATTATAAATTTCTTATTCCATATTAAAAGCTTAAGGCTGCTACCTTTCTTTAGAATTTATCAATTCTTATATTACATGCATATTTGATATATTTTTACTGCCTATTTAATCAATAAAATTAAAAATCTTATATTAATCTTTATGATAAATGTAGTTCTACATCCCATTTGATTTACTTAACCATATAGAATCAATCAATATAAACTTCCATTCAAGTAAGATTTAATAAAAACTTTTATAATTTATTAAATAAGAAATGATTTCATCTCTTGTTTAAATCCAAGTATTATTCAATCGAGATTTTAAGCAAAAAAATTTAAGTATCGACTCATCATTCTCCAGTTCAAGCTCATTTTGAATACTATTTATGGTATTTTTTGCTTAATCCATTTCACCTATAATATAAAGCAACTCTGCTTCCTGTAATTTTAAATTACAATTAAATTCTCCTTAAACAGCCTAATAACCCTGACAAAGCATCAATTAAAGCATTTTCGAGCCTTTCTTTTCTAAAATATCTAAGTATAAATCATATTCTAATTTTGTTAAATTTTCAAATGAAATTTCTTCAAAGATTTCGTCTGCTGTTGAATTTTCAAAATATTTACTAATAAATTGATCAATTATCATTATCTACTTAATTTTTTCATCTTAATTAGTAAATTTAAAATGAGTAATATTTAAGATTTCTTAACCCCAAATTATCGTTTATGGATTTTAAGGCAGATCCAATATGTTTTAAAATATTTTATGAATTTAATTAAGATAAAATTGATCTTCCTGATTCATTTTTATATCTTCTTTAGTTAATAGTATCTCTTAAATTTATGGTGATCTTATGAATTTTATTTAATTAAATTTTTATTTTATAAAAATATAATCTTTATTGTAGAGAGAATCTATTTTAGGATGCACTTTTAATTATTCATCTAAAATGTATTATAAATTAATTATACTATCTTCAGGGAATAGTATTTAAAGCATAACTAATTAAAATGCATAGATATCTTTTTTAAATAAATTCATCTTAACCCTCTTTAAATTATTTTATAAAGCTTATCTTTGTTTTTTCTACATATAAATTTTAGTTCCAACAATTGGATATTCACCAAAAGGAGTAGAATATTAAATTGCACATCCAAAATCAGCTAATACCCAACCTTTTTGTATGGTATTTATAATATTTTCTAATTTAATATCTCCATGAGCAATTTAAAGTGAGTGAATTTTAATAATACTATCTAAAATACAATCAAAAAGATTATTAAATTGTAAATCATTAAATTTCTTTAATTATTTTAAGTATTCTTTTAAATTTCCAAGTCCAAGGTCTAAATAAGCATACATTCGATAAGTATTCATATATTTCTAACTTATATGTATTTAATTTTGTATTTAAATTATGCATTCTGGATATTTTTCTGCAATCTTTTTTTGCAATCTAAATTCTTCTGCTTATTATAAAACATAATCAAAATCACAATTTCCTTAAACTTTTAAAGCAGCTGGCTAATTATTATTTGGATTTATAGTTGAATATACATTTCCATATGCACCACTACCTAACAATAATCCATTTTCTAATATCACATTAATTCTTTTCTTCTCAAAATCAAAAAATAATTATTAATTATATAAGAATACTTCTGGATAATTTCTAAGTAATTGAAATATAGTCCTTTCTAATGATGAAATATTAACTACAAATTAACCTCTGACAGCATTTAATTCTTAAAAATAATCTATTGTTTAAGTTTATTATGATTCTTGTTTTTATTGATTATCTGAATTATTCATTATTATAAATTTTATTTCTACAAAGTAGTTTTTAATCATCTAAATCTGTTTATCATAATTTTTATTTCTATCATCATATTATTCTAAATTATATTAGTTATTCTAAGCTTTTTTAACAAATTATTAATTTATTGATGAGCTCTAAATTCAAATTTATTAATGAATGAAGCATTACTTATATTCATTTTACTCATATCAATTTAATTTTATTAAGTCATATATAATAAATAAATATTGTTACTAATCTTCAATTTATTCCAATTAACATAATTTGGCAAATATCAGCCAGTTCAATTTTTTCAACTTTTATTTTTTATGTATTTATTTAGCATATTTAATATTGAGAAGGACAAGTTCATGTTATTGGATGTAACTGATTTAAAAATACTAATAATTATAATTAATAAAACAAAAAAAAACTAAAAAACGATTATTATTTTTCTATTTTAAAAAATGTCCATTCTAAATTAACTTCAGTTTTAAAGAATTTCTATTTCTTTAGTTTATAAAAAATAATTGTTTTTTACAATTACTTTATAGAAAGAAATCATTTCTAAGATTGAATAATTAAAATGTTATTTTTTTTAGAATAATAAAAAATATTTTTTCAATATATTTAGCAACAACATCCTTAAGAAGATCTTTAAGGTTCTTAGATTTGGTGGCTTTGTATTTTTTATTAATTTTCTTTATTTTAAGTATTTCCAGAATTTAGCTCTAACGCTTTTTTAATATCATGGAATCCCTACTAATTTTTTCCCATCTTTTAGAGAAGTGCGCCTAAACAAATTAATAAAATTTACCTCTAGTTAAATAGAAAAGTGGATTATTTTTGTCTAATGCAATTGCTTTATCAAAATCATTAAGACTTTGTTCTAACTTACCAACTTTTAAATACAGCAAACCTTTTTATAATATTAAAACAACCTCGATTAAAATAAGCCAAATTACAATTTTAGTTTAACTAAATAGCTTTGTTAAAGTCTGAAAGAGATAAATCAAATTTTCCAGTATCCTTATAGAGTATACCTATTTATTTAATTTCTTTAAACCTCGGTTATTATAAGCTAAATCTCCATTAGGATTCAATTCTATAGATTTGTTATAATCCATTAAAGCTAATGTATTCTTCTTCATATCCGTGAATAAGGCACCTTTTTATGAATAAAATTACATACCCCTATTATTATAAGCTTACCAACATTTGTTATCAATTTCTAAAGCTTTATAATAGCATTTTAGAGCCTCTTCTTGATGATGCAGACAAATTAATGTTATTCCTGAAAAATTAATATAAGAAATACCTTTTCTTACATATGCCAAAGAAAATTTTGGATTTGATTGAATTGAACTATCACAGTCCTTCAAAGCTGAATTAAAATCTTTCTATTTCAAATGATAAATAGCTTAATTTTCATTTATATATTTACATCTATGATAATACCCCTATGGAAATTAAGGATTCAATTCGATGGCCTTGTTTAAATCACTTAAAGCCTTTTAATGGTCAATTTCCAATAATATTTCACCTAAATTTTAAAATATCTAAATTTATACCTCTTAAAATATAAGCTTCATAATAATCAGGTCTAATAGTGATAGCTTCACTAATAACTTTAATAGCCTCATCCATTTGACTTCTTGATTTAAGTAACTTTGTTATTTGAATTTTTAATTTACCATGCATTATTCAAAAAGTTGTGAGGATACAAGTGTTGCTTATTGTGTATCTAGATTCTATTATTATTCAGGCATTGTATCCTAAATCATACTTTTACTAAAATAATTATTGAAAAATTCTAAACCAAACATACAGAGTATTAAATTTACAGTTAAAATAAACTTCTAGTAAATTTTGAGACATTTTCAAAAATATTTAAAAAAATATGCAAGTAAAAGGAAATCAAAAATTCAAAATAGTATCTTTAAAGTTTATATTATTTTTTATTATAATAATTAATCTTAATTTTTCTTTGTTCATAAAATATAGCAAAACAGAATTGCAAATTCGATATCCTTATTTTAAGTTTCATCTCTGTAATTTAAATTAAAGATTGAAATAATGATAATATTTGTCTTTAACCTTAGGGAAAATGCAATATTTAATTACTTTACCCATAAAAAAATTTATTCATATTAATTTTAAAATTATATTATACCTATATTATATATAATTCATCCTTAGAAATAAAAAATTGCTTCAGCATTTAGTCTATCCTATTAAACGAGTAATTACTAATTGGAAATAATTTTTTCTGCTTATTCAACCCATAACTAAAATTAAAAAATAATAAATATACTTGGAGTCCCTTTGTTCTAAAATTTTTTAATTATATAATGCTTTCTTCTAAAGACTTTAAATTCTAAAGTTTTAGAATAATCGATGTTTTAATTGGGTTTTTTAATTTGGTAAATTAGTCAATTATATCATTTTTGTTTGATATTAATTTAGCTTAATCTCCCGAACTTTTTAGATTTTCTGTAATTTGTTTTACAAATATAACATCTACAAATTTATTTTCATTGATTATACTAAGAATTAGTTGTGCAATTTAACTTCCCTTTTATAAATCTTACCTTTAAATTGATAAATCTATTAAAAAGCAACCCTTCAACAACATAATTTAGAAGAGATCTTTGAGACTTCTAGACAATTGGTTATAATATTCTTTTTATGGTATTTATTACATAATTACTGAAAATAATTAGATATTATCTTGAAAATTACTTTAATTAAGATCTTTTAAGGGTAATTATTATAATAATGAATTAACTTTAAGAAATTCATCGTATAAAACTTTCAAGTCATTATCGAAATTTTAATTAATTAATTTTGATTACTCAATAAAGTAATTAATATACTCATTCATATTTAAAGGTATTGAGAGTTAATCTTTAATTAGATTTAAGTCTTATTTAATAATTTTAATGGTTTTTGAGTATTTAAACAGACCAGGATGATTAATAGATAAGAAAAAATCAAAATTGCTTAATTTTTCAAATTCTTTACTTAATGGATCTTTAAATTTGCAAGTATTTTGTGGATAATTTTATATTTATTGAAGAATAATTGGTTTTCTATTCATAATTTTGTTTAGATCAGATTATTTTTAAGATTTAATTTTTTCTTAATCAAGATATGAAAATATTTTAGGATTAATTTAAATATTTTAAACCTTCATCCAAGATTCTTATTCATAAATTAATCCAGATACATTTGTATGAACTCTATTTACTCCTGTTGCATCTTTCATAACTTAAGCAAAATCAACTTTTGTAACAATTTAATCATTGCATTTCCACCAAGTATTATAATCTTACTTATCAAGAATATAACTATAATAATGACCAGATGTAGCACCGCCATCATGCATAAGTACTGCAGTTATACGATAAATGTTCTAATCTGATTTTAATAATAGTTTCTTTTCTGTTTATATTTATTCTAATCTATCAGTAAGTAATTAAACAGATCTAATAAATTTGTTCTTATAGTTTTCTAATTAAAAAAGCATCTATTGACTAGATATTAATTATTAATTCGAAGTACTTTCATCAAAAATCTAGAAATCATCAATAATTAATGTTTTATCAAGTTATCCTTCACCTCTTTTAAATAATTTAATTATTTTGCTAAAATTTTCATCAATTTCATCTTTAGAATCTCCATATCTTTTTAATTCATCTAAGACTTTTTATTCTTCTGCATTAAGCCTCTATAATTCTTTATTCATTTATTTAGTATCACTAGCCTAAAATTAATTTATATTTAAAGAAGTTGGAAAATCAAATTTTATATTGTTTTTACAAGGTTATTTTTATTTAGGATCATAATATACTCTATTAATATAGAATGATAATATCTTTGGAGGTTGAAGAATAATTTAATCTATTTTAGCTTTAGTTTTCATTTTTGAATCATTTTCAAATTCATCTATTATTAATATTCTTGTATTAAGAAATCCTTTTTCTAAATTTTTATCTTGAGCATCAATACTGATAGATCCAAAAGTTGTTATTGTAGACTTTATAATTTCTTCTTCTTTTTCTTTATAGGTTAGAATCTCTTTGGATTCTCCATAAAATATTTAGCTAAACTATTTTTTTAATTCTTCATCTCCTATATCTTTAAGGGCTTATTCTATTCCATCTAAAAAAGCATTTTATAATTCATTAAAATCATTTTGCACTCCTTTTATTAACAGAGTATTTGGCTTGTATTTTTAAAGAGCTTCAAACAAACCAATAGGATTTATAAATTATAAATTAGTCTCTTATAAATTAGCAAATAATTATTATAATTTTAATAGAAAAATACCTGCACTTGTTGAGTTTTCTTTTAAATCAATTGAAAATATGAGTTATCTAAATGGAAGTGAATTAAAAAGACTTTACAACATAGAATTCATATAACAGGCTATAAAATAATAATTTAATATTGATTACTATTTCCAAGATTCTTCAATCCAACTGGAATAAATTTATTTAGTCTCTCTTATTCTTCCATTTGGGGTTATCTAAATTATATATTACATATTACTAATTTTAATCATCCATTGAAAGTTGAATTGCATGTTTTAAATCATGATCTTCTAAATCTTTTAGTTACTTTTTCAATAATATCTAAGAGTTCATTAGATCTTCTTGACTTAAATTCTAATTTTCTACTTCACTTTACATAGTTTTATTTAAATACCTTATTCTTATTAGTTCTTCATGGAATGTATTTTAATTAAACCCACATTGTTACCATGCTTATAATATTTGTTGTTTTTTAAACCCAAAGGAATAATATTATTGCATCAATTAATCAAATGTTGAAGGTGTGTGTCTGAAGCTTTTGTTTAAGGTATTTTTCATTAATTTATTTTTATTTTATAAAAAAATTAAACTCCTTTTAAGTTTATCTATAATAATAAAACAAGAATATAAGATTAACTAATTTTTGCATATCATTAAATTTAAACAGATTCAATTGATTATTGATATTAATAATCAAATTATTAAAAATGCTAAAAAAATGATACTTAGAAATTAAATGATTGTTGTTTTTTTGCTTTAACATAATGACTTTTTATATGTCTTAAAAGAAGAACTATAATACTAACTTATATTACTTTGATGTTTTATTTATTTTTGTTTGATATTTAGATTTTTAAATGAAAAAAACTGATTTCTGATGATTTTAAAAATTTCCAAAGTTTAATTAAACTAACATATTAGAAATTTAGAAGGATATTTAATGAGGTTAAGTAAATATAAATTATTTGAAATGAAGAACATTTAAATTTTTTGTTTGATTTATAAAAAACTGATTAATTAATATAAAACAATAAAAAATGAATAATTATTAGAATATAATCTATGAAATTATTTGTTATATTTTCACAATAAATAATTTTGAATAAGAGTGTAGAGAGTAAGAGCATGAATTCGTTTAGAAAGATAGTAACAATTATCTTATAATATTTTTATAGAAGGATTGATTAAAATATAATAAATAATCTCTTTTTTGTATAGACTTTATTTGTTGAATAAAAGATGCAGCAAAAAAATTATTGATTGATTAATGTCAGTAGTAAAATTAAAATGTTTGAAAGTGGAAGGGAAAGTATTCTCTTTCAATTTTTAGTATAATAATTGAATTGCTTGAGATAGATATGAGAAATAAATGAATTAAATACAGTCAATGGTTTGAATTCAAAAATTCATCTATATCAAAATGAATTTAATATGAATCTTAGATAAATTTTGTACCTGATAGAAGAGGTATGTTGAATTGATAGTTATTATATAGAAAAAAGAATAAAAAGAGAATAGAAACGAAAAGATTAGCATATATAAGACTGGAATGAAAATTTTAATAACTATATAGAAATTAATAAAATGAATGTGCCTATGCCATAACCCAAACTTATTACTCAAGATAACTCGAAACTATAAAATGAAGTGATAGGTTTTTTTAAGTCAGGAGATCTTAGATGGAACACTGGTGCAACGATTCCAGAAAAGAAGGAAGGATTGAATTTGATTATATAAGGTTTAAAGAAAATGCAATTATGGATTGAGAGTATATTGTTTAGATTGTATGTTATAAGGAGAATATGATGTAGAGAGGAAAAAGTAATTGTAGTTTCAATATGATTAAAGAAAGGAGGAAACAGTAAAAAGATTGGAGACATTAGAGAAATATGAAAAAGGGGAAGTGATATAGGAATCTAGTGGAAGTGGTGGTAGTAATCAATAACAATAAAAGTAATATAATTAAATAAGTTAGAAAATAGGGAGAGAAAGATTAGAAGAGTGAATTATCAAATGCTTTATCTGAAGCAATAGTAAAAGATAAACCTAATGTTAAATGGACTGATATAGCAGGGTTAGATGGAGCCAAGTCTGCTTTATAAGAAGCTGTTCTTCTTCCTATAAAATTCCCTGATTTCTTTGAAGGAGCAAGAACACCTTGGAAGGGAATACTAATGTATGGAGTAAAAATTTAAATAATTCAATTAGCCTCCAGGGACAGGAAAAACATTTTTAGCAAAAGCTTGTGCAACTGAGGCAGAAGGAACGTTCTTTTCAGTATCATCTGCTGATTTGATATCAAAATATGTAGGAGAGAGTGAGAAATTGATAAAAACATTATTTTCAATGGCAAGAGAATAAAAACCATCAATTATTTTTATTGATGAAATTGATTCAATGTGTGGAGCTAGAGGAGAAGGATAAAATGATGCAAGTAGAAGAGTAATTACAGAATTTCTGGTTTAAATGTAAGGAGTAGGACATGATGATAAAGGAGTACTAGTTCTTGGTGCAACTAATTTACCTTGGGCTTTAGATACTGCTATTAGAAGAAGGTATCAAAATATTTTTGATATTTTCAGATTTGAAAAAAGAATCTATATTCCACTTCCTGATGTTAAAGCTAGAGAATATATGATTTAAAATTCACTTAAGAAAACCACAACTACTTTAACTCAATAAGAATTCGAAGATCTTGCTATTAAAACAGAAGGATATTCTGGTTCAGATATTAGTGTCTTAGTTAGAGATGCTGTTTACGAACCTGTAAGAAAACTACAATCAGCTAAGAAATTTAAATAGATCAATGTTAATGGTAAATTTAAATGGACTCCTGTTACTGATAATGAAGAAGGTACTCCTAAGACTTTCATGGAACTTAATCAAGGTGATATTGCTATTCCTGATGTTTGTTACAATGACTTCTTATTAGCTTTAAAGAAATCTAAGAAATCCGTTTCCTAAGATTAATTAGTAGAATTTGAAAAGTGGACTAAAGAATTTGGACAAGAAGGTTGATTATTACCTTTATATACATACGAATATTCAATATCCATTTTATATATTATATATTTATATATAACATCATCATTAATATATAACATTATTATTATTTATACATTCATATATCATATTAAACATATCATTATTTATTAAATTTCAAATAAACAGTTTTCAATCAAATATATAATAATATAAACTTATTAATATAATTAAAGCACATATTCCTAACACCAACCAATCATATTTTGAATTTGCTCCACTTTCTTCTTCCATTTTTACTTCCTTCTCTTTTTTAGCCAATTTATTAACCTTTTTTATAATCTTAGACTTTCTCATTTTCCAATTCTATTCTTTTAACCACTTTCTAAGATCTTTCATGTTTTATTGAAACAACTATTTAAATTCTTCTTAAACTATAGGATCACTTAAATCAATTCCAAATTATGTTGCTTTCTCATTTACAATTGGTTTACTAAAATTTGATCTACTTATTCTTTCAATCTTTATTTTAGCTGCCATCAATTAACCTAAAAATTGACGATGTTTTTCAGCTTCCTAATGTTTTCCTTAACTTTCATATAAATGTAAGATCTATACACCTCTACTTTCAATAAACTTACCAAGTTCATTTATTTCTTCTGCCACTTAAATATTTGTATCTTCTTCAAAACTTGGTTCATATGAAAGTGTATTAAAAGAATACTTTTTCCAATCTTCACTATATTCACAATCTTCATCTTCTTCCTCTGATGATGAATCTTCCTCAATTATCTCCTTATATTTCTATTATTATTATTCAATCCCTTTAGTTTCAAGAGATGTTTTTTCAATATTTTTCATTACATTTTATGATATTTCAATACTTGATCTCATCATCTTTTTCAACTCTAATTTAGCCTTAGTTAATTCCTTTCTTATTGCTTCATCATCATCAATTACTAATGCTCTCTCTAAATCTTCTATTGCTTATTTATAATCATTCTCCTCTGCATTAATATTATCCAATCTAGCCTAAGTTTTTTTAAACTCATACTTTTGCTCTTCTATAATATGCCTTAGCATTATCCTAAATATTCAATACGTAATCACATGCTGCTATTGCATCCTTATATTATTTCTCTTTTATATAACAAATTGCTAAATTTAACAACAATTTTATTCTTATATCAACTATTCTTTCATCAAAATTATCATCCTTATATGTCAAATCATCATCCACTATTCCTTCATTTTTCCAATTTGCATTTTTATTTTCAATATACAAAAAAATACTTAATGACTTTTCATATTCATGAGATGCATTCCCAAATCTCCCTTTTATCAAATTAATTTATTTTTATACCTTATTGAAATAAACTATTTCCATTCTCCTTTAATTCATTTGCAAAACTAAGTCTCTACTCTATATCTAATTTTCTTTATTCAACATATTAATTCAAATAATATAAACCTGCTTTAATAAACAAAGGTTATTTTTCAAATACTTTTCTTTTTGAATGCATTTCATGAGATTTTATTGCAACTGCCTGTTAAAACATTTAATTAAACTCATTCATTACTTTATAATGTATTTATTTAAATAATTTTGATCATATTTATTGAACTTTATTAATTTATAAATTAAAAATTCATTGTACTAATAAATATCCAGAAATACCTATTTATTATAAAACTTATCCGATTTATCCTTCATCTGACTATTTGGTGTCTAAATTGAAGTTTGGGGGAAAAAAGAAACCATTCTAATCTCTATATTATTATTATTTGGCAATCATATGGTATTAAGGCACGTTGGTTTTTAGTTCAATACCGTTATAAAGTTTTTTTTTCTCATTACATGTAATGATTAGAATGTCTTTAACCATTTTTTTATATCCTTTTTCAATACTTAATAATCAGTTTATAATGGTTATTTAATTACATGGCTCTCTATGAACTATTAATTAAAACATATTCTATTCCAACAAGAAATACATTTTATCAGTAGCATTTTGCTTTTCCCCCTTAAACTTAAGATGGAATATTCAACAAATTCGGCTTATTTCATAAATTTTAGCTACTCAAAGTCGTCCATAAAATATCTGCTTTTCATAAGTATTTAAATATTAATACTTTTATTTCTAAACCAAGAAATTTCTTAAAATAATTTTAATTCTGTAATTTTTCTTGAAAGACATCCATCCATTAATGTAATTTCAATTTTCAATTCATGTTTTCAGCAACAATTTATAAATCCATTGTTTTGAATTGAAACTATCTTAGATATTTAATTAAATTCTAATCTGCATCCATTTCAAATAATAAAATTGCTTTTACCTTGGACAGGTGTATATGTAAATATTTTTTAATGAATTTCAAAAATATAATATTTATTTAAAGAGATTTTATGCATCCTAAGTAATTTAATACAAAACTTATTTATTATTTTAACTAGCAATTTACTTAAAAAGATCTCTGATTTGTAAAAATAATGGTATAATTAATGTTATACTAAGAGATTAGTTAAACATTCTAAGTAAAAAATAGATTTTTAATGGATATTTTAATTTATTATTATTGAATAGATATTAGACATTTAGAAATCTTCAGAAAGTATAATTTATTTTCTAAGTCCAAATATTTTCCTTTATGTTTGTGATTAAATAAAAGTGTTAGATTAATTTTTTTTTGAAGAGATGAGTGTAATCCAAATTCAAAAAATCCTTCGAAATATTTCAGGTATTTTTAAATAGTTGATTGAGGAAACTGATTTTTCAAGGTGTCTTTGTTCTAATCTGAGAAAGTCTATTTGAAATAGAAAGTTAGAATTTAAGAAATAAAGAAGGATTTTAATATAAATAAAAAATGGTAATTAGATTTTAATTAATGCTATTTAGTAATAAAATATAAGGATGATGAATTTGATAAGAATGTGGTTTGATAAAAATTTAGAAATCATAGAATGATATGGTATAAGATTCTAAGATAGCTTTATAATTTATATAATAAGATAACTACTCGAATTAGAAAAAAAAAAAATAGATTAATTTTTTAGATTATAGTTTTTATTTGTGTTATATTAATAAAAATAAATTTTTTATTCTAATTGAATTAGTTAACAAAATTAATAAAATTAAAATATATTTAATGGGATTTATTTTTAAAATGTTTAATATTTTATAATGGAAAATTAATTACCTATTTAATTAATAAATTTATAAGCTAGCTTTCTAAGAAGAAAAAAAATATTAATACAAGAGAATTATAATTTTAATGCCTGTTGATGAGATATGAAAAAAATTAAGTAAAGTAAATAGAAATGTGGAAAGGATGTTTTAATTGTTGGATCAGTTAATTACACATTCACTTTATTATGAATGGGATAATGTAGAGATTTCATAAAGAAAGGATGAGAATATAAAGAGAGAGAGAAGTATGGAAAAGATTACAAGACTTTTATTTTAGATGAATTAAAGAGAAATTTAAGTTGGAATATAAGGGATACAAAAAATGTTTGTAATAAATTTTAAATAATTTGTAAGACCAGATAGGGTTACTTACTTCATTTATTGCAGAAACAATTTTGTGTAAAGTGTTATGATAAAGTTGTTTGTTTTAATAAATTTAGATAAAATTTATCTAATAGTCATAATAAAATAATAATATTTAAAGTGACAGAAAAATATAATGGTATTATTAAATTGGGAATAGGGAAAAAGACTGATCTATAAAAAATATCCATTAGATTATAGTTTTATATTTAATAAAAAAATTTGATTAAAAATTAGATTAAAAAAATGTGTGGATGTAAAAATATAAAAAGATATAATATGTTTGAATAATAAAATAATAATTTAATCATCTATTTTTTAATTCGATATTAACATTAGGTCCTTTTAGAAGATGATCTTTTTCTTATTCTTACATTTTTTCATAATCAACTCCATCCATTGTTTCCCTAACTTTACCTTTGTAATATGATTTGATTGAATTTCTCATTCCACGATGAACTCTATCAATGGCAAATTTATGTCTAGTTAAGATTAATGATGCTTTTTCTGGAATGGGAGATATGATAAATGATGAGAAATACTTGAGTCCTAAAAAGACAATAACAAAAATGGCATAAGAAGCTGATTAAGAATCAGGTGGTACAACACCAGACGTAAATACAATCAAACCTGCATTACAAAATACAGATAAGAATGCTATGATTTCCATAATCCAACTCCAATTAGCTATATCAGCAGCTGAACAAGGTATGGGTCTTTACATGAAATGAATTAATTTTAATTTATCAACTTAGATTTATGTTATATTGGTAAGGAAAGCTATAAAATAACAAAGTGGAAATGCTAATCCAAATAATTACAGGAAAGCAAATTGAACAATTAATTCCATATAGTCATTCATTAAACCATCTACTTCTGGATTAGAGACATATGGTTCTAGATCTGATTATTTTTCTATAAATTCATCAATTTAATTGAATTCATGCACAACTAAATTTTCATCTGCTTATTTAGTTTCTGCTCTTATGAATGCTTTAATACATGGTGTAATTAATTATGGTAATGTTTTAGCAAAATTCACCATAAAAATAGTGACCATTTAATCTTTTAATGCTCTATAACAATTATTTCCTATAGAAGTTTTACATAAAGATAAAGCAGGAAATGATTCATTTAAAAATGCAATAATTGCTAAACAATTAAAAGTATTAATAAATATAAAAGTGTATGTCTTCAAAATTAAACTATTTTCATAAGATGACTCATATTTATGATTTTCAAAATCATTTAATTTATTAGACACATTAAAATAGATAAGATTAAACAATTAAATTACAATAGCATTAATCATGGAAGGTACAAAGGAGACTAAAAATTAATTATCTGGATACTCTTCTATTAAATAACTATTTAATTGTCATAAATACTTTTTTAAAATGAAAACTCCTATAACACTAGCTATAACCATTAATACAATAATTAATGTGACTGAAGCTGAATAAAACAATTTAAATTGTTTCTTCCATGTAGGATAAAATTCTTCATTCAATTTATCAGATATGAGTGATCTTATAAAATCACCTTCAAATGCTGGTCTTTCTATCTCTCCTGCTTCTGTTTCTACATTTTAACCAAATTAAATTTAAAACATTGTTTATTGTCTTTTCCATTAACAAATAAAATAACTAGACCAAGATATTAATATAACTGCAAATATTACTATAAATGCTTTATGTGCATCTCCTGTTGTATTATCTATTACTCCTTCACAAATTATAGCTAATACAACTACACTCCATAATTAATGAGAATAAAATTATAAAAATCTAAAATATAAACCTATTTTCTCTCCAAAATAATCTCTCATACTATCAATAGGTAATGTCCATGGTGGAAACCAATGAAACTTACATTCTTCTACTAAACATTCACTATCAAAATCTGCTCCTTCTGCTTCATCTTTTAATGAAACAAATAAATTATTTAATTTTAATTCTCCTTTACTCTTTTTACCTTCCTTTACTAATTATAAATCTATCAATGGTTTTATCATTGGTCCTTTTGATAATCCCATCAATTGATATGGATCATGTAATGCAAAATAACTTTATATATATCCATTCTCTATCAATTTCTTCACATTTAAAAATCTACTTACTGTACCATATGCTATTTTCAATTTTTCCATATTCATAAATTCAGATCTATGTCCTTTTTCACTAACTTCATATTATCTCCATAATCCATCTTCTGAATGAGTTACAAAATATTATTCATATGGTGCTATTGGATTAATACCTTATCTATCCCATAAATTAGCTAAAATTAATTTCTCTTTAAACCATGAATTATTAAAAGCTAAATAAAGTTCATTAGGATCACCTAATGCTTTACGAAATATTAATTTAAATAAAAATCCTTTATTAGCTTTTATTTCTTTTTCAGTATAACAATCTTTTACTCTAGTTAAATAATCTATTAAATATAGTTAATAAATATAATAGGCTTCCCAGACATCTCTTGACAATGGTTAATCATCAACAATTTAAGCTCTTTCTGAATTTAAATTTATTTTCAATTCTATACACATCCATTAAATTAAAGGATCCAATATTTATTACTTTATAACACAATTTGCTCTTAATTCTTAATCTCCCCATTTTAAAACTCCTTAATATATTTTTTAAGCTTCACTATCAATTCTAGCTGGTTTCTTTTTTTTCTCTTTAGAATCTTCCTTTTTATCCTCTATATAATTTGGTGCCTCCTTTATAAAATCAGGATCTCTTAGATAATTCTTTAATCTTAAAGGTCTAAGCAATTTATCACAAGGCTCTAATGATAAAATGTCAGCAAATCCTAATTCATATTGTTTTTACATTCTTTATAACTCTGCTTAATATTTAACATATTCTATCTTGCTTTTTAAAACTACAAAAATATATTAATCATCACTGCTAATAAATTATCTACAATGAAACTAAGCATCTCTACATAATTTTGTTATTACAGTCATTCTAATCAAAGTCAAAAAATCTTAAGGTGTTTAACCTATTTAAATCCAATCATAATCACTTTTATCTTCTGTCCACTTTTTATAAAGAAATCCCCCTTTACAATATTTCTTATTTATATTCTAATAGACATCTAAATTTTCATTAGGTTTTAAATGAATTAAATTCAACATTTAAATCACCTCCTAATTTATTTCCTCACTTGGTGTTCTTTATAAAGGTACTTCCTCTCTCAATAGTTCCTCTATACTTTAATCTTTATTCTTTCTATATTATTCTTAAAATCCATAATATGGTTATAAATCTGGATTATCTCTTTAGTGTATAGCTGTAGCTGATTATTTCAAAGATTCCTTAATTTTCTTTCTATCAGTCTCAACATAATCACTCAATTATAAAAATGAGGATAAGAATACTTATCTCTATATTGTCAATAAAGATTAAGGTACTCCTCCATCTGCAGATATTGCTAATTAACTACTAAATACTCTAAAGTATTATTTTTTTTATTTACCTTTCAGCTTCCTTAATATCAACTGAACGATCTGTCATTTTTTCATAATCTGGATTTGGAAACTTTAATACTAGTTCTCCAATATTATAATCTGAATATTTATCTTAAAGTTCTTAATATTCAGCAGTTGAAAGAAAATCAGTTCTATCTATTTTCACTGTCTCCTCCTCTTCCTCCTCTTAATCACCTGTTGTATTCTTCTTTATTTAATTTGCTTATTAGACTCTTGTATACTAAGCGGGATCAGCTAAATTTAAAACTAGTTTCGCAAACTCTAAAGCTCTACTCTACTCATTAGTTATTTTTGTTTATCCTTTTTATTCATTCTAACACTTCTATTAATTATCTATTATCTATTAATCTTATTCATGAATCGAAGACATATCCTACTAATGAATTGTTTCCTATTTCTCATCTTTTTTATCGCTCACTTCTTATTTTTATTTTTCATCTTTTACTCTCTACCTTTTTTTAGAACTTATTTTCATTTCCATTGCTTTTGTTTTCAAAACTTACTGCCTCTTTTGTTCTGGCTTATTGAATTCGATATTTATCATAACAATTTAAATTATAATGTTTTTGTTTGGTTATAATTTATATTAACTTTATTTCTTAAGAAATAATAAATAAAACTTATTATTTTATTTGTTATTCAACTTACGAGTCTTTTTTACTTGATTAAAATCATTCCTAGAACAATCCTTTTCTAATTTAAAAGAATTAACATATAAATAAAATATTTTAATTTCAAATACTCATTATTCATTTTAAAACAAAGTTAACCAAAACAATAATAACTATATTATATACTTTAATTAACTATATTATATACTTTAAATAAAAACATGAAAACATTATAAAAATATTTATTTTTGATTAACAATAATAATAGCTTTTTTTCTACATATAAACTAATCAAATAGTTGTAAGAAAATACAAAAAAACAATGTTTAATAATATGGATGATTATATTCATATTTTTTAATAGATTAAATGTAATAAGAATATTAAATATAAATAATGATCATTTTTTGGCCAATGCATACAAAAATATTCCAAAAGAAATTAAACTAGCTACAGTTCTCACTGCATGAAGTTATCCCCATTTTTTAAGTAATTTTAATTTCTCTTCTTCTTCTTATCTTGATTCATCCAATAAGATTTTATTGACAGGCATAATTACTATCAAAGTAAATGGTATAACAGAAGCAAGAAATAGTCCTGCTTTTAAGGTAAGCTTATTTTTAAATTTGGCATAATTAATTATTCCTACTAATCCACCAAGAAATGCTAAAGATGCTTACCATTTAGCTGCTCTTTTATAGGATGGCATCCATTAAGTATGTGCAACATCAATTTTACAGCTTAATCTTGCAGGATGTTCAACAACATTAATATAGATTGATGCACCACTAAATAATCCAGCAAATGCTGTTCCTAAGAGAGTTAATTTTGTTTATGTATCCATTTTTATTTATTATATATATTGAATTAAATTTAATTACGGCTTAAATAATTGTTATATAATAAAAAAACTTATAGAATCTGACCATTTTATATTAGCATTTTAATTTTATATTTATTTGCTAAATCTATTTCATTCTTAGATAACTATCTTATCTAAATCGTTGATATTACTCTCAATTTCACTTTCTTATTAAGAAGCTTATGTAACAATATTTTCTTCCTATTAACTTTATTGATTTTCTTCTGTTTGTTCAGATACACTTTCCTATTATTCATTTACGTTTTTTGATATATTTTCAGGTACTTCTGGTTTTAAAGGATTAGATGAAATTTAAGTAATTTAATCCTTACTTTAATCATTCTATTTTTCTTCAGGTTTCTAGTTTAATTGTTATTCATCTTAATCTTTATCTTTAAATAACTTTCCCCAAGATTCTTTTTCTTTCGAATAGGCTAATTTTAGATATTATTTGACTTTTTGTAATTCTTCAATAACAGCTATATTCTAAGGATCTAATTTATAAGCAGATTGAAGATTTTATAAAGCAAATTCCTATTCTCCTATTTTTAAATAAGCCATTGCACATCTATAATAAGCCTTTACATTTTATTGATCATTTGAATTAATTTTCAATGCTGCTTTAGCATGATCAATAGATTCCTTAAATTCATCTTTCAAATAACAACAGATAGATAAATTTAATTACAAACTTGCTTCTAATTCTTTACCTTCTTTAGTATCTAAAGCACAATAAGTTAATGCATCTTTATATTTTTGTTTAGCTATTTAGTAATTTTAATCCTTGAATAATTTTGTTCCTTTTTTTCTAAGTTTAAGAGCTTCTTCATGTTTTTCTTCTGGACTCATTAACCTTGAATTAATTAATGCTTTACCATCTCTTCTTTTTCTCCAATTTGAAACTTACTAATTCTATCTCATATCTCAGATGAGCATCTTTTGGAACATTCTTAAATATGTTTCCATCTCCTCCATATCCATACTCTGGAGTTATTTTGAATTATGATTTTTCTCCAGGTTTCATTGATTGTAAACCAATTTCAAAACCCTTACATCTATCTCCTCTTTTCAGAATATGTTTTGATGGTTAACTTTAACCAATATTAGAATCAAATGGTTTTTAATCTTCCAAAGTACCCAAGTAATATATTTTACAAGTCGAATTAGTCTAAGGATGGTCTCCTTATCCTGCTTACAGAATTCTCTTTTATACTCCTCCATCTTTTGTAATGTTAACAAAATCGCTTTCCATTCTATTTATTATTATCTCTCAAATTCTTATTGTAACTCTCTAATTTAATTGTAATTTAATAGCAGTACAATACTAATTAATTTATTTAATCTTTGCTTCGTGGCACTGTTTAATAATATATTAAAACAATAAGAACATCCCTTATTTGATCAAATTCACCGAATAAATCAAATATCAAGCTAATTATTAAAATTTTATAGAATTAACTTAAAATATCTATTCTTTATTTATAATTAATGAAGTAAAAAATTTTAATATTAAAATGTATATTAAAAGTTGATATTTTAAAGAAGACATAGAAGAAATGATAATGGTTAAGAAAATAAAATGTAAAAATTTTGAAATTAAATTCTTTTGATAAATTAGATTAATTTTTGGACAATTAAAGGTGGACTATAAATAAGTAATTTGATCAAAGTGAAATTGAATTGTAAAAGATGAATCATATGGACTTATAAAAAATTATATTTATCAATTAATTTATTAATATGATGTAATAAGAAACCATATAGATAATTAATGAAATTAATTATTCTTGTTCTCCTTGTGTCAACATAAGTCTTATGTCTTACAACTTCTTGCACCAAGCTTGATCCTAAATAAATAAGCGATTTACATGATGCTGATGATTTAGTTTACTCTGGATATCTAAACACTTTTGAGGGATCTGCAAGTGCATTAGCATTTTTATTTTATGGACATTAAAAAGCCAAAACTGTTGATCAATTAAAGGATTACCCAACTTTAATTTATTTGAATGGATTACTAGGAGAAACCTCTTAAATAGGAAATTTCATAGAAGTTGGACCAATCAGAATTAATTCATAAGGAAAACTTGAGAAAAACATTAATACTTGGAATTCTCAGTTCAATTTATTATTTATAGATCTAGTTGTAGGAACAGGATATTCTTATTATGATATATATTAAGACATTCCTACAAATGCAGATTAAATATCATCACATTTTTTATATGCTTTATAATAATTTCTAGCAAACGATGAAGGATGTGTAAAAAAGCGAAATTTTACAGGGTTAGAAAAATCTAACTGGTATATATTTGGAGAAGGTTATGCAGGAAAGTATTAAATATTGATTTTTTTAGATAAGTAGTTCATTTAGCACATAAAATTTTAGATTCATCTGCTTAACTTTTATAAAATAACTTAAAAGGTATAGGTCTTGGAAATGCTCATATTGATGCTAGTAGTTTACTTAGAGAAATCCCATCTTATGTATTTAATTTTGGATTAGTTGAGCCTAGAGAGAGATAATAACTTGAAAGAGTTGCTTTAAGAGGACTTTAATAACTTAATCAAAAAGATTATTTAGGCACTTATGAAACAATTTAAGCAGCTGTTTAGAAGATTCACTAATTTAGTGGAGGGATTAATATATAGAATTTAGATTAATTGACAGATATAGAAAATTACATTTCAACATTCGAAGCATATTTCAATTTAAATACAACAAAAGCTAGTTTAAATTTTGAAACTGGAATAAAATTTAGATAATCTTCTGCTGATATAATTCATGCATTAAGTTAGGATTTTGCAAAACCAGATGCACTTTAAAAATTAAAAGAACTTTAAACAAAACTTAAAATATTAATATATAATGGTTAAAATGATATTTTATGTCCAGTATCAAGTACTTTAAGATGTTTAAGTTAAATTAATGATGATTTTAAGACTGAAAAATTAGAATCTTTGAAATAAAATGGAAAAACTGTTGGTTATACTTTAAATTCAGGTTAATTAAAGTTTGTATCTATTAATAATGCAGGTTTTCATATTCCTTTAGAAAAAGGAGAAATTATTTTACCAATAGTAACCGATTGGAAATGATATTATTGATATAAAAATTACATATATAAAATCATTTTTTATCATCAAGAGGTGGAAGCTTAACTTCTTTTCTTGCTTATTCAGCTTCCTTTCTTCTTTAAAAATCTCTAATTCTTGTTTTTTCATAATAATCTGTAAAATTTAATGCTTTCTCAGTTCCATCACTATTTTTTTCTTCTCTTCCAAATATAGCTTATATTTCTTCATCTAAACCTCCTCTTCCATGACGTACAAATAATAATTCTAAAGTATCTTCTACAGTTATTTTACCATGCTTAGCCTTATCATACATAAAAAATTAAACTATATTAAATAAATTTCTAAATATGTTAGTAATAGTACCTTGGTTCTAAGAAAGTAGGATCAAAAATACATCTTTTATACATCATTTCAAACTCATAAAATTGAATTTTCTTATCTCCATCTTCATCTATTTCCCAAATAAATAATTCTGCTTCTTTAATTGGTAATAGATAATCTACTTTTTCTAATGCATTCATTAAAGTCTCAGCAGTTATTCCTATTTCACTTTATTTATTCTTTTCATTATTAAAAGTCAAAAGATAATTAAAAACTGCATTAAGTCTTTATTTTTCTACATTAGATAATTGCTTTTCAGCTGTGATTTCTTCATATGATCTTTCAATTCTTTTTTATTACTAACTAAGTTTCTAAGTAGCAGCAACTGAAAAAGACTTAGAATGCTATCTCTATTAATTAGGAGTTAAATTTGACGGTTATTAGGTTGAATTCATTCAAATTATAATATTAATTTATCAAATAAATAAATTCAATCAATCTATCAATTAAAATATAAATCCTTCATTTATATAAACATTTTTTCTCTATTCTCTTACATTATTATTATATGCTTATTAATCTAATAATTATATGTATTCATATTATTTTAAGATACTTTTAAAATTGAATAATCCTAAAATATTCTCTTACTTTAATTTTAAAATGCTTCACTTTCTTCTCTCTAAAGCAAACAAATTAATATACACTCATTATTATTCTTTTTAATCCATTATTTTTTATTTCAAGAAAATTTACATTGAGTTTCAACTATTTCTCTTAAGAATATCTCACTAAACTTGCCTCTCCCTAATACCATGTAGTTTTTGAAAATTTATATCATCTCTAACTTCCTTTTGAACAAAGAAATCTCGTTTAGACACATAAATTAAATTGATTTATAATTTTATAAGTTTATGATTTTTCCATTTAATTATTCTTAAGTATTTATTTAAAATAAATAATTAGAATAAATTTTTATTCCTTTTTAGTACTTATATTTATTTAATGGAATAAACTTTTAGTAGAGAGAAATCTATATCTAAAAATTGATTATCATACACTTACTAAACTTATTACAAGACTTATGATTAAATTACTTAATTTAAAACTTTTCTAACTTAATTCTCTTAATCTGAATATTTGAATATTTAAAATTAATTAAAAACTAATGTCTAGCTTAATTAAGACTTTCAGATATTGTAAAATAGCTGGTCATTAATCCAAAAAAATTACCAGAATTTGTATTTCAAAGTAATCTTGCACAAATAGATATTTATGTGAATTATGCATCAAATAATTAAATCATCAACATATTGAGCATTGTATAAGCATCGAATAATTTTTGTAAAGAATCAATTAAATAAAAATGAATTATATAGCAGCAAATAAAATTGATGAGCTATCTGGAATACTAAAAAATAAAATAAATTCTTGTATTTAAATAATTCAATAGCAATTCTAATAATTAGAGGATAAAGTTGAAATAATCAAGACTAACATTAGAAATAGTTTTACTAATATTACTTAGGTTTTAGATTAATTAAGTTCGAATCCTCTAGGTTTTAATGATGAAAACTTAAATAGAAATTTATATTTTCTGTAAGATGAAAGTTGGAATGAATTTTAATAATCTGTGAATAAAGGTTCCCATATTCTGAAATAGTATTTTAATGTTCTACATGAATAATCATTAAAATTTAAATTAACATAAGGGCATTCATATTAAGGAAGTATTGTCTAATTGTTATAAACTGGCGAGATTTCTTGGCATTTAAAAGGAATAGATCAAGAATTTGAGTCGCAACTTTCAAATCGTTTAGAAATTTCTAGATTTATTATATATTATTCTGCATAGACTTAAGAACTGATGTATTATATTTTATTATAATATATATGAAGAAGGACAACTAATAAATAATAAAGTTCAGGAAGGATTTTGGTGCATTAAAGTCAGAGATAGGCCACATATAAAAGGAGGAGGACAATATCAAAATGGAATTAAAATTGGTGAATGGACAGATATTGTTAGGGATAATCAATTTTAATATCATTATATCACTAATTATTTCAATAACAAAGGAGAACTGTTAAAAACTGTTGACATTAATTATTGTGATTTATCTTCTGATGTTCTCAAAATTTTAGATGAATACGAGCAACTAAATTTTTCATCTAATTAAAATTCATCAATTAAAGATTTAGCATCAAGAGCCTTTTTGTCACCTAAAATTTGTTCTAATGATAGAGTAAGATTGGGATCATATTCATCAATTGGAAAATCAAGCAGAAAGTTGGAGAAATATCTTTGATATTATTATTATCTATCTAATAATAAAAAAATTAATATAAATGCACTATGTTATTTGAATTATATTAGAGTATGAAAAAAAATAGAATAATCAATTAATAAATTTAAATGATTTTTTTTGAATTGTTTTAAAGAAATAATTGATATTTTATTTTATTTTAATTATATTCTACTCTAAGTATTATTGACACAATTTATCATTAATAACCATATAAAATAATTATTTAATTAAAACATGTAAATATTTGACTAACTTTTGATGCATAAAGTATTTAAAAAAAGATATTATAAATTGTTATATTTTTGTTTAAATTTATATTTAATAGATCATTATTGAACTTCAACCCAACCACCTTCAACATGTGCACTCTTTTGAATAAATGCAAACTAATAAATTAGATGAAAATAATAATTACATCGAAGTTTTGGATGCAAGCTTGATCTGAGGTATAAGTAACCTTCTTTCCATTATAATCTGTGTTTTCATATAAGGTAACTCTTCCTTATGGTGGGACCTTAATAGATCTAATTTATGGTGGAATGTTATCATTTTAGAAGTTCGGTGATTTAGAACAGAATTCAAATGAAGCTCCCTTGAAATCACATTCACTATAGAAAATGGCACATGATTCTTTTGGTTCATACCATAATTTGAAATCTCTGAAACCCCATGATTCTAAATATTGTTATAATAGAAATTACCATCAGCAGCATCTTGATCTAAAGTAGATGTGAAGACTATTTCAGCCTTAGGAGCTTAATGATTGAAGATTTCATCAACATTGACAATACCATCCCAAAAAACACCCCAACCACAGAAATTGGCACCTCCAGTTTAGAGATTCCAAGATGTCTTCCAAACATCAGCACCATCAACTCTAATAATCATAAATTCTCCATCCCATGAATCAATCTTATAGAGTGTGGATTACAATCTAAGTCTCTTATGTGGTGGAATCTCAAATGTTTTTGTAGCACTAGCGCCTATACCCATAACATCATATCCTCCAACCATAGATTTACCACTGCATTCATTAATTTATCTTCCTGCTTTATTGTTTTTAAGTATCCAACCATTAATTCCAGTGAATTTATCTTCTAAGAAAGATTATTCTAATAAAATGAAGTTTGGTAAAGCTTAGCATTTACCTCCAACTAAAGCCCAGTTATTAGCACATTCTATAAAATTATATATATTAAATACTTTTGCAATCAGATTCNATCATATTCATCAATTGGAAAATCAAGCAGAAAGTTGGAGAAATATCTTTGATATTATTATTCTACTCTAAGTATTATTGACACAATTTATCATTAATAACCATATAAAATAATTATTTAATTAAAACATGTAAATATTTGACTAACTTTTGATGCATAAAGTATTTAAAAAAAGATATTATAAATTGTTATATTTTTGTTTAAATTTATATTTAATAGATCATTATTGAACTTCAACCCAACCACCTTCAACATGTGCACTCTTTTGAATAAATGCAAACTAATAAATTAGATGAAAATAATAATTACATCGAAGTTTTGGATGCAAGCTTGATCTGAGGTATAAGTAACCTTCTTTCCATTATAATCTGTGTTTTCATATAAGGTAACTCTTCCTTATGGTGGGACCTTAATAGATCTAATTTATGGTGGAATGTTATCATTTTAGAAGTTCGGTGATTTAGAACAGAATTCAAATGAAGCTCCCTTGAAATCACATTCACTATAGAAAATGGCACATGATTCTTTTGGTTCATACCATAATTTGAAATCTCTGAAACCCCATGATTCTAAATATTGTTATAATAGAAATTACCATCAGCAGCATCTTGATCTAAAGTAGATGTGAAGACTATTTCAGCCTTAGGAGCTTAATGATTGAAGATTTCATCAACATTGACAATACCATCCCAAAAAACACCCCAACCACAGAAATTGGCACCTCCAGTTTAGAGATTCCAAGATGTCTTCCAAACATCAGCACCATCAACTCTAATAATCATAAATTCTCCATCCCATGAATCAATCTTATAGAGTGTGGATTACAATCTAAGTCTCTTATGTGGTGGAATCTCAAATGTTTTTGTAGCACTAGCGCCTATACCCATAACATCATATCCTCCAACCATAGATTTACCACTGCATTCATTAATTTATCTTCCTGCTTTATTGTTTTTAAGTATCCAACCATTAATTCCAGTGAATTTATCTTCTAAGAAAGATTATTCTAATAAAATGAAGTTTGGTAAAGCTTAGCATTTACCTCCAACTAAAGCCCAGTTATTAGCACATTCTATAAAATTATATATATTAAATACTTTTGCAATCAGATTCTTTTGGTCCTGTACATTCAGCACAATTATCAGAACATGCTGCATAGAAAATATATAAATCTCTTAAACCAAAAGACTCATCATTTGGTGGCCAATCAAGTGTTGATGTAAATTCAAATTTTGTTGTTTCTCCTGTATGATCAACATCTATTTCCTATCTAGAAAAAATAGTTTTCCATTCAAAAACAGGAGCACCACAAATTTTACCAAAGTAACCTTCATACCACCAGAATCTTTTTTCCCAAACTAATTTTCCATCAATTTTAATTTAAGCAGCTTCGTTATCCCATGAGTCAATCTTGGCCCAAAGAACCTTAATCTTAAGTTTGTAATGTGGTTTGATTTTTAAAACTTTACTAACAACAGCTTTAGCGCCTGTTTTATCAAAACCTCCAAACAAAGCAGCAGCTATAATTATTAAAATATTAAATACCTCCACATTAAGTTGAATGAGCAGCACCACCAGTAACTTCCCAACCATCAGATCCTAATTAATTAGAATCTATGGCACCCCAACTTGCAGCAAATGATTACCAAAAATTACAATTTTCTGATTTATCATCTGCTTAACATGCAGCACATCCATCTGGACATTTTTCAACTGATAAAATAAAATCTCTGATAGCCCATGATTCCTATTTTATTTATAAGTATATCTTACATTATCAGCAGCTTCATTTAAGTTTGATGTAATAACAACTATTGCTGTTGGACCTGTATGTTTAATATTCAAGTTTAGATTAAGTGTCATTTCTTTCCAATCACCACCTTAACCACATTTTTATCCATCACCTTCATTGTATTAGAATTTTCTTGACCATACTAATTAATCATCCACAAAGATATATCCTTCTTCATTGTCCCATGAATCAATTCTAAAAGTTAATTAAAGTATCATACTTCCAGAATTGTATCTTTAAGTTAATCATATAATGAGGTGGTAATTCAACAACTTTACTTGCTACAGCTCTGGCTCCAAATTTACCAAAACCTCCAAACATTTTTGTGCCACTGCATTCTGTAATATGAGGTTATCCCCCAACTACTACCCAGCCTACATTATTAGCAAATATTATATCACCATCAGCATCAGCAAAGTTATTTCCTGTGAACGACTATGACACAACAACTGGCTCTCCAATTACTTATACAAAAGCACAGATTGATAAGACCAACCCAAGTGATATCATTTTCATTAATTATAATATTGATCTATGGGTGTCAATGAACTCACTTAAAAAACGATAAATCCATAATTTATCAGTAACGTAATATAAATTATTAAAAATTATTATTAAGAATTAATTCAAAAATTTAAAATAAAATTTAAATTTTAAATATTTATTACTATAAACCAAAATTTACTATTAAATGTGAATAGAAATCCAGTAATTTTTATATAATTTCTCTCGCCAATATGAAGAAGAAAGTTTTATCATACTTAATATTGGTTGCAAAAAAAATAAGATAAAAAAAGAAATTTATACAGAAAAAAGAAATGAATAAATATAACTTTTCATAATATTTTTATTCTCATAAATGCTAGAAGTTTAGACTTATTCATATCAAATCATGATAAAAAAAATGGAAATATAATTTTATTAATACCTGATGAATGGCCCTCAATAATTTTCTTCATCAATTCTCCCATTTTAATGGTGTTGAATGATGATGAGGAAAAAATTCACGTTTCCTATAATTGCAATTTTCTTTTGTAAAAATCTTATTACCTTAATATTTCCTTCTTAAGATTTCAAATTTTGTATCAAAAACTTTCTAAAGAAGAAATTAATATTTACTTAGAAATGAGAGACCTACATAAAAGAATTATTTTTTGCGAAATTATTTTACAAAACTGATAGTAAGCAGACATACTATTCAGAATTCTTTTTCCTTATTTATTATTCTCTAGAAATGAGATAGAAAATTTGTAAATATTTATAGATTGAATAAAACACTTGTTTAATAATATTATAATATTATTTCTAAATTAAGGTCATAATAATAAGTCTTCAATATCATCATCAAAATCTATTTGTTCAGGAGGTGGAGCTTATTATTTTGGTTTATAAAAATTGCTAGTATTTTATTAAAATTTATCATTCGATTCTTCTATAAAATCATCTGGATAATCATCTGAACTTTATTGGAGCTAATTTTGAGGGTTAGATTAATTTTGAAATTTAGATTTGTTATTTTGAAGAGGTTCAACATCATCATATGATTCTAAATCTCCCGATGAATAATCTTATTCTAAATCATCGTATTTTATTGATCTTGAACCTGGTATTGTTTACTATTTAGACTATTCTTCAAATTTTTAAATTTTTGATTCTTAATTAGATTATGAATACCCCATTGATTATTAAGGATCTAAATATGATGACTATTATTGATTAGTTAAGTAACTTTGTTATATTGGATTTTAATTTTGTATTTTTAGATTAATATTTTATTTAGGAAAACTTTCATTAGAGAGAAAGTCTTCTTCTAAATCCTACTCATTATGTTATTATTATTTCTATTAAAATTAGATTTATTAATTATTTTATATAATTTTTGAAGGAGAATATTGTTTTTTTTCAGTTATTAGTTTATTTTTTGAATTTTATTTGTTATTATTTTTTTGTTAATCCTATACTTAAGGTTATTACTATATTTATTAATTTTAATCTTGTTCTATTGATTATTCAAAATCAGGAGTAGATGGTCGTTTATGTTTCTTCTTTCCTTTTCTTATTGGCTATTTAATTTCTTACACAACTTATGCTGCCACTAATTATGTAAAATTTTAAATTAATTTGGCAAAATTATTTTATAATTAGACCATTTAAGTTTAAGGTTATTATGGTTATGTTTTTTAGAGAAATAGTTCTGGATTGTTTTATTGTAATGAAAGTAATTTCTATTTTCTTTTTTAAGTTTTTTTTAGAAATATTTATCTTTCCATTTCATCTTGTTAAGCTTTGAGATTTTTTTTGTATTCTAAATCTTGAATAACTGTTCCAATATGTTCTTTTGATTAATCATATAAGATTTCTTTTAAATGATCTTCATATATTGGAAGGTCATTTACAATCATATATTGAACTAAATCTGGAGTTAGTAATTATATCACTTATTCAACATGCTTCTCTTTTGATTTTTTTATTAATTCCTCTTTAACTATTTGTAATAATTATTCTTATTTTAATTACATATAATAATATTAATAAATAAATTTTCATAAGCATCTAATTTTAAATAATAATTCGTATATTTTAGAATAAATGGAATAATAATTAAAATATAAGATTTATAATTTTTTACAGTATTATTTTCAATCTTTGATTAATTAAATAAATCATAATAGCATGGAAGGTTGAATTTCCTATTTTGAAATTAAAACAGTATTAAATTTATTTTTTTGAATAATTTTAACTTCAATAATAATTATTTTTCTTATAATTCTTTGTTGTCTAATTTCAATGCTAATTTTGTAAGAAGTTCAAATATTATCGAACTAAGAAACTTTAATTCTAAAGAAATAAAGTTCTGTTAATTTTTGATATATTTTTTTAAACATTATTGAGTAGAATTTATAAAAATAAGCTTAATTTAGAAGACATAAACAAAAATTATTTGTATTTTTAATATTGATTAAACAATTTAGAAAAAAAAGCAGAATATAGTTAAAACTATTATTAATAAATGTTGAAATTAGAAGTCCTTAGCAAATTGCAACCCAAAATACTTTTGCCTAAATTGAATTATAAGCTATTATCTATAAACTATATTATAGGGTCAATTTAAGATTTTCTTATTGACAGACTATTATTTTTTAAAATATTTGGATACTTTAAACTGGAGAATCTGATCTCTATCGAAATGTTAGTATTTGGACAAGTTTGAAAAACCATATTAATCTTCAATCATCAAAATTAAAAAAACCACTATTTTTTCACTCCAATCAATTTAAGGATTTAATAAGCAATTATAAAAATTAGAAAAGTTCATTTTCTTTATATCATGATGTATATTATTAGATAGTATATATTATTCAAGGATGGATCTAAAATATTAAGATTAATAGATACTAAATATAAATATATTATGATATAATATAAAGAAAATTTCGAATTAAGTTTGATGATTTCGCTAAAAGAATTACTGAGTTTAATTATAATAAGTAATCAGACATTGATATTAGCATATTTAAAACTATAAAAAAGTTTGCTGATTGAATATAGAGAAGATGATAAATAAAAATAAAATTTGACGACTAAAGAACAATTATCATATACTATATCAAATAAATCAATATATTGATTTTTTGAATTTTGTAAAATCTAATTGACCACTCTTGAGTTTAGAAGAACTAAGCAATTGTTAAATTTTGGATATTGACATTTTAATATCTAATGGTGTTTAATATCCTGATTAATGTTAACTATCCTATATTCTTGTGCTGGGTGTGTGGAGACTTTATTTTGAGATCGTATTCAAATTATATTTAAAATTTGTTAGCTTTATTCGAAAATTGGTTGGAGGAGCATGAATTCTTTATGGTTTTTCATGAAAAGTTGGACTATAAATTGCTTAAGCCTATTTTAGTGATGAGAGAGTTGTTTTTTTATTGCTTTTATATCTAACAATTGTTTTCAAGGGTTGTTTTGTTGGTAATATAAATGGCTTTTGATAAAATTAAAGGCTAAATAAGCATTATGGAGTCTTGTTTTTATTTTCTTCTTCATTTACAATCAAAATACTATCATATTCTTAATCATAGTTGAGATGCTTTTCTTATATTTCAGTCTTAAATCTGCGATTCATTAAGGATTATATTTTATTAAGTTTCTTGAAGGTCTAAAGAATTCTTATTTATAAAAATTTATGATCAAATTTATTTAAGAAGAATATTAGCATTTTTAATATACATATAAAATTTGTTAATTCCTAACTCAAACTCGCAAAAACATATTTGTGATATTTATTGCTGAAAACTTAAAATTTATTTTCGAAATAATAATCTATATACTCTGACTATAATGATGGTAAAAAATTGTTCATAAAACATCTCATTAATTCAAAAATTGAATAGTTATTAAGAAAAAAACAGTTTTTGTTTTTTTGATTTTGTGATTTAACTCTTAAAAGTGAAGACTGAAAAAGTACTTAATATTAGATAATTAAACATATTTTTTAGTCTTAAATACAGTTTTATTGATTTCTTAAACTTTTTAAGTATCATCTAATCTGTTTTCTATAGACTTCATCACTTTTAATAATGAAATTACTAAACATACATTGATTTTATGAAAGGGTGAATTTAAAATAATAATTAAAGTCTAAAATTACATAGATTTATTGAAAAACGAATAAATGCTATGCAAGAATATAAAATAATTTATTAAAAGTGGATAATTTTATAAATATAAGTTCTGTATATATATATAAATACTTTTATTACTTATCTTTTTTCAAATTATTATATTAATTTCAAAAAAAATAGGGAATTTGGGAATGAATAAAATTTATAAATAGTATAATTTAGAGAGTTTGCGTCTCTAATAATCTTAATTGGATTAAATAAAATTAGAAAGTAAGCTTTAATATATCTTTTAAGGAACGGATTTAAAGAGAGGAACTGGGAAAAATGCAATAAGAAAACTTTTTGGTATAGATGAGTCAACGAACCATGAATATGACCTCTACGAGAAATAACAATTAGATGCATTCAAGAAGTATTTAGAGGAAGATAATGAATTATTATCTGATGAAATTTCTTTAAGATTTTTATATGCTAATCAATTTGTTTTTCAATAGACGGTTGAGGTAAATATAACATATAAAAATAAGCATATGTAAAATCATTATTCATGGATAAAAAACTCTGATAACTTTAAGTGGACATTAAACACAGAAGAGATAATAGTAACGAATAGATCACTATTATTATTAAGAAATAAGGTGCAATATATATAAGTGGCAGAGGATAAGGATTTAAACCAATCATCGTAGTAAATGCTGATAAATTGGATATCTCTACCTATCCCATTGAAGATATGTAAAGGGCCATTTCAATTATTTTTATGGTTGTGAAGGATTATATGTTAGTTTCTGGAAAGGTTGAAAGTTGGTTTGTAATAGTAGAAGCCAAAAATACAACAGCAAATAAAATTCCATTTAATGTAAATAAATTATCTTAAAAGGTAGTAATTGAATTAGATTTTTGAATCATTGAAAATAAATTTCCCTTGCTATTTAGAAAGAGTGTTTATTTTGCAACCATAAACATCGATATAAATTACATGGTAAATTGTTGAATAGTTTATTCCCTATAATTCTCGTCATAAAGTGGAATTTATTGATAATGACTATTCTCTATTATTTAATTATATAAGACCTAAATAATTAGAATAAAGACATGGGGGCAGGGCTCCAAATGTATATGATTATTGGCCACCACATATTGATGATTTTAGCGAAATGGATTTTTTGTAGAAACAGAAATTAGAATCTTAAAAGATAAAAGAATAAATCAGTGTTCTTTAGAAAGTTATGCCCTTTACTTCAACTATAAATTCAGAAGTTTCAAATTTATTAAGAAAGCAGTACAAACCTAAAACAAAGATTTATTAAGAAGAAACATTTTTAGAAACATCTAATTATTTTTTAAATAAATCAGTTGCTAAGACTTTATTTTTAAATGGACCTAAAAAAGAGTAGGTGTTATCTTATGAAAGTGAACAATAATTGCCATCTCAATAACGGCAAAAACCTTAAGAATTGAACGCATCCTATGAAAAAGATTAAGGGAACATAAATAATAAAGATTAGCAAGGTATGGCATTTCCTCCTCAATAATAATAACAATTAATAGTTCCACTCCAATCTAGATTTGTAGGTTCTAAAACTAAATTAAATGAAACACAGGGTTCTATATTAAATGCAGCAAGCCAGAATCCTTTATTTTAATCTAGATTTGTTGGTTTGAAAACATAGCATTTGGTTGCAAATAAAGATGTTAGTATAGTAATTAACAAAGAAGAGCAGGGATCAAATTATTTGCAATTGATATGAGATCAGAATATATTAATATATTTCTTCTAAAATCTTTATAATTAAGTTAAATAGAAAAAATAATTGAAAATTTTGATGCTTTCTTTTCATTAAAATTCAGCTCGAAATAATTAAAAGATTATTGACAGATTCAAAAACAAATGTGTAATAGAATAATAAATTCTTAGACAATGTTTGGAAATTATTACTCAAAAACTATAAGATTGGAATAGATATGATATAGTAATGTCATTCATTAATAAATATAAATTAAGCAGTATTTAAGAATTAGGTGATGTTGATGGAGTCATTGCTTATTGTATAAGTTAGGATCTTATTCGTCAGACTTTAATGAAATTAATTTTATGATAATAAAAAAACAAAAGATTATTGCTATTTATTTTTCCATAAAGAGATTTAAATTACATAAACATTTTCTTCCAACGGAGTTTTAAGGCTTATCTTCATTCGAATTTAAAATTACAAGATATTTATATTATTAAGCATCTTGGCAATGAATTCAAAGCTTCAGGTTTTTATAAATAGAATTTACTGAAAATAAAGAACTTTAAATTTAAAATTTTAGAAGCCTCATAATAACAATTATAATATAATCATGAATATTTTTAAAATAATTATAATTTAATGAAAATTAAGATAATAAAAATGTAGAAATGGTTAATATGAATATAAAGAAAATTAAATATTTAAGAAAAATCTAATTTAAAATAATTGCTAAAGGATACCTATATTCTTAAAAATTTAACAAAAATTACAGAATTAAAAGAAGAGAATATTTTAAAAATTTATTAAAAAATGATAATTAAAAAGAATAAGAAGATAATAAAACTTATTTGAAAAAGCTCTTCATTATTAATAATTTGTTATATAATATTAATGTTTATAATTAATATTCCAAAATATTGAATAAATTTTAATTTAAATAATTTATTCATAAAATAAAATGTTAAATTCAAGCAGTTATCCATCTATCCTTAAAATGCAATATAGTTTTAGCTTCAATACTTTCTCCATCTTTATTTTCCTAATTTTATATCACAAACAATTCTTGTTTATAAATGATACATTATTAATGCCAAAAGCCTCCAGGTATTTTTAGAGGTTTGACATTAACCATGTGTAATATATGATTTTCACCTTTTATAGTAAATAAAAAGGATTGATTTGAACTAACAGTATTTTCATCATAACCTCCAAAAATCATCAAAGTATTAGGTGATATTTAAATTCCAGTAGCAAACTGTTTAAAGCCTTTAAATAAATGTATGCTATAAATTTATATAATTGATATTACTCTTTACTCGCTATTTGAGGATCAATAACCTGCCATATCATATCTTTTATATTAAATCTCTCTATAAAATTCATCTGTTACTTTTCATACAATCCCCCAAATTTGTAAATGAATTAATTATTATAATTTACACAACAAGAAGCTATAGATGGATAAATACAATCTTAAAGTTACTCACTTTTTCTTAATATATAATTATATCTCTCACAAGTCTTTTCTAAAGTTTGATTTTAACCAAGCCCAGATATTGAATAAATATAATCCCCTATTATACAACAACCATGTGAGGATCTACTTACTAACAAATGTCCAACATTTACTAAAGAGTTTTTATCAAACAAATATATCCCATTTGATTTATTATTAGGATAATTATTATCAATTGTAGTACCACCAATTAAGTATAATTAACCCGTTCTAGTAACTACTGATTAATGAAATATTGGGATTAAAAAAGATATTTTTAAGTTTTATTTCTTTTACTCCTTAAGATTATCAAGATTAATTAAGTTTAATTCATAACTGTTATATTTAAAATAATGAAGCATTTTATTTTAAACTGATGGCAAAAGATAATCTTCCATTGTGATTGCAAAATCTGATTATTTCTTAATCTATTAAATTTCACTAATCTAAGAAATTTATGGACTTTTATTCAAAGTTTGATCATCCTAAATTTTTATTGATTGATTATTTGTCAATTATTATTTTTCTTCTATTTTTATCATTGTAGAGGTAGTCTTTTTAAATTAAATCTAAATTGATTAAGTGAACAATTCATCAAGTTTTGAGTTCAAATTTTAAGAGACAACAAGTAATGGAAATTCTTATTATATTAAATAATTACTTAATTTCAAAATTTCCTTGTATGCTTCTTAATTAGCAGATTAAATCAATTATGAAGTATTTAATAAATAAACGCTTCTTATAGTTTTTATTTAACAATCGCTCTAGGTTTCTAATTTTGTTTCTAGTTCATCTAATTATTAAATCAAATTTTTGATTCTATTGTAAACTTCCCTTATTTATGATTCCTATACTAATATTCATAAATCTTACTTTAAATGCTTAAATAAGATTAGTACTAAAGTCTTGAAGTAGCTTCTTATTATATTAGTCTATTTTATCAATTATTTGTTATTTCAATTACTAAAGAGAATCTCTACACATTTCAATGTATTATGTAGAGTTTTCTAAAGTTTTCATTTCTTATAAAGACAAAATTTAATTCATTTCTGAAATTGACTAACGAATTTTCTTTGAACAATTTATTCTACAAGATTTCAAACTTTCAATCTAACATTCTTTATGTTCTCTAAAATGAATTTCAATACATTCTGGACATAAAGGTTAGAGACATTTAGTGTTGATGCACATATTAGTACAAGGTTCTTGATGTATTTAGCATAACTCATTTGAATAATAAGTAAATTATTAACTCATTTATTAATAATTTCAGAGTTTATTTCTTTTGTATTCATTTTTCAAAATTTAATTAAGAGATAAATATATAGAAAGTTTTGCAATTGATTTTTTTAGTTATGAATGAAATAATTTTGGTATAAGTTATATAATTTATAAATTAAAATAATGAATTTCAGCTTACCCGATGCTCTAGCTTTAATTAAAGAAGGAAGAGCAAATGAAGCAGTTGATTAGTTGAATAAATTTATTGAATGCTTATAACCTTTAAGTCCTTAAACTTAAATATTGGGATAACAACTTGGAATTGATTGTGAATTCTTTAGGATTGTTAAATTTTAGGATTTTTATGATTCAGATCCTCAAGTTTAAGCATTACGATTTAAATACTATGCATATAAAGTAGCAAGTAATTGATATAAATTTATATTAGAGTGGGGTTATTAGATAATTTAATAAAAAAGAAAAGTGAAACGAAGACATGATTTAATAGAGAAATCAGAGTAGTTTGGGATCTAGAATGAAATAGGGAGAACATTTGGGGTTGATATGGATTCAAAGTAATAGATTGAATCTCGATTATAATCAATATCAGAGAAATTGATAAAGAAGAAGCAAATATTTTAAAAGTAATTACTTGGTTAATTGGATATTGAAAAGAAAAGAACTGATTATAAAATTTAATAGGAGGATAAGATAGAAAAAGTAAGAAAAGCATTAAAAACAGATTATGATAATAAAATAGTGGCTGTGAAAGATCATTTAGAGAAAGTTAATGAGAAATTAAAAAATAATAATAAAATGAAAAAGAAGATGGAGGATGAGCTTATAAATAAAAGAAGTGAATTATTGAAAAATGCTTCTTTAATGTAATATTTCAATTCAATGCATTAGTGATGCAAAAATAAATAAATTAGAAGAAATGAGAAAGGAATAGATTGAACATATGAAATAAGCAAGGACAATAAAAAAATAAAGGTAACATTCTTTCCAAGAGAAATAAAATTAAAAATATGAGGAATATTTAGAGAGAATGAAATAAAAGTTAGATTAAAAAAGTAAGTGATTAATTTAAATTTATAAAGGAGTTATTGAATTTCATTCGGAAAGTCATAAAGATTTTGGGAAAAGATAAGTTTATGATAATTATGAAAAGAATCTTGAAAATATAATCTTAAAATATTAAAAGTAATAGCCAATAATAAATAATATACTTGCAAAATCAATAGAGTAAGTTTAGTAAAAAAAGTAAATTGGTATTGACAAATTTTAAAAAGTGAAATCTAATTTAAAATTACATATTAGTACCCCAAGAATAGAACCTAGAAAAGTAGAAGATGTTCTTGATAGAAAAGAAAAGAAAATATAGGAAGAAACACTATTGAGAAAAGAGACATATTAATAAAGAGTATTAAATTTTCTACAAAATCGTTAATAATTATAAAGATTACAATCATAATAGATAGAAAGATATAATGAATTTTATTCTAGATAAAGTGCAAGATTGAAAAACATGAGAAATTCTCATGAGCAAATGAAATCGACTGTAAAGTATTTAATTTTAAGTATTTATTAAAAGTTTTGCTTTAATGCAAGCGAATAGGATTGAAGAATAAACAGCTTAAAAGATATCAAGGGCAATATAATTAATTAATGATCCTGATTTATAAATGTAATTTAAACCAAATGAAAAATTGAATACTCAATAGAAAGTGGCAAAGAAAAAATAAGAAGAAATGTAACAATTATTAAAATCATTTGTTACAAGTGAAGTTGATTTATTAAGATTTTCTAAATCTGTAACTGAAGTAAAAAATGAAGAAAATTAATAATAAAAATGATATCATATTTTATCATTATCATATACAATTATTTATTCTACATCATTATTATTATTATTTTAATGACTCTAAATATTGATTATGAATTTTATTTTGTTTTTCCCATAATTCTTAGACTACTTTTTTTTATTTTTTGGATAATTCATTTCCATCTTTATCTTTTACTGGAATACCCTTTTCATCAAATTCAGAGTATTTATCTGTTTATGATAGAAACATATCTTTTGGATGAATTTTTGCTTTTTCAAGTTTTTCTTGTTCTTCTTATTTCTTTTTTTCTTCTTCCTTTTTCTTTATTAATTCTTTTTGTTATATTAATTTTAATTATTGTTCTCTTTCTAATTTTAATTCTTTTGGATCATATTATTTCCATATTGATGCCTATTAATTATAAGATTTTAATACTTATTATTTATCTTTGTCTTCAATTTTAATGCCTAATTCAAATAATTATTCATCTCTTAATTTATCACAAAGTGAAAATAATTCTTACTTATTTTTAACTTAAGAAGCAACTAAAACTTATTATTAAAATTGATTTATGCAATCAACAATTCCATTAGATAAGTTTTTTTCATATTGGAATTATTTTTAAGAAACAATTGTTGATATTGCATCAAAATCTCCTTTTCTAGCAGCTAATTTCACTTGATCTCTAATTGAACATACTTCAGCCATAATTTATTATATATCTGAAGAATTATTATTTTAATTTTAATAATTGAGTCCTATTAACTAAATAATAAATTAAATAATTATACTCCTAAAATGAAATGTACATATTGAACAACACTTTGAACTAAAGGTGCTCTTATTGTTTAGGCTGCAATTTAAACATTAACTTAATTAATTAATTTATCAATTGCATCTATAACAGTAGGGAAATCAAAATTTTTTAATAAAGCAGCATGAATAACTTATTTGGTACTTCTAAGTAAATTACTAATTTAGAAATCGTTTTGAGTCCATTTTTATGGACCTGTAACTTAAGATTCTCTCAAATATATTTTAGTATTTTAGAAAAACTCTTAATATGCTTTATCTTTAGAAATGGCTTATTCTACTTGTTCTTCAGAATAGTTCATAACTGCATCATATTAATGAATAGCAAAATTTAATCTAATTTATCTAGGAGTATATCTCTTAAGAACTTCATCAATAGTAAGAAAGTTTTTAAGAGATTTAGACATTTTACGATCAGCAATATTAAGATGTCCAAGATGTATAAAATAATTAATCCATTGATCACAATTAAAACATGCTTCAGCTTATGCTAATGAATTATCATGATGAGGGAATATTAAATCAATACCTCCTGCATGTAAATCAATAGGATTTCCTAAAATAGCACTTGCCATAACTGAACATTCTATATGCCATCCAGGTCTACCTTCTCCCCAAGGACTAGGCCATTTGGGTTCTTCTGGTTTACTAGCTTTCCATAATGCAAAATCATTAGCACTTCTTTTCTCTTATTATTTATTCACTTATGATTCTCCTTCACCTTCTTATAATAAATCTGCATTCATTTCTGGTCTCATTTTTGGATATGTATGCTATATTATTATACCTATTAAATTACTCCATCAGCCAAATATTTTTGAACATCAAAATATACACTTCCATTACTATCGTATGCATATCCATTTGCAATTATTTTTTCAATGAATGTAACAATCTCAGGAACATAATCACTTACTCTAGTAATTACATCAGGTAATTCTATATTCAATGCTTCCATTGCAGAAAAGAAATCTTTTTCCCATACTTTTGTAAATTCAAGAAAATCTTATTTAGCTTATTTAGCACCATTTATTATCTTATCATCTATATCTGTTATATTCATAACACTTAAAAGATCATAATTAAAATAATCTCTTAATGTTCTTCTAATTACATCAATACCCAAATATGTCCTAAAATCATATTATTTTTATCATTACCTTGCATGACCTAAATGAGAATTACTGTATACTGTAGGACCGCAATAATAAAAGCTATAATTTTTATTTATTATTTACTTCACTTGTCTACCATTAATAGGAATAAATGGTATCAATTCACTTCCCTTCAAAGAATTTGCTAATTTCAAACCTGTCACATATGAATCCTCCTTTATTTATGGCTACTTATAGTGAGCAAATAAATCTTTTTATTGTTGCATAAATTAATTAATACATCTTGCTGCAAATTTAATCATTTAACAAAGAATTTAAATTCATCTAAATTAATATATATACTTATTAATTTTATAATCATTTTATTATTTTCTTATACCTTTTTTCCTAATTAATTAATACTTAATTCATCATCTTAAATTATAATACGAAATACTTTTTAAAATTAATAAGTCATATGATCTATTAACTTTCTTAAACCACACAACTATACATTCATGGTTATTATTAATCTTAATGGATATAGAGCTTCTTATTATTTAACAAGATGCTTTTTCTACAAACTCAGAATAAAGAAACCTAAAAAATAAATCAAAAATGGAAATTTTAATCAAAGAGAGTAATTTTATATGCCATTCAATATGCACCTATCAAATTATAAAGAGTTTTTTATTCCTAGCATATTATCAAGTTGTTCTCAATTCTCCATTACATTATGCTACATTTCTAGTTTTCGCTCATGATGCTATTACATTTTTCTTTTATATAATTTTAGAGTAAAAAATAATTTTAAATCAATTAGCGCTTTAACTTTTAAGTTCAATTACTAACTCTTACTAATAGAAGATAAAGTTGTTAACATATTTCATTTAAATCACAGTTTAATTTATCTGGCAATTTAAGAAGTTCTCTCTTTGTTTAGACCTCTCAATGGAATAATACTCCTATATTAAATCTAATAAAAAATGTTAATGTATCCTCTTATTATTATCAGAATACTTCATTATGGCTGTTCAGCCTACTACTTATTTCAATTTTTATAAATTTCTTAAGAAACTTGCTTACTATTTCAAGTACAAATTATAGAGATAATTCTACACTGGATTGCTACGTTAATTATTACAATCATTATTGGAATCGTAATAATATTTAATTACTACTTTGGAAAATAGGTTCATTTTAAATTCTAAAGTAGATTTTTAGGAACTATTATTGATGATTTTAATGAAATGAAACTTCGAGATGTTAATTCATTACTCAGAGCCACAACGATAGATTGGTATAATAATAATCTAAGGTAGCCCTATTTGTTATTAAGGAATAAATGAGTCTGATACAGTTATTTAATTACCTTGCCATTAAACACATTTATTTCATTCATAATGCTGCAAATAGTGGTTATTCTAAAATCTTCAATGCCCAATCTGTAGAAATTAGATAGAATCCAAAAATAAACACTCTTTTCCTGTTCCTTATCAATGATGCTGAAAATAAATCATAAATATTTGTAAAATCTTTTTGTTTAATTTTTCATTATTTATTATAAAATTACAATTTAGGAAGAAAAAAACAGGAAATTTGTTTCCAATTATTAGGAAATCGCTTATTAAAGGTTAATAAAAATAAAGAGATTTTATTTGATATGTTGAATTGCTTGAATATGAAATAGATTTTTTCATTTTCGAATTTATTAATTATTTATTTTATAAAATAATGATATCAAAGTAACAAAATTTAAAAAGCAGAAAATTATAGTTATTTGATTTCGAGGTAAAAGAAATTATTGAATCATCAACAAAAAGATATTAAATGGGATTCTCATATGAACTCATTCCAAGAGCTGAAGATTATTTTAAGCCTTATTTAGAATAAAAGGATGATGATTTATATTCCTTTCAATTAAAGAGAGATCCGAATATTCAAAATTAAGGCTAAATTAATAAGTAAATGAAATAATTTATTCCCTTGGAGTATGTTGATGGTAAATTCCTCAATGAATTAGAGAAAATTTCTTCTGAGACATTTATAGAGATTTTCTTTCAATTAACAAAAGCATTATTTGAATTACATAAAAAAAATATTTTAGCTCGATGCATATCATCGAAAAATATTTTCCTTAATCAGTTTTAAATAAAGATTTATTTACTTGAGTTTGGCTTCTATCCTGAATATTAATTTGAGAATTAATATAAACCAGAATACGATGTAATATTATTAATTAGGATTATGAATGAATTAAATTAAATACCAAAGAGTAATGAAACTAAAAAAATTGGTTAGCTAATGACAAAAATAAAAGCACTAGAAGGCTCATTATCTAATTTAGATACAATTTAAATTTATCATAGATTATATGAATTGGTTGAAGGTGGACCTACATTAAAAGAAATTAAAGAATTATACACAAACGAGTGGGTAAATATAATGAATCTAAAAATACACTTAACAGATTTCTAGAGTTTAATAAAAGTTAATATGATTGATTCAGATAAAGAAGAGGAATAGATAGAGTAAGAAGAAGAGATAGAGGAATTAGAACCACCCTAGTATTATATTTAATCTAAAAAGTTCTATGAATCGTTTTGAGTTTGTAAAGAAGGCTTTGGAGATTTTTGAAAACAATTTTTCCTAAGAAATATCTCAAATTGGATTAATGTTGACTCTTTTAAATTATTTGATAGAACAAATGTAAATTAAGAATCAATAGGGGCTAGTAGATGAGATTTGTTAAAGATAAATATAAATATTAGATAAAATGAAAATAGAGATGGCTGATGAACAATTATAACCTTTTATTGAACCTTAAACATTAAAAATCATAAGCCTAAAGGATTTCTTAAAATTATATCGAATAAAAACATATGAAACATATAAGAGATTGTTTAGGAATAAACAAAATTTTGAAAATTAATAAAAATAAGACTAATTAAAGTTTTTGAAAATATAATTTATGATGGTGGCAACACTTAAGATTAATTCATCAGATTTTAATGAAGAGGAGTTCTCAAACTTATTTAATACTAAAGTAAAAAAGGATATTTAAAATAAGATTGATGAAATATTAAACTCGTTTTACAGGAATAAAGTAAAAGCTTGATATTATTAAAATTATGATTTTCTATATCATTAATAATTTTTTATTTCAAACTTATTCAATCTAATAAAAATATAAGAAAATTTTCTAATAGATTATTTAATGTTATTTTTATAGAAGAATTATACTATTTTTCTACTATCATATCACATTTATCTGAACTACTTAATTAATTAATGAATTATATATAAACTTTTTTAATGACTGAAATATCCAGTATATTTTAATAATATACGAATAAGATTAATAAGATTTCTCTTGAGCAAAAATAAGTGTTAATTTCTTTCAAAATAAATTTATAACTCTACTTTAATCAATCTGAAATTCTTTCAAATTAAATAGACTACTTCTTGTATATTGATAATCTACTTTTATCTGTTAAGAGGAATTGAAATATTCATTAAAATCACTAACTTTTGTATCTTTAATACTTTATAATTATTTCAATAAATTCATACAAAGAACTTTTTTTGTTTTTTGAATTACTAAAAAGCTTTTTTCATAAATAATTTATAATTTAATCATTTTTTTCTTTAAGAGTCTATGAGAGTGATGGACTTTTTGTTTGGTATTGGCAATTTATCTTACTGCTTTTGAATTGTATGAGAACTTCTCTAGGTTTCTATATGATCTCCCATAGGTTTAATAAAGATTTTGGGTCTCAGAAGCCAAATTTTGTAGACCCAATTGAAACATTAATCTAACGAGGGTTAATCCTGAGATTTTTAATTCTTATATTTTAGATTGACATATTGCCAAACCTAAATAAAAAATAAGTAATTACAAGAAAACCATCCATATTAGAAAATTATTCTTATTAATCCCAACGAGATTCAATTTTAATTGTTCCTTATTTCCATAAATATGAACAACTCATCCATCTTCCATACTCCTTTTCAGCATATAATTGAATGGCTATATACATAATTTTACTCATTTTAATTGTTGTTGAACTGATTTAAAGTATTTACTCATATAATTATTATCCTAATGTTACTTCAGATCTAAATTTAATATTATCAAAATACCCTGCAATAGGAATCTCTTAATTTAAATCAATATTATAATTGCAAGCCTTTTCTTGACTCAAAATAAGACTAGTTCTCTTATTTTAATTTGAAACTTAGGATTGTTCTAAATGTTTATATTAATTCTCGATTGCTTTGCATAATTTTATAGTTTCAAGAATAACGGAATGACTAACTGGATTTTTCTTGCCTACTCCTAATATTAATTTAGTGATATTAATAATATCATCATCGCTTGTCTTAACTAGATCTTATAGAAAATGTGCTTTATTTAAATCTATCTCAATAAATTGTAAAAACAATTCTGGTCCTGACATGTTAGGAAATTAATTTATATTTGACATTAAGAATGATAAGAAATCTTAAGGAGTAGTTTTCTAATCTTTAGCTCTTATCTACAATAGAAAAATAATAGGATTAACAAGTAAATAGTCATCACTAAATCCTTGATAATCTAGAAGATTTAATTCTTCATATGCAAATTCAGTAAAAGATTTTTACTCTTTTCGCTTTAAAAGAGTTGCCAAATTCTTAACAGTTGTAGTCACTTATTTCTAAGAGTCATTCATGTTTTTTTAAAAGAGATTAAATTAAAAATCCATCTCTTTTAAATCTAAATTAATTTTTCTAATTTCACCCTCTGCATTATCTAAATTATTTAAGTCTTCTAATTTAGTTTCCAATTCAGAATACATCTAAAGCCATTTTAAATTTTCTTCTTTTAAATGCAAATTCTTTTTTTATTCTACAGCTACTCTTAATTGATGTCCTTTTACTTTTTAAATATATTTCTCTCTTAGAGCATCTAAACTAAATTAACAATCTTTTAATTATGCTTCAACTGCTCCAACTTGAATATCAAGTAATGCTTTATATCTTGTTTAAGACCATTAAGTATTAATATCAAGAAGAACTACCCAAAATTTCCATAATTGTTCAATAAATACGGCTAATGTTTTATCATCAATAATTTTAATTAATGTTGTTATGAAATCATCCATTATATTGATTGACTTGATGAAAAAATCAAATCTAAAATTATCCGTAATATTTCTTTCCTTTTTTTCCTTTATTCCAATTTAATCTTTATCAGCCAAAGTTTCATATAAAAATAATTCTTACATCACATTTTTATCGAGATTTATAAGTGTTTCGTACATTTTAAAAAGTAAACTAGGATGTTTATCATAAAGGCTCATTCCATGACTCAATTACTGAGTTTCATAAAAATTAATATTTAGATGATTTATTACAGTAGGTTCCACTAATTTTGCTTCCTTTACAATTTTATCATGATTATTTGACATAAAGGATTCATCTATATATCTCTAATAAATTTGCAAAGGAATCTTAGATATAGCCTAATTTTCAATGACTCTACTTGTATTGGTATAACATTTTCTAGATGAAGATCCTATTTATGCACTCCTAATTCTCTAACTAGTTTCTGTGTTTATACGAAGAACAGGCTTTTTGTTTTTGTAAACTCTCTCTGTGTATTAACTTGCTAAATTTGTACTCAATGAATAAGCTGATTTTACAGATTTCATATAATTATTTTATATATTATTATTTAACAGCGTATAGTAAGTCAGCAATTTTTATATTTAAAAATGATCTCTTAAATAATAATCGTAATTCTATGAAAGGACACTCAATTTAAATTATGATAATGGTAAATATATATATTTATAATAAATGAACTTATAATTTTAATGAGATTAAGAGAGAGATGGATGTATGAAATTTTTACCTTTTTCTTAAATGAAACTATGGTGCATAAAAAGCTTCTGATTGTGTTTCTTCTAATAGTAAAAAAATAAATTTGAAGCTGGAATTTTTTGGAACCATTATGACATATTTCAACTATTAAAATGATTTCGAGTAGTAAAGATGACAAATGAATTTTAATCGTTATTGAATACAGTATATAGAGGATTAATTAGATTAATATATTTTTAAGCTTTTGAATTGTTAAAATGAAAAGAGTCAATAAAGAAGGATCTTAATAGAGATGATGAACTTTTTATAAGGTCAAATATTTATAAATGATTAAGGAATACATGAATCACCTCACAGATTTTCTATATAATTGATGAATGACCACCCCAAAGAATTAGATGCATTATAAAATAATCACTTCCAATCGAAATCAATGAAGTATTAATTTAATGGCTAAATGTTTTTTTGAATTCTTCCTTTATTTGATAATATGATCGTTTCCGCTTAAGAACATTGTGAAAGCCTAGATTCATAAGAATTACTTAATATAATGATTGACCATCATATCTACAGAATTTACTTAAGTTTTAAATTTCAAGGCAAAATTTTTTGTGGGAAGTAATATCCAATTATCAAAAAAAGGATAAGGTTGAAAATTATTTATTTTTGAGCAAAGATCAACTTAGGTTAAGATTTAAAAATATTATCTCCTTCTCCATTAACTTGTTATTTTAATGAATTGCCCCTTCTGTATTCGTTCACAAAAACCTTAATTCAACAATTCTTCTTATTTCGAAATATTTAAAAAGAGCGATCATCCATGATACAATTAAAGTTGTCATAATTTTAATAAAACTAATAAAATACAGGATGTAGAGAGCATTTTAATCTACAAGGTTTTTAATTAATAATTCTGTTTAAATCATAATTGAATCGGTCTCGATTTAAAAAATATAATTCATTTTTGAAAAATAACATAAAAATGATTTCAAAATAAACTGGTATATTTTCTTCCTATTAGACGTTTCAGAAGTAATCCATATAAAGAAAAAATCCAGAATAGTCCAGCTTGAACTAAATGAAGATGAAATTTTAGAAAAATGTAGTAAAGGAGCATTTAATTAAATTATCATTTGCTAAATATCATATATATATATTAATTAATTTATTATTAACTAATTTATTTTATAATAAAAGTTACTAAAAATAGAACAAACCTAAGCTTTCTCTAAACCATCAATTAGAAATTTGAAAAATCTAATAGACTACATTTCTTTTATCTTATCTGAGTTAGAATTTTCGAATCTCCTAAATCTTTAAATAATTTATTTTTTCTATCAGTTAGCTCGCTTTTCAAAAAGACATTCACTTAAAACATAGAACTCTTTGAATGACTGATGGTTATTAATTATTTTTTTTCATTTTTTAGTCTATTATTAATTCGTTATTGTCAATAAAGTTTTTTTGTTACCTTAATCTATTTTTTGTTTGTTACTGTTAAGAAAAATAGTTGATTTAAGGGTCGAATCTAATCATCTCTTCAATTATGCAACTCTATAATTACGAAGAACAATTTTTTTATGAGGATCTATATAATATATATATATGAGAAAATTATCAAAATGACAGATAAAATAAAAATATTCGTTTTTTAAGGATTTTATGAAAAAAAAAATAACATTATTATTATTATGAAAAACAGAACACTTGTTTTGGTGCTTTTAGTTTGCGCTGCAGTTTAAGTATTGGGAGAACCAGTAGTTGTCTCCTAATCTTTCACAGGAAATGACTTTGCTGATGCTGATGGTAACATAATTATAAAATACTTTAGGTTGGGTGACTGCTGGAGGACCTGCTCATGTTACAGAGTGCAGTGGCACAAAGATGTTTGGAGGTTTCAATAAATTTGGAGCCAGAGCTGTAGCAAGCAAAGTATTTGAACTTCCCCCTCATTCATTAATTAACTTGAAAATTTAATTCTGGAAGTATGATACATTAATTAACGGCTAGGATTGATTCATGGGACAATGAAGAAGGATATATCTTTGTTGATGATTAATTAGTATGGTCAAGAAAATTCTAATACAATGAAGGTGATGGATAAAAATGTGGTTAAGGTGGTGATTGGAAAGAAATGCTTTTAAATCTAAACTTGAATATCAAACATACAGGTCCAACAGCCGTAGTTGTTATTACATCAAACTTGAATGAAGCTGCCGATAATGTAAGATATATTATAAATATTATAGGAATCATGGGCTTTCAGAGATTTTGTTTTATCAGTTGAAAAATGTCCAGATGGATGTTCTGCTTGTTAAGTTGATGAAAAATCAGAAAATTGTAATTTCTGGTAATCATTTGCTTCCAGTTGGGGTGCCTTAGATGCTAATTAATTAGGAGCTGATGGTTGGGAAGTTGCTGGTGGTGCTGCTTCTGCAACACAATGTGGAGGTATTTAATATTTTAATAATTATAGCTGCTGCTTTGTTTGGAGGTTTTGATAAAACAGGTGCTAGAAGTGTTGTTAGTAAAGTTCTAAAAGTTAAGCCACATTACAAACTTAAGATCAAGGTTCTTTGGGCTAAGATTGATTCTTGGGATAATGAAGCTGCTTAAATTAAAGTTGATGGAAAATTAGTATGGGAAAGAAGATTCTAATGGCATGAAGGTTATTTTGGTAAAATATGTGGTTGTCCAATATTTGAATGGAAATCAATGTTTGCTAGAACAGAAGTTGATGTTGATCATACTGGTGAATAAGCTAAAGTTGAATTCACTTCAACTCTTGATGAAGCACCAAATAATGAATCATTTGGTTTGAGAGATTTATATATTTTCTATGCTGCATGTGCCAATAATTGTGCTGAATGTACAGGACCAAAGGAATCTGATTGCAAAAGTATTTAATATATATAATTTAATAGAATGTGCTAATAACTGGGCTTTAGTTGGAGGTAAATGCTAAGCTTTACCAAACTTCATTTTATTAGAATAATCTTTCTTAGAAGATAAATTCACAGGAATTAATAATTGGGTTCTTAAAAACAATAAAGCAGGAAGATAAATTAATGAATGCAGTGGTAAATCAATGGTTGGAGGTTTTGATATTATGGGTGTTGGTGCTAGTGCTACTAAAACATTTGATATCCCACCACATAAAAGACTTAGATTGTAATCCACAATCTATAAGATTGATTCATGGGATGGAGAATTCATGATTATTAAGGTTGATGGAACTGATGTTTGGAAGACATCTTGGAATCTCTAAACTGGAGGTGCCAATTTCTGTGGATAAGGTATTTGGTTTGATGGTATCACTGGTGTTGATGAAATCTTCAATCATTAAGCTCCTAAAGCTGAAGTTATCTTCACATCTACTTTAGATCAAGATGCTGCAGATGGTAATTTCTATTATAACAATATTTAGAATCATGGGGTTTCAGAGATTTCAAATTATGGTATGAACCAAAAGAAGCATGTGCTGTTTTCTATAGTGAATGTGATTTCAAAGGAGCCTCATTTGAATTCTGTTCTAAATCACCAAACTTCTAAAATGATAACATTCCACCATAAATTAGATCTATTAAGGTCCCACCATAAGGAAGAGTTACCTTATACGAAAGCACCGATTATAATGGAAAGAAGGTTACTTATACCTCAGATCAAGCTTGCATCCAAAACTTCGATGTATATATTTTCATCTAATTTATTAGTTTGCTTTGATTTAAATGAGTGGACATGTTGAAGGTGGTTGGGTTGAAGTTCAATAATGATCTAATAATATAAATAATAAGATCTAAAATAACATTATTTTTAAATAAAATTAATATATATATATATATTAACAATTTCATTTTATTTATGATAATAATCCAAATTATTCAAATAATTGATCACAATAATAAAATTGATGACTGAATAATTCTTATAAAAATTAATCTATTGCTTTCATTTATTTTTTCACTGTCTCATGATCTTAAAGTGAAACCCTCAGATTTCTTTCCTATTAAATTATTTTAGTGGCTTCTTTTATCTCCTCTAATGTTTTCTTACACTCTGAAACAAATGATCTTTTCTCACTCTAAATTGTAAATCTCAGACTATAGTATATAATTCCTGTATAAGCTTCGGATGCCTCTGAGTTATAACACTCTACTTTTATTTATTTTATTGATAAAAAATATTCCTTTTAATTTGAATTCATGAATTTATTGCTATGTCTTTATATTCTAGTCTCTTCTTCGATCTTTTTAACTAATCCATATTTATTTATTATTGATTCAGGTACGTTGAAATATTCTAAGATTTCTTTTCTCATTAGAATAGGATTCTAACTCATTCCATCCAACCATTGTTGAATATAAAACAATTTCTTCTCAATCTCTACATCACCAAATGATGGCTTTGGTAAATGTCCATTTGCTAACTAATATAATTCTCCATATTGACAATTTTAAACCCATTCATTATTCTTCACTTTAATTGTTATAGGAATCAAAGAAATATGTTGATATTTTATTACTTTTTTTAATACTTATCTACCAACATTGAATTGAACCTTTTCCATTTTTTGTTACACATATACTCCGCTTTCACTTTCATCTTCAGATAAAGTTGCAGAGCTAACTTCATCTTTGTATCTTTCAAAATCACTTTTTTTATCATCATATAAGTCACTATTTTAAGATTTATTATCATCATTTTTATCTTAAAATTCTTCAAAACTTTTAATTCGTTTCATCATTCTATTTTTTTTAGCAATTAACCCTTCATCTTTTTATTTCTTTTTCTTTAGCTATTTTTTCTTATTCAACTCTTATTGAATTTATTAAGGTATTACAATCAGCTTATCCGGATATTCATTATCTTCTACATAAGGAAATGGTTATTAAATTTGAGGTATAGGTTCCTATTTTATTGGACTATCAGCTCCTCCAAATTTATCAATATCAACAATTTAGATGACATTTTATTATAAAATTTCTGTTTAAACTTCATTAGATGATTGGTGTTCATAAGATTTTAATTCATCCAATTAATCTTATTAAATATTTCTATTTTCTACAATGTTATTTTTATCCATTTCATTATCAGAACGAATAATTTATTAGTGCTCTTGTATATATTGAAAATAAGGTTCTTATTATATTTCTTTTTGAGATAAAGATCGCTTTTCAGAGGATTGATGGATAATAATTGTTTTAGGTATATCGTCTTTAAATGATGGATAAGAGATTTCTTCTGATTAAGAATTCTCTTCAATTATTACTTAAGATTATCGAACTTTTCTTTTATTCATTTATTTTGGTGAATCAACAACTTCAATTTATTTATCCCAAATATCTTCTTCATCCTTTGAAAATATGATATCCATAATAGCTGGTTCAGGATGTTTAATATCTAATTTATTTGATTATCTAGTTTAATTAATTAAGAATTAAGCCACTTAAGTAGTTGGATGTTGTTATTAAGTATTTTAGGTATGTTGTTATTAAGTATTTTAGATTTATTAATTTGCAAGTAGTAGGGGATCTTAGACTGTGGTTTATTCATTTAATTCATGTAATTCAATTTCTTCTGAATAGGTATTTGGTTAAAACTTCAATAAGATTAAATATTATGCAATGAAACTATCTTATGATTCAAAGAATTCACAAAATGGATCTATAATATGTAATTATAAATATGATTACTATATTCTAAAGGATCATCACCTCTTTATCGTTGATAGATAACTAAAAGGGATGATAAAATTAAACTAAGGAAATCAAATAATTTGAGTATAGTTTCATTGCAAATTAAATTGAATAGACAAATGAAAGGTAAAAAGTTTAAGAGAGGTTCATTGTGAAAGATAACTGTGATCCCAAATGAGTAAAACAATCCAATAATTATGAAAAGACAACACAAAGCAGATAATAAGTCTTTATTGAAAAGTGCTAAGATTAATTCAATTATTTGAACAATGGCGATTTAGAGTTGAAATCCAATTTTGACTTTTAATGCAATAGTTTCTGGTTTATTTCTTATTTATTTGTAATTTTTGATTTTCATTTATGCATAGCCAGCATATATTAGAGGAAAGAGACCTAGAGCAAATTAATCCATAATAATTAATTAAGTATTATAATATCACTATGCAAATGTCACTAATTTGTCAGGTTGACTTGGTTATTGTTCAGAATGTGTTATATCAATAGATTGACCATCTAAAGTGGTATTACTTTCTTTTTTTGTCTAAGTCATTTCATTATATCGCACACGCTAATTTAATCTTCTATTTTCTCTTTGAATGAGAATTATGATTGCGATTACCAATAAGACAATTATAATAAAAACTCCAATAAAGACATAAATAGCAGAGGATTTAGTATGATGAGTTGTTTATCTTGTAGTATTTGTTGAGTTCATCTAAAAATGTTATATTTTTATTAATTTAAATCTTTATTTTCTAATTATCAAATGATTCATTCAATTTTATGACTATATGCAGACTATGATAGCATCACCAAATTATATATATATATTTAAAATATAAATTATTATTATGAATAAAAGATCTGTCACTTAAACTGAGAGAGCAAATAGTGCAGCATTAGCTAAGACCTAAGTTAGTACTTAATAAAAATACACATTCATGACTTAAGCATAGAAGACAGAGAATTTGTATTATCAACTTTATTGACATTTTTAGACTAAATGAAATTGTTGAATAAGAATGTCCACTTTATACATAATATAAGTAGAAGAATCTAAACAATCCTATTATGAAAATTAGAGAATTCAAGAAACCATTAGCTGATCCAGTCGATCATACTGATTATATTAAGTTCTAAAAAATGAAGAATAACTTTGTTAAAGAATATAAACAAAAATTAGATAATTATTTCGAAAACAATACAAAATTTGAAAGAAGATTTTTCAAAATATATCATCGAAAAGATCAAATTTATTTTAAACATAAACATTCATCTTAAAAACATTGTGAAAATCCAGAAGTTACAGATATGATTAATTACAATTAGATTCTATAAATGAATCAACAATAAACTTAGCGTGCTAATTTTAATAAATAACAAGAGAAAAGGAGAAGAGAACTAAAAATGGAAGAGAAAGAAGAAAAAGAATATATAAAACTAATCATGGAAAAGTTTTTAAAAGAAGAATAAAAGTATTTTGACAAATTGAGTAATTTGGAAGAATAAGGTTAATAAATGTTTTAAGAAAAGGTTTAACTAAGAAATAAATACACTCATGATTATATAAAAAATCCATAAAGAGAATTTGTTGAGAGAAAAGATCTTATAATAAACAAAGGTAATTAAGTTCCAGAATATTTGAATTCTTCAGTAATTAGTAATGCTGGATCATAAATTTAATCATAACCTACTTAAGGTTAACCAAATATGCCTTTTTCTAGTGCTTTTTCAAGTTTTCAATAACTTCCATCTTTTCAAAATGTATTACATAGAATGAATTCAAATGTATTATACTAATTGCCTGTGCCTCAAATATAAGAATATGATTTATAGCCAGGAGAATAAATAAAGAAGCCATCAACATATTAAACATAATAGATTTTGGATCTATAAAGATTAATTACTTTAAATGAGAAAATTGAATTTACATTTAGAATAGTTAGTGAACCATCATTATTAAATTTAATAGATTGTAATGGTTGTACACTCTTACATTTAGCAGCTTTAAAAGAAAGAAATGGAATAGCGAAATTTTTACTTATAAAAGGTATTGATTACAAAAAGATGGACAATAAAGGGAGAACTGCTTTAGATATAGCAATTAAATAAAAAAACTAAAGTTTAATTGATTACATAAATCGAATAAAAAAGAAAGGATTAAAAGAAATAAATTGAATGATTCTATATATATATTCTCATAAATTCTCAAATTACTATGGAATTTAATAAAATATAAATAAAAATGTAAGGGGATTAAGCTCTTTATACTCCAGCTAAAAAAAACTGCACATTTAAAGTGGATGGTAGGCCAGATGGAGAAGGGTATTATAGAGATTAATAAAAGCTATTTGACTAAGAATGATTCAAAATTTGGAGTAATAGTAATTTAGGAATGGTGGGGATTAAATGAATCAATGGTTAAAATAACAGATAGAATAGCTCAAAAAGGTTTTTAATGTATTTCTCCAGATATTTATAGAGGAAAAATTGCATAAAGTAGAGAAGTATCATTTATATAATAATTTTTTTAAGGAAGCTGGTCATTTAGTTAGTGGTTTAGATTGGGAAGGAGCAGTAAAAGATATTGAAGGAGCAGCAAAATATTTAAAAGAATTAGGATGTATTAAAATTGGTGTTACAGGATTCTGTATGGGAGGAGCTCTTGCAATTGCTTCAATCTCATTTACTAATTAAATTGATGCATCAGTTCCTTTTTATGGAGTTTGTGATTTGAATACTTTTAAATTAGAAAATATCAATGGACCTATTTATGGCCATTTTGGAGAGAATGATGAAAAAAAAGGATTTTCATCACCAGATGATGCTCAAAGATTAGTTGATGCTGGAAAAAAGGCAGGAAAAGATGTTACAGTAAAGTAAACCTCTATTTTGTATTTTCATAGAATTTGGCCTGGTGTTGGACATGCATTTATGAATTAAGATAGGCCAGATGTATATAATCCTGAAATATCATAATAAGCTTTAGATGAAGTAACTGAATGGTTTAAAAAGATATTCATATCATGATATATTTATAATTAAAAGATTCCTTTCATTTATTTTATGAAATCTCTTTTAATTAACTAAAATTAAATATCTTTCTAAACTTCTTTATTATTATAATGATTATGTTTTTTCAATCAGAGACTATAAACTATTCATATTCTTCAATCAACTAATGAACATAATTCAAAACCTTATATTCTTCTAAGGCAATCTTAAAACATTATTAAAAATCATAGTATTGTAATTAAGTTATTTTAAATCTTTTGTGAATGATTTACAAGTCTTACTTTTTAAAGAATCTTACTCCATATAAGAGTAGGTTTAATTTACAAAGTATACTATGACCCATTTCTGCTTCTTCAGTTTCATATATTTTATTTAAATGTCTTTAAACAAATTCATATTCTAAAATTGAAACTAATTTCGGAATCACATAATCTTATCCTAAACTTAAAATCTGTTATTCTCTAGTTTCCCCTAAAATTATTGGCTTAATTTCATCCCAATCTTCAATAAAGTCTTAAATAACTATATTATCATCAGTCAATGCTTTTACTGATTCGACTGCCTTCTATTTAAATCTATCAAAAACTTTCTCATTTATTATTGCCTTCTTTTAATGAATTAAATGTAAATCTTCTCTAGTAATTGCTTTTATATTGTAACGAAAAAAATAATGAAAAATATTACAGCAATGTGCTATAAAACACTATTTTCCTCTGCGTTGAATCAATTCAAATAACATAGCATCTTATGCACAACTATTCACAAAATTTTCAATAAATTAATTAAATCCTACTTAATTAACATAATGTTGGAGATCATTTTTATTAATGATTGCGTATTTATAAATATCCATTCTTCTTAATAATTATCTTATATTCTTCCAAGGAATACCAGTCTATTATAAAGTTAATGATAAATAGTATTTAAAATTTGTAAGTTATACATTAGTTAAGGCATACTTTACATGCCTTTCTCTAAGTACTTCACATGAATAATTTGGAGAATCCAAATGATAAATTAATTAAAAAAAAAGTCTAGCAAATTTAATTTCCTGTGTTGCTACATCAATCTTTTCAAAATAAGGTGCTAATGTGACATCTGATAAAATCTTTTTATACATAAATTTTGTTATAGATTTAATACCTTCATCACCTCCGTATATTTCAAATTCTAATATTTCGTTCAGAATATAGGGACGAATATTTTCAATCCTTTCACAGCAATTAAACACCTTTTCAGTGGAAATGTTTAAATGCATGTACTTATTGAGAAAATGATATTTGAACTTAAAAAAATGAGCTTGTGTTAATAACATGCCTAAATGAGCCACTCTTAACCTAGGTAAATCTAAGAACATTTATTGATCATATGCAGTTGCTAAAAGATTTCTAAATAGTAATTTAACTCCAGGTTGATTCTTATTAGGAAATTTTAGACTCAAGATAGGATCTCTTCTTGTTATATCAATATAGATTTAATCGGCTTCATAATTCAATAATTCATCTATTCCTTAAGGTTTTGAGGCTACTTTTCTCTTTTTAGATAATTCCATCAAATATCCTTTTATTATTTAATCTTAGGATTTGAGGGGTACCAATTACTATTAGCTTTGAAACCTTGATGATTTTTATATAACATCATTGAATAATTCTGAATTTCTAATTAAACATTAGTTTTTTTCCTTTTGTTACCATCTGTTTTTACGAAACAATGATAGACCTGACATATTGTTTTTTTCACTCTCTAAAGTTTTGAATCTTAAATTAAATGGGGGATCAATATTAATAACTTTAGAATTGGTGATGGCGTAACTAAAATTTTATTCGATTTAAATGGAATTTCCTTAAGGTTGATAATTAGTAAATAGAAACATTGGATTCAATTTAGGTTATCTTCTTTTTTCAGGCTACTTTTTTCTAAAAGCATAAGTATCTAAAAAATCTTTAAATGATTTCTAAGAGTCAGATATCATATAAAAAATAAAAAATTTATATCAATCGAAAACAATATGTTTCTTGTAATCATCAATAACATCAAGAACCCATTATAATTTAGATGGTTCATCCTACATTACAGATCTCATAGCCTAAAACTAAATATATAAATTTGAACTTATTAAAATTCAAAATAGGGTTATTCACGAATACGTAATCTTTTGTGAAGTACTTCTATATCTGTACGTTTGTAGAAATGTAATCCATAAAGTATCAGATTTAATTTGCATTTTAAATTAGGACCAACCTGAGATTCATTATCCTTTGATAAAATGATAATCATGTTACTTCAAACACTTTGTAAAGAAGTGGTCGTTACATAATTTCATTTTCTAATTTAGATGCAATTCTATTAACTACTGCCTAACCTCCTAGTAATTTAATTGTAGTCTTTTTAGGTTTATTCATTAAAATAGGAGTAATTTCTTCCCAATCTTCTTCAAAATCACTTAATAAAATTGGATCATTAGTTACTTTGCTCACAGCTTGCATAGCTTTTTCTTTAAATTTTTTGTATACTTTTTCTGAAATAATAGTTTTATTTTTATGAATAGATTCAATATCATCATCAGTAATTGATTTAACATTGTCTCTAAAGAAATAATGGAAAACATTTTCACAATGAGCAGTAAATCTTTATTTACCTCTCTTTTAAACTAAATCATATAGAATAGGTTCACTAGAACACAAACGAACAAAGTTTTCTATAAATTCTCTATATCCTCCTGGAGCATTATTTACACATTCTTATAATGAAGGTTTATTTAATATAGCAAATTTATAAGTGTCCATCTTTCTCAAAAGTATTCTAATATGTTTATATCCAATTCCTAATTTTTATAATGCGGTAGACAAGTAAAATTTGAAATTGGCCAATTATACATGTGTTAATTTATATTTGACATGTCTTTCTCTTAATACTTCAAGAGTATAATTAGGAGATTCAGTGTGATCTATTAATTATGCAAAAAGCTTAGCAAATTTAATTGCTTACTCTTCTAATTCAATGGCCTTGAAATAAGGACTTAATGTATAATCTTTAAATATTTTTTCATACATATTTTTAGCTACTTCATTAATTCCATATTCTCCACCAAATATTTCAAAATCACTTCTTTAATTTAGAATCAAAGGTTTAAAATTTTCCAATTTATAACAACCCTTAAAAAGTAATTCTACTGGAGTTTCCATTTCCATATATTGATTTATAAATAGATACTTAAATCTAATAAATTATTCTTTTTTAATAAAGAGTGGAGCATGAATACTTCTCATTCTAAATGGATCAAGTAATATTTCTTATGTGTATCCTATACCTAAAATACTTTTATAAATATCTTTCAAATATTTAAGATGTTTCCCAAAATATTTATTTTTTAATTAACGGTCTTAAATCACTCTACAATAAAGACTTTCTGAATGTTAATCAAGTAATTCGTTGCTACCATATTATTTGATTTAGGTCTTAATAATCTTTTAAAATTTAGTCTCAAAAAATTTGCTTATAATTTCCGTTTATGTCTTTGGTAATTATTTTAATTCTCGATGTTATTGTTATACTTTAGGTTTCCTAAGTTATTCAAGTTGTTCATGAACATTTCTTAGACTATTACTATGTGGACTTCTAATTTTGTGTTAAAATGGAGTAAATTTAAAATGAACTGGAGTATTGGGTAGAATAATATCACAAATCTATGAATCACTAACCATCGGAAGATGATAAAGTGTTTTAGTAGGAGATTGCTCTTGACTTCTAAAACTCTTAACTTTATTTCCAAATTCATTAATTGACATTTGACTTTATGAGCCATGTTTAATTATGAATTGATTCTATGGTTCCTAACGTAAGAGAGTGCTTAACTATTTTTCTCTTCTTTATTTCTTTGACATTATTGGGGATACTTATACAGTAGAAAATTATCCTGTGCATTAAAACTTTTATTCTTCTTTTATTTATTGTTATTGCATGAAATCTCTGAAAGTCATACTTTTATTATCATTTTTCAAATGCTCTGTTGGATACTTGAAAGGGCATCTATTAGATTAACTTACATTACTCATTATTATATAATAAATTATATTTATCCTAAATTTTATAGACATAGATTTTCATTCATCTCTATCTATTGATTAAATTACAATTATTCTTATTTATTAAATTACATATCATAGATTATTTTCTATCATTATTTTCATTTATCAATACCTCAATATTTGATATACTCAATTTATCCTATTCCATAATATATTCAATTTTAAGAATTAGAAATAGAAATAGAAATAGAAATAGAAATAAAGCCTTACTCTCAATAATTTCTAAATCTTAAATTAAATTCTTAGATTCACAAATATTGTCATTTAACTGCATCCAAAATCATCATCTAGAATGTAAAACTTATTTAGAATGTGTTTTAAATTATTTTAAAAATTTCATCATCTCTTATAATTCAATGATTATTTAAGTCAATCATAAATCAAATTCTTTTTCTAAAAATATTTATTAGAATCAGTTCATTTTATTAAATCTACTTTAGCACTGTAGGTTCACTTAATTTTGATTATCATATCGTATTCTTATATTGCATTGAGTGAATCTTAAATAAATTTTAAATCTAATTATATCTATCATTTTTATCGCTTTCTATTATTGCCTTTCATACAATCTGTTTGCAAACATTTATAAAACTCAATACCAATTATATTAATCAATAATTTGATCTAAATTCACTTTTGCTTTAACAAACTTGAGATTTAATAAGAGGATTATTGGAAAAACTATTATATTAATATGCATCAAGATTAAATGATATATAGGCCTCATATTATATTCTAAATAATATTAAACCTTTTTTATGTCCTAACTGCTGGGTTGTTTAAAACAATGTTTTATTTCATTAAGTTCATTTAGCTTTTTAAGAAAAACAAAAAACAATGGACATTCCAAATTTCAATTACCTTAAGGTTAATTTTTTATAGATTATAAAAATCAATCCTATTATTGGAAACTATAATGCTTGTTCTAAATTTCTAATATTATTTTGGCTTACCATTCTTCTTTTTCTATTTTTATTTTATTTAGAATTAAACAGTAAAACCTAACATACATCACAAACATTTTTATATTTCACATCATTCCTATCTTCCTTATCTATATAATTTTAATTGTATTAACTTTATAATATAAGAAAAAGTTTTATGGAAAAATTTAACATAATTATTAACAGATTCTCCTCTTTTTGGGTGAAATGTATATAAAAACTAGTACCTTTTTCTATTCCTTCTTTTATTAACAAAATTTGTAAAATAGTAAAGATGCATGTTAGTAAATTAAAGATTAAATTTTAATTCAATTAGAGACCTGAAGCCAATACAAGCTTTAAGTGAATAAAAATAGTTTGATGCCAAAGAATCAACATTAGTCTTTATTCTTAAAACATAATTAGTTAAATACTTGTAGGATTTAAATATTTAAGGTAATTTTCTCAATCTCAGATTAGAAATTAACCTTAATAATTATAAGGTTAATATAATAATCTTCTACAGAAACTATATCGGTAAATTAAAGTTAGAGAATGGAGAAACAATAATCAATTATTTAAAATTGATAAGGCTAAAATATTAAATCAGACGAAAAGAAGTTATTAAAAATTCAGTATTTTCAGAGCCATCCATAATAAATTAGTCTAAGACAAAAGTTAAACAAATAAAGCATTCTGAATGAGAATACAAAGGCTATATTTTATTTTAGAAGAGCCATACTAAATAATTGAATTAAAAAATTATTAATTTGATTATAATTTAATTTAGAAAATTTTTTAAATTTTATTAGAAGTGTTTGCTAAGTAATTAAATATGAATATTAAAATTTTTGTAAGTTATTAGATATGTGAATAAGAAAGAATAAAATCAAATTAATACAATAAAGTCACTAAAGTCAATTAAGTTTAAAGGGGTGAATATTCTAATTGGTAATGAAATCTGTTGCAGGTGTAAATACTTACAATTTAACTTGCTTAGGAGATAAATACTGATACAATGAAGTTCTAAATTAAAACAATTGAATTACTTAGAAGATAGTGAGTCTGATTCATCGGTAAAGAAAGGATGAGCTAAACAATCATAAGCACTATATCTTAATTTTGGATCAAAGTTGAGCATTTAATGCAAAAGGTCAAGAGCATTTTGATTTTAGATATGAGAATTGATTCGAATATTACCATTTTAGTTTTAAACAAGATCATCATAAATAGGTTTACCGACTAATAATTTGTGGAAAACTGCTCCTGCACTAAAAATATCAATTTTATCGGTAATTTTAGTTGATTAAAAAACTTCTGGAGCAATGTATCCACCTGTTCCAGCTCTTGAATTAGAAGAATTATCTATCACACATAGTCCTAAATCAATGATTTTTATCTGTATTGGATTAAATGATGCTACCATAATATTATCATATTTAATATCTCTATGTATGATTTTTAATTAATGCAAATGATTTAAACCTAAATTTGTTAATAAAACATAATACCCTCTAAAATCTGTTACATCACTTCTTAGATAATGTTAATTGGAATTTTATAGTTATACTTTTTCTAAAGATCATAAAGAGTGCCTTAAGATAGATAATCCATAACAAGAAAACACTTCATTTCATCGATGTAATATGAATTGAAGCCATGTATATTGTTGTGAGGATTCTTCTAAATAAGTTTGAGTGCCCGTAATTCTTCTGAAGTCTATATTGTATAATTATTTGAGTTATTTGGACATAGGAAATCAATAAGTTTGAGAACTTGATATTAATTTTCATGTTTGGCAAGGATAATCTTAAAAAATAATTGTAAAGAAAGGATACCTGGCATTTTTAGTTGTTTCTGATGTGTTTAACAAACTTAAAATCTTTTTCCCAATCTGAAAAAGCCATTAAACCTCCTAAAATATTTTTTAACTAGCTGAGCTGGTCACTGCTTCCACTGAAGATGTACCTTCTTTTATTTTATTTACAAAGACTGAAACCTTCAATGACTTTTGAATGGCTATAATGAATCATGTTAAAACTTACATAGAGTAATCCCAATTAAGAACATAATGTGTAGTTTAAAAGTCGATATCCTTGTCAAATTTTTCACATCCACTTGATTTTTTAAGGCCACTCAAGGAAAGTCTATCTTAATAGACCGTTATGGTGATTGTACTTCCATTTCGAATGATTTATGATAACTTTGTAGTAAATAAAAAAGACTGAGAACAATTTTTCATAAGTTTAAAATTACATACAGTTTTACTCTCTATATAATTTTCAATATTTGAAACATATTAAAAAAAATGAATATACAACATGGTCATTAAGATTCAATATTAAATACTTCTTTGGCAATAGTGGTAATAAATATCAATTAAATTAGAACCAACATCACAATAATTTCGACATCTTGATTGATGATGAGTCAGAACACAAGTTTTGGACCAACAAAAGAAAATATTTACTCTAATGTCTTTGTCGAAGAATTGTTTTGATGGCTTACAATTCTGGTCCTGTTTATTTTAGTTACATGATTGTGAGTCTCTACATATTTAAATTATTACGAAAGGTTGATACTGATAAAACATTTCGATAATAATACATGAAGTAATAATATATAATGTAATCAAGACAATATGTATATGATTATATGCTTTGTATTTGTATAGCCTGTATTTACACAATCTTTCTTTATGGACTGTTTAATCATTCTGGTAACTTAAATACCTAAACATTCAAGAATTGTCAGAGGTGAATAGAGAATATTTTCATTGGGCAGTTAATTGTGTTCTATTTATTATGTTGTATGCAATATTCATTACTCAAAAAGAGTTGGTAAAAATAGAAGAAGTGGAAATAGAAAAAGCTGTAAGAAATATATATTATGGTTTAGTAATAAATTAGAACTTAAAAAGATAAAGAGTAGAGATATGTATTTTCTTTTAATATTTCTTTTTTATTCAGCCAATAAAACTTCTATAATATTGGTTTAGGCAGAGCTCATATGGATTTCATTAGAGCTTAAGATTCTTAAGATAAAGATAATCTGAATACGATTTAGTAGTTTTCTAAATAAGTCGATCATATTATAGATAAAGAGAATCTGGATCCAACAATGATATACTTTAGCATGTGTTCAGATTTTATTAATAATGAAATGCAGACATCACCTATGGCTAAGAAAAGAAAATCCAAAATTATTAAAGAGGTTGAAAAAGCTAAATCTGTTTTGGATTATCTTTAAGATTTGGGTTTTAATGGAAATCGTGGTGTTTTTTAACATTTTCTTTTGCCTCATTATATTTATACAAGAAAATTCTTGAATCCAGATCGTAATTTATAGATTATTGTTGTGATAACTTTAATTACCCTTAAAGTCTTAATACCTATATTCTTTTTGTTTTGGCCAATTCATCCTTACACTCTCATTTATTCTGTTATATTCATGGGATTCTATATGCATTTTTTATCAATTATATTTCAATTAGTTTTGAATGATGATTTGAAAACTAGAAATTATATTCTGTAAGCATTGAATAGGATTATAACAATTGATATGGATTAAGAAAATGCACTTCATGAATTAATTGATATAACTTGTTCGCTTAGTTTGTAAAGTTGGAATTTAATGAGAACAGTTGTTATATATATTGAAAAGAAAAAGAAAATCGAATATAATTATGTATATGGTTTTCTTGCTCTTTATGGTGCTATGTGTTTTGGTGGATTTACATTGTGCAATTTTGAATTACCATTTATGTAAGCAATTAATTATTGTGATGATGATGTTTTACTCTATAATATACATGCAGATATCGTATTATCTTTTATTATATGTATGGGTAGAATCTACTAAGGTTCTAATTTTAATCAGACATTTAATGAAATAGATTCAGTAAGAAATAATATTGAAATTAGAATATTCATAAGTTGACTGCAATATATGAAGATTTATACACATTATTCGATTATTATTTTAAGAATAAAAATATAGTTGATAACAGAATCTATAGGTAAGTGATTGAATTAATTTACACTTATGCTAAAAAGAGAATGGCAATGCCGTTACAAAGAAATATCAAAAATAAAGCAGATATAATTGAGACTGAAGAAATGGTTATAATGAGAGAAAAAGTAGCTGAAATGAAAAGTTGCTTGGAAAAAATATAAAGTAATGTTGAGAGAGATGTTAAAAAATGCCATGATAAATTCATTGGAATTTTTGATGCAAATTTTAAAAAACAAATGAGAATTATGATTTTTGTTATAATTACATTTGTACCATCATTATCAACAAAGTAAATATTATATTTGAATATTATAGAGTCTACAAATATCTCAGTTAGATGATGTGATAAATCTATATTATATGAAAATCAATATTTAATGATATTCCATAAATCACATAATTTAGAATCTCCAGGTAATTTCTAAATGGCTAAACCTAACTCAGGAGAATATACTATATCATTTTATGTATCATTATTTTCGTTAGCTTAATATCTTGCAGCTTAATTATAGATGCTTTGAACCACTTAGACCTTTTCATCAAATTTTTGAAAAGAAGGCTATATTTTTTCTTAAACTTCAATTCCATAAATAGGATTTTCAATATAAAAGGAATGTAATTTATTACATTCTTTTAACATAATATCAATTTCATTATTTCTGTAACCAACAAAATATCCTCCAAAATCTTAATGTGTTTCAACAATCATAGTATATAAACCTTTAGTAGTTTTTTTTGCAATTTTTTTAACTGCAATCCAAGGGATGCTAATATTAAAGAGATCATTAGTTGCAGAAAACCATACAAATCTAACATTGGTAAAGATAAGAGTTCCAGTAACATCTTATTGATCATTAGCAACACTGATTGTATTGTTATATTGATTAATAATTTATTCTTTTTCACAAAGATTAAGTTTTTTTTGAGAAATCATAGCAAATTAAACTTTGATTTCTCGATGTAATATAGATTACGTATATAATCTTTAGGTAGCTAGTAAGGATTCATAAAGTTTTTTATCTGGACTAGAGAAATGAAATTCATATTTTTATCCTGATGTTAGTTTAGTTCTAAAGAGAGTACCAAATGTTCTATTGTTATTAGTGATTTTCTGTTCAATATGAAAGATTGTGCCTAAACCAATGCTTAGATTGACAGTAGTATTTCGTTGATTCCACCATAAGACTCTTGTATTAGAGATAATTAATTTTCCAAGTTAATCAGGATTTCCTTTGATGTCTTCAACATCATGCCACATATATAAGGTTTTTTCACCTTTCTACATGTTCAATTTAGAGACACTGATATCAAAATGAATGGTACGATCGAACAAAAATTCTTCACACATTATAAATATTTCATATTTAAATATTCACAAATTTAGGATGTACTCTCTTATATAATTAGAGACTGACGACATCATTGGGTTTAACGAAGTTATTAAACATACATTTCATTAGACCATGTGTACCTAAGGGTTCTAAGATGTTACCCTTTAAATAATAAATTAATAAAATTACTCTTAATCCCAATTTAGTAGAGAGTTCTATTGGTTTAAAGAATTTGATATCATCTGGATTGAAGAACATCATTCTTATGACTGCTTTTCTCTTATTAATTTTAACAGGATATCCAGTAAGTACAATTCTCTTCAAAATTACTTAAAAGGTATCACATCTTTAGATATCTCCAACTCCCATTATTTCACTACTTCTAAAATCAAAATCATTTTGCCAAAATATTACAGGTTATTAAGGAAATGAATTGTAGAAGTAAAAGGAACCTAAATAAAATTAATCATCCTTTATTTCTTTTACATATTTAGTTTTACTGCAATTCTATTCATATTAATAAATATTAATACATTAAGAATACGAGAATATATTGGATTTATATGAGCTCTTCTAAATCCTATTTATACAAACACTTAATGCTTTGATTTCAGAACACTGTTATGCATCTAATGTCTATGAAATCTAACATGCATTTGTGTCATCTTTCTTTCATGTTTCAACAATCCAGAAATCACATATATCTTATTTGGTTATGTAAGTCTTTGCACTATCAATTCTGGTACATTTCTTAATGTAATCTTTACTCTTTGTCCGGGTTATATTTATTCCTTTACTTTCATCTCTTCCAAAACATCCTACTTAATCTTTTTCGGAAATCTGAAATTATAGATTTTCTCGGCTTCATCTGGTAAGAATGTCAAAGGATCAAATTCACTTGTCCTAATGTTTTTCAGTCCTTGATATTTATCGTATCGTTCTCTCAATTTCACTTCTACTCCATATTCAACTTCATCCTCATAATCTAAATCTTCTGGATCTCTATGCAAAATCTCGTATTGCTCTCTCTTCTTTTATGCTTCATCCTCAAACTCTTTATCAAGATCTTCATAACTAACATCACTCTCTTATTCAATCATTTGTTCCTCCTCTTCATGTAATTACATTCCAGCAATATCTTTTAACAAATCATCACAATCTCCAATATCATGTTGTTTATCTCTGCAAATAGGATCTAATGATTCTGGACATGTTGATTCATAAACTTATTCAATCATCCCTAATAGTTCAATCCGAGCTATTGAAAAATCATCAACTCCTGTTATATGTACTAATTAATCAGCACTTAATCCATTTTAACCTCTCCATGTACCTGTTATACTCAATTCCCCATTAATATAACATAAGTCATCAGGTAACATATAACCACGTACATCTCGCCATTCAACAGGTTATTCATGTAAAACAACAACACTTCTCATAAAAGTTGAACAATCATCAACTATATGAGCTCCTGGGAATTCACTTTCAAAATATCTGGTGAATAATTTCTTAACTATATTCCTTTTATTTAAATTGATTTCTTCCAAATCCTAGATGTAACATACTTATTAGATCAATCCCTATGCTCTTAAACTACTAAGTAACTTATAACCCTATTCATCAAATGCATTAGCATTATTATGAGGATCCAAACTTATAGTATTTGTATTACAATCTCTACAAGATAACACAGGACATATTATGTCTGCTATTTTACATGCATCTAGGATCTACTCAGGATTTCTATCTAAAAATATAAATCTTAATGGTTATTTAATTAATTTTCCATTAGCCTCTACATTTAAAAAGCATTCTTATGTGCTATAAGATGTAATTGGTATTGATTATATATTAAGATGCTACATCAATCGAAATCTTTTTATTATGACATCTAATACTTTAATCCTGCTATATTAGCTTATTAATTCATTGGAAATATGGCTATGATCTTGGTGTTAACTCCTTTCATAACTTTCACTTTCTATTCTAAATTCTTATCTTTTTTCTCAATCTATATTTCTTATTAACCATCCTTTGCTACTACTTTTTTGATCTCTTATTTCTTTATTTTCTTCTTTAATTTCCCTTCACTCTTCTATTTTGCTCTTCTCTTTGATTCTCCTTTAAATGCCTTATTTCTCTATTGTGTATTTCCCTTAGGCATAATTAAAATGATTTAAAAATAATTTAATATTTAAACAAACAATTTCAAAAATATACTTACAATTTATGAGATTACTAATTATAATTCAACATACTAATTTGTTCTCCACCCATATTCCTTCCATCATTTTTCCACCCATACTATAAAATACTCCTTTCCCATTTACACAATCCCTTTAAAATCCACCTACAAATCTCTCTCCATTAGTTAAATGTAAACTACCCTAACCTTCTTTATTATCCATTTCAAAATTTCCACTATATTTACTCCAATAACTATATTATAATCTAACTAATTCTTACTCTTCAACATTATCAAAATCTCTATAATCAAAGCATTCCTACAACAACTAAGGATGTTCATTATATAATGTTCCATAACCTTAAAATTGATCTTCCTTCCATTATCCTTCATATGCTGGTTATCCTGTTCCATAATATAATGTTCCTAAATATATTATAAATTAATTTAATACCCTCTCCATGCATTTTATTTTCCTTCCATTCACCATCATATAAACCACCATCTTAATAATAAAATCTCCCTTATCCATGTCTCATCCCATTCATTTTCATACCTTCATAACGTGATCCATTTCCATAATGTTCCACTACAAACTCAGGTCCATTCACTTTAATTTATGAAATATCATATGGCAAATTAAACTCTTTTGTTAAAGTGTTCTTAATTTATTGTGGTAAATTAGTTGAATCACTTAAAATCTTAGAATAACTGCTATTTCCTAATCTCTAAGTATTTATGTCTTCATCCATTAAAGAATCTATATTTTCATCAAATTAAGAAGGTTTACTAATTACCTCTTTAGGAAAGACCATTGATAAACTATCACATTAGTCTTATTAAGCTTAAAACACTTAAATTGTTAGTATCTTAGATTCTTGTTATTAATTTTACATTTGAGATTAAGGAATCATCATTTTATTTATAATTTATTTTGGAGGAAGACTTAAATTCATTTATTAAAGCACATTCTTATTACTTAAAATAGATTAATCTGTTATAGTTGTTGCATTTGTTTGCTTTGTTTAATTTATTATATCTGTAAAATTGTCTTTATTCTACTATTCTTAATTCATTTATCTTTAACTTGCATTTTGACTTTATGTTTTTTACTTTGGCACTGAATTATCTCTCATTTATTATTAATTGTATTATGTTTGAATCATCACTTTGTTTATTGGAGTAGAACTTCTTTAAGATGAATTTGATTTTATAGTATATTGATGGGTATATTCTTTAGGACATATATTCTGAACTTAATTTATTCTCTTAGATTGATTAATTTTAACATCGTATGTAAATTAATCCAATTATAAAGATTTTTAACTTGGTTAATGAATTGTATCTATTAATCCAATAGGTTATACTGGTATAATCTATCTTGGAATTACATTAGGCATATTATGTTATTATTAAAATGATTATCCTATTATTTATTATTAATTGATAATCTGCTCCATTTATATAAGATCTGGCCTTTAATCTTCTTAGATTATTAGCATTAATTATATCCAATCACAGAATTATTATCCATATTAGGTTCTTAATTTCTAAAGTCTAATATTCAGCTAATCCTCCATAAATTTACCTTTTAAGTAATTGTAACAACTACTATTTACTTGATTTAATCCTAAATGCAAAAAGAGCATGCCTAAAGTAAATAAATCACTTTTGTATTGATTATGTTGTGGTTACCAACTATTTGTTCTAATTGTATTAACCAATACAGGTGATAAGTATATTGAATCTAAACAATTAGGATTTTGTAGTATTTGAACATAATTTGAATTTTGTTAGAAATATTAGGGATCACTCACTTTAACAACTCCATCTACTATGTATAAATATTTCAGTTATAGAGTATTATGTGAAATTTCATTTCTTTACATACAGGCTAATCCAAAAATGGCTTATTTGAGATAGTCAATTAATTTGATTTCATTAAGAATCTATATTCTTTCTAAATTGTTTTATGGATATTCAAATAATAAATGAACCTTATAAAATTATCCACAAAGTTATTGTTCAAATTCATAAAAGTAATTGGTGAGATTTAAAATATTGGGATGATTAATCTTTTATCTAACTGAATATTGATGAATAGCCTTTTTAAAATGAGCTTCATCTGTCATACTAATTGTACGTAAGATGAATTATTAATTAGCATCTCGTTTGTGTTATAAGATCTAGCACTCAGGAAAGTCTAAATATGATATTAAGAAACATACCATTATTGTGCATATTGATCTATTTAAAATGTTCGTAGAGTTTATTCATTGGTTTTGAATCAGAGCCTCCCATTTGATTTTCAAAATATAATTAACTGCTTGTATATATTAATCACTCATTCTAAGCAAGTTTGTCTTATGCAATCCTGAACAGTCTAGAAGCAAACTCAAAGTTTAATGCCTCTTCTTCTGGCAAGGTACGAAGACGCTACTCAAAATAAATAGAATCAGGTTCAAGATGTGGACGATCATAATATTCCATTTCTTTTTCACTTAATTTTCTATCTAATTCACTTTTCAAGACATAAGGTAAATTGTTAACTTCTTAATCTACATTCTTAACAACTTCTGCATGTTTCTCGAGCCAATATTTTTCTTAGAGCATTCTCAAATACTTTAATGAATAATCTCATCTTTTACATATATTTCTGCATAATTTTACATTACTTCATTCAACTTTTTTTTATCATCTGAAGAAAGTTTGAATGTGAAACGATGTTTATTACGATGATCTTCATAAAATTTGGTCAACAATTTGATTCTCTTTGCATCTAGCCAAGGATGAATAGAGCCTTCTCCTGTAAACTCAGGGACATATACATTTAATCCTCTAAAACGTCTCTTTTCCTTTCTAGCTAATAACTTTTGTTTGAATGTTTTGTGGACTACAAAAGAGAATCTAGGTGTGAAAAATTACATAATTAATTTTATTAATATATGCTTTGGAATATTAATTTATTTGACATATTAAAATTAAATACAGAATTTAAATTAAAATAATCATTATAATCTCTTAGATATTTACTCATTCATTCTTTACAATTGTTCACTCTTTACATAAAATGTACTCACCTTTTTATCAAATTCTTATTATAATTATTTTATATTTATGCAATTTTCCTTTCTTTCAATCTATGTTAATCCAGCTATATAATCTGTTATATCTTTTAATTATTTCTTAAGATTCTATCCAAACTATTTTCTAACTTATGCATCTATTATCTTTTCATTCTCTAAGAATACATTACAAGTATTATTCACTTAAGCAAATTTATTTACAATTGAATTAAAAAATCCCTTGACTTACTATTCTGCATTTACTATAAATGTATTCACACCTTAATAATCCTATAATAATAAATCAATTTTCTATCTTAATAAAACTATTTCTGATTCTCTAATTATTGTAATCATTTTTTAAATTTCATATATATTTTTAATACTCTTTAACATCATTAAAGATTTCTTTACTATTATCATTTCGTTCACTTAAACCAATGAACATAAATCACTTAATAATAATTCTAACATCTAATATTTAGAATCAAAATCATTTTGACTAAAAATCTAATGTGAATATAAGTAAGCATCCTTTTAACCAATAACATACATTTTATTTATTGTTTATAAATTATTGTTTCCAATCATACTTGATAAACAAACTAAACTTTCCAAAGATTTTCTTAATTAATCGGATATCTTAGATATTTAAGGTTTTTATAGAAATTGTAATTAATAGCATTCACTCTAAAATTTCTTTTATAATTCCATCAAATTATCCATTAATTGTAAAAGATCTTTTTCTAAGTTTGATAACATAATCTAATCTAAATTAATAACTCTATGTTTTTCAGGCTCTGCTAAGAATTCATCAAATAATTATGGTTCTTCCAATATTTGAACAGGTAATTCTATACATTATCGATAATCATTTGATTTAAAAAAGAATGGATTTGATTTGAATAACCAGAATGCATCTGCTTTTTATAAATCTCTTTATATTTAAGAACTCATTCCTTCAAGAGAAATTAAAAAATGATCCAATCTTTCTCTATCCTTCATGGGAAATGCAGTATAAATACTTTTAACAGGAAAGAATTGACCATATCTCTAAATAAGAGATCTCATTGGATGTTTATAAAACACTTTTCTATTCTTTCCTTATTATTATACCTCCAATAAATTTTTATAATCTTGATTACCTCTTTCAAAATCAATAATCTTTTGATATGCTTATGTGAATGTTTATATAAAGTTTTCTCTGTCTTCATTACTTTTGAATTATTATAATAAATTCTTTAATGAAATATATTACTACTACTTTTCAGCCACTTCCATAAACTCTTTATCTTTTGTAATTCTTTAAACCTTGCTTTGAGCTTATTACCTATCAAAAGAATCATCTAAAGTAAATTATACCTTTTTTTAAATCTAAATCTTCTATTACTTTATGTCTTCATTTTAATTTGGCATATCTTTATTTGTTGGAGATTAAATAATTTATTAAGATGTTATAGTTTCCTTTTATTCAACCATATAATAATCATTACCTTGAGCTGATTACCTTAAAACTGAAGAAAAATATTACTAAAAATATCACATTGTTTCTATTACCATATATTCTTTAAGATCTTCATAGAATTTCCTAGTAGTTTGTAATATTGTTGTGAGACGCTTAATATATCTTTATTATTTTAATAATTGTGCTTTCATTATTTCTATTCTTCTTTGATGAAAATCATCATTATGTTCTTAAGAATCTAATTGTAACTTTCCTTTCTTTACATCATTTGTACTAAAAAACAAAGCTCTTGTACTTTTCATTGGAGGTCTATCTAAAGAAATTGCTATTTTGAATTCATCTATTTATGCTAAATCTGTTTGTAAATCAACTAATTTATTTGTCAATTATTTGTTTTTTTTTTCTAAGTTTTTTATATGTTTATATCTAGAATCATTTATAGTGAATATATTCTTTGATTATTTTGTTTCAAATGGTCTAGAACTCAAGTATTCTTAACTATTACTTGTTTATAATTTCATTTTTATTTATATATATATAATAATATCACTTCTTGATACTTGGAAGCTTAAATTGCTTTTTAATATCACAAATACTCTTTGTTGTAGGAGTCTTAGATTTTAAAACTGGTTTTTTCATAACTTAGGTACATTCTAATATTGGACTCTTACTTGTATCAAAATCAACTGATTTCTTGATTATTAATGTTGCAGTTCCATTTTAAATTTATTATTTTTTAAATAAATTTGTTTAACTTTGATTAGTAGTTTTAATCTTAGTAAGGGGATACTTTTTTTTGTATTTATTCAAGTAATCATTTAAATCAATTTTATTTATTTCTAAATCATCCCTTTCTTAATCTAATAATAATTGTCTTTATTTTTAATCATTTTTGAATATAGATTCTTCTTTTTCCATCATTTCTTAATCTCTTTTATTTAATAAATTTTCATCACTTGGTTTTAATAATTCTTCTTTAGTCTACTGAATCATAAATTAAAAAGAACGAGATCCACTTAAAATACAATCTTATACAGATTCATTAAACATATTTAAAATAATAAGATCGTCACTATCAATTTTTTTGTATAACAATGGTAAAATCTAAAATTTTGTTTAATTAATACCTTTATTAATCTCATTCTAACATTGACAATTGGATCTTTTGAAAATATTAGAATATCAAAGAATTCATACTGTTTGAATAATTTCTTAGAGATGAATTCTGTAAATGATTAAACAATATCAATAAAAGTGATTCTATTATAATAGATGTCAGATTTGAAATAAAGATCGAATAATTGATTTATCCAATCCTTTCTTTTTCTTAAATCTCCAAATCCACTCAAGAATTAAGCAATATTATCACAACATAATTGTTTTGTTTTTGGGATACCTTTAGCTATTGCATTTATCATAGCATTCATGAAAATATTTACATCATTAAAAATTGATTAACAATTTTTTAATTATTTAAGAAATTCAATTTAAAAATCCCAAAGATTTTTTGAAATAAGATTATTTAATAATTCAAGTGCTGGTTGGCAAAGTTGTGGTTGTTACTAACTAAGCATATTATTAACATAATACTTATTTTTGAAAAGAGTTTATAATAGAGGCAAATCTTAAAAGTAAGATTTCCAATATTGTTTAATTTTTTGATTTCATAAAGTTAATAAAAACCTATAGCAAAATATCTGTATTTTCAGAAAGTAGTACTACTTCATGAAAAGAATTAATTATAGTTCTACTAAGAACTTCAGTGTTATCATTGCAACATTGTAAATAAGGTTCTTAAAAGTACTCAAATTTCTTGGATGCAAGAGATAAAAGAGCAGGAAAGTTACTTATAAAATTGAGTCTTATTTCAATATTTTTACTTTTAGCATATGTTAGGTATATGTTTAAAAAAAGTGTGAGTTAATTTGAATTCAAATGATCTTTGATCTAGATAGAGATAATTATATAAAAATACTAAATGAAATACTCGTCCACACATTTTAGACATAACTTATTTACTTTCCTCATTTTGACTTTATATTGAATCGATAAATAATTTAGTACATCTATTTTTAATTTCATCTACTGATAAATTATTTGCAATAGTAAAAAATAACTTCATACCGGCACTTTTAACAGTCTAATCTATATCATAATAGAGTTCCATAATTTTTTCCATTAAATAACATTCTATTAAATCACTTGAAATTGATTAACAAACTTTAATTAAAACATGGTCAGCCATAACGAATCGAATTTCCTTATCATGATCTGAACATAAATTTCTAGATCTATCTAATATAGGACCTTTAATTTCATTTCCAAGAAGCTTAGAATGTATATAAAATATTAATTTACTTATGCTAATGTACCTATAAGTTTGGCAGCACTTTAACGAGATATTGTTGGTTAAGAACTATCAGTTAATAGTAAAATCAATTATTAAACTGGAATGAGAATGTTGCTAATACCAATAGTTCTTAAAAGAGTATCCATTGTTTATATCCATTCATTTAAAACTGGCAATGACCAAATTTTTAATATTTGAGTTGTCAAATCATAGATTTATAGTAGTTCATGAATTGATAATGAATTTTATTTTATTAACTTTTATAGAGATTTAGCAGCAATAATTTAATTGTCTTCTTCTTGTTATTAGATTTCTTCTCTTAAAAATGTAAAAATAAAATTATTACATTATAACTTAAAAGAGAAATTCAAAAGCATTAGGTTCTTTAAGAATTTTATGTAAATTAGAATATATCTAAAAATAAGATAAATAATACAGCTTTCTTTTACAATTATTATCCTTTAGTTAATATATAATAGGATCTTTAACATTCATTTAAATCTTCTTCCAAAGTTAACTTCTTTAATTCATCTTCACTCTAAATTATATGGTATAGAAATACTTTAGTACTTGTTTTGTATTCCTATTCAGGGAAAAACATATGTATTTAAATATATTAATTAAAAAAAAAGATTAATAAGGTTATAAATATATATATATTTATCGATATTCATTTAATTAATTATTCACCTTATAAATTATTTTTTTCTTTACTAATTTCAGCATTTAAATCAATTATTTCTACTCTATCCTTACCTACTAATCTTTATATTTCTTCAACAACATTATAAAATTTGACAGTTAATTCAGGTCTTTCAAATTTATAAATGATTTTAGGTTTTTCAAAACATTTTCTAACAAAATCTCCATTTTCATTCCATAATTGAAATTACTTTACTTAAACTTTCCATAGTTCTGTTTTCTTTAAAGGCATTTTCTCTAAGTATTTTAAAGTTTATTAAACAGTTGGACTAAAGTAAATAGTCTCATTTCCATATTATTTAATAATTTTCCATTCTCTACTAAATTAGGCTAAATCAATTCTATGTTTTAATGGTCTATCTACAGGATGAACTAATTATTATATATTTTTTATTTTTACTTGTTTTTATAGATTCTTGATTAATAATTTTAGTTAATAAAGGAGCAAATTTAGAATCAGGTTAACCTTAATAAAGTAATCTACCTAAATGATCAATAACTAAAATAGGAGAGATAGAATCTAATCCATATAAATCAGATAAGATTTAATAAAAATTAATTCCTAAAAATGTTTATTCAAGTGGAAACCAAGCTTCGAAAATACCTCTTTTCATTTCATCTTCTAATTTATTCATTTATCTTTAAAATTATTCCTCAGATCTCTTTTTTTCTAATCCAATAACTCTTACATTTGAACTAGTCCATTATTTACGTTTAATAAAATCTAACAATTAATGTAATAGTTCAATATGTTTATCTAAAGTATAATCAATCAAAAAAATAATGAGTACTTCATTATTTAATTAATGAATTGAATGAATCTAATCATAATTCAAATCAACTTTATTATCACCATCCCAACCTTCACTAAGTTCAATATGACTTTAATTGCTTTTAATTTATTCAGTTATTCCAAAATGTTAATTCTAATCATCAATAGATTAATTAACAGATTATACTAATTTACTATCAAATATGCCTTTATTTGTTGTTCTAATTATGGATTGCATAATTTAACTGTTTCCAGAAAAATCATTATGTTACATTTTATATGCATTTGGAATAGGTGAAAAGAGAGTACCAACATTAAAAGAAGTTCTATAATATTATTATTAATTCATACTTAAGAGCATACGGATTACCAAAGAAACCTTTAAGTAATTCTAATTCTTTATGTGTGTAATTCTCTGATTATGCAAATATCTATTTGCCTAATTTTTAAAGTGCTTCTTTTCTTGAATATACACAACTTATAGATTATGGAGCATTATGAATTGATGTTATTTCTTTACTCATTTCTAAACGTTTTGAATTTTCATCATAATATATTTCTATACTCTTCTCTAAAATGAATCTTATATCCTCATAACCTATATTTCTATATAAATATTATTAATATACATTAATTTTCTACTTAACTTCTCAAAAAATTGTTTTTTGTTAACAGAATGATGTTATTTAAAATCTGTATCCATATGTGCTATTGGAGTAAATTCTTTCACAAATTATATTAGATCATCACAATTCTATTAATATTTCTTAGATCCAGCAGCTTTAAATATAGGATTATAATAAGTTGCTCCAATTTTAGTATAATCTCTAAAAAATGTATGTTTTTTTATTGATATACTAAATGTATCTCCAATCGGTAATTTATTTTTATTTGGCAATTCTTCTAATATTAATTACTTAACTTTCTAATAATCATCCTTTCTTATTTTTTATTTAATATTCAACATTTAATTTATATCTTATGATTTAATCTCTCCATCAATTAAATCATTTATTTCATGGATAAATGAATGATCTCCAAAATTCTCTTTCAAACATCCTACAAACTATCCCTTTGAATTTACTATATAAATTGACTATTCTAATTATCTTATTTAATAATTTGGATCTTCTGCAAATTTAAACACTTAAGCTGATTAATCATTCTCATTTATCCAAATATGAGTATCCTCATTAGATATTACTTATTCATACAAACCTTTCTTCTCTTTATTATCTAAACAAATTCCTACTAAATTAAGTGGTCTCTTAATTGATTTCTTTGCTCTTATATATGCATTTTCTAAATAAGTTTAAGATTCATCATCATCTCTAAAACGATTACTAATGTTTCTAGTTCTAACTAATGACATTTTTCCTATTTTTATTTCTTCCTCCAATTTCCAAAACACAAATATTGTTACTACATTCTATTGAATTTAATAAGTAGTAATTTGATTCGTTCCTAATTTTTCAGCTTTAAAACTTGGAAATTAATTACCTAAACTTAATAACATTCTACAATAGTTTATAATTTGTAATTACCCTAAATTTTAAGGAAAATCCCTAAATTCCTCTTAGTATAATTATTTGAAATTACTCAATCCAAAAATCAAATTATCAAAATTATCAGGTAAACAAGGAGATAATAATACTGGATTCTATTCATTAAAAATAGATTTTGAATAATTTGATTTCCAATTCTTATTACCTCTACAATAATGAAATTCATATTCTGTTATTTTTACTACCTTAAATTCTTTATTTTTTTACTTATGATTTACTAAATCCATAATACTGACACTAATCAAAAAAATTCTTCATTCTTGGATTCTTTATTGTAACATTTGTCATCTAAGTGCAACCCATTAGAATATTTAAATTATTATATAACAAATCACACATTTAGAATAAATTTCTCTCTATTTACCATCTCTTCAAACGCATCTTAAATTGTTTTAGAGATTCCTCCAAACCATTTAGAATTCTTAATTTCATTCATATTAAATCTTTTATCTGGATTTGGATTTATCATACCCAAAAAGAGTTCCCTTAATAATAATATATATATATATACTTGAAATCAAAAGAAAATTCAATTTTTTATGAATGTATTTCCCAAAATTACTTATAATTCTCCTAAATTATCAAATTGTATAATGCATCTTATTAATTAGCTTTTAAAAATGGTGGTTAACCCTTATACATTATAAACAATATGACTCCTAATGAAAAAATATCAACTTTAACTCCATCATATATGGCTCCATAAAAAACTTCTGGTGCTTAATAATCTTTATATTATTTTATTTATTAATACTTTTCGTCCCTACTTTGGTTTTCAATTTGCCATCCTTATATTTATTTGAATATTATGCACAAGCAAAATTACATAGTTTTAGATTAAATTTTCTATCTAATAATATCGACTCTAATTTTAAATTTCTATGAACTAATCCCTTACTATGGATGAAATCAATTGTTAAAGTCAATTATTTAAAATAGTAACGACAAAGACTCTCCCCAAAACAGCCAGTCTTAGCTATAAATTCAAATAGATCTCCTTTATCCAAATATTCTAAGATTAAACAATCCAAAATTAAATTCTCACCTGATTCTCCCTATATCAATAATAACTTAAATTTTACCTTGAATTTAAATTGTTAATTTTTCTTTATTCCTATTATATTTGGATGACTCAATTTCTCCAAGATTATTGTTTCATTATGACTTCTGATATCACTACTAATACAAGTATACACTTTTATGGCATAATAAACTTATGTATTCACATCCTATACTTGATAGACACTATCATTATTAAAATTGTTACTTCGCCATTGATCCAATACCTAATAGTTTAACGAATTTATATTCATTCACAACAGCACCAATCAATTGATCCATTAATATAAATATAAATTATGCTTACGTAATATCTCATTTTTTAATTCTGAGAAAAAAACAAAAAATGTTATAACTTTTTGATTATTATTAAAAATATAAATGAATAATCAAAAATAAGATGACGAAAAATACAAAAAATTTTAATGCAAAATATGCTTAGATCTAGCAACAGAGCCTGTTATCACTCCATGTGGTCATCTCTATTGTTGGCAATGTCTTTACACTGTAATATATATAAAATAAATCTAGTGGGCTTAAAAGAAGAATCCATTAGTATGTCCATATTGTTCTAATGTTTTTGAACTTAACAAAGTTACTACCATTTTTACAGGAGACTCTAAAGAATCAAAATCATCAGAAATACCAAAAAGACCTTCAAATCCAAGACAAGAATAGAACAATTAATAATAATAAAATTAACCTTTTGGAAACTTTTAATTTGGTTTCAGTTTTGGAATGCCATTCATGATGATGTCTAATTTCAATTTTGGATAAGGATAATAAGCTAATACAAGAACTTTTATGTTCATTTTCTTTCTTGGATTTTTTCTTATGAATTTTCTACCTATCTTTAGTTCCTTTTTCTAAGAAACTCCATAATAAACATAAAGACAATCAAGAAGACATCATTAAGAAACATCTGAAGAGTATTTTATCAATATTGGAATAAGTTTTGCAATTATTCTTGGTTTTGCTGGCCTCAATTATGTGGCTAAAAAGATTTTGAACAATTGATAAACATGTAATAATTTTTATCTGAAGTAATCTCAATTTAAATTTATATTATAAATATCACTCATTAATAATTTTTTCATTAAATTTTTTTAACATTAATATTAACATAGTTCAAAATCTATTTTTATTTTATAATAACTTCTTTATGGTGCTCTTTTTTTTTTAATCAAAAATGATTTTGTTATTCCTATCCTATTAAAAATTTTAAACCTAAAAACTTTTCAAATATTCAATGAATTTAAGTTTTTTTTAACAAAATAAATATACTCTTATCATTGAATCTATTCAATACAACATTATACAAAGTAGAGGATATTCTAAAAGGATTTTTTATAAATAGTAATGTTTCATTACTTATTTAAGGTTGTTCCATAGTTTCCAGCCTAAAAAAAGATTAACTTATTATAATTTCTAATTTCCTTTCTACTAATAATTGTCGGAGAATAATTTTGTCAATATAGATTATCTGATATATATTAATGTATTTATATAGATATATATATGAGAAAGTCATATTTTGAATTGATTTTTATAAATCTCTAACTCAAGTTCTCTTACTTGTCTTCCAAGTGTCTTGTATTTTTTTAAGTAAGTATTCACTCTCAACTATTTGTTCTTTATAATTTTATTTATTATAGTATAGATCACTGTCTATATCTCTTTTTGAAGCTCTTGTTTATATTTCATCAATTTAAATTAATAAATTGTTTCATGAGAATATTAATTTATTTTAAAATCGAATCTTGTTAACTAATTATTATTCAGCACTTTTTTTTTATATTTATCCACTATTTTATATTAAATGTAGGATTTTATGTATTAATTAAATAATGTAAATTCTTTTCACTCCAGGACCTCTTTTAACAACTAAAACTGTTAAAGAAGCTGCTTTAGTTGATATGGGTTCAAGAGATCCAAAATTTATCTAAATAATTCAAAATATTAGATCGAGTTTGTTGAAATTATCAAATGTAGATGAAAAAGATTATACAGCAGTACTTCTCTAAGGAAGTGGTACATATGCAATTGAAGCAACATTTCATACTGTATTGAAAAGAGAAACAGATAAGTAATTAAATCAAATTTTGAAATTAGAGTACTTGTAGTTTCAAATGGAGCTTATGGAGAGAGACAAGCTAAAATATTATCTGCTATAAATAAAAAATATGTAAAATTATCATATGATGAAAATCAAAAATGTGTAATTGAAGATATCATTAAAGCAATTTAAGAAGATCCAGAAATTACTCATTTAAGTATGGTACATTCTGAGACAACTTCTGGAATTATTAATGATATTGATTTTATTCACAAATTAAATAGAAAAGTAGTATTTATATTGGATGCTGTCAGTTCATTTGGAGCTTATGAAATTCCAGTTTCAAAATTAAATATCGATTTCTTAATATCAACAAGCAATAAAAATATATAAGGTTTACCTGGATTTGCCTTTGTAATTGCAAATAAATAATTATTATCTCAATGCAAAGGCAATGCTAATTCTTTAGTACTTGATCTATATGATCAAGAAGAATATATGCTTAAAACTTCATAGTTCAGATTTACACCTCCAACACATGTATTAAGATGCTTTGAATGTGCCTTAAAAGAATTTGAAGAAGAAGGAAGCATTAAAGGAAGATAAAAAAGATATACAGAATTATAACAATTTTTATCGTAAGAAATGCAAAACTTGGGATTTAAACTTTTCGTTGATCCTAAAGATTAAGGTTGTATTATAACTACATTCCTCTTCCCAAAAGATCCCAAATTTAATTTCAATTGTAATAAATAATTAATATCTATAGAATTTTATGATTATTTAGCAAACAAAAATCTTATTATTTATCCTGGAAAAATGACTAAGGCAGAAACCTTTAGAATAGGCTCTATTGGTGCCTTAACAATGGATCATATGATATCACTTATTGAAGAAATTAAAACATACATAACAGATACAAATTTGTAAGTTTCATGAGAAATTATTGTATTCTAATTTATCATCAATTTATTTTCTTAAAAAATATAATAGATAAAAACTCAATCATTAATCAACCTAAATTAATCATAATTAAAAAATATAAACTAATTAATAAAAAATAAAAATATATTATGTGCAAGAATTTAAAGTAATTTAAAATTTGATAACTTAATTCTTGTTTCGATTATAATGATTTCTGTAAAAATAATTTATCTATAATTTGATATTAAATAGATATAAAAAAGTTTGTTATAATATTTAAAAAATTTTTTAATCAAATAAGAAGTAAATTAATTTCTAACAATTATTGATATTCTAAAAAAGAAAGAAGTTTAATATAATGTATTTGTAATATTGTTTCACATAAAAATATAAAGATTTACAATAAATGAATAATATATAAATTCATTTTAGTATCTGTAAAAGCATTTTTTTATATCTGGCAACAAAAGTAGGAATAAATTCTTTTTGAGAATGATTCGCTCTTATATAAATTTATTATGCTTTGACAAAAGGTTCTCTTTAGGTAGCAATAAACTTACGAATGTTTAATTTGACATGTTCTAATGAAAATGATTATGTTATTCTATGATTCACCTACTATTAAATGGATAATTTATAGTTTGGATTTTCATTAATTTTATGGTCAAACTCATATATTTCTTTGTTTTAACGATATTTTTCTGTTATTTCAAGTATCTTTTTTGGTAATTTTGGTTGTCTCTTGATGGTTGAATTTATTGTTTAAGTTTGTTCATGATGAATTAAATTAAACTCTTTGAAATCTTTATTGGTAACAATTGTTGTAATAATTTCAATAGGATTACAATTATTGTATTTAATAAATCTTTTTTCATCATAACTTTTTCCATTTGCAATATTAGTAAAAGGAATACTAATAGACCCTTGAATGGAAGACATAAAGTCAATGGCCTTGGTTGGAAGTGTTTTCTCAAACATTTAAATAAATTCTTAAGCTGTAATTCTATAATAGGATTTGGATGGTTCTAAATATCCGCTGGTCCATTTTTAATGATAAAATTCAGCTCTTTAAATATTGCCTTAATAGAAATAAGCAATCCCCATAGTATCATAACATTAGATTTCTAGATCATGGTATTCAAATGCCCATGTGTACATCAATGCTTTTTATATTAGAACAATTTATTAGTCAAATAGCTTATAACTATAAATATATAATATTTTACTGTTTAGCGCATTAAGCTAATAATAATAGAGTTTTAACTTTCAATAAGGGATTACGAGTTAGATTTGACAATGTATAGCAATCCTTAAGAAAGTAAGTACCTTTGGAATATTCTTAGCAATCTAGAAAGAAAGTGGCTAAAAATAAGATCATTTCTGAAAAGGTTTCAGTCAACTATGTAGAATGAATAATTGAATACACTCTCTTATTATGCCAAAATCATTGGAGTTTGAAACAAATTAACAATTCTTTCTACATCTTTTCTTCTAATTATATCTTGAAATAGAAGTGAATTATCTTCAAAAAAGAGTACTATATTGTATTTTTTATCATTTTTGTTATATCTCTATGTACTAATGAAAGAAGTCATTCTTTGTTCCTAGAAGAAGGATTAAATATATTAAATACTCTACTCATTTGATTATTTGAGTTGATTGGTGAATGAGGAGTCATATTTGGTGTTTTGATTTCAAATTCATGAAGATGACTAAAATCTAATTGTTTAACTGTTTAATCTTAAGTTCTTTCAAATGCTGACATATCTTTTGGAAGAGGTGAGTTACGTTATGAGTAGGATTGTAATTTAGTTTAAGGTGTTTGAATAGTTGTTGGTCTGTTAGATGGACTATTAAGTAAATTTCGTAAAACAGAAGACATTTAACATTTTCTGTAATGTTTAAGTTTATCAAAAACATTTGAAGAAGTTGAAGGAGGTGAATAATTGGTTTTCATAAATAATTATTAAAATAAATGGAACCAGATAGTAAATTATTATCACTCTTAGAGAAGGTTAATAATCCTATATAATTGTTAAAAGTACATATAACAGTTAAAGTAATTGGGCAATATAATAATTATATTAGGGAGTGTATGGATTTACAGAAGATTGGAAATTGACAGATGAAACGAATCCAGGAATATTTGCTAATGTAGTTCGATATTAAGGGGAAGATTTATTTGGAAAGATTAAGGGTCGAGAATTAACAGAGAAAGAGAAGTTTGAAGAGTATTAGAAAAATAGTAAAAAGAACAAAAAAGACACTAAGAGTCCTGAAGAAGAAGAGTAAATGAGAAAAGTATTGGCATAAGAAGAAGAAGAAGAATTAAAAAAATAATAGTATTTAGGGACACTTTCAGAATAGGATAAATTATTTTTTATTTCTGAAGACAAATTCAAAACTTCGAGTATTTAATATGAAGAAACACATACTATAGAAATATAAAATGTACGTTAATTAGAAGAAGAAATTTTAGAATAAAGAAATATGATTTATTTTATTCGATAACCTGCAATAACAGAAGAAGAATTAGTAAAATTGAAGAAAGGTAAGACAAAAAATTTAAATAATGCTGAATTAACATAAATAATATTTAAAGGTGTTTTTGATTTATCAGATTTATTAGAACCTGGATGTACTCATACAACAGTGAGAGCATTTTTATAATAAGAAGAAAATACAGATTGTCCAAAATATAATTGTGATAAGATGTATGTAAAAGTAGATATAGAAACAGAACCAGCACTTACACCACTTGTAGAAGATATTCCTGTTTTAAATATTGAACCTATAATTATTTAAAGAATACCTAGTAAATTTGAATGTGTTGGACAATTTTAAAGTAAATATTTTATTACAATTTTAAAGGGGATATTAAAGAGGCTATGAAAGCATTAGATGAAGAATATACTAAACTTAATCCAAGTGATTAAAAAGCTAAAATTAGTACTAATTTAACAATTTAAAAAAGATAGGAATTACAAAAGAAAAAAGAATCTTTTTTAAATGAAATTAATTAATCAGGAAAATATAAGATACTTTAAGATAGATTGAGATCATCAATTATAAGAGTTTGTATTGATAAATTTGCAAAAGAAGGATTATTTGTTGGAGTCAATAAGGATGAATAAGATAGATTATTTGCAGAACTTTATGTATTTATGATGGAAGAAATGTAAAATACACTTGGTGAATATGTTTTAAATAATAAAGAAGATATTCATGAAGATTTATATTCAACATATGATTAAAATTAAAGAGAAAGAGATATAGTATTCTAATCATTAAAAGAATCTGCATATAAAAAATTTAAGAGATTTGCTGAGTAATATGAAACTATTAATCAAGTGGATTAAGCTCTCAAATATTATACTAATATGGTATTAGTAGATCCAAAATCAGCTACTATTTTTGCTAAATATTGTTTCAAAATTTAGAGATTTAAAGCAGCTGAATAATTAATATAAATGGTTAGAGATATAGAATGGAATAAAGAAAATGAATTATTAATGGCTTGTCTTTATATTAGAAGAGAACGTTATAAAGAAGCTATCAATATTGTATAAGCTTTACTTTAAAAAGAACCAATAAATACACTTTTTAATCTACTTATGTCATTTATATACAAATAATAAGGAAATCAAAATTTAGCTGATAAGTATTCAAGATGTACATAAAGAATATTTATGAGAACTATGGGCTTACTAACTAAAGGGTATTTTTTAATCATTTTATTTAAGATTTCCAAAATAGTAACCAGATCCTCATATTTTACCCAATTTTAAATAATAGATGATTGAATAATAAGAGAAAGCTAAAAAAGCTCCAGTTTTAACTCAAGAATAGACTGATTAAATATAATTAGAATTAATTGAATATTTTGCATCTAGAAGTTTATTTGATTTAGCTGAAAAAGCTCTTGGAAATATCAAAGATAAAACAACTCAAAAAATTAATATAATTAAAGCTTAGATTCATATTTTTAATGAAAATTATACAGAAGCATAAAACTTAATTCAAAAAATCTTAAATTAGAATCCAAAAAATTATGAAGTCTATTTAATTAAAGGTGCTTTATGTTATCAAACAGAATAATTTTATGAAGCAGAAGAAACTTTTCTTAAAGCTTTATCTATCTAACAAAGAAAATCTTTTGATATTCTATTAAGATTAGGATATTTGTATTTGAAGCGTAAATCTTGGTAAGATGCAAAAACTATTTTTGAAAGAGCTTTAGATTAATAAGTACCTTCAAATAGTTCCTTAACCTGGTTAGGATTGGGTATTTCAAATTTAAGATTGAAAGATCCTATAGCTGAAGAATGTCTTTGTTAAGCAAGCATTCATGAACCTTTCAATGGTGAAGTTTGGGGTTATTAAGCCTTAAATTGTTTATAATAAAAAAGAGGATAATAGGCTAAATAATGTTTATAAAGAATGGAATAAACTGAGGTTAATGATTTAGATTTATTACTTGAATTAGCAGATGAAATGTACAAATGCTAAGATTTTGAAAGTTGTAGATAAATATTGATGAGAGTTTATAATTCCAAAGTCAAAATACCTAATATGGGCTTATTATTAAAGAATCTTGGTTAAGTACATGCTGAATTGCAAAGAAAAGAAGAAGCTAAATAATATTATCAAGAATCTTTGTTATATTTAGAGAGTGCTAATGAAAAAGCAAAAGTTATTAAAGAAATTAAGATTTTATGAATCTTCTTTCATATTTCACATATTTATCTATTATTATATATGCATATAAATTAACTTATCAATATGTTATTTAAAATTAAAATTGGCTTTCATCAAATTCTAACTTAAATTCTCTTTGAAACATTTAGAAAACCTAATTATTCTATAAATGATCATCTGGATATAATTTTCATTCAAGAAGCTAATGCTCTTTTAATTTTAGAAGAAAACCTAATTAAGAAAAAAAATATTATATATTATTTTTGAGATTGAATATTCTTTTATCAATTTATCTGTAAAAATGGTTTTAATTTTCGTTATCTTAGTTTAAAAATCATTATTTAATCATTTTTTAAATCTTAAATGTATTTATTTAATCTTTTTATTATTAAATGCTGAATTATGAAGTCTATTTTTCAATTCAGATACAATACTTGATAGAAAAGGCATCTCCAATAAATAATATAAAAAAAATAATTATTTATTTTTAAGTTAATAAAATAGCCTATTATATTCAATTAAATTATTCTTATAAAAGAAAATTAATAGAATTAGTCATTGTAGATTAATAGATTGATATTTATCTCTTCCTTAAAATTATCTTTGTTCAGATATTTAATAATTTAATTTATATTCAAAAATATCGATGTTAAAATTTAAAGTTATCTTTGAAGGCAAAGAAATCAATTCAGAAAGTCTACCTTAGAAACAGATTCAAGAATTTATTAATAAATTAATTTCTACTTTGAAATTGTTAAATGAAAATAAAGTGTTTGGAATTTTCATGAATGGATCTGAACTCAAAAAAGATAAAACATTCTCTGATTATAAGGTTAAAAGTGGATGTATTTTAGAACTAAAACCTACAATAATTTATGAATACATTTTTCTTAAAATAATCGGATAATAGAAAACATGTTTTCCATATATTTGTTCAGGAGAAAAGGCTCAGAAACTTTATGATGATGTTGCAAAGGAATTAAATCTCTCAAATTAATCATTTACACTTTTGTTTCAAGGAGTTCCATTAGATAGGAATAAATAATTAATTGAATATAATCTTGTTTCAAATTCTATTATTAATTGTGAAGATGGATTAAGAATATAACCATAAATTACAGTCAAAATTTAGTATAATAATTAAGATTATAACTTTGTACTTAATCAGGAAAGTCGTATATCTGACTTAGAGTATTAAATAAAATAAAAGTTTAATAATAAAGATTTCTATCTTTTGAAGAATGGAGAATAAGAATTGTAATCCAATCAAAAAATAAATACTTTGAATGCTAATTACATTTTGGTATCTTTGAAAAATTAATTTCTCTAAATAACACCCTAATAATAAATTATATAAAAAGAACCATAATAAGAAATTATACAAAGAATACCTTAATAATAAATTATATAAAAAGAAACTTAATAAGAAATTATATAAAGAACACCCTAATAAGAAATTATATAAAAAGAACCTTAATAATAAATTATATAAAAAGAAACTTAATAAGAAATTATGTAAAAAGAACTTTAATAATAAATTATATAAAAAGAACCCTAATAAGAAATTGTATAAAAAGAGCCTTAATAATAAATTATATAAAAAGAACCTTAATAATAAATTATATAAAAAGAACCTTAATAATAAATTATATCAAAATAACCTTAATAAGAAATTATGTAAAAAGAACTTTAATAATAAATTATATAAAAAGAACCCTAATAAGAAATTGTATAAAAAGAACCCTAAATATAGATTAAAAGGTCATTTACATCATAAAAAATAAAAATATTAAAAGACCCTTTAAAAGGTGAAATATAGTAATTCTAATTTATATGCAATGATGATAAATAATTTGAGAAACACTTGGCTTTGAAAGTTTTAATTCAGAATGAAATTCGGAATATATAAATACCTGAAAATACTGTAGTTTAACAAATTGAAGAATAACTTAAGGCTGAATTTAAATTTCCTTTTGCAATCAGGTTATTTTATAAGAATTAAATTTTAAATTCTAATGAGACCTTAGCATAATAAATTGTTAAAGAAATAGAAAGTTTTTAGATAACGTTAAATTTAATTTATGAATAAAATCCAGTAATTACTGTTAAACGCTCTATGGATACCACTATTAAGTAAATTGAGGATTTTATAATTTCATAGAATAAACTTAATATAAATATACATGTTTAATTAGATGGAATTGTTCTAGATTCAAGTAAGACTTTAAGGGAGCTTTAGATTAGAGATAACACAAATCTTTATTTAAAAAATAATATAAAACTTGTAATCCAAAGAGGCGATGATATAATTGACTACTATGCTTTAGAAGATACAAACACAAAGTAATTATCTGAAGACCTTACTAAAAAGCATCATTTTAAACCTCCTTTCATTCTCTAAAAAGAAAGTGGAGATAAATTAAAATCAAACTTAACTCTTAAGCAATAAGGATTACAAAATAATCATATAATTTTTGTGATTGAAGAGAAGTTGATAGAAATTAACCTGATGTATTAGAATAATAAAAAATTAATTTCAGTTGAAGAAAATTCAATAGTTTCGGATTTGATTAACCTCACTTAAGAATAGTTCTCAATTTAAGGGTAAATATAACTAAATCTTGAAGGTAATCAAATTTTAAATCCTAATGATACATTAAGCAATTAAAAAGTTTAAATGGGGAGCAACTTATAAGTTTTATTGGTTGCTTAAGATAATCAAATTCCTTAACCTCCTTTTCCTCAAAAAACTTTATTAGCTAAAAATGTCTCTAATGGTTCTATATTAGATGGAGCCAAAAACGAAAATTAAGAACAGCCACCTTTAGAATAAATAAAAATTTTCATTAATATTGGGAATTAAAAAGAAATTATGAATGTTAAAGTTAATTTTAAAGTGATAGAATTGATAAAATATATATAATAAATCTATTATCTTAAAGAAAAGTTTTAATTAAGTTTAGAAGATAAAGTAATGTTAAATGATGAATTAACATTAGCTGAATACAAAGTTCAATAGGAAGACAATTTATTTGTAATTTTTAATTAGGAATAAAATCTATAATAAAACTAAAATCCGTAATAAAACTAATATTCATTAAACTATAATACTTAATATAACTAAAATCAATAATATAAATAATATCCATATTGTAACTAAAATTCATTTTAAAACTAGTACTCATATTTTAACTAAAATTCATTTTAAAACTAATACTCATAATTTAACTAAAATCGATAATTTAACTAAAATTAATTATCAAATTAGAAAACAGAATATAACTAAATTCCATCAGATAATTCGTAAATACAAAAATTTCAATAGAGTTCTTAAATTTTCTAACAAAATGTCGGTTTGGAATTAAATTAGAAATTTCCTTAAAAATTTAATCGTTAAATGAGTTAAGAATTTCCCCGATAACTGATGGGATAATAAAACTCATAAATAATACATCCATTTGCATAAGCAAAAGTTTAACTTCGATATAATAATAATATATTAATTTAGGAAATGGATAGTAGTATGAGTGTTGGGGCCTTAGAGAAATTGGCTTAGGAATAATATAAAATATATGAACCAATATAAATAGAAAAATAAGGATAGGTTTTGAACTCTCAATAGATTATTGGTGGGTTGAATTTAATAAATTTGGAAATTTTGGATATAGTAATAAAATAACCATCAAATCCATTTTTTATATAAGAATTGAGTTTGATAATTAAAGTGAAAGAGAATGAGAATGCTATTGAAATTTCGATAGATTAAGAGAGTAAGGTATCCTAATTGATAGAATTCTTGAAATAAAATTATAATATTAATGAGACAGTAGAATTATGGTAAAATCAAATCTAATTATATGAAAATAAAAGCTTAAAGGAGTAGAATGTTTAAAATAAGAGTTAATTGACTCTAAAGTAAAAGAATTGAAATATAAATCATCTTATGTTATAAAATTTCATAAATCTTTTGCATCTTCAAAACTTAAGATAAATAAAGTGTGAGGATAATAGCTGACACCTCTTTCATCAGTCTTAAACTAATAAGAGACTTGGCATGTAAATCCAGAGGCATTTAATATTCCCTTATTGATTTTCATTATTTCTTACTTTAAGAATTCCACACATAAATTATGCAGGTGAAATATGACCTTCTTCTGAAATATATTTAAGAAGTAAAGGATTTTCATCTCTAATAAGAAAATCATTAGGTCTATCCTTTAACTTTTCAATTGATTCTGCTTATCTACCAAAGAGATGTTTCCAAAACTATGAATTATGAATATATTTGTAATTTACAATTCCTTAAATGAATCTCAATTATTCGACTAATTTAGTTTCTCTTTTATTTCTTTCTCTAAGACTAACAACTTCATAGAGTCTAATTCCAACTGAGACTCCTAATTGTTCCATTTTTGAATTCATTTCATTGTAATCATTACCATGTTTTCTTTTTAAATAGCAAATATATCTAGATATTGAATGAAAATACTCTGAAAAGACATAATTGAATGTACAGAAATTTTATTCAGGTCTTTATTATCTAATATTTTTGTCAAAAAATTAAAATTTTTTCATGATTATATAAATAAACAAAATATTTTCATAATTATTTTAATGATTCAGCAAATTATTCAATAAAATTTATAAGATTCTTAGCATTTAGACAAGTAGCATCAACTAATGCACTAGATACAAGATATGGATCCATATTTGCAGCAGGTCTTCTATCTTCTAAATATCTAAAATGAATATAGAGAATAAATAATTTACCCTTTTCCTAATTCTTTAGTAATAATAGGTACTCTAATAGAACATCCTCTAGATCCATCTCCCCATGTAAATGAATTATATTGTCCAGTTTCATGTTTACCTGTTAATCTAGCTTCATTATTCAATCCATAAAGTAACATCATTTTTTAATGATTCTTTTCTAAAAGAGGTAAGATGAATTCTTTAATATATTCATAACCTCCATTTTCTCTTGTTTTATTTGTTGAGAAATTACAATGAGCTCCAGTACCATTCCAATCTCCTTGAATAGGTTTTGGATCATAATTAATATCAATTCCAAATTCTTCACCTAATCTTTCTAATATATATCTTGCTAACCATAAATGATCACCTGCTTCAATTCCATGTGCAATACCTATTTAAAATTCCCATTAAGATGGAGCTACCTCTGAATTAATTCCTGATAATTTTAATCCAGCATATAAACATGCTCTTTAATGTGCTTCAGATAATGCTCTACCAAAATTATTACGTTCTCCTATTGAACAATAATATCTCCCTTATGGATATGGAAAACCACCTATAGGCCATCCTAAAGGCCATAAATGTGTTGTTCCTGTTCTCTTTAACATAAAATATTCTTATTCTATTCCAAACCAAGGATCACACTCATTTGCTTCTTACATTATTTTTTCGGCTATCCATCTAAAATTAAAACGTGCTGGTGTTTTACGATCTGGTTTATATGTCTCACATAATACAAATTTATGAGGATCTCCACGAAATGGATCTCTTACCATACATACAGGTTTTAAATAAATTTCACTAAATTTTGTTATTGCTTGATCTGTTGATGAACCATCATATGTCCACCATTCAATATCTTCCAAACTTTTAATCACAGTATCATACACTTTTGTTTTAGATCTCAATCTCTCTCCAGTACCATCAATCCATATATATTCAACTAATACATGTTTATTTGTATTCAATTTGTAATAGTTAAAATCTCTCAAATTTTCTATTGTTTCTGTCATTGATTAAATTAATATTAAATTATTAAATAATTTATACATATCTCTTACTAATTCATGCACCATATTTTGGAAACTTACCTACTTATGTCAGTAATTCTCTCCAAAGACATTATAATCTTATTACATTTCTTCTTATATATGAATATTCATTTATTTATTCTAAAGTTTCAATTTCATCTACTCTCATCTGATAATTTGAATAATGAATAAGAGCAATCTATTTCCCTTTGCTCTCTATTTATTGATACTTAAATTAATTTCTAGACTAAACAGGAAATTCAATATCATTTTCATATTATTTTATGTTTGATATGATAAAATAAATGTGATGTTATTTCTATTTTTGAATTTCTTCCAATACTTTTATTTAATCTTTAAATGCTATTATAATGTCAAAATTGTCAAACAATTATTCTTAGAATTCATCAAAACTAATTAATTGAAATTATTAATATTGTTTTCCAATAACAGCTGTCTTAGCACCATAACTTATTTAAGTGTAAGTTTAAGCATTATTGATCAAATTAACTTCAAGTATTTCATCATCATTTTATGAATTGGGTATAACCTAATTAAATCCAACACCCTCTTTCATTCCCATCAATTCCAATATAAAATCTTCTTGTTCTTATATTACAATAGTAGTATTGCCCCTCTTTATGAATTCTTAACAATCATGATCAATTATTAATGCTACTTTACCCTTCATCAATATATAAATAATTAAATTTATAGGATAATAAAAAAGAGAACATAATTTGCATCAATTGATATCATAATATGCTCACTTTCTATTTGAATATTAACCTTGTTTATGTTGTAAATTAAAAGAGAATCGATACTATCGAACAAGATTAATCGAGAACTATAGAGACATAAAAGTTTTAAGTCTATTTTCTAATATTATCAAATTGGTGATAATATATCTTTCAAAATTCTGAAATTGTAAATTTGAATTTTCAAATAGAAGAGAGTAAATAATCACTATTGATAAATAATTTATTTATTTCATTTAATTATCTGATCAATTTTATTATTATAACATTGTATAATGTTGATTATTTATTAGTCTCTCCCTAAACAGAAAGTGGGTGTTTTTTATGTATAGTATTATTGATTATCATGTGTTTTGAATATCATCTTTAAGCAGCTGAAGGAATTAATTAAAATCATTAAATCATTACAGAGTGTCTTTTTAGAATAAGTACCATTAATTTAAATTTCATCAATAAAGTTTTTAATATTTTAACAATATTAATAGGAAAGTATAGAATTTTTATTTTTATGATTCCAAGACTCAGAAACCAAAAAAATATTGAGGTTATTTATTTGAAAATCTTCAGTCACTTTTGAGAAAACCAACTGAAATTTTAAAGATTGTAAAATTTGTAGTAGATAGATGAATTATATTAATAGAATAATTATAAATAATGATAATAGTATCTGATGAATTTATATAAAATAATGAAAATAATAAATTTATACTTAAGTGAAGTGGTAGAAATAAATAAAAAAGATTGGTTGATTTGTATAAGGAGTTAAAATTGATTAAATAAATATTTTAATTGATAATATACTGTAAGTAGGTGTATGGAAATAATAGATAAGTTGAATAAGATGAATTTTGGGAAGGATGGTTTAAGTATTGTAATAGAAAATAGATATAGAAAAATAAAAGAGAGAGATAATGAAAAATAGAATTGAGAGTAATAGGGAGAATAAAGTAGAGATTAGAATATGTTGATTTAAGTATTAAGAGAATAGAGAAAGAAATAAAGAAGAGATGAACAAATAGATAGTGAAAATGAATAAAAAAAGGGGAAAGATTTAAAGAAGGATATAGATGAGGAGAAGAGAGGAAGAGGAGATTAATGAGAATGATATTGGATTTAGAGATGTAGATTATAGAAAATTTGTGAGGTTTAGGAACATTGATATCTAAAATAATAAAAAAATAATTAAATGCAAAATTCAGACAATTCAGATGATTAGTATGATGAATAATATAGTGATGATCAATAAGAATCTCCTCGCTTTCTATATAATTTCAGAGAATTAAATCTGCAGAACAAAACTTTGTTAGGTGAAATAAGAATCATTTGCAAGAATTTGATATATGTAATTGGGTTAGCTCCTAGTTTAGCTAAAGAAGAAGTATACAATTTAATTATTTTTAAGTTGCTTAGAAAACCAGAATATTTTGGACAATATGGATAGATTTAAAAATTGATCGTAATATAGAGTAACACCTTCAATCCACCTTCTCATGCAGCCTATATCACTTATCGTAATGAATAGGAAGCATCAATGGCTATACTAGTAAACATATTAAACTAACTTATCGGCTTGTGAAGGTTTTCCTTTACATGAAAGATTGGTCAAGGCCTCTTTTGGAACCACCAAATATTGTACCAATTTCTTGAAGGGTCAATTATGTAAAATCAAAGATTGTGTTTATTTACATTAACATCCTAAAGATAAAGAATCAACATAGGTTATTAAAAAAGTATTCATTACTTAACTTATTATCTTAGGAAGAAATGAACAATTCTAAATGGTTATTCTCTTACTCTCAAATTCTGGCCTAAAATAATTTCAAAAAGTTTTACACCAAAATTAATTACAAAACTGCACTTTTAAAATCAATCTTCCTAAATACATAAAATATACTCGATAGAATGATTGCTTATAAAATTGTTGATCCTTATCCTGAAATACCTTAACAATAGCATGTTAATGAAGAAACTCCTTAAATACAAACTTAAGTTTATGGTAAATCTATTTAATCTATCTCACCTTCTAAACCTTTAGATATCGAGAAGAGACTAGAGGATATCATCTAAAAGAGTATCTTTCATATCTATTTTAGTGGATGGAGATAGTAATTCCAGGTTCAAATTCACTAATGGAACAAACATTCCTTTAGACTACGAAGCAATACTTCAATTAAAGTAGTTCATTCTAAAATGATTATAAAACATATATAAATCATTATCAATTTATCAATTGTATCTTAATCTATTTCAAAACATTATATTATTTCATTATACTTTGTATTACTAATTTTAATCAAATAATATTTATACTCTTAAATTCATCAATCCTTTATACTTTCATTATTTTAAGACATAAATTTTTCTATCAAATTCAAATTGAATTTTTTAAACTAATCAATTATTAACTTTTATTCTTCATTATATTTTATTCTTCTTTAATCCTATAAATATATAAATATTACATTATTACTCTTATTTTCTATTCTTTGTTTTCTTTTCTCATTAAAACTCATTTATATTTAATTTCACACAATTTTTATAAAAAATTTAAATGGAATTATTTTGAAAATAGACATTTATTCATTTATATTAAATTTTTATTAAATAGATTACCATCAATAGTTTCATAAAAATTTAAACATTTTATTATAATCATTTGTTGATTTGTTATTATAATAAATATTATTAAGCTTTATAACAATAATTAGATCATTTAAAGAAGAAAGAATTTTGGATTTAAAAATTATGTTATATTTTTTATTCTATTATGTCTTTATATTTGTTGGATTGAAAATAGTAATGATTATATTAAATAGGAACTGAAAAAAAGAAAAATAAAATAACTAGGTTAGAAATAACTTGATAATTGAATTCAAATTGATTTAATTTATGAAATAAAATTATTAGAACTCAAAATTAATTTTATATAATGTTTCCTCCAAAGGAATCCTCTTCTTCTTCTTCTTCTTCTTCTTATTTAGGTTATATAGGGTCATTAATTTCAGAATCACTTTCAATTTGGTTAACTTTAAATTTTTTTTATAAATATTTGCTAATTTATTTTTAGGTGATAACAGAATATTGCTTTTATTCCTCATTATATCTTTTTCTATCTTCCTCTGATAGTTTGACATAAGGCTATTTTTTAATAATAATTACTTTCTATTCTTCAATACTTAATTCTTTCCATTTTTTTGCAATTAAAGATGTAATTTATGAAAATTTTTTTTCTAATATAGTATTTAAATTTCTAACCTTTATGTTCATTCTAAAATTTTTGCTTCATCTTTTTGAAATAGAAAATAAAGGGTGATTGTGGCATTTTTGGAGCATAAGGATCTTTAGGTCTTTTTTTATATTTTTTGGGTCTCTTTCTTATTGATTTAACAGAGGGTAATATGGACTAATATTTTTCACATAGATCTTTCATTCCATCAAGAAATTCTTTAAAGATAAAGAGCTCTTTTCTATAGACAGGTTGATTATCTTATTAACTCTCCATAAAAGTTTATAATCAAAAGTAATAATTATATACAAACTCATATAAATTTTATGCTTTATGTGAAAAAAATGGTCTTTTTTCACATTCATCTTTGGAAATATTTAAATTTATAACTCTTCTTACTTTAGGTTGTTTTCTGTTCATATAAGATGTAATATTTAATGCAACAGGTGTATCATTAGTTCTTTATATAGAACTTAAACGAGGAATAGGTTAAAATATAGTCTTACCATCCTTTCGCTTTTTTAAAACTCTTGTTTCAGGAGTAAACAATCTATTTTGATGTTGTTCAAAACTGTTATGTTAGCTTTTAAAAATGAATGTTTTATTAATGTGTATGTTTTCAAATAATTCACAAAGGATTCCTTATTCTTTGCATTTTCTTTCATTTTATGAAGAATATCTGTTAGTGTAAATTTCCTAATCTTTTTATTTTTTATTTATAGGAGATGCTTTCCCTAAGATCTAGAAATTGAATTATTTTTTATTCCAATTCTTACATGCTATTTTAGGTTTCTTACATGGAATTGTGTATAGATCCATTATAATATTATTATTAAATGAATTTTGCATTACCCTCTTCCAAATTGCCACTTGTATATAGACATCCATATTAAGGGTTTGTTAATAGTTTACCCTATATTGATGGTGAAATAGATTCCAAAACAAAAATTTTAGTACTCAAACTTTTCATAAATAGGTTGATCGTCTAATTCAATAAGAAATGTAAAATATGGATTCTTAGGACTATTTACATGAATTACCTATTCCTTAAACAAAAATAACAGATTTATTGAAATCAGAAATGGAAAGAGTTGAGTTACAGTAACCAATGTCTAAAATTGATTTTGAATAGAAGCCTAATTTCAATTAAGAGTTTTAATCAGCTCATGAAGTTTAAGAGGCCAATTAATAATTGAATGTCCTTAATTAATATGCTTAAATTAAGTAACTCTTATTATTAGACTCTAGTATCATTAATTCAGAATTACTTAATAAATATGGCAAAGAATCTTGGACATTGTTGCTCAAATCATAAGAAAATGAAAAGAATAGATTACATAAAGAAGTTACCAATCAATAGCAAGAATTAAATCATATTAATGCTTAACGAAAATATGAATAAGTAATATTTACCTCATATTAAGAATGAAGTTAAATATAAATTAGATAGCTTAAAATCTAAAGTTTAGGAAGTTTTGACTAATAATGCTTAATTATAGATTGTGTGTGGAGAATTAGAATAGGAAATCTATGAAAAGTAAAGAAAAAAATTAAAATTGAATTGATTCTAAATATATTATTTATTCTTTGATGAATATCAATATATACAATTCTTCAAGTTTTATAGATCTTATTCCAAATGCATTCAACTAAAAACATACTGTATCCTCATTTAATAAAATTAAACCCAAAAAACTCAACAAACAGATTTAATCAACTTCTGATTTCGCTTCTTCATCTTGTTTACAAATGCTGACAAGTGCAAGCTCCAATCGCAAAACTTTCAAATAAAACACTGACATGTATAAATTAGGCTAATAATTTTTATAACACAAAAAGGAAAAACAACAACAATTACTTCATTAAATGGAAGCCAAATTATAACAGTCATGTCCATTTTAACCTTAGATCACATACAATTCTCGAACCATTGCTTCTGTATCCAAAAATACTCTTAGTAGATAAAGATAATGTTCTGAATTAATTGATTCTTAATCAATCAAGTTACAAAAAGATCTGGAAGAATGCACTTTTTCACCTTAAATTTTAAGAAGAAATATAGATATTTTTGATCGATCATCACCTTTTTATTTCAGATAAATTGATTGGAAATTAAATCTTTAAGAGAAATTACAGGCAACTAGATCTTAAAATTAAACCGAATTAATTATTTCGTAAAATTTGCAAACTCATCCTAAAGAATTAGATTTAAGGGCTAATCATGCTTTAAAGAAAAATATTGCAGCAAAATATCTTAGATAATCACTGAATGAATGAGGTTTGATAAATTTTAATAATAATTTTGTTTTTCATAATCATTAAATATAAATATTTCATTTACTAACATTTACATCTCTCTAATATTCTGATATAAAATCAATGATATTATACATTTCTTTCTTACAAAGATAATTTAGAATGATAAATAAAATGAAAATTTGTATTCTATTTAATAAATTTATTTATCAATTAAAATATTATGAAGTAATATTAGAAATAACAATTTCAAAATAATTAAATTTATTACAATATATCAAAAGATTATCCGATTTGAGTTGTTTAGAATATAAATATAAAAAAAAGATTCGGTTTTCTATCAAACGACATAGCTATTTCTTACATTTTTAAGTCCCAAATCTAATGATGACTTTTCTTTTTTTATTTTTTATATTTCTATAGACAAAGAGATAAATAATAATTTTTCTATTTTCTTCATATCAATTTAGAATTAAATTTTAATATACATACTAAAATTTCATAGCTAATTCCAAAAAATTATTAGTAACATCCATTTTTAGTCCATGATTAACAACCATAAATTCTTATAAATAAAATACTTACATAATATGATAATTAATTACTTATTCTCTTCTAAACAATAAGTTTTATTTATCTGTTATACCCTAGGTTTAAATTAGTTATTTGGAGAAGACCAAATTTTAAAACTATGATAAATTCTAAATTAAATTCACAATATTTATTATTCTTACCATGATATGTACATAGTTAATAAAAAAACTGTTTTAAAAGGAGGAAGATACTCTGATAAACTACATGCTCTTTAAAAAACTATGAACTCGATAGTGATATTTCTTAAAAACTTCCAGCTAATCTATTTAAGAATATTATTAAATAAATTTTTTTAATTTAAAAAATAATATGTCCATCAATTGCAAATTAGCAAACCAGACGAAAAAAAAAAATATATCTATTATTACAAAGAATTTAAAAAATATAATTTACAATTTTATATCTAATTTATAAGATATTTCAATAAAACCAAATTTTATGTTATTCTTAAAACGAAAAAAGTTCTATCGCTTCTTCTGATTTTCGTTCATCACATGATCTATGGCATGAACGAGCATAAATGTATGGGGCTTAATCTAATATTTATAAAGGAAACTTTCCTGTATCACAACCTAATTATATAAAAATTATTAAGGATTAGATAAATTATGATGTATATCTTGTTTCATCGGGTATGCAAATATCCATTACTTCCAAAATAATAATTAATTTTTGGAAACAAATAAGAACTTCCTATTCAAATATATTCCCTGTTGCTTCATATATTTAGGGTAGATATTCCCATATTGCTGATTTAAGAAGAAAAAAATCATCATTTTAAATAGCTTACATCTTTTCAATATTAAAGCAAAGCAATTAAAATACATTATAATGATTTGTTTAAGCCTTTAATATTTAATATATTTATTTAAAAAACATATTTTGATTATATGAAACATTTTGGCTAATCATCTAATTAATTTCATATAATTGTGTTACAAAAAGATATTAAGTAATTTTAGAATTAGGCATCTAATTTAAAAGTTTAATTATTTTAGTAAATGAATAAATGCATTCTAAATCGTTATTGTGGAATTGTTATTAAAATATATGATTTAAAACGATTAATTAATTATAAAGACAATCATTCTGTATAATATAATAAGCTTTTTATAAATAATGTTAAGCTAAAAGTTGATCCCCTTTGTAAGTGAGAAATTATCCATACAAATCAAAAATAACCCAATTAAAATAATAATTTTAAAGATTTTCCTCAATAAATTATATAAACTCTTTGATTATTATTTAGAATATTTCATTATTAAATGGTATCATTTCGCTGAATATCCAACAATGATAAAATATAAAGTATTTATCATAATTTTGTTTTTGCAATAATTTAATAAAAGAGCCATGTATATTGATATAATCTATTACATTAATATTTTTTTCATCAATATGAAATATTTTAATTGGTGAAATATTAAAAAATGTGGTAGGATATTGTTTTTCATGAATTTTATCAAAAACAGCTAATCCAAGGGAAAGCGGGTCATCCTAAAACATATTGTGATGCTTATTATAAATGGCGTTTAAAATCGACTTTTATTTATTTAACCATATTGAATCCATAAAAATAAATTTCCATTCATTTAACATTTAAAAAGCATTTCTATAATTTATAAAATAAGGAATAATTTCATCTCTTGCTGAAAGCCATTAATTGTTCAATCTAGATTTTAAGCAAATGAATTTAAGTAACAATTCATCATTTTCTAATTCTAGTTCATTTTGAATACTATTTATGATAAGTTTAGCTTAATCCATTTCACCAATAGTATATAATAATTCAGCTTCTTGTAATTTTATATTGCAATCAATTTCTTGTTAAATTGCTTGATATCCTTGGCAAAGCATTAATTGAAGGAGTTTTTAACCTTTCTTTTCTAAAACATCGAAATACAAATCATATTCAAACTTTGATAAATCTTCTATTGAAATTTCTTCAAAAATTTCTTCACCTGATACACTTTTAGAATATTTATCTATAAAACTATCCATGATCATCATTTTTTTTAATTTATCTTCTTCATTAAAAAAATCATACAAAACTAAATTAAAAAATTATTAATTCCAAAAATTCATATCTGGATTAAAAGGCAAGCTGTTCTAATCTTAATAATTTTTATAGAAGAAACTTAGATTAAAATCATTTTACAATTTCATTTTTATCATATCATCAGTTTCTATTGGTTCTTAAATTAGTGTACATCTAATGAATTTTTTTGATAAAAATTTCTAATTTATATTAATATAATCTTTATTATAGAGCCAATCAATTTTTGGATGCACCTTTTATTATTAATCTAAAATCTATTATAAATCAAAAATATTATCATCAGGGTATAGAATTTATAGCATTGCCAATTAAAATGCAAAAATATCTTTTTTAAACAGATTAATCTTAGTTCTTCTTAAATCATTTTGAAAAGCTGTTCTTTGTGGTTTTTATAAGTAAACTCTAGTTCCAACTATTGGATAATTACCATATGGAGTTTAATATTAAATTGCACATCCAAAATCAGCTAATACCCAACCATTTTTTTAGGTATTTATAATATTTTCTAATTTAATATCTCCATGAGCTATTTTAAGTGAGTGAATTTTTAAAATACTATCTAAAATACAATTAAAAAGATTATCAAATTGCAGATCACTAAATTTCTTTAATTTAATTAAATATTCTTTTAAATTTCCAAGTCCATGGTCTAAGTAAGCATACATTCTATAAGTATTCTTATATTTTTAACTTATAACTATTTAATTTTATATTTAGATTATGCATTCTGGAAATTTGTTTGCAATTTTTTTTTAAATTTTAAATTCTTAAGCTTATTAAATAACTTATTCAAAATCACATTTCTCTTAAACTTTTAAAGCAGCTCTCTAATTATTATTTGGATTAATTGTTGAGTATACATTTCCATAAGAGCCTTTGCCTAACAATAATCCATTTTCTAAAATATAATTAATACCTTTTTTCTAATTATTATATTATTATTATTCATTATATACGAATACATCTGAATATTTTAGGAGTAATGAAAATATAGTCCTGTCTAACACCTAAATATTAGTCATACTATAAAAGTTGTTATCATTTAATTATTTAAAATAATCTAATGTTTAAGTAGATTCTGATTCTTATTGAATATCTGAATTATTCATTTTTTAATTTTATTTTTCAATTAATTCATTAAAAAAAGTTATTCAAAACAAAATATCATTAGAAAAATAATTAGAAAATTTACATAAATCACAGCCAATTCAGTTTTACTAACAATTCTTGAAATATATTAAGTTTTAGATTAATAAATTTACCCTTAATTTTCTAATAAATTTTAAAAAGTACTTAAAAGCTGAAAATTTTGTTAACAAATGAATTCGATATTATCATTAGTAATTAATTTTGATCTGCATAATTTTAGTATTAAAATATTTATGTTAACTAATTCTCTCTTATTAAATTCTAATTTTTATTATATATAGTTTTTTTTAACTTATTAGATTTAGGTAATAACATTATTTAATTCTTAGTCTAGATAATGTTATTTTAAAAATAGTAAAATTTTTATTAAAATAAGAATAAACTTGATTAAAATAAACACATGTTAATGATTCAATTTAATTAAATAATTTATTAGATCAAATTTTTAATGGACCTAATTAATATACGTTTCATTAGAATGATTTTTACCTTGATTATTGTAAAGTTAATCTCTATTAGGGTTACCTTTATAGCTTTTTAATAATACAAAAATTGTTTAAGTATTCTTCATATCATTAAATAATGCCCTTTTTCTTTATAAAATTAAATGATGACTTTCAAACAACATTTCTGCTATATTATTGTGTAATTTAAAAGGTTTTCTTTGAAAAGATTTCAAAAAGTGAACTTTATAAGATGATTTTGAAATTACTCTAAAATATTAAATTTGAAAATAAATATAAAAAAGAAAAATATTTAAAAAAGTTCTTTATGTTTTATAAATTGTGTGAAAAATGTAAGGATTAACAGTTATTGTAAGATTTTTAAAATAAATAATATTATTATTTTTGGCTTCAAACGATGTTTAAATTTAATAAAGCGATAAAATATCTCTAATAAAGAAACCAAATAAATGATATACATATACATTTAATTATTTAATTAGATTTGGTAATAAAATTGAGAACTAAAATACATTGTTATGATAATTTATCAGATATTAATTGAATCATTATTCATAATTTTGTTTGCACTTTCATTGAGATAATTGTTTAATCAGTTCAAAGTATGCTTTATAAAATTAATCTAAAGATATTAAAATTTCCTCTAACTTATTGTTCTTTCTGATAAAATTTGTAAGTTCAAAAAGATCAGTTTTTAATTTTTTTGAATATTCAAAAAGTGACGTATAGTTTTCAAGTTTATTTTTAGATTAAGTTTAACCTTTCAATATTTATAATACTTTTGTTAGATCAGGGGATTCTTAAAAATGTTGTTAATCAATAAGAATAATTGCTAAAGAAAAAAAGGATGTTTAGATTTTATAAAATATTTCTATTGATTTTTAATTATCGTAAGGGTATATTCCTAAAATATAAATTTAGATTACTTTATAAATTCTTTTCAATTTTAGCTTTAATGATTTCTTCGTTCTACTTTTTATATTCTTCAATCTTTTAGAGATAAATTTTAGTAAGTTTCTTTTACTTTTCTAATTAAATTTTATATTAGTCTGCTTATTCTTAAAATTATTTTATTTCAGTTATAAAAACAGGTAAAATTAATTCTAATTTTTTAAATACAGCAATATTGTATTATAAAATTTATTAATTATGAATTACTTACTTGCGAATTTCACGTTAGTTTTCTGATTATAATTATTCAAGAAAGTTCTGTGAAGCTTAAAGATATTTTTCTGTTTTGCTTTGAAATTATTTAATTAAAACAATTATGTTTTGGATTTAATCTTGAGAAATTTTTTCTTAATAAATTTCCTGATTTTAAGAAACATTTTAATGATGTAATTATTCTAGAGAAATTAATAAATTGGATCTTTCTTATTAAATATCTTTAGATGTTTTATTTAATTCATTAATTTATTTATATTCTTAATCTGAAATAATCTCTAAATTAATATCTCCTTATAATCTAATAATTTGCTCTGAATGAGTAACTAACTTTTGTTATAATTATTAGGCTTATTATTAGAGGTTTGCTATGAAACTGTAACAAGCATTTATAATTTGAGTATGATTTTAAAAATTTTAATGATAATTGTAGAATAAGCCTTAATAGTCCGACATTAAGTTAGCAAACCTAGAACTTAACTCTTAGTATTTTTCATCATTATTATTTTGAGCTTAAAAAGATTTTTCCATACCTTTATTAGGAGGTGGCATTAATTTAATAAGTCTCTATGTTTCATCATATAATCCATATATTAAATTTATTAATGTTTCAGTATCTTTAGATTCTAAATTATAGAATTTGATTTACTTAATTCATTAACGGCTTATTATTTGTCTTATCTTGATAATATTGGTAGATATTCACAGAGATTGATGCTCATAAATTTTATATATATATTAAAAAAATTAAAATAAATAAAGTTTTTTTAGTAAACTATTCTATTAAAAAAAAATAGCAAAATACAAAATATGCATTTAGGAAGGAAGCTTTTGGTAGTTGAATTATGTTGAAATAAATAATAAAAATATTAAAAGTATAAAATCGATAAATAATGAAGTAAAATAGAATAGAAATAAATAAATAAAATTTGAATAGAAAAGAATAATGATAAGGAAAAAAAGTATTTAGTTTGAAAATAATTTTGGCAGAAAATATAATTTAAATTTGAAGTAAAATAAAAGATGCTTAAGTAGTAAAATGAATAAGTAGAGGAAGATGAGTATTAAGATGCAATAAGTTATACTTCTTTAGAGAAGTTAGCAATTCCAGGTTTTGGTGGAGTAGATATATAGAGATTAAAAGATGCAGGATTTACAACATGTGAATCAATAGCATATACAGCTAAAANTGTTTTGCTTTGAAATTATTTAATTAAAACAATTATGTTTTGGATTTAATCTTGAGAAATTTTTTCTTAATAAATTTCCTGATTTTAAGAAACATTTTAATGATGTAATTATTCTAGAGAAATTAATAAATTGGATCTTTCTTATTAAATATCTTTAGATGTTTTATTTAATTCATTAATTTATTTATATTCTTAATCTGAAATAATCTCTAAATTAATATCTCCTTATAATCTAATAATTTGCTCTGAATGAGTAACTAACTTTTGTTATAATTATTAGGCTTATTATTAGAGGTTTGCTATGAAACTGTAACAAGCATTTATAATTTGAGTATGATTTTAAAAATTTTAATGATAATTGTAGAATAAGCCTTAATAGTCCGACATTAAGTTAGCAAACCTAGAACTTAACTCTTAGTATTTTTCATCATTATTATTTTGAGCTTAAAAAGATTTTTCCATACCTTTATTAGGAGGTGGCATTAATTTAATAAGTCTCTATGTTTCATCATATAATCCATATATTAAATTTATTAATGTTTCAGTATCTTTAGATTCTAAATTATAGAATTTGATTTACTTAATTCATTAACGGCTTATTATTTGTCTTATCTTGATAATATTGGTAGATATTCACAGAGATTGATGCTCATAAATTTTATATATATATTAAAAAAATTAAAATAAATAAAGTTTTTTTAGTAAACTATTCTATTAAAAAAAAATAGCAAAATACAAAATATGCATTTAGGAAGGAAGCTTTTGGTAGTTGAATTATGTTGAAATAAATAATAAAAATATTAAAAGTATAAAATCGATAAATAATGAAGTAAAATAGAATAGAAATAAATAAATAAAATTTGAATAGAAAAGAATAATGATAAGGAAAAAAAGTATTTAGTTTGAAAATAATTTTGGCAGAAAATATAATTTAAATTTGAAGTAAAATAAAAGATGCTTAAGTAGTAAAATGAATAAGTAGAGGAAGATGAGTATTAAGATGCAATAAGTTATACTTCTTTAGAGAAGTTAGCAATTCCAGGTTTTGGTGGAGTAGATATATAGAGATTAAAAGATGCAGGATTTACAACATGTGAATCAATAGCATATACAGCTAAAAAGAATTTAATGAATATAAAAGGGATGACTGATGCAAAGATAGAAAAATTAGTTGAGGGTGTAGCTAAATTAGTAGTAAATTAATTTAAGCCAGCAACAGATGTTTTAAAATAAAGAGAGAGAATAATTCATGTTTCAACAGGGAGTACAAAATTTGATAAGTTACTTAGAGGAGGTATAGAGACAGGCGGTATAACTGAAATGTTTGGTGAATTTAGAACAGGAAAGTCTTAGATTTGTCATACATTAGCAGTAACATGTTAGATGAATGATGGAAAAGGAAGACCAGGAGGGAAATGTTTATATATTGATACTGAAGGAACTTTTAGGCCAGAAAGACTTAGTGAGATAGCAAAAAGATTTGAATTAGGAGTTGAAGAAGTTTTAGAGAATGTTTCTTTTGCAAGAGCTTATAATGTAGATGAATAAATGAAGTTACTAATATAAGCATGTAATTTAATGTCAACAGATAAATATGCATTATTAATTGTTGATAGTGCAACAGCTTTATATAGAACTGATTATTTAGGCAGAGGAGAATTATCAGCTAGATAAAATCATTTAGGAAAGTTTTTAAGAAATTTATAAAGATTAGCAGATGAAGTATAATTTTAAAGTATTATTTAGTTCAATATAGCAGTAGTAATCACTAATTAAGTTATGAGTTAAGTTGAAGGTACAATGATGGCCATGGGAGATATGAAAAAACCTATTGGAGGTAATATTATTGCTCATGCTTCAACAACTAGATTATATTTGAGAAAAGGAAGAGGAGAAAATAGAATTGTCAAAATTTATGATTCACCTTGTTTACCTGAATCAGAAGAATAATACACCATTTCACCTGGAGGGATTGATGATTGTGCTGATTGATATCTATATTTTATATTTTATATGTTTTAACTAATAAATTAATAATTTCTCAAAAGTTTTTACAAGAATTACAGAAATAACTAATATTTTTAGAATCGTGGTTTTATACATCTTTATTACATCTAAGACACTTTCTTACTATCTATTGTATTTGTTAATCAGCCAATCTTGAATAATTCATAGGATCCTTAAATAATTCTCCTGTTGATGATTGGCATCTCTATTTCGATAATGATGTCGTTAATGGATCCTGATGTAATTATTTAAGTATACATCTAATTATTGTAAACATTTAAAAAAGTCATCATTGTCTAATTGCTAAATTGTTCTAAACACATTTGAACATTTCTATTTGAATTCATCGAATGGCTACTAATCATCACTAATTTTACTGATTATCCACAACATATGATACATTCTCCATTTGAATCTATGGCATCTATTTCATGTCCACATCCTAAAGTTTTTCTTTTTGGATGACGTGATATTACTTCTTATTCTTTTCTTATACTACTTGATTTTTTTGTTTAAGAATTATCTCTTTTTAAAGGAGATTTCTATCCTTGTAAATCATGTAAATATTTTTCAATTCCACCATCATTTGCATATAATAATGCTTTAAATTGGTATAATGATTTTAGCATTTGTTCACGTTATGGATTATGAGAACTTAAACGATCAAAAAAAGTTGAAAACAATTCAATCATTGTAGTTCTCTCCACAGAAGACAGTTAAGACATTAAAAATTTTTAAATTATTACCTAAATTTTATTTTTCAATAAAATAAGGAATACTGTATATTGTAATATTATTATGGACATATCTAACATGTATATGATGATGATTAAAAGTATATTAAAATATATCATTCATTTTTTAATGAAGTAGTTATTGCTTATGCTAACTTAACTAATTCACTCACATAAGTTGAAGTCAATGAATTTCTGCTGACATAGGATGATTCAATTTTATTTCTAAGAGCAACAATTTCATTCAATTAAACAACATCAGCTAGATTACGTCCTTATTTTTTTTTAATATATTCAGATGAAGTACGAAAGGAATCATATTTGAATGAATCAGATTAAGGTTTGGTATATGATTCACTTTCAATACTGTATTTGATTTAAGGGGGTGATTGTACAAATTTAAAAGGTGATTATGAAGAAATAGATGGAGATTGGAATGATTCTCTCCACTTATTTCCACTATTGAATGATTTAGTACGTGGTCCTAAAGTATCAGTAATTCTGAATATAAGTATAATAATACTTCTATTAAAGTCCTTATGCTTTATAAGGTGAATAAGTAGGTTCATTTCTTTATGGTTGAGTAGCAACAACATTAGATAGACGAGAATAAGAGAAGTCTCTGATTCTAGCCTAGAGATTATCAAAAGAAGGAACTTGTTAACGGATATCCTTTCTTGATTAGATAGATTATTGATATTACTTGTTTGAGTTGAATTTGTTTGCACTTTGAGGAGCTTCACGTTTTAAGAACATAATTTTATTAAACGTTAAAAAATTAAATTGTCATCATGTATATTGTCATTAAGATTCTAACTTATTAACTGTCGTATGGATGGCTTTCCTAGATGAATAGTTGAGAATTACTGATTCAATTCTTCTAAAGCAATCAATTATTTGATACGTCTGGGTAATTGAAGATATTACTTACGTTTCCATTCTCTGGTTTCAGCATAATAATTATCTAATTTTATTTCACATGCAGATTGTAAAGAAGAAGCACAAGAATCATCAGGATTTTCAGGAGGATCTTAATTATAATGAGTTCTATTGAATCTATGAGTAAACACTTTTCTACTGAAGTTCTTACGAAAATCAACTTCAGAATCTATGACATTTTGAATATATTTTGGATGTTTTTCAATCATTACTCCTTTAGGTTTATTGTATAAATAATCATACAATTGAACATCAGCATGAGTTAGTATTCCATCTTGATTTTTACGATCTGTTTTTGCAGCTTTATGAAATAGAGTAAAATCTTTTCGTTTTGTTTAAATGCTTAATCGAACCATTTTATTTATATTATTTTCATGTTATTCAGCTCTGCTTTACAATTCTTAGAGATAGAGCTAAGCATTATTCTCAAGAACAGATTTTAAATATGATCTTGTAGGAATACTTTGAATTACTTCCTATTGCAATTTACAAACAGGTTCAACATTATCATAATTTAATCGATATTGTTTTAAGCTTTTTGTTTTCGGTATTAATTTCTCTTAATAACCAACAGAGTTTTCTTTATGATTTGCAATATCTAAAATTGTTTATACAATAGTTAGAGTTTGTGCATTACCTTAACGTATTTCTTCATTATTAGGTTTCTTAATTTCTACTTTCTCTTTGATAAGATTACGAACTTTTACAATTTTACTTTTTAGATAATTTTTTCTTTATTCTGTTTGTTAACGTATTTTTAGAGTCATTCTATGTTTTGGTAATAATTATTATTCTGCATTCAATCGTGGATAGTTGAGTCTTTATATCAATCTCTATAGATTTAAGTCACCTTTTAAGTAATGAGCAAAATGTTGTTCAAATTACTAACCATGATTGCGTGTTTCGAATGGTTTTGTTGTTACTAATGGATCTACATATTTTCTTGATTAAATATGAAGAGTATTAAATTTACGATGGAGATTTTTAGAATGATCGAATTCACAAGTTGTAGAAAAACTCATTAATAATTTTAATAATGCAATTTAAAGAAGAATTGATAAAAGTGGTAATCAATTTAATCGAAGAGTTATTTGAATGTAAACTAAACTTTGTCATGCAAGAAGTAATTTATTACTCATCATAGGTTAATGATAAACTTAATCGTATGCATTAAGATATTGAAAGTATGTAAGATGTTTTAGTTAAACACTTTTCTCATCAAATAGCCCATTCCAGAACAGAGTCTTTAAGTGAAACTATTGATACTGCTGAAGAAGATCAATTTAAGAAATCAATCAATGCTGAATTAGATAATCTAACCATACGTGTCTAATAACTAGAATACACTAATCATATTATTCTTGATACTTAAGCTATCTCTAAAACTAACTTTAAAGATCTTGAACGTAAAATATAACCATTGTAAGAATAAATTTCTAAATCAATCGAAGAAATGAAAAAGGACTTAAAGGGTACATTTCATCTAATTATATAGATAAGTAAACCTTTTAATGGACAGTTTTGAATGATCAAATTGAACGAGTAGAAAAATATGTCTAAAAACTTAAATAAGCCGACATATTAATCTAATAAAAATAATTATTGTAAACACAAACCAATAAGAAATCAAAATGAATTTAACTAATATATAGTAATTTAAACATCATTCTATAATGTTATTGTTTATATATAAAAAGTAGCTTATAGTAGTTAATTTTGCCAATTAATGATTGTCAAAAGTTTGAAGATTCTCAGGATCTATATATGTAGATACAATGTTTATGAAATCAATTGATTAACTGTTCTATTTTTCTAAAATATAAATTATCCATCTATTTCCCATATATTCGACTAAGTGAGTTGTAGTAGAATTCAATATGCTGATTGCAATATAAGTTGATTATGTCTAGGGTTTCTTTGAATTAATTTACAATTAAGAACGTATATTAATATCTCATTCTTATAACTTGAGTTTATCAATGAAATTTATAACGTAAACAAGCCTTTCCTTTGAAAATAAGTATCTTGATAGAATATTTGATAAAAGTATATCGTATAATGATTTGAAATTAACAATTTCTCTATATTTTACATTTTTTCAGTCTTAATAAACATTATTTAATTGAATTATCTTGATAGAGATAAAAGAATAATGGATCAAATTAAGAGTTGAGAATGTTGTTGATATCAAGTTTATTAATTATTCATAGCTCTGGATGATAGTAAAATTTTTTATTACTTTTTTAAATGGACTAATATTTGAAAATGTAGCCTTATAGAATTTTGAATTAATTTTTCTTAATGTATTGATGTTAATAATCTAATGAAACTCAAATCATATTAATTATTTTAATCAATTGATTATGATTATTTTATTTTAGTTGCATTATTAGTATAATTATATATTTTAAATATAAGATAATCCTCTAATATGTTAAGAAGTCTTCTAATAGGATTATCTTACTGTTCTAAATTGTTTGAAAAGTGATTTGGTTTAACATTATTAAGATCTATTGTAAATAAGATATTTAAATGAAACTTTTCTTATTATAATTTATCAATTTTTATAAGAGATAATTTTGTATAATGAAATGAACAAAAATATAATTTGAATTAATCTTTTTTGATTTGGATTTTTTTTTAACAAGTAAACAATAATAAATTTAAAAAAATTAAGAGATTTAAGATTTTAAACTAAAAAAGTAAAAAAATTGGATATTTGATAATTTTGTGAAATATGTTTTTTAATGAGCGTATACTTGAAAATGTTTAATAAAATATAGTATAGCTTATTTAAAACAGGTATGAGAATCTTTGAGATTTTAACTAAGTTTGAGATTTTAATAAAATGACTATTTGTTGTTGATAATTTTGATGATTTTTTTTTAAGAAAATCTAAAAGAGGAAATCAATAAATGAATTAAGAAGTAAACAGAATTATAGAATATGATGTATTTAATGAATAGAGGATGATGATAAATTGGAGGAGATAATATATAAAGGAAGAAGGATGAGTTGATAAAAAAGTTTAAAAAAGAGATATTAAATAAGGATAAAGATATTTAGTTTAGAATGTTTATGTAAATGTGTAAATATAGGATATTTGAACTGGTTGTAATTGGGGGTTGATAGGTTATAGGAATAAATATTAAAAAAAATATAAATTTTTATATAAAATAAATGAGTAAAGCTGAGGATAGTTCAAATAATTTTTTTGTAATAGAGCGTAATCTATTATATAAATGATATAGCAATTGAGATGAGTAGTGAGAGTGAACCTGAAGAGTTAGAAGATTTGGATGATTTAAATGATATAAAACATGAAGAAGATAATCTNTTTTACATTTTTTCAGTCTTAATAAACATTATTTAATTGAATTATCTTGATAGAGATAAAAGAATAATGGATCAAATTAAGAGTTGAGAATGTTGTTGATATCAAGTTTATTAATTATTCATAGCTCTGGATGATAGTAAAATTTTTTATTACTTTTTTAAATGGACTAATATTTGAAAATGTAGCCTTATAGAATTTTGAATTAATTTTTCTTAATGTATTGATGTTAATAATCTAATGAAACTCAAATCATATTAATTATTTTAATCAATTGATTATGATTATTTTATTTTAGTTGCATTATTAGTATAATTATATATTTTAAATATAAGATAATCCTCTAATATGTTAAGAAGTCTTCTAATAGGATTATCTTACTGTTCTAAATTGTTTGAAAAGTGATTTGGTTTAACATTATTAAGATCTATTGTAAATAAGATATTTAAATGAAACTTTTCTTATTATAATTTATCAATTTTTATAAGAGATAATTTTGTATAATGAAATGAACAAAAATATAATTTGAATTAATCTTTTTTGATTTGGATTTTTTTTTAACAAGTAAACAATAATAAATTTAAAAAAATTAAGAGATTTAAGATTTTAAACTAAAAAAGTAAAAAAATTGGATATTTGATAATTTTGTGAAATATGTTTTTTAATGAGCGTATACTTGAAAATGTTTAATAAAATATAGTATAGCTTATTTAAAACAGGTATGAGAATCTTTGAGATTTTAACTAAGTTTGAGATTTTAATAAAATGACTATTTGTTGTTGATAATTTTGATGATTTTTTTTTAAGAAAATCTAAAAGAGGAAATCAATAAATGAATTAAGAAGTAAACAGAATTATAGAATATGATGTATTTAATGAATAGAGGATGATGATAAATTGGAGGAGATAATATATAAAGGAAGAAGGATGAGTTGATAAAAAAGTTTAAAAAAGAGATATTAAATAAGGATAAAGATATTTAGTTTAGAATGTTTATGTAAATGTGTAAATATAGGATATTTGAACTGGTTGTAATTGGGGGTTGATAGGTTATAGGAATAAATATTAAAAAAAATATAAATTTTTATATAAAATAAATGAGTAAAGCTGAGGATAGTTCAAATAATTTTTTTGTAATAGAGCGTAATCTATTATATAAATGATATAGCAATTGAGATGAGTAGTGAGAGTGAACCTGAAGAGTTAGAAGATTTGGATGATTTAAATGATATAAAACATGAAGAAGATAATCTAAATGATTTGGATTAGATGATAACTGATGTTAAAAGTAAAGATACATTATTCATTAATTCATTAGAAGAAGGAGATTAAATGCCTAAGTCTAATCCAATAAAGACAGATAAGCCAAAACCACCAGGGATTGTAGAGAGAATGGAAGTTGTGGATGACTTTATTCGTAACTTCCTAATTAAGAATCAAATGAATAGAAGTCTTGAAGTGTTTCAGGTATTAATTATTTTGATTTTCTTTAGCAAGAATGGTATGAGCTATCATAGAAAGGCAAATTGGCTACAGATGGTATGGGTGAAGTACCAGATGTTTATATATAAAATGAAAAACTTAAAGAAGAACTTAAGTATTTAAGAGGAGAGTTGGATAAGGCTAAGATTGTGGCAGAGAATGCAAAATCTACATATGATAAACTGAGAAAGGAGAGAGATTTCCATAAGATGCATCATCATAGAGTCTAATAAGAAAAAAGAAAATTAAATCATGATATTGATAAATTAAAAGGATTACATTTACAATATGAAACCAAATATGAAGAGTTGTCACAAAAATATTCACATGCTATGAAAGAAAAGATGTTACTTAAATTAGAAAGAGATCGATTAGTGGCTAAAAATGATGCACTTCAAAGAAGTTTACAAAATGTTTAATTTATACATAATATAAAAGGTTGAAGAGAAAATAAATAAAGAGAAAGAACCTGGAAGTCCAACTGATAAACTTCCTTTGGTTGATACTAAAGCTAATACTAAGAAAGCCTAAACTAAAAATAACACTCCTTTTCCTCCAGATGATAGACCTAATCCTTATGCAGGTACATAAATAGAACCTCAGAATTACAGAAATGCAATTTTGAATAAAACTTATAAAGGACATATGATGGCAATTTCATCAATGGATATGCATCCTAAGAAATCGATTGTTGCAACTGCGTCAGATGATTTTACATGGAAGATATGGACACTTCCATAAGGTGAATTAATAATGTCTGGAGAAGGTCATAAAGATTGGGTCAGTGGAATTCATTTTCATCCAAAAGGAAGTCATTTAGTAACATCATCAGGTGATTGTACTATAAAGGTATGGGATTTCATTAATGCATCTTGTAATCATACATTTAAAGATCATATTCAACCTGTATGGGGTGTAAAGTTTAATGATACTGGTGAATTTATTGTGAGTGCTAGTATGGATCATACTTGTAAAGTATTTGATTTAGCATCTGGTAAGACTAGACATACATTTAGAGGACATGTATTTATTATATAATATAATAAAGGTTGATTCTGTTAATCATGTGAGTTTCTAACCATTTTCTAATGTCTTTACATCTGCATCTGCTGATAAAACTATTTCATTATGGGATATTAGAAGTGGATTATGTGTTTAAACATTTTATGGCCATTTAAATAGTGTTAATCATGCTACATTTTCATTAAAGGGAGATAGTATAGCAAGTTGTGATGCTGATGGAATTATTAAAATGTGGGATGTTAGAATGGTTAAAGGAAGATCATAATTTGATGCTGGTCCATATTCTGCTAATTCTATTGCTCTAGATAAAAGTGGTACCATTCTTCTTGTTGGTTCTGATGATCAATAAATCAGACTTTATAATGAAACAACCTAAAAAGTATCATCTATTCATTCTATATTTTAGCAAGAACATACTTTGAAAGGACATGAAGATGCTGTCTAAGATGTTGCTTTTGATTATAATAGTAAAATGATTATCAGTTGTGGCTCAGATGCTACTTTTAGAATTTATTAATGATTTAATATTTTATTGGCAACATGTATATTATCATCCAATCTTTATCATCACCATTTTTATATTCCTTTATCATCAATCTTCTAATTATTTAACCATTCTTTCAATCATTAAAGTTATACTCATTTAATTTCACTAAACTTTTAAAAATTTTACATTTTTTCTTAACATTAGTACTCTTTATTATACTTTTCTATTCTTGTATAATTGCTATTTATTGCATACTTCCATAATTAGTTTATCATTAAATGTGTATTACTTTTTCTTCTATATTTTAGAAATGATTCATATATTTAAAAATTCTATTGAACTTATTTATCTATAATAATTAACTATTAAAAATAATAGCTGTATCAGATAAAGAAGTATTTTGAACTTATCTTTGCTGTTGGATTATTAAACAATAGGGATAATCTATTCCTAATGACAATAATAAACACTATTCAATCAGTTTCTATTATTTTAATAAGTCTTTAGCAGAACCAAAATGTATATATATCCCAGGAACTATTTGTGGTAATAGAATTTAGAAATTCTCAAAAGTACAAATATTTCTTAAATTAACAACTTAATAAAAATAAAGGATATGAAGATATTACTTACAGTATGGATGAAAAATAAATCAAACAAATCCAATTCAATTCAAAGTTCAACTCGATAAGACAATTTTATCTTTTTGGTTTGCTATAGTTAAGATTGTTTTTATCTAATCCTTGTCTAAAGTTGTTAGAACCTTACTGATTTCAATAGTAAAATTTTCATTAAATTTTAGATTGTACCCTTAGTGATGATATTGTTTAATAGATAATTGATTAAGCTAATAACATTTTTAAATTATTTAAATTAACTATATTAAAAATACAAACCTTTACTACTCTTACTCATTTCATTAAGTTAATAATGAATTAGATAATTCTCCTTATGAAAAAGAACAAAGTATAGATGTTACACCCATTTATTACAAAGTTCAAAAGTATATTAAAATTATTGTTAATAATACTCTTAAAGCTAATTAGAATATAATCTATTTTATTTTTCCCCTTCTTTTTCTAAACATTATAGCTTGGATATTAAAATACAAAGATTGATACTGCTTTAAACTTTAAAGATAATAGTAGCCTTACTTAACCTGAAGTTAATTTAGATGCAAAAAAAAGAATTCATTTCATTACCTATCCAACTGCAATAGAGAATTTTTTACAATCACTAGATTTAATTTTGATATTTTATTATTTCCTATTCATTATAGACTTTATCTAATAAATGGTTTGACTCACTATAGTATTAATAATAATAGATTTGATACTCCAAAAAATAATAATAAAAATTTCTTAACATTTTATAGATTAATAAAATCAGGTAAAGCAAGATTATTTTATTTGACTTAAACTCTTCTTATTTGATAATTTTTGGCCATAACAGAAATACTTAATATAATCATAATAAAATAATAAACTTTTATTATTATTCTTTACGTTTTACATGGAAAGTCAAAGATTTTTATTGATCAATTAAGAAATTTATATTTTAGTGTTTGGTAAAACAACCTTAATATCAATTAGTAGATCGAGGAATTGATGGATAATAAATAATAATGATTTTGTTGATCTCAAAAGCAAAGCATGAGTTCAAGAACTATCAATTAAGATAACAAGTTCTGAAGTCTAATAAACTTTAAAGTTCCTCAACTTTAGATAAATTGAATGAATTTTAGTATTTTATTTTTATAAATATATTTTAATATTTATTTTAGAAATTAAAAATACTTATAAGTCATTTTAATAATTAATTAAGTAATTCTTATGCTAGATAAGTTTTTGAATCTATTTCTGATTTAATTAATTAAATTTATGTTCTTAATACACTCTCTTTAAAAACTTATTGGTTTAGTATAACATTAATTGAATTAATCTCTTCAATCTATTCAAGTTGTCTTATATGCATTATTATCTTAATCCATTTATAAAAATATATTTAAACTTTATTTTTTAATCGATCATCTACTTTTTAGAGATAAATCAAAATTCTAAAAACAGCTTTGTTTCTGGAGTTCTGAGATTTAGATGTTAGGGAAACTTTTGAATTATTATTACTGATTGGTGATTTAGATCTAGATTTTTATTTATTTTCTTTTTAATATACAATATGATTTTATTGAATCTAAGTAACAGCTTACTTAAATGTATTCTAATTTGTATTATATTTTGAAGTGCTTGCATAATTAATTAGAGCAGCATTTCTAATGAATCTATGAAATGCTATTGTTTTGATTAATCTCTCTTTTCGAGCGGCATTTTTGAATAATTAGATTAAAATTGTTTTTTATCTATATTGAAAGAAGGTTTTCCTTTCTAAATCAAAAATCTATTCTTCTATAAATTTTCGTTGCTTCTTCATATTTTTATATGGATAACGTCTTTGTTTTTCTAAATATTTTCTTTCACTTTCCCAATTTTTTTCAAAAATATCCTAATTTTGAAAATATTTCCAAATATAAAAATAGAAACATTTTTTAGTCTAATAAGTTTAACCTTCCTATCTAGAGTAATATTTTAACATAAGAGTTATGATTTTTTGAATATCTTTTTAATCAAATTGCATTTAATAAAATGATCTATCATCTTCTGATTCATGCAGATTTTTAAGATGATCATCCATCTCTTATATAATATCTCTTTATTCCATATGCTTATTAAACTCATTTTTTTTCAAAGCAATTTGTTCTGCTAAATTCATAAATTTAATAAAATTAACAAAAAATTCATAAATTCATAAATCCTCGTCATCATTAAATGACAATGAACCAAGTCTCTATTCTTTGCTTTTAAGAGGAAATTAAGTTTAACCAAATCCCTTAAAACCAGGTTTCTTCGATTTTATACTCCCAAATATAACTTTGCTTTCTTGAATCATCAATAATTCTTATTGTTTTTATTGTTTATCAGCATCTACTTTATCTAACTTCTCCTTTTCTTATTGATGTTTCAATTCAGCAATTTCTTATCTTGCATCCTTATAAAAATGAGGAGCAATTTCAAACAACCAATGTGGATCAAGTTCTGTTACATTATGCATTGTTAATTTATGATCTATAATTAGTTTAGGAATGCTTTACTTTATTCAATCAATTCATGATAGATAACCCATTCAGGATAGGAAACAGTTAAAACAGATGCAGGATGTAGATGAACCAGTTGCTTTGTGTATATATTCCTGTAAACACCTTCCCTAGCTGTATTTTCTCTTTGAGCTACTTAAGAAAAAAAGCCAGAAACAAAGCATCTTTAAACAGCTTCAACATCTTAAATTGAACTTTTAATTTGTCTATTCTTTCTTCTCTTTTAAATTTATTTGTAAATTTTTCCAGCTGATTCTAATTTATGTTTCGATACTCTATATGTATCACACCAATTTCCTTTATTTCCAATATTCATATATCGAACAAATATATTATGTAGAGATAATACATCTCCTTCTTTACATCCCAAGGCTTTTTTAGCTTTTAACATTTATAATGGTGTAGCATCACTACTAAATATTCCTCCTTGTATACTGAGAATACTAGCAATTTTGAGCATTTCATCTGAGCATTAGTATTCATCGAGAAAACTATTTTCAACACAGACAGCCAATTATGTTTCTAATGGATAATCAACAATAGCATTTCCCAATTCAGTTAATGAAAAGTTTTCATCAATTAATTTTAAGCTCATTAAAGTATTAATGGAATGTATCAATTATTCATTTGAGACTGGAGTTAAGAATGTATTACTACATTAAAGATGATTTGGTGTTAGTGAGAATGACTATAAATAAATACGAGTGATTATATACTCTAATTTATAAAATGAGTTCTGTAAGATTAGATCTCAATATTTCAGGAGGGAATGTTATAGGTAATTTTAAATAATCTTCTTTAGTGCATAATCGATAACAAATTCCATCTTTAGTTCTGCCAGCTCTTCCTGCTCTTTAAGCTGCAGATTATTAAGAGATAGGTAAAACATTTAATTGATCCAAATCTAAATGATTATTTATTTAAAAATACTTCTCTTATAATCATAAACTTTAACTTTTTGATAACATGAATCTATAACATAAACAATTCCATCAATAGTAACACTACTTTCTGCAACATTGGTTGATACTACAATTTTTCTATTTGAATGTTGTTTAAAAACTAATAATTATTTATCAATTCCCAAATTAGCATGTAATGGTAATACAATACAATTAGTCTTATGATGTGACCACAAATGAATAAAAGCAAGTATTTCTTCAACAGATGTTAAAAATACAAGGATATCTCCTTCAGGCATTTTTTTGTGTATATGATATGCCAATTCAACAGCAGCAATAACATAATTCTTACAAGGTTCAAGTAAATACATGATCTAATATATATATATTAAATTACATCAACTTCATAATTTCTACCTCTTATGGCAATAATTTTACTATTTGTAAAAAAGTTTGACAATAACTGAACTTCCATAGTAGCAGATGAAACAATGATTTTTAATTAAGGTCTTTTCTTTTGAATTTTCTTAATTAAACATAATAAAAGATCTGTATTTAAAGTTCTTTCATGAATATCATCTAACATTACAATAGAATATCCTTCAATTAATGGATTTCCCATAATAATTTAAATTAATGTTCCATCAGTGACATATTCAATTTTTGTATTTTCACTTACTTTAGATTCAAATCTGACTCTATATCCAATGTCTTAACCTAATTCTGTTCCATTTTCATCAGATACTCTTTAAGCTATACTAATAGCTGCCATCTTTCTTGGTAATGATACTAATACTCTCTCTTCTCCACCATATCCTGCTTCTATCAAATATTATGGTATCTCTATATTTTATTTAATTATTATATACATGTCGTTTTCCCTGAACCTGTTTCTGCTAAAATGATCAATGTACTATTTGTATCAATTCCATATAAAATTTATTCTTTATATGCTCTAATTGGTAGATTTTATGGATGACATTTTTTTGATTAAATAAGCATTATTAAAATAAACAATTCATTATTCAGGAACTACACTGAATATTTTTAGTTCTCCATTCTACTATCCTGCTATAAACTTTTGTGTAACCATGTTTTCATTTGTTATTTCAATCTTCTTCATTTATGTAAATTTCTAATTCTTAATCACATTTATCAAATGCAATTTATTTTCTATTTCAATATATATTTCTATTGAATTACATAATCCAAAAATGAATAATTTATCATTTTCATAACTTCTTATCAATTCTAAACATTTTACCTATTCTCCATCATAAATTGGTCCTATTATTTCTAATTTCTAATTTAATACATATATTGATGTCTTATTATCATCATCATCATCCATTTTCAAAATTACTCTATTAAAATCAACAATCATTTATGTGCATTTCTTACTAAATTTATATGCAATTTAACTTATTACAATACCATCAAATATAAAAAGTTCACCACTTATTACTCCTATTAAGTAATTGCTACCAACTTTAATTACACTCTCTATTGATTATTCTACATTGTAATGTTAAGTATACTTGAATTATCCCATATCATTCTATTAAAATATTCTGATCAACCCATCTTTACAAAATGTACATAATTATCTATTCTCCAAATCTGTATATGCTATCTCTTTTATTGATATATCTAATATTAATTATGCAACCTATTAATTAAATACATTATTGTATATTAATAGATTCTTATAACATTCCTAATCTTTCTTTAAATAAGTAAATTAAATCACCAAAGAATATTCATCATTCTAATGTTATTAAATAGATGCTGAAATCAATTATTTATCTTAGTAACTTATTCTTTTTTTATTCTCATCATCCAATATTTAAACTCCATTTCTTTTAAAAGGTATTTAATAAAAATCAATTGTATTTGTTGTTAAAATACCTAAAAATTAAAAATTGTATCCAACAATTTAAATTAATTTATCCACATTTATTTATTATTCTAAATTCAACACTTAATTTCTCTTCTTTTCTTACATTTCATTCTTTTTCACTTTCTTAACTACATTTACTACATCACTCAATCCCTCATTTAACTATCTATTCTATTTCACCATTTCTTTTTCTTTATTTTAAACTATAAATGTATTTTTTCTATGTTTATTTTAATTAAATTAATTCTAATTATCCTCATAATCATTATTATAATGTCTTTCCCATCTCTTTGAATTTACATTGTTTCTCTCTCTTTATTCACCTTATTAATTATAACCTTCTTATTAATTTACATTTCCATTCTATTTCTATTTTATTTATCTATCCTTATTTCCTTCCTAATTTTATCCAAATCCTTTCTACTCACTTTATTCATATTAATTCTTTTATTATTATTAATCAATCTCTTAATTTTTAACTATCTTCTCATTCTCTCTTCCTTTTTCATCATCTTATTATCTCTCATATGTACCTCTTCCTCTACCTCTACCTCTATCTCTTCCTCTTGTATTCCCTCTCTCATATTAAAAATCATTATTCCTCTTTATATCCAATTTCCCCTTCTCATCTCTAACTAAATTAACTTTCTCAATATTTTATGTATCATGTTAATATTCACATTAATCTCCTTTTCTACAATTTCCTTTATTATAATATCTACAAAGAGTATCAAATTTTGCATTCATATATTTATTTATAAATTTAATTATAAATATTTCTTATACCAACAACTAATATTTTTTATTATTAATCTACTTTTCTCCTAAAGTTCTTAATAACAATAGTCTAATCATATTTACAATATTCAGACATCCAAGACAAATATAATACACAACATATCTATTAATAATCTATTTCAAATTAATATTTAAACACTTACATTGTCTTCTACTCAAAAATTGTTTCAAACTCTTAATATATACTTATTTATTATTAGATTCATTTGAAAATATTATTCATTGTATCTTTATAATGTTATATTATTGTTATTCAACTTTCAATGTTTTATTCTTTTAAATCAAACAAGTATTGTTCAAATATTACTTTGAAAATATCTCTATTTATTCAAAATAATTTCTCATATTAGTAAATAAAAGATTTCCAAAAAGTTAAATCAAATAGAATTTTTATCAATCCAATAATTGATAATAATGTTTTTTTATTACGTATGATATTAATTCAATAAATCTAATTGTTATTTTATTATTAATGTAATTAGAGAATGAGAGAGAGATAGAATTCATTTTAAAAAATTTAATATTTGAAACCGATATAAATAAATTTATGAAAGTTTTAGATGGTAATTTTTATAAATTTAATTAATTAGATAAATAAATTACTTTAGAAAAGTTAAAAGAGTTATCCTTTTGGTACTGCTAAGAGTATTAAACTCTATCAATAATTTATAGGCGTCAAGTGTATCCAGAGAATAGCAATTCTTAATAATCAATATAAATGCCACCTATTAATTATGTCAACTCCTTAATTTCACCAATAGATGATTGTCTTTAACATTTATTGGAAATAATTCAAGAATAACAGAACTTGATAGATAGAGGCCATATACACATTTAATAATCGGAAGAGCAGGAAAATATTATTAATTTCATTAAAAATGGATCCTTTAAATTGGAAACTTGCATATAAAAATCTGAGGAATTAATATTGAAAGTTCAGACAATGCAATTAAATTAATTGAACAAAAATATGATTATTACAAATTAGACAAATGTTTAAAATTCATTAAAGTCATAACATTCTTTAATGAAAAGTTTTGAACAATATTTTGAATATTAGTTTAGAGAGTACAATAAATTGAATCAAAAGGTAAAGTAATTATAGGTTAAACAAAATTTTGAATTAGAAAATATAGCTAATTCATTAGATTCATTTATTAAAGACCAACTCTCTAGGACATAATTTATTTAAAATAGTTAAGTTAGAACCTTAAATTCAATTAATCAATGACGTTTCATTTAATTTTGATACTTATAATAATCAATTATCATAAATTGCAATATTATTTTGAATTTTAGTATTTATAGCTTTTCAAAATTATTTACTTCAAGTTAATTCAATAGAAAAATAATTAAAATATTTTCTTGGTATAAAGGAAAGGGTTAAAAATTTGTTATGTATTCATTTTAATTAATTTTTACAAAAAAATGATATAATTTCTCAATTCCACTGATAAACTCAATAATTATATTATTATTTTGAACTTTGAAAAAATTTTATATATTATTGATTGAAATTATCCCAGAACTAAGAAAAATTTCAATCAAACTTTTTAAATTATTTTATAAAAAATGGCTATGAATTGAATTAAGTAAATCGTTAGAGGCAGATTAAAATTTATTTAGATTAGAATTCAATTATTATGAATAATAATGATAGGAAATATCATTATATTATGATGAATTATATTTTAAGGACTATTAGGATTAAATTAAAATCTTCTGAGAAACAAAAATCTTTAATAAAATCTTATGAGAAATAAAAATCTTTAATAAAATCTTATAAGGTCTAATATTCAGTAAAATTGAAAGTTTAAAAATAGAAATATTGATAGAGTTATTCAGAAATAAAATTAAAGAAATTCTTTGATGAAATCAAATGAAAATAATTGTTATACCACGATTTTATCAATTTTATAAAAATATTTGAATGGTAAAATTCTTTTATGGTTTTTGTTTATAAAAATTTATTATTTACACACATATGCATATTTTCATAATTATTTATTATGAATATATAGAATCTATTAATCTAAAAGTATGAATTAGAATTAAAGATTGATAAAATTGGATCAATTGATAAATTATGTAAATAAGTTTCTAGAAAATAGCTCTTCATAGTATTAAAGAATTATCAGAATTATCTTGGTAATTATATAAAGAGATGGAAATTTTGTAAAAAAAACTTAACCAACAAAAAGATGAAAACTCTAAGTTAAAAGTTGTAGTAAGAAAGTACTAGATTTATCAGGAAAAAATTACACAAATGAAGAATTGGAAAAAATTTATTAAAATGATTAAAATACTTATGAAAACATTAAGAATAGAATTAAAAATATTCAATATAAATTTATTGATAATTCAAAAAATTAAGAAGAATAATAGATTTTAATAAAGTTTGTATGATAATTTGTTCAGAAACTAAAATCCGAATAATTTATCTGAGAATTAAATCAATTTTTTTTTAGAACAAATAGTTACATTAAATGACTTTTGGAAATAAAGCATTGAAAAAAAATAACAAATTAGAATAAACAATCAATGAAATAACATAATAAAATAAATTAATAATCGATTAGTTGAAAGACAATTAAAATAATTTACATTTAAAACTTTTTGACTATTAATGCTAAATTTGGGAAGATGAATCTTAAACAATTGAAGGAGATCCATAGTATCAAGAAGAGATTAGAAATTTAAATAATTTAAGAGATTAAACAATAGAATAGATGAAATAAGTTATAAGAAATGTTTAACAATTATAAAATTAATAATAAAACTAATAAAATTAGAATTTTTAATAAGGATAAATTTAGGATGATGGTGATTTTCAGAATATATTGAATTAAATAAAGCAAGCCAATTAATTGATATAAGAAACTGAAAATCAATTAGAATATTTTAGAAAAACAATTTAATTTTATATAGATTAAAACATCAATGATAATGATTAAAAGTAAAAAGTGAAAATTTCTATAATGAGTGGGTTAAAACAAATCAGTTTTACAGTAGTGAGATAGGTATTTGAAAGAGTAGTGTAATCCCTTAAAGAATTTAAAATTTCAAATGAAAGATTGAATTAAAATAATCAAGTACTTTAAGAAAAATTGACAGAATAATAAAGAGAAAATAATTAATCCAATGAATAGTTTAAGGGTTTGGTTGATAAATTGTAAAGCTAATTAAATTAAGAAATTAAAAGACATAAGAATTAATTAGAGATCGAGGGATATAAGCTTCTTATAATGATAACTAACATAATTATTTATCAGGTATGATTTATTCATAATTTAGAAACATTAAGTAGACTATAAGAAGGATTTTTTGGGAGATTAAGACTAAATATTCATTAACTAGCTAATAATAGCTTAGCATTGTTTGCAAGTGAAAATTTTAATATATAAGGAAATCCAGAATTAATATCAGAGATTGAGAGTTTAATCTTAAATATTAGGAATCAGGGTTCAAGTAATGATATTGATAGTATGAATTAAAAATGGGAGAGGAGTGTAAATTTATTTGAGAACATTTACAATAGATTTGATAGAAATAATAAGATAAATTAGAATGTTTAATAGGTGATATCTCAAATATCAGTAATATTGAGAGAGATTTCTAATTATAAGAGGTTATGTGAAGCAGAGAAGGATAGGTTGTCAAATTAAAATGTGAGATAATGATTAAATATTATCTATTGAAAATATATAAGGGTATAGAGAAATCTTGAAATATAAATTGTTAAATAAAACTAGTTTATAAAAAATAAATTAAAAAATGATGCTCATTGATCCATAGAACAAATTACTTAAAACATAGATAATGGAATTAATCATGTATTTATATTTAAAGAGTGTAGGAACAAGTAAGAAAGAATTGTGGTTGCAAAGGATTACAATTATTCATGCACAAAGTTAGAATATAAGAAAGATGGTAAATTGTTTTTATCATTTTCATGTTTTAATTTTGATGAGATTTTTAGTATAGCAGGTAATTACATGATAGAGAAATATTATAAGGGTAATAAAATAGAATTAAAATATAGATTATGCAAGAGAGGATGCAGAGAATGGATTTAATATAACATTTTCATTTGATGCTTAATCAGCAAAAGAAGAGCCTAAGATTCCAAAGAATGCAACAGAAGCAGAGAAAGCTGAAATATAAGAATAGAAATAGTAAATAAGAGCAGAGAATCAGAAATTATTTGAGAAAGTCACAAGAGATTTTTCATAGATAAGAAGAAACTTTTATGCAGCTGCTTTTGAATAGGCATTTGATTAAATAAATAAAGGAGATGGAGCTAATAAGTTTAAATATTAAAGTAGAGAGAATGAAGTTGTATATGCAATACCAGATAAGGATGCATTAAACATCTTTTATGAAATATCGTTTTCAGATACTGTAGATAAAACATTGGCAAATCTAATAATAACAGAGATTATTGATGCAAAGAAAAATGTGAAGATGGCACCTCCTATATCTAGATCTAATTATTAATCATCTATATTGAAGTCAGCATTTCCAGAAGTATCTAATATAAAAGTGGATCAAAATTCATAAGTGATAACAATGACTTTATTTAAGGCATAACATTTTAGTAAGAATATAGAATAATTATCCACATTTTTATAAGGATTTAGGTATTATTAAATATTAATAAATAATTAGATAATATTTACATTATCATATTCATGCATCTAAAACATATTTGCATTCTAGAATTATCAAGAGAATAGGTTAATTCTAAAGAAGTTTATAATTATGTCAATTTGAACCAGAGATTGAAAAGAAAAGTGAGGATCTTTTCACATCAAGTAGTGGTGTAAAAGCATGAAATATAAAATTAAAGATATTTAATAATGATATTTGTTTTAGAAAGTCATAATACTTGAGCAAAAGCTGACTCTGTTAAATTTCAGCATAATTTACTTTTGGTAAATGAAACATTGATTTTTCTGCCCATTACTTCTTTTCCGTGAAGTAAAGATGCTCCATTCAATGCTTCCTCTAAAGATGATAATCTTACTAATGCCATATGTTTTTATCTATAGAATTAAAAAATATATCTCTTACTTATCAATATGTATAAATTTGATTGCTTAAACATAACCTATTCCTTTAAAAAGATCTTTAATATATGATTCATCTTCACACATCTTGCCTTTTATATTACTTAAATGTAAAATTTAACTTGGTGGATTAAATGATATTGATTTTCCATCACTAAATCTAAATTACGATGGAACAGGCATAAAAACTTAAGTTTAAGGTGATTAAAATGGTAAAGGAAATTATATCTCTTAATAATTTGAATAGAAGATCTTTAACTTATATCCAAAGAATACTTAATTGTTAAGATGATCCAATGCATTTTCAGCATGAGATAATTTCTCAAATTACACTAAAGCTGATGTTTTATTCTTAATATGAATTATTACTAACACATTTCCAAAATTAGATAACAAATTAAATATATTTAATGCAGTAATATTTAAATTCATCAACCCTCTCATATAAACAACTTTAGAAGGTTGATTCTCTCTTAAGAATTATGGTGATACATATGTATATGGATCAATATCTTAATTCTTTACCTTATCTTCTACTTCAGGTATAGAAAACATATAAGAATTTAAATAAGTATTCTTTTCAGATGAAAATGCTTACATTATATCTTCATCTATCAAATCATGTTCACTATCATCAACTTATATTGATTTAAAAGATGCATATTATTATCTATTTCTTGGAGAATCATTATTATCATCTATAAATTCCAGCGATGTTTATATTTTTGAAGGTTCCCATTCATTTTTATTATCCTAATAATCTTATTTATCATTTAAACTAGCTCTTGTTCTCTCATTTCCAAAACTAACTACACTCAATCTAGTATCCTATTGACTTATTAAAGGTTAACTCTATGTCTTTGGATAATTCTCATATTATTCATAAATATTCACATTCCTTGTTGAATTTCTCTGTTTCATTTACTTATAATCTACACCTCCAGAATTGTTATTCAGAAATGTAACACTCTGTAAAGTCGAATAATAACTATTAATCATTTTACATTATTTACACATTCATTATTGTTTACTCATACAATTAACAACCATTCAATTATTACTATGATATCTTTGCTTATTATAAACTAGCCATCTCTATAAAACATTTCCACAACTTTCCTTTCTCAAATATTAATATCTTATTCACTTCCCCATAATTTGAAAAATATCGATAGAACAAAGAATGAGGTAAGATTATTGATTAAGGATTCTACACTATCACCAACAACACTCGTGTACTCTCATTCTCAGATATCATTATATATTTTATAATTATATCAAATATTAAAATCACATCAATTCATTTCTCATTTCATGTTCCAATCAACTACTATTTATAATTATTTTATAATACCTTCCTAAATCTAACATAATTTGATACTCTTTTTAATTTATTACTCTCTTCTATCATCTTTTAAATTATTCATCAATTTTAGACATTCCTCTAAAATTTTATTTGGTGATACTCTTTACATCTTAATCACTTAATCTTTATTAATATTACTTGAATTTAAATGAATCACAATTTTATAAAACCCAATTTATTCTTACTAAATACTATTTTGATTTTGGGTTTGATCTTAATCTTTCTAAACATTGCTGTTTACTAGTAATTATCAATATATTACTTTTGTGCCCCTAATCCCCTAATTATTCTCTATAAATTTTTATTATTTTTTTCATTAACCTTTTTTATTATATTCTGTATTAATGAATTCCTTTTAAAAATAATAATTTTAAAATATCTCCAAATTCCTTCAAGACCTTTTTAATTAAAATTAAAACAATTTAACCTGATCCAATAAATTCAAAATTATTAAATCTCTTAAATTTAATTCCTTTTTTAATAATTATCAAATTGAAGTTAATTTAATAATTATTCTTTCCATTAATCTGCTTATTATTCAAAAAGAATTTGTTGCAAAGCAAATAACAAACATATCTTTATTCGAACTTTTTAAGTTATCAATTTAATTTTATTGATACCCATTCCCACTTTTTTCAAATAAATTCTTAAATTTCTCATGTATTTTTGAATAGCTTCATTCAAGATCTTCGTATAGGAATTCTAATTTCTTATAAGTTATTTAATATAAGTCATCACTATTTTCAACTTCTTTAAATCTAATATCCTTATTCTATTTTTACAATTTTAATAATTCATTCACTAATTATGCTAAAGCTTACTCATTATAATCTCCTAAGATTATAAACAAGAAGCTTCACTATTTATTAAAAATAGAGCTGAATCAGTAATTTAATAGCTGATAAATTCTATTGTTAGGATTTTGCATGAATTATAACTCATCGATAAATTATATTCTAATTAACATTAGTATTGAGTATAAATTTTTTTTAGGTTAAATCATAATTAAAGAGAAGTTTACATAATTTTATCATTTTATTAGTTTTGATGATTTAATTTATAAAAAAATTGATACCAAAAATATTTGTTTCGAAAAGTGAGAAATAAAAACTAATTATATATGAAATTAAATTCTATTAAAAATTAAATTAATTCTGAAAAATTCAATCAATATATTTTGATCTCTTCATAAAGATTAAAAATAATAGGAATATTTAAAAATTTGAGATAATAATTTGATACTACTTAATATTGAAGAACAAATAAAATTTAGAAAAATAATTTTTCATCTTAAATTAACTTTTAAATTTATTTTAATATTTCATCTTTACCCAGTTTGCGAAGGATTTAATAATTCTAAAAATTTTTCTAAAAAGCTCATTGATGAACTTAATAGTACTGTAATATCTTAAGAGGCGCTAATGTGATTGACTAAAGATTTAAGAATTTCTTAAAATTTTTTGATATTATCTTGAATTTGTAACTTATCCTATGGATTTTGATTAAAATTCCTTATTTATTCTCTTTATTAATCTTAAAATCCTACTTTTTATTTAAAACCTGGCATTAATTAGATTGAAGCAAGAACAAATTAACTAAATTCTTTAAAAAGCTTGTAATATGTAGAAATATCAATTGATAAACTATCTATTATTATATTTGAAATTAATTTTACCAATTTTTTCATTATTCGAATCCTTGGAATATGTGTTTTTAAATTCCCTCTCAAATTCATTAAATAATTTATCTTGTTCTTTGGTAAAAGTTTCTACTTTTTTATTAACTTCGTCTAATTATTTTGTTAAATATATATTTTTATCATAAAGTCTTTTTGACTGGTCTAATAAAGTTGTTAAAATTTTTTTGAATTCAAGATATATTTTTATATTATATTATATATAGGTTTAAGCTTTCTATAAATTTGAACTCATTTATATATCTTATTGTGAGATCTTTAATGAAATTTTTTCAATTATATCTTTTAAATTGTTTGAAGATTATCTTACATTATCTATCTAGACTATTATGGTAAGTGTTTTTTTTTCTAATTCTTCATAATCATCTTCATTTTGGTTTTATTATTATTGCTAAAGTAAACATATTTCTTTATTTAAGTTTTAAGTTTATTATTTAATATCTTAAAATTATTAATTTATTTTTTAACATTACTACTCATATCCAGGTTAAATTTGTATAAGGAGATCTTTTTTATAAAATTCTTCACATATGAACTATTATTATTATAAAATTTTATTTCTTAATTCTTTTTATTCATTTTTTAAAGAATTAATCAAACTATTTTGGGATTCAATCAAATTTTTACGCTCTTCAAAGAATTTCAAATTTCTTTCAAATAATCCTTTTTAATTTCTAGTTAATTCAGTTTTTAACTATTAAATAACCACTTCCAATGATTTTTTTTGTTCTTAAAAATGCTTGATTTAATTCTCAGATAAATTATTCTGATTTTAGTTTCTTAAAATGGTTAATTCAGTGTTTAACTTTATTATCTCCGCTTCCAATGATTTTTTTTTTATATGATATTCTTTATGTGCCCAAGTAAAAAGATTGCGAAGGTTATTGTCTGATAATCTATTAGCTAATTAGGAAAATATATTAAAATACCTTAAGCCAATTATTCTAAATCTTAATTCTCTATTAAGAAATTAGCTTTCAAATTTTAAATAGTGTCATTTTCTGCCATTGAAATAATTATTTATTCAAAATAAAAATAAATTTGCTTATTTCAATATGTAAAAATATTCTATTAAACCTTTTCAACCTAAATTTACTTTATCTGATTGAATTGATTGCATGATTAATTTTCTGTTAATTTCAGTTTCTAATACTTGTAAAAATTTTAAAATTATGAATAAAATATTTTATTATTTATAAAAAAATCTTTTACTTAGAATATTTATTTATTGATTGTCTCACATAACAACTTCATTTAATAATAACCCCTTTAATCTCAAAGTTTATTTCATATTTATTTAAGCTTAATATACGATCTAGAAAATATTTTATCTATATTTAATTTTTCCCAAAGAAGAATAAAATATTCTGAATAAATCTTTACACTTTTTCTCTTCTTAAATCATATCATCATTTATGTCATTAGGTTGCATCTATTAACTCATAAAAGCCTTAATTTTATTTATCACATCAATTTCTTCAGATGTATTGTGTTTTTCATTAATAATCTGTTACAACTTCTTATTAACTAATAAATTCAATTATTTAAGGATATTTATTATAAATTATTTATATAAATCTTTTTCTTCTTATTATGAATTTACTTTGATATTAGAATTATCATTAGAAAAATATATTTCTCTTAATTTTTCAAGTATCTGTAATGATTCTTTTCTTTCAACAATTATTTAATCAGTTAATTAATATATTTAGTTTTATAATTCTGTTTTATCTTTTGTAAGTTGGGCTTTATCTTAATCTATTCCATTTTAAAATTTTTTATTTACATTTTACAAATTTAAAGATTTGCTTATCAATTCTTAAAAATTATCTCTTATCCTTGCAAATAGGACTTTTAAATTTTTAAAACAATCCAGATATTTTTCTAATTTATTTATCATATCTATTAAATAAAAATCTTGATCATTTATTCTACTTTTAATTAAACTTAAATAATTTTCTATTTACTAATTTATTTTTGTTATTTAAACAATCATTTCATTAATTAAGTCCATAAAATTACTATATTTTTCATGGTAGTTTATATCATCTTCACAATCATATTGTTAAATTTGAATCTATTCAGTTTCTAACAATATGTAATTCATCTTTTTTATAATCTCTTCTTTAATTTAATTTAACTTGTGAATTTCAGATCTCAATTAATCTTCTAATTAACTTTTTAATGATTCTTTGTTGTTAATCTCTTATTGCTAATCTTATAGACATCTTTCCAAACGTGAAGTTAAATTAGATTTATCATTGCAAAGATCGTTTATTATTTTTTTCTGTTTTACATTATCTTCAACACTCTCTCCCCATTTTTATTGCAGAATACCTATTTAATCTTTATAATATTATAATGTTTAGTCATATTAAATCATTGATTATTAATTTGATAAATTATTGATTTATTCTTTTAATTTCTATATTTCATCCTTATGCCTATTTTTTTATTCTTTATAAACTTCATATGCCCAAATTATGAGGATACGTAAACCATTTTCGGTCAATTTGGAATCTTCATTAAAATATAATAGTACTTTTTATTTCTAATTCTATATTTAATATCTTTTCCTCAAGAAATTTTGTTTTAAATTATTTAATGACATTATATGTCCACATACAATCTTATTTATTATTATTTATAATAAATATTATATATAGATTATTACTTATATTATTTTAAAATCAAAATAATTCTACTTAATCCTTTCAATATATTTGTTATCACCATCATTTTTTATATCAAATCTAAAACTGAATTATGACAATTTATTTTAATATGAAAAAGATAAATAATATAGATCTTATCTGAATTTATTTATTTAAGATTATTATTTATCCCTATTAAGATAATTAAAGTGTTTTATTGCAAATTGTTTAATTTATACTAAATTTTTGATTTCATTTTCCATGGCTTACTTTAACATACCTAATTTAATTATTTAAATTTTCATAAATAATTAATTAATGAATCAAGGCTGAAATAATTTTTTGAAAATTGAATCAATCAAGAAATAAAGCTGTTGCTCTAGAAAAAGTTATTCTTACAAATCCGTTATATTTTGTATATTGAAATATATATTATTATTCTTCATTCAAATTATAATATTTATTACTAGATAGTCTATTCAAATTTGATGATATGTATAAGAAATTCTAATGTATTCACAAGTTATTTAATTGAATTTAGAGATTTTTTGGATAATCTCTTATGATAATAATTTTTCTGAATATTATCATAAATGTCTTTATTTATATTAGATTGATCATAATATACTTAAAAAGGCTATATACATATATACAGATTTAAGTTTTTGTGAATTTTTATTTACCGTCTAATTTTTGAATTAATAATTGAAGAAGTAAAAGTGAAGAATAAATCCATAGCAAATAATACGGAGAGTAAAAGTAAAGAAAATAACACTATTTGACTTGAAAGATTTTAGAATTTGTGTATTTTGAAAAAAAAAATTTAATGGTATGTTAAAAGTTAAAAGTGTATAAATTTTTTTTTAAGAAGTATTGAAATAAAAATAAATAAATTTAATAAGTCTTATAATGAGAGTGATTATGAAGTTATAATAAAATTAATGAATATGATTCATGATTGATTTTTAGAATAATAAAATGATATAAAAAAATTTATGACAATGTTTTGAATTATGATTATGTGATTAAATAAATAAAATAAATTGAATGGTTGTAAATGTATGGATAATTAACGATCGAATATTTTAATTAAAATTATAGTTTATAGGTGAGAATTTTTTAATTAATTATTCCACACATTAAAATAAATTAAAAAAAATGTCTAAATTCACAAAACCAGCATAAGGAGCAAATAAGCTCGTAAAATCAAACTAAGGAGCTGCAATAAAAAAGTAAGAGTCCGATTCTGATGAATTGAGTGACGTTCCTCCTCCTCCAAAAAAGCAATAATAAAAAGTTCAAGTAGGAACAAAAATAGCTGGAAAAGCACCATAAGTAGATTCAGATGAATAAGATGAGCCAGTTAAGTTGGTTTAGACAGTGAAAAAGGGTAGTTTTGATGCAACAAAGCCAAACACCACAAATTAAAATGTAGGTAAGTAAGGATAAAAGAAGCCTGTTAAATAATAGGATTCTGATGATGATTCAGATGATGTTCCAACCCCTCCAAAGAAAGTAACAGGTCCTGTAAAGACAGTAGCTAAGCCAGTTGTATAAGGCAAGGCTCCAGTTAAATAATAAGTTTAATAAGAAGAATCAGATGAAGAATCTGATGATGTTCCACCACCTCCAAAGAAAGGAGCAGTAGTGGCAACAAAACCAGTAGCTAAGCCAGCTGTTTAAGCTAAGGCACCAGTTAAACAATAAGTTTAATAAGAAGATTCCGATGAAGATTCAGATGATGATGTTCCACCTCCACCTAAGAAAGGAGCAGTTGTAGCTACAAAGCCAGTAGCTAAACCAGCTGTTTAAACTAAGGCACCAGTTAAACCTTAAGTTTAATAAGAAGAATCTGATGAAGAATCTGATGATGATGTTCCACCACCTCCAAAGAAAGGAGCAGTAGTGGCAACAAAACCAGTTGCTAAACCAGCTGTTTAAACTAAGGCACCAGTTAAACAATAAGTTTAATAAGAAGATTCTGATGAAGACTCTGATGATGTTCCTCCTCCACCAAAGAAATAAGTTTAATAAACTAAGGCTCCATAAAAGACATAATAGATTGAATAAGAAGATGAAGATGAAGATGATGTTCCTTAACCACCAAAAGGAAAATAATAATAATAATAATAACCATAAAAATAAGGTTAATAAGCTTAATAAGGATAATAAGATCACGAAGTATTTGTAAAGGGATTATCATTTGATGCAACAGAATAAGATATTAAAGAATTCTTTGGTGAATGTGGATCAATAAATAGTGTAAATTTATTGAAAGGACCAAATGGAAATTCAAAAGGAATTGCATTTGTTAGATTTTCTACAGAAGATGCTTAAAGTGCTGCAGTAGAATATAGTGGTTCAGAACATATGGGTAGAACAATAGTAGTTGAGAAGACAAAACCAAGAGATTAAAGACCATAATAAGGTGGTTAATAAGGAGGTTCAGGTGAGAGTACAACTTGTTTTATTGGAAATTTGAGTTTTTATGCTACTGAAGATTCTTTATATCCAGTTTTTGAAGACTGTGGAAAGATTAAGGAAGTGAGAATAGCAAAAGATGCAGAAGGAAAAGTATTATATTAAAATAAATATTATAGTCAAGAGGATTTGGATATGTAGAATTCTTTGATAATGGTTCAGCTTAGAAAGGATTGTCAAAAACAGGAACAGATGTTGAAGGTAGAGCAATTAGAGTAGATCTTGCAAATTCCTCATAAAGAAGTGGTGGTGGAAATAGAGGTGATAGAGGAGGTTTTGGAAATAGAGGTGGATTTGGTGATAGAGGTGGTTTCGGAGGAAGAGGCCGTGGTGGTGATAGAGGAGGTAGAGGATTCTCTAGAGGAGGTAGAGGAAGAGGTGGAAATTTAGATGCTAATGATATTGCTGCTAAAAAAGGAACTATTGCTGGATTTGCTGGAAAGAAAATGGCTCTATGATATTATTATCAATCATAAATGTTTAAAAATCTTATTTTTTCATTTCTTTTTATATATATTATATATATTATCAATAGACTTATATAATATATAATATTTAAATGAATTATATTTTGAAATTCTTCTAAAAAGAACAACCTAAACCAACTGAACCCTTGTTTTTTTAAAAAATGAATGAAAAAATACAAGAATTTTAAACTATGTTAAATATTATACCTGATGGTGTCCCTCAAGCTTAATATGCTACAGAAATTATTTAACAAATTAATTCTTCTATCAAAGATTTAACCAATTACATTCAATCAAATTAATTCTATGTTACCATTCATTATTATTTTATAGATTATTTTCTTAGGTACTACATCTGCAGGCAAAAGTACATTCATTAATTCACTTCTTGGTTAATAAATCTTACCTTCCAGAAATTAAGAATGCACTTAAACTATGATTTTCATTTCATATAATGAAAAAATTGTTATTAATGGTAATGTTTATGGATCTCTCGCATAAGCTTAATAAACACTCTTTGAAATGTAGAAAAATAACAATTAATAAATATAAGAATTTGAAACTATCAATCTTTAAGTTCCCTCTCTATTTCATTAATAACTACCTCCTGATCTCAGAAACAAAATTATTTTTGTTGATACGTATACTTAAACATTTATTTATTTATTTCTAGACCAGGTATCAAAATCAGCGAATATAAATCTTATGAAACCCATTTCTAATTTATCAATGATAAATTATTAAGTAATACTCATCGAATTAATCTATGGATTTGCAATTACACCACTTTTGATAATGATAAAGAATTTTAAAACCAAATAATTAAATTTTTTTCACCTTAACTTTAATCATCCAGATAAGTTTAAAGAAATAGTTATTTATAGAGTATTATCATTGAAGACTATTCAGTCTAATAGCAATAATAATTATTGACCAGTTATAACCCTATTATTGATAGCAATGCACCATTATTTAGTGCTTTCAAACCTCAACTTGCAGCATTGTTCTTTATCATTAATAAGTTTGATGAAAAGAAAGGATCTGAAGATAAAAATATTGATGTTATTTTAAAAGAAATAAGTGATAAAATTGGAAATTAAAATAAAATATTTAAGATATCTGCTTTGAGAGCTATGAGATATAGAATACTAAATTATGGAAATAAACAAGCTATTGATAAATTTATTGAATCCTATTATTAAGATTATAAAGATGTCGAATGTTTTTTGTCTTTGGATGATTGTAGAAAATATTGTGATCAAAAAATAAAGAACAACCCAAATCTATTATAAAATCAGGATTATGAAGAATTCAATAAATAATTAATTTAATCCATTTAAAAAGAAATATGTGAAACATTTTATGGAGATATTTATGTTTAAACAACATACTCTTTAGTTTTTCTAGATTTAATTATGAATTGTTCATAAATTATGTTGGACTAATAATAATTTGAAAATTTGTCATATCTGATTAATAAATTTATCAATCTATAAATTACAAATTATAGTGATTATTTATCTAATTTAAAAGAATGTGCTTTAAAGTCAATTAAAATGAATTTAGACTATTATAGAAAATCATAAATTGAAGATCGTTAAATGCTTATAATTTCAGCCTGTAAATCAACTTTACCTATATTGATTGAATTCGAGACCAAAATATTAGAATTGAATGATTAAATTAAAGATGTAATCATAAAAAAATTGTAATCAATTTTTCCACAATAAAAGAAAAATGATATATTTGAAAGCGTTTAAATTATTGGATAAAAGGATGTACCTATAGTTGAAGGTTGTCTATAATTATTTAAAATTTTAAGTGATAACAAAATATTAGAGATATCTAAATCAAGTTTTGAATAGTATTCTGAAAGTATTTAAAAAACAATGGGAGTTAGAATTAACCCAATTTAATAGCAAGTTGGGATAATTTCAACAGGACTTTCGATTGTTACATTCTTAGGAAAAAGATTCGCATTATAAACTTTGGCCTATTGTCCAATCTTTGCAGCAATAGGATTGGGATTAATGTCATTTGATTTAAACTTTTTATTTGGTAAATCATGGTACTCAGAAAACATAGTTATATCTAGGTTGAATGTAAAAATATATTTATGATAATATTTAGCAATGGGAATCTTAATTGATTCAGTAAATTGAAGAGTAGAAAAATAATTATTGTAAAATTAATAAGCAAACATTGTTAAATATAAAAAATTTATTAAGCTCCCTAATAAGTTGATTATTAATTTATTTAATGTAAGTATAATTATCACAACTTTTATAATTTATCAATTGATTTATGTAAGTATTAATTAATATTTTTTAAGCGAGAAATTTCTAACTTTTAAGAATCAATAGTTTCTTTCTAGTCCTTAAACTTTATTTCATATTCTTTAATCTTTTGTTACAATAATTTTCTTTCTTCTAAGAAGTTTAAGTGATCATCCAATATCTGTAATTGTTTCCTTATTATATTCTGTTTCTTGTTATCTTCATTATTCTATAAATTTTATTAGTTATTTGATAAATTCAACCTATTGATAATTTAAAGACTTACATGTTCTTGAGTCTTAAGATTTCTTCATCCTTTTCTTATTTGTCTTCTTCCAAGGTAATTAATGCTGATTCGTATATTTTAATTTTGTTTTCTAAAATTTACTCTCTCTCACTAATCTATATTTTCTCATCAACTTCATCTTAAACGTTTAATTCTTCCTCTTCCTTTTCTTAATGTTAGTTCTACTATTGAAATTCAGCAGAAAAACTAAAACGATTTTCTTCCTATGGATTCTATAGTTATCTCAAACTCTAATTAATTAACTTATTTAGACTCCTACTAGATTTAGATAATTCATCATGCATATCTAAAAGTCTAGTATAAATATCTCCTTAACTGAATGATGAGGATCTATGATTAAATTTCATTGCATTCATGAAATAGAGAATTATAATTATATTAATCAAAGTTGTTTTTCACTCCTCTTCTCAAAACTCTCCAACCATTATTTATATTTCTATTACATTTGTACAAAATAGAAATGTGCTTCCTCTATACTTTCCTCTTCCAGTTCTTATGTTTTTTTCGAGATGTATGCAGTTTAAGAAGATGGAGTGATATTTATCAATTTTCTTTTTGCTTATTAAGTATTTTTTTAAACTGATATTTCATCATCAGTTCCTAGTTAATGATAGAATGACTCCAATACTGTGATTCTTGTTTTACGAGCATAGGTTTCTTAAATATTCAATTGTTTTCTTATTTCATCAGGCTTTCCTGGAGTTAGAAATCTTGTATTTTTCAATTTAAATGATGGACTTTATCTTAAATTATTTACATCTTATTATTTTATCTAAAAATTCTTTATTTTTAAAGTTTACCAACAATTTCTCTTCAGCAGAACTTTGTATAATCATTTTCGGAGTTTGAAAACTACTATTATTTTCTAATCTTCCACATTTTATAGCACTTCCACCTCTCCGATTGCTTTGAAAATATGGATTTACTCTTGTACCTATTTACATTATTATTAATAAATTAAATATACTTGTAGTTAACTATATAATTATCTAATATATTTATCAATTATGCTAAGAAGTAGTTTTTATATTTTCTAATAAAATCTTCTATGTAACAAAATCTAATTGATTGATTATAGAATATGCAAATGATTATGTAATAATATAAATCCTTTTTAATTTAATAAATCTATGTTTAAAAGTTGCAGAGAAAATCAAAGAGATAGAATCATTTTAACATTCAAAAAAATTATGTTAGTGAATTAATTGTTAAGGTATAATAGTAGAAAATGGATATAACACATTTTAAATTGCTAATATATTAAAAAGGAGTTTGTGGACAAAGATTGTTAGTGATAAAAATTATCAATATCAAAGAAAAGAGTAAAAGAAGAATTTGTAAGAGCAGAGAGAGTTATATTAAAATGTATTACTCTAATACTTTCAAAACAAATCTGGTGTATGTTTTTTAGATTAAATTAAATTTCATTCCTAACAGTTTAAGAACTCTTTTTCTATTGACTCAAATTTAGTAATATTTGATATTTGAGATTGTGGATGAGGAAATAACAAATTATGTGATTGTTTTAGTAAAAGTTAAAATTGAAACTATTATAGTTAATTAGTTTATTTAAGAATTATTAATTTTATAAACAAATTAGTTAAAATCATTATTAGAATCTACTAGCACCATATCTAACTTCCAATCTCAAATTATCATCAATTGTTAATCCAGCACATACTTTAACTAGATTTTCAAGCATTGCTCTTTGTCTTGATAAAGAGTTAATAGTAGTGATTCCACTTTCTGATTTAGGAGCTTTCATCAAATAACTTAACCAAGATAAGACTGTGTCAAATCTTTAGAATTCTGAGGTATCTTTAGAGAATTGAATTCTCTCAAACAATTCACATAATAATAATAAATCCATAATCAATGGAGCTGCCAATAATGAATCTTCACAAACATTGTAAACTGCAAAGGTTTATCTTCCTCCTAAGAAGATTTCAGCAATATATTCATCCATAGCTTTTTTGCTATCACCTGTTTCAGGACAGTATTTTATGACAATTGTATGATCAATATTTAATTCTTCCTCTGTTGGATATAACACTTTATTTGATTCTAAAATGTCATCAACACAAGTCTTCTTACTTCTTTCTTTACTTTTGAAACATGATTCTTATGATAAATTCTTACCATCATTATTACCTAAATGGTTATATGAAATGATGGCTTTTGGTTTAATACCAGCACCAACTAGATATTCAACTAAACATGTCTTGAATTTAGTTTATCCAGTTTTGAAATCATCACCAGCAACAAAGACTCCAGCTTTTTCTGCTAATTCAATAACTCCAGGAACAATAGTATTTTATGGTGATCCATTAATGAATGAGCATCCTTCTAAACAAGCAGCACATGCAAAGATTGTTGATGCACTAATTTCAGGATGACTTGATTCAATAGATTTCAATAATTTTTCAGCAGTTCCATGAACATTTGGATCTTCAACACAAAATCTTTCAGTATTTGCAGTCCATAATAGAATGACTTTATCTAAATTGTTTTATTATTTAAAATCTGCAATATTTTTTCTAATAACATTAAGATGTTCTAATTTATTATTTCCTGGGATGACATTATCAGCTCTGTCATTTTAATTAGCTGCTATGAAATCTGGATAATAAATAGAAGGTAATGGAACCAACTTTTCCAAATATGGTCTTAATTTTTATTACAAATCATATTCAACAACTTATGCTCTATTCATGGCATCAGCTAAATTCATTGAACTGATATCCCATCCTCCAAATACTATATCACATGGATTGACCATAGGTAAAACATCTTTGAAGGGTACAAATACTTCTTCAGTATTACATGTTCCAATCTTTATGACACTACTTTATGTGAGTGAACCATAGAAGTTTGGTTAATGAGTTCCTCTTTTGCTATTCCATGTAATATTGAATTTATTAGCCAATACACCACCAGTAAGTGTTGTTCCATTGTTACCTCCCCATCCTACTAACATAACACCTAATTTTGGAATTCTTGTGTCAGTCTTGAATTTGAAATTTGTAATCTATGGTTTTGCTATGTACTTATCTCCATTCTTTTCAATGTTAGTTGATTTGTAATCATAGTTGGAAATTAAGAAGTGATCATCTTATTGTGTTGTGGTTGATTAAACTTTCATTGATTGAATTAATTATTAACTTAATAAATACAAATTAGTATTTGTAAACATTAGAGTGCGCATAAATTTTTGAAAAAATTAACAAATGCGTCTTAATTAAAAAGAAGTGCGCACTTCTTTTTAATTAAAAATAATTTAATTAATTATGAATGCGTATATAATATATTCATTAAATATTATATATTAATTAATTTTAAATTATTTTATTTGAACAAATTAGTATAATAGTTTGGAGAAAAACTTTATATTATTAAGAAAAATGTAAAAATTTTGGATATAATTGATAAAAAGGAGAATATAATAATAAATTGTAATATGATATTTATAATAATAAAAGGGGTGGTATGTTTAAGTAAATCATGAATGTGTAAGAATTAACTCAGCCTAATATTTGGCAATTTGATTAAGTAGAATTTAAGATGTGGATATTTTTTTAATATTTTTTTGATGATATGCCTTAAGACAGAGATTTAATTTGATGGTAAGCAAGGTTCTTTTGTCAAGACATAATTGATGATCAAGTAGAGAATCTAATTGAGTAATATCATGGGTATTAATGGTTATAACTGAATTTTTGGAAGTTCTAAAATTGAATTAATAGAGACATGGATGTGATATTATTTTTAATGGTTTGTGTATTTGTACTTCTTCTTCATGTGAGTTAGCTTTAGTAGTAATCATGGATTATGGGGGTGATACTTCAAATTGTTTAATTACTTATGAAGATGGGGGAGATTATTAGATAAACTTCTTAAATTTGATAGTCAGGGCAGCTTTTAGAATTTAATTAAGTATGTTTAGGATACGTAATACTCTTAAAAGAAATGTAGCAGCCTATATAGTATCAGTGTTTGTAATAATGTCTAAGATAACTAAGAGATCGAAGAACATAAAGCACCCGTATATAAATTGAAGTGGATCTTGGAAATTACTAAAGTATTTATAAATATCGGGAGTAAGCAGTGAGGCTACTACATATCTCACCTAGCTAAGGTACACCATTATACCTAGGTGTCTGAGTAATTATTGTACTCACGAATGAGTGACAATCTCAATACTCCCTAAGCTGGCAATTTTTAAGGCAACCTCTATCTATCTAACAAAAGAACATTCAGAGTCAGTTCTATACTTTCCCAAATTAATTCACCCAAGTTCCCTTCTATCATAGATCCGTTTTAATATATTAATGAATTTATATAAATTATCATATTTTCCCTCTTGTAGCAAAGTAAAATGCCAAACCAGCTAAACAACCTCCCAAATGAGCATCATGTCCAATACCACTACCATCACCTTATCCTGCCCATCCTTAATATAATATAAGCAATCCCACCACCCATGCTGGCACTGGAATAAAAAATAATAATATAATTTCCCTTGGAAAATTACATATATAATATGTTAATAAAGCATTACAGGCTGCACTTGCACCTAATGATATACCTTATTATCTCTATTGCATAAGTCCACCTACCAATGCACCTGCCAAATATATTGCTAGTAATCTTTTAGAACCGAAATAAGCTTCTATTGTTCTTCCGAAAAAATAAAAAGTCACCATATTAAATACTACAATCTAATAATATGCATACATAAATGTAATGTATTCTAATGAGAAAATGAATATGTTATGAATGTATGCAATTCTGTTAAACTCATAGATCCAGGATGAAGAGTAAAATGTTTGAACATAAAATTCTAAACTATATTTTCTAAACATACACCTTATCAACTGCTGGAAAATGCCATAATGCATAAACTCCTACATTTATTCCTATCAAATAAAAGTAAAGTGGCATTTATAATCTGTCTAAAAATCTATCCACCTACCCATAATGAAATTGAGGCTTATGATTTAAAAAGTAGGTTTGTTTCAATTACTAAGGAGATTTCGATAACAATTTAGCTAACTTAATCATTATTAAAATTAATACAATTTTATGAACAATATTTCTAATCTTATTGGATAACGACCTAATTCAAAATAAAATAAATAAACACCCTCTTAAATTAATAATCAAACTAATCCATAAATTTAAATTTATGATCAATTGAAGAATTCCTTACAAACTGACTGTTAAAAATAAAACAATAAACAATACTCACAATAATAAATTTTTGAATATAAAACTTAAAAAGAACTTGAATTTTTAATACAATTTATTCAATAAGCATGTATTCATAATCCTTAATGTATTCATGAATAATTATTTGAAAAAAATTTACAAAATAAAAAATTTAGATCATTATGTGATTTTAGAAATGATTGGACTAAACTCATTTTGAAGGCAGAAAAACAATTTGAAAAAGCTCTCACCAAAAAATAACTTTCTATTAATTGTTAACCTAATAATGATTCTTTTAAAATAATTATCTTAGAAGCAATTAATAATAAAGAAAACTCTCTCAAAATGTTAATCGAAAAATCTAAATAAGAACAATAATTCTTTGAATATGCCAAGAGATTGGCCATTAAACTCCAATAGAAACTCGATTGCTCAGAATCCCTATTATGCCAATTTGAAGATGTTTAAAATCGTAAGAAATATACCCATCCGCCTTCTATTTGGTCATTTATGAATTGTTCATGTAATACTACTATAATTTGATAATATTCATTTATTTTTTAATTATTCTTTTAATTCTATAATTTCTTATTGTAACAATTTTATGAACTATTCTTAATGAGTCATTTATGCTTTGGTAATTTCTTCTCTTATTTATTCTTACAATTAATTTTATTTATTGTTTTCCAGTAACTATGATGATTTACATTATAATTCAACTGTTAATTTTTGAATCATAATCTAAGAATCATTTAGTTTTATTATAAGTTCATTCTTCTCTTATTTTAATTGATCTACTTAATTTAACATTAAATAATTTTATTGATCAAAATGATCATACGAAAATTGCTATTATTCAATAGATGTTTCTAATTCATAAATTTAATTCAATAATATTTGATTTTCGTATTCTAATGACAAAATTCTTTCGCTTTTTTGATTCATCAATTAGGTTAATTAATCTAACTCGTTGATCAAAGTTTCAAGTTTACCTGAAAAATGTAATTTTTATCTGAATGCACTTTATTACAATTATTGTTCATAATTCAATATTTATTATTTCATTTATCTATTATTCAAGATTTATTCATCTAATTAAACTTGTAATCTTTTATTTTTATCTTGAAATTATTCTTCTAATTTAGAGATGTATTATTGAAACTAATTGACTTATGCTTTTAAGTTTGAAATTTCAGAATGATAAAAGTCGTAACTTAATTCAATATGAGGTGTTTCTTAGGTGCTTGAATTGTGTTGCCAATCTCTGACTGTATATTCTGACATAAGTAAATTTTAATAATAACAGCTAAATATATATTAATATATTCATGCATCACTAATTTTAATCAATTTTTTTGCTTCTCTTTATTGTTTAAGTAATCTTTCCTTCATTTTCTTATATTTACCTTAGAAAAGTTAAGTATCATCTTTTAATCTTTTCCATTTGATAGGTAAGAAACACTATTCTTTGGTCATTAAATTATCCATGAGTAATTTTTCATGAAAGCCATTATGAATTCTTTTGACATATTCATATTTCATGATATGAGGATCTTGAATAAATTCATGATGATTTTATTGATATTCAGATGATGTATATGTTGATGGTTATGATTTAATAATTTATCTTGATTCAGTGAGAGTTTGAGATTTAATGATTGAGCGTGATTATCTTGATTATCTTTATGAATTTGGTTAAGGTTTAAGAGTTTATTATAATTATGGATTTGATGATGATTTAACAATATGAGCAGAATATGGTATATACAAGGGATTCAATCTTTCTGATTCTAGAATGAGATCTGAGACTTTATCAATTTCTATTGCTTGGTATAGTTTAGTATTAAGGATATGTAAAGGTATCTTAGTTTTAATTTGTGTGTTGGTATTTGAATCTTAAGAGAGTTTTCTAAAGACTTGCCATGATTCTTTAAGATCTTTAATTTCTTTAGCAGATTATCTAATTTTATGTTATAGTTTATTAGGTTGAATGATATTAGTAGTAAATTATTAGATATCATCTAATCTAGAAGTACTGGACCTCTTTTTATGAGTAGATTGATTAGCTTCTGTAGAAGTATCTGGTAATTGAAAAGTACTTCTTCTTTTGAATTGTTAGATATACATAGATTATTTTCTTTATAATCTAGTATATAAGAAATCTTCAGGTTTCAATTGTTTAACTTATTATTCTAAAATTTTGGAATTGATTTCATGAAGACATTTAGATTTTTTATTATCATCATAATACATATTTCTAATTTTGTTATTTTTGTTTTCAACATATTATTTGTATTTTTAAACTCTATCCCTTATTTACAATTTAAAATGTTCTGAGACACCATACGCTTATTAATTAGCAATAAACAAGACAATATCATCTCCACAAAGGAATTATTCACATCTAAATTCTGTCTTAACATATTATGGAATAGGATTTTAATGATTCCATTAATAGAGACGACCAACTTAATCTACACATGCTGCTTATTTTAATGCTACATCAATTTTACGAATATTAGAATAATTATTTGGTAATATTACTTCTTTTATTTTTAAAGCGTCTTCAAAACTCATATTTTATAATCCACTACCCCATTCATATATTAATCCTTCGTAATTTAATACTAAACTATAACTAATTCCACATTAGACATCTAAAATATCTTCTAGTTACATAATTCTTGTTGGACATTATACTAATGTTTCAAATGAATAGCCACCCATTTATAATCCTAATTCCCCATTCTTACCATTACCCCAAGAATAAACAAAATTCTTTTCATCTAAAACTAATGCATGTGTATTTGAACATGCTATCTTCTTAACTTTATTCATTATTAATACAGCATTTCCAATTGATACTGAATTCAATCTTATTCCCAATAAACTTGTAAATCCTTATCCATATAAATTACCATCTTATATATAATAAAAACGTTCATTCTAAGCATTCAATTATGTAACCGATTTTACTACTTACCATCTTCCATTCAAACATCGACCTTTAAATTAAGAACAATTGAATTTTGTTTCTCCCCAATAATATAATCTATCTTCATTATAACCATATGCATAACTCTCTGAACATGATATCAACTTATATTTCATTTCTAATTTTTAAGGTTTCCTCAGTACATCACATGTCTCTCCTATACCTAATTATCCATGTTAATTCTCACCAAAAACCCAAATCTCATTTCTATTATAATATATAATAAATACTTCTCTCCTACTAAAAAGAATGATCGAAAAGATCCAAACATTTTTACTATTCTAACTTCCAAATCTATATTATTCACTGAACCCATCTGTTTTGAATTCACCAAATCACTCCGACCAATAAAGAACACTACCTATATTTGCACAACTACCATTGCTCATTTACACTCCTTTATTTATTTCTTTATTATTTATTATTTCATATTATAATCTTCACAAAATCATTATGCAATACAAAATTAAGACTTTTAGATAATATCATCTTAATAGATAAGGTAATTCATTATTATTAAAATTATAGATCTATTTAAAATCACCTATCAGTCACCCTCAGATTTTAAACCATCTACATCCTAATCACTTAGATTAAAATTATATAATCAAAAATTTAACACAGAAATAGAAAATGAAAATGATCCTCCCACACCTCCTAAACAAATCATTGATATTACTAAACTGCCTAATGGATAGTTTAAAGATACTAGTATTAACTTTATTTCGAGTATTTAGGATACATGCATACAGATGAATAAAAAGTATTTATAATAAAATATTTCAAAACTATCTTTACTCCATTAAAATTATATTCAGCAATAGTTACCTAAAAAAGGGATTTAATATTTCTAAATAATCCACAAATATATATTAAAATTGAAATTCTGAATAAAATTATCACCTAACCTCAAATATATGAGACATTGATAGATAAATCTATTAAAACATTTAGTATTTAAATTGAAATAAATTGCAAAAATATTGTATAAATAAAAAGCCTCTTTCGTAATTGTCAAAATTGTTTATTTTAGTAGAATTATCATTCTAATCATTATTGTAGTTCCAATTTAACTTTATTAACTTTTAACTTTAAATTGACATAATCAATTTTGTCATATTAATAATTAATATTTATTGTTGAGCAATCAAGATTCACTTTAAAATAAGTACTAACAAATTATGTAGAAACAGAAGTTGAATTGATTGACATCATCTTAGTTTGAAAAAAGCAAAAATATTGTATGTATTGGGTTATTCAATATTTTATCATTTATTAAAGATGTTATTTTTATATTATATAAAGTGATATGTGCAAATCATCAATAAAACACCATATAAATTAGAAGAAATACATAAAATGAAACGAAATAAAAAGTTTTTTTTTTAAAAATAGTAAATTTATTTAATTAATATAAATAATTAATAGTCTCATCTTAAAAAATTATGAGAAAATAAGTTAAACAATTTTATTAGAAATCGAAATCGGCTAAGGTAAAAAGAATTAAAATTAATAAACAATTAAAATAATAATTATAAATAATATTTTATTTTGTTTAATGAATAATGTTTATTAACTCATGCTAGTTAAGCTGCATTAACTTTATTGCAAGTATCTTCTAATAAAGCAAGAAGTGTTTCTTCAGTTGATTCTCTAAATAAAATAATAAAAATAATATAAAAACCTTTATTTTTTTTCATTATCAACTTCAGTTTTGATTCTATTAACAACATCTTTTAACATATCAAAGATTGCTTATTCTGATTCTTATCTATTAACTTTTTCTTAAACTAATAATTAGTTTAATTTGCTTAATTCTTCATTCATTTTTCTTGAAATATTAGAATCCATTTCTTCTCTTTCTGCTACTTCAGTTTTAATAGCTTCATGTAATCTTGGTAAATCAGTTTCTAAACATTAATTCAATCTTTCAATATTTTCATTTCTAGTTCTACTTTCTGTACTTAATTCACTTCTTATTAATCCAGTTTTTTCTTCAATAAATCTAATAATTTTTTATTCTCCATCTTTTCTTGTTGATGTCAATCCTTCAACTGCTTAATTGAATGAATTCTCTAAATCTATATATTCCTTTTATTTTTATTCAAAATGTTATTCTCTTTATAATTTTGTTTAATCCAACACTTTCTATAATTTCAATACACTATCTTTAATCAAGGCCACTCTTTAACTTAATTATTCATTTAATTCATTTAATCCTGATTCTAATTAATCTAATCTTGTCTCTGATTCTTCTATTCTTTTTGTCTAAATTATTAATCATTTTTATTACTCTCTCTCCTTCTATTGTTAAATCCATTTAACTTAATTAAGAACTTATTTTTGCTACTCTCTCTCTTGATGGTGAATAATCTATTCTATTTTATTATACATTACTTCTATTATTTGACATATCTAACTGATTATTTAAATTAAAAGATAATATTAATATAAATAAATTTATTGTTAATCACTTAAAGTTCTCTAATCTGATAAATTCATAAAATTTTTTCATTTAATGTATAAATAGATTTAAATTATTTCATTAGATAAATACTTGTATTTTATATTTTAAAGTCAAACTATAAGATAATCATATTTATACATTAATTATTTAAATGAATAATAAAATAATCTGGTTGATTATTTTTCTGCAGATCCAAGCTTATATAGTTTATGATGTGGGCTGGCTTACTTTTCAAACTCATCTAGAGGGTTTTAACATTGTTAAAACCATTGAATTTAAATAATCATTTAGAAATCCTCCTTAAATATTCTTTACTCTATAATATATTGTGATGTATAATGGAGGAAATGAATATTAATTTTTTTGTGAATCAATAAATACTAAGAGTTAAAAATTTATTAATATTAGGTTTTACAATTAGAATGATATCAGTTGGATAGATACCTACGGGCCTTACTTATTTATATTAAGCCTATGATGATATGCGTATTGAAATAATTAATGTTTTTAATTTGGCTTAACCAAAAGGGAATACATATCCTCATAAAAATGCTAATGCATAAAATGCTATTTTATCCCTTATAAGTTTAGGATGCACAGGACCTATAGACTTTAAAATTGCTGTAAATATTACAATTATGTAGATTTCAAAAGTTACAAAAGATTCAATAACTGTTGATCTTAATAATAACGTGGTAGGCAAAATTGAAAATCTAAAACAAATAGGTTTCTAAATTCTCATTGGGATTGAAGAAGCAATTAAAGGTGCTGAAATTAAATTTGCTCATTAATCTGATATGTAGTTTAATGTTTTTAATGTTAATACAATTCCCGGAAATTAATATGAATTTACTACTTCTTATTAAGGATTTGTTTATGATCCTTCTCAAATTCTTTCGCTCGGCAAGAAAATTGCTACTCAGCATTCAAATAAAACTTTTGATTATACAATATATACTGCACATACTGATACACATCCAAGTTTTCTATAAAAGAATAATTATAGCTCTCGTTTTTACACCATGTACTAGTCTTGAAGTATTTATAATAAAATATTTCAAAACTATCTTTACTCCATTAAAATTATATTCAGCAATAGTTACCTAAAAAAGGGATTTAATATTTCTAAATAATCCACAAATATATATTAAAATTGAAATTCTGAATAAAATTATCACCTAACCTCAAATATATGAGACATTGATAGATAAATCTATTAAAACATTTAGTATTTAAATTGAAATAAATTGCAAAAATATTGTATAAATAAAAAGCCTCTTTCGTAATTGTCAAAATTGTTTATTTTAGTAGAATTATCATTCTAATCATTATTGTAGTTCCAATTTAACTTTATTAACTTTTAACTTTAAATTGACATAATCAATTTTGTCATATTAATAATTAATATTTATTGTTGAGCAATCAAGATTCACTTTAAAATAAGTACTAACAAATTATGTAGAAACAGAAGTTGAATTGATTGACATCATCTTAGTTTGAAAAAAGCAAAAATATTGTATGTATTGGGTTATTCAATATTTTATCATTTATTAAAGATGTTATTTTTATATTATATAAAGTGATATGTGCAAATCATCTATAAAACACCATATAAATTAGAAGAAATACATAAAATGAAACGAAATAAAAAGTTTTTTTTTTAAAAATAGTAAATTTATTTAATTAATATAAATAATTAATAGTCTCATCTTAAAAAATTATGAGAAAATAAGTTAAACAATTTTATTAGAAATCGAAATCGGCTAAGGTAAAAAGAATTAAAATTAATAAACAATTAAAATAATAATTATAAATAATATTTTATTTTGTTTAATGAATAATGTTTATTAACTCATGCTAGTTAAGCTGCATTAACTTTATTGCAAGTATCTTCTAATAAAGCAAGAAGTGTTTCTTCAGTTGATTCTCTAAATAAAATAATAAAAATAATATAAAAACCTTTATTTTTTTTCATTATCAACTTCAGTTTTGATTCTATTAACAACATCTTTTAACATATCAAAGATTGCTTATTCTGATTCTTATCTATTAACTTTTTCTTAAACTAATAATTAGTTTAATTTGCTTAATTCTTCATTCATTTTTCTTGAAATATTAGAATCCATTTCTTCTCTTTCTGCTACTTCAGTTTTAATAGCTTCATGTAATCTTGGTAAATCAGTTTCTAAACATTAATTCAATCTTTCAATATTTTCATTTCTAGTTCTACTTTCTGTACTTAATTCACTTCTTATTAATCCAGTTTTTTCTTCAATAAATCTAATAATTTTTTATTCTCCATCTTTTCTTGTTGATGTCAATCCTTCAACTGCTTAATTGAATGAATTCTCTAAATCTATATATTCCTTTTATTTTTATTCAAAATGTTATTCTCTTTATAATTTTGTTTAATCCAACACTTTCTATAATTTCAATACACTATCTTTAATCAAGGCCACTCTTTAACTTAATTATTCATTTAATTCATTTAATCCTGATTCTAATTAATCTAATCTTGTCTCTGATTCTTCTATTCTTTTTGTCTAAATTATTAATCATTTTTATTACTCTCTCTCCTTCTATTGTTAAATCCATTTAACTTAATTAAGAACTTATTTTTGCTACTCTCTCTCTTGATGGTGAATAATCTATTCTATTTTATTATACATTACTTCTATTATTTGACATATCTAACTGATTATTTAAATTAAAAGATAATATTAATATAAATAAATTTATTGTTAGTGCTTTATCAACGAGTTATTTAATATATTATATAATTCATTGTCGCTCGATACAATTGCTACTGCATTAATAGATTATCATCATTGAGGTAACTATTATTATAATTTCAAATGATTTTATTATTTTTTCTAACAACCTGAGTTATTCTTCGATATCGGCATTTTTATTAAATTATATAAAATATTTTATATCTTATTAGAAAGATATTTGGAGCAAATTACTAAATTTTATAAATATTATAATCAGTTTATGTTCCATAACAACATTAGCATCAATTTCATCACACATCACTTATTATTCAAAGATTTTTCCACAATAAAATTAAGTTTTTTCAATTAATCTTAGATATTTTTTTTATAAGTTTCTTCAAATGTTAATGGAGTTTTTCTTTTTTCTTTATCCTTCCAGAGATTGCTATCTCTTTCTTTTGACTTAGATTTAGACTTAGATTGAGTTAAATCAATTGATCTTCTTCTTTTTTCTGCTGTTGCTTTTGTTTACTTCAAATGAATTTTTTATTTTGGTTTAAATTATCTAATTTACTAATAAAATATTACTATTTCTTATGTTTATCAAAGAGCTAATTAAAATCTTTTTATATTTGGATATTTGCATTTTAATTACAATTATTATATTTTTGCATCATAAAAATGCTTTCTTCACTTTCTAAATCTTCGTTGAGATTATAATTTGGCTTATTTGCAGTTATTTAAAATTATAATTAAGAATTAGATTATTATTGCAACTGTTATTGCTAATCTTATTGTAATTAGATTTCAGTTGATGTCATTTATCTTTGAGTTAATTATTATTGTTCTCCATTCAAAAGTTATAACAAATCTAAATTAATTTATTTTTGTTCATTCAATTCTTATCTGATTAGAGATAATTATTAATTCATTGATTCTTAAATTTGTTAATTAATCTAATATAGATTCTAAAGAGGAGAAGGATCTGGTTCTTCTTCGAGATGTACTATTTTTTTCTTTAAATCATTTTGTAGAATTTGATTATGCAATTACATTAATGTATTTAATTAATTTGAGATTTCATCCCTATTACTAATTAACATTTCTTATTCTCTAGATAAATTCTACATAAGATATATATTGATTATACTTATAATTGTGTTTGTAATTAATTTTTTTCAAAAGATAATTATTATAATTCCAAAAAAAAGTTATTTTTTTTCTCCTCCTCTTCTTAAATTAACTTCTCACTTTAATCTTAAATATCAAGCAATTTTTCCTCTTATTCTTTAAAAATGGATATTTTCTATTCATTCAATCTGCGTTGTTCATCTATTTCTAAAGTTCTTAATAATGATTCCAATTCAAATTTAGCCTATTATTCTTCTCTCAATAAATTGATTTGTTCTTATTCTAGTATTTATTACTCTCGATTAAGATGATCTAATTTGGTTTATAACATAGTATTTTTATCATCATCAAAATTTTCTAACTTTTGAGTCAACAATTATAAAATAGGATTATAAATGTTAAGCTTTTATGGTGATTGTTTTTGAGTAGATTTAGCCTATGATGATTGTAACTAAGAGTTATCAGTTTGATTAAGTTTTCTCATTCTTGATTCAAACTCTTGTAATTCCCTTTCTAATTCTTACTTGCTTTTGAGATGAGAATCTCTTGATTATGGATAAAGATTAGGAGATGGATTTTAGTCAAGAATCTGAAGTTTGTGTTCAAGTTAATTAATTAATTGATGAGTTTTGGATAATTTGAATTTAGATCTGTTTTCATCTTCTGATTCTTCATCACTCATTTGAAAATCAAATAAATAATTAATGAATATGTTTATTCAATTTTAACATAAATTAATTAAATGATCGATAATCAGATAATATTAAGAATACAAAATTATAAGAATAATACAAAGGGATACTCATTTGAAGAATTAAAATAATTGCCTAATTTTGGTATCATAACTTAAAAAAATAAAATATATTTTGGTTAAGTATTTAATGGTCTAAAACATGGGAAAGGAGTATTATTGATGGAATAGGATCATGTTTATGAGGGAGAATTCAATAATAACCGTAAACATGGTCAAGGTTAGGAGGTTTTTCCATCTAAATCATATTATTAAGGACTTTATGTTAATGGCAAACCAGAAGGTTTTGGAAAATTTACATGGTCAAATGGAGAATATTATGAAGGGGAATGGTTCAATGGTAATAAACATGGATAAGGTACTTGGATGGGTTTAAAAGGTGATATGTATACTGGTTAATGGGTTGATGGTAAACCTAATGGTAAAGGTTAACATAAATGGATTAATGGAGATTAATACTAAGGAGAGTTTAAAGATAGTCTTAAGCACGGTTTTGGTGAAGAACTATTCGCAAATGGAGATAAATATATTGGAATGTATTAAAATGGAAAACCAGAAGGTAATGGAGAGTATTTTTATTCAAGTGGAGCTTATTTTCATGGGAAATTTAAAAATGGTCTTAAAACTGGATATGGAGAATATAGATGTTCAACATACTCTTATAAAGGATATTATATGAATGACAAAAAACATGGAGAAGGCGAATTAATATATTCAGATGGTATCAGAAAAAAAGGTAAGTTCTTTAACGATTTCTATGAAAAAAAAGTTCCAAGATAATCCAGTGTTCCAAATAATACTTAACCCAATAATACTCCTCCTAGAAATTATTAGGAATTAATGAGGGCCTGCCTTAAACCACCTTCTTATTTATCCTCAACTAAACCTAATACTTAAAAATAATAACCGTCACCTCTTAACAAAACTGTTATTATTTAACGAAATCCTCTAGATATCTATTGCCCTGAAAAACCTTATAAAAATCTATAAATCTAAACTGGCAGGCAAAATTCTAAAAGAGAGTTCTAAGAAAGGGATATCAATCTTAAAATATAAGATAAAATCATTATATAAAAAAAAAATTCAACTAATGTACCAAGTAATAAGTCTTCACCATAAAACCAACCAAATTAATAGACAATCTATAAATAATCCACTCGCTAACCTTAAGCATTTTCATTCAGATTTGATACTACAAAAACAAGTTTTATTACCAGAACAGGGCTAAAAGGAAAATAAAATTTTAAATATCAAAGTTGTTCAAGATATGATTGATTTATATTACTAATTAAATTGTATAAATATAATATGCATTCACTTCTTTATATATTTAACAATTTATTATTGTTAAGTATTAATGGTGGTTTAATCCAGAAAAACTTAGGTTGTTTTTCTTTCTTTTTGAAAAATAAATTATAATAATAATTTTTATATAATTTTTAAAAAATAATCCTAAAATAATATTTTTAAAGTTAACATTCATAAAAATTGAAGAAATATTTCTAAATGTTAAAAATAACTATTTATACATAAAGTGAGATTTTAATGAGTGTTTCATCCAAAAATACATTATGAATAAAAAGATTTCTTAAAATAACTCATTATTAATGATATTTTAGCAAATAAATTAACAATAAATTTATTTATATTAATATTATCTTTTAATTTAAATAATCAGTTAGATATGTCAAATAATAGAAGTAATGTATAATAAAATAGAATAGATTATTCACCATCAAGAGAGAGAGTAGCAAAAATAAGTTCTTAATTAAGTTAAATGGATTTAACAATAGAAGGAGAGAGAGTAATAAAAATGATTAATAATTTAGACAAAAAGAATAGAAGAATCAGAGACAAGATTAGATTAATTAGAATCAGGATTAAATGAATTAAATGAATAATTAAGTTAAAGAGTGGCCTTGATTAAAGATAGTGTATTGAAATTATAGAAAGTGTTGGATTAAACAAAATTATAAAGAGAATAACATTTTGAATAAAAATAAAAGGAATATATAGATTTAGAGAATTCATTCAATTAAGCAGTTGAAGGATTGACATCAACAAGAAAAGATGGAGAATAAAAAATTATTAGATTTATTGAAGAAAAAACTGGATTAATAAGAAGTGAATTAAGTACAGAAAGTAGAACTAGAAATGAAAATATTGAAAGATTGAATTAATGTTTAGAAACTGATTTACCAAGATTACATGAAGCTATTAAAACTGAAGTAGCAGAAAGAGAAGAAATGGATTCTAATATTTCAAGAAAAATGAATGAAGAATTAAGCAAATTAAACTAATTATTAGTTTAAGAAAAAGTTAATAGATAAGAATCAGAATAAGCAATCTTTGATATGTTAAAAGATGTTGTTAATAGAATCAAAACTGAAGTTGATAATGAAAAAAAATAAAGGTTTTTATATTATTTTTATTATTTTATTTAGAGAATCAACTGAAGAAACACTTCTTGCTTTATTAGAAGATACTTGCAATAAAGTTAATGCAGCTTAACTAGCATGAGTTAATAAACATTATTCATTAAACAAAATAAAATATTATTTATAATTATTATTTTAATTGTTTATTAATTTTAATTCTTTTTACCTTAGCCGATTTCGATTTCTAATAAAATTGTTTAACTTATTTTCTCATAATTTTTTAAGATGAGACTATTAATTATTTATATTAATTAAATAAATTTACTATTTTTAAAAAAAAAACTTTTTATTTCGTTTCATTTTATGTATTTCTTCTAATTTATATGGTGTTTTATAGATGATTTGCACATATCACTTTATATAATATAAAAATAACATCTTTAATAAATGATAAAATATTGAATAACCCAATACATACAATATTTTTGCTTTTTTCAAACTAAGATGATGTCAATCAATTCAACTTCTGTTTCTACATAATTTGTTAGTACTTATTTTAAAGTGAATCTTGATTGCTCAACAATAAATATTAATTATTAATATGACAAAATTGATTATGTCAATTTAAAGTTAAAAGTTAATAAAGTTAAATTGGAACTACAATAATGATTAGAATGATAATTCTACTAAAATAAACAATTTTGACAATTACGAAAGAGGCTTTTTATTTATACAATATTTTTGCAATTTATTTCAATTTAAATACTAAATGTTTTAATAGATTTATCTATCAATGTCTCATATATTTGAGGTTAGGTGATAATTTTATTCAGAATTTCAATTTTAATATATATTTGTGGATTATTTAGAAATATTAAATCCCTTTTTTAGGTAACTATTGCTGAATATAATTTTAATGGAGTAAAGATAGTTTTGAAATATTTTATTATAAATACTTAAAGACTAGTACATGGTGTAAAAACGAGAGCTATAATTATTCTTAATGTTATACTTTTATCTGTAACAATAGGTGCAGTAAATATTGTATAATCAAAAGTATTATTTGGATGCGTAGTAACAATTTTCTTGCTTAATGCAACAATTTTAGAAGGATCATAAACAAATCCTTAATAAGAAGTAGTAAATTCATATTAATTTCCAGGGATTGAATTAACATTAAAAACATTAAACTACATATCAGATTAATGAGCAAATTTAATTTCAGCACCTTTAATTGCTTCTTCAATCCCAATGAGAATTTAGAATCCTATTTGTTTTAGATTTTCAATTTTGCCTACCACATTATTAATAAGATCAACAGTTATGGAATCTTTTGTAACTTTTGAAATCTACATAATTGTAATATTTACAGCAATTTTAAAGTCTATAGGTCCTGTGTATCCTAAACTTATAAGGGATAAAATAGCATTTTATGCATTAGCATTTTTATGAGGATATGTATTCCCTTTTGGTTAAGCCAAATTAAAAACATTAATTATTTCAATACGCATATCATCATAGGCTTAATATAAATAAGTAAGGCCCGTAGGTATCTATCCAACTACTATAATTCTAATTGTAAAACCTAATATTAATAAATTTTTAACTCTTAGTATTTATTGATTCACAAAAAAATTAATATTCATTTGCGCCTTCATGTATCCCAAAATATTGTAGAGTAAAGAATATTTAAGGAGGATTTCTAAATGTTTCTGTAAATTCTATGGTTTTAACATAGTAAAAACCCTCTAGATGAGTTAGACAAGTAAACCAGCCCATATCATAAACTATATAAGCTTGGCTTTTCAGAAAAATTATCAACCAGATTATTTTATTATTCATTTAAATAATTAATGTATAAATAATGATTATCTTATAGATTGACTTTAAAATATAAAATACAAGTATTTATCTAATGAAATAATTTAAATCTATTTATACATTAAATGAAAAAATTTTATGAATTTATCAGAATAAGAATGATATTTTTCAAATAGATAAGCTTATTTAATTTAATAATAATTAAATATTATAAATATAATTATAAAGACAGAATACTTTAAATAATAAATAAAAACTTGACATTATTCTGTAATTTCATTTTTCTGTAAGTATCTTAAAGAGCTTTTATTTTGCTGATGTAAAGGAAGATGCTCTTCTTAATTATTGTTCTTTTGTTGTTGCTGGCTTGATTTCAATAATTTAGAGAAATGAGAGTTTAGATTATGTTTTTGTTCTTATGCTTTTAGATGAAATTGGAGATGAATTTTTTTATAGATTACGTATATTTTTGATGAGATTGTGATTAAAAAATGGATTTTCTAACTAGATTAAGAATTTTATTAAAAGTACCTTTACATTTAAATGGACTTTATCGTTCAGATTATTTTGATCTTAATTTTTCTGCAATAAGATCTCTGTTTTTCCCTCCCATTTTAAC